CTTGGGGACGTTGAATAGTGCGGAATTGGTGCTGGGGAGCGCGGAGTCCATGGTCGAGGCAGGGCTCATAACCTCTGGTGATCAGAGGCGAGCGGGGACGCGAGAGAGAGCGGGAAAACTAGATAGATTATCTCAGTCTGTGTAGAATGACTCAATACAATGTATAGTACCTAGATAGATTCTATGGAACGAGTTAGCCGCTTGGTATAATGTAAGGGGGGAACATAAGCTTACATCTCAGTCTGTGTAGAATGACTGAGATGCTCGGACGGATAGACTCGTGAATTTAAGTAATGTAGCATAGTGATGAAAAAATATATGGTAGCATACGACCTTGACACTTTGCATCGTCGGCGCGATGCCCGACGTCAAACGTCGTCATCCAACTGCGCTCGCAATGTCTCAGCGTGACGTCTACGACGTCACCTGTCCGGTATTCGATCCGGAGTCCAATATGATCCTCTGGTCAGCCCTGTTCCTGCTGCAGCATAGATTTAACATCTGAGTATGGTGGTCCCATCTGGAGCTGAGACGTGAACCTCTTTCACACAATGATTGCTGTGCCGAGCCTGAGAAGACTGCCAGATAAGCTTTCTAGAAGCTGCAAAGTGTGGTGCATCGTGGACAAACATACAACAATTAAAGCTCGGGCTGGAGATGGAATCGGGAGCTCACTGAAAGAGAAGAGAAAGGCGTCTGAAGAACTACCGGGACAGCCCAGCTCCAAGATATCGTCAGGCGTAACCGACGAGGGATCTGATGAAAGTAAGCTGTTCACTTACAGTGTGAGCCTCTACCGTCCGCCTTCGACACGGCATTTGGTAAATAACCATTGGGCTTGCGCGCTCAACGTTCAAAACGAGCAGGCAACCAAAGACACTACTTGGATGCCTGCAACGCCATTGCGTGGCTCCTCGTTTTTTCAGTGAATAGTTTCAAGTGTCCTCTAGAAGTTTGCTCTGCCTGAACTTCGTTACTTCGAAGTTCCACATGTATGACCATTCAACGTTCAACCCTTGCATTGTGATTGACCAATTCAATGTCCACGCCAATTGCAACATATCCTGTGTTCTGCTTGGAGTTCGAGTGATCCAAGCGTAGGAAGAAATCGGAATACATTTTGATAAGGAAGGAGTTGGCCGTGGGGACTGGTGCGCACGCCGTTTCGATGTAGCACCGACGGATCGTCGTGTCACGTGTGACATGTGTGCGGGTCCTGCGGGTCTCGTTGTTTTGTCGGACGTTGACTACTACAAACTGAACAACTAGTACTAATCCGTGTACCAAACCCGTTACAACCATTCATTTATTCGTATCATGTCGACCGACCCATATCATGAAGTCCAGCAGGATATCCAATCCTCGCTCCAGACAGCGTCGACATTACGCTCTTCGTTCCTGCGAATCCGCAGTTCCGCTCGGGAAGGGAGTGAAGAGCTTGTATTGGCCCGAAACGAAGTGAGGTTCTCCTTGACACGCTCTTTGAACGAAAAGCTGACACTGGAGTACAGCTGAAAGCTACGCTTGCTACTCTGGACACCGACTTGGAGGATTTGGAAGAGAGCGTCAAGTAAGTTGGGATGATAGTGTTGGACTTGAGATGTTTATTTTTCGTAGGATGGTGGAGGAGACGGGTCCTAGATATTTTGGACTGGATGATGCAGAGGTCTCTGAGCGGCGGAAATATGTGGGTCGCGTACGTCGCGAAATCGAGGTTCGTCACGAGTAGTCTGAAGCATGCACACCCTGACTCAGGTGACCAACCTAAGGACAGGGTATGAGGGTGGACATTGAAGGACGAAATGTCGGTTTTAATTTCTGTTAGATATGCAATTCCTGACGGATCATTAGTTGCCGTCCGGAGGAAAATCACTGTCCACTCCCCTTCAGTCACAATTATCGTTGCCCAGTGGTTCCCGGTCTACCTTACCAATACCTGGCTCGCAATCAGGCGAGCCCGATGATGAACAGGCAAAGTGGGCTCACGAAGAACAACAAGTATGTTTTCGCTTGTTCGTCTCATAAGAGGGAGGCTGACGGCAAAATCTTGCCAAAGTTATTAATTCAGGAGCAAGATCGTACCATGGACTCAATATCAGGGACTCTAAATACTCTTGCCCAACAAGCAGGTCTGATGGGGCACGAGATTGTCGAGCATGTTGAGTGAGTTATAGTTATTCGCTGCTGCACGTTCATACTAAGGTCTTCGACTAGAATGCTTGACGATCTCGAGGCAAATGTTGACCGGACGGATTCCAAGCTATCGGATGCGATGCGAAGAATGAAGAAATTTGCACGGGACACAGAAGGCAAGTTTGAGCCGGCTTGGCGGTCGTTGTAAGATACTGATGTTCTTGGAACAGAAACAAAGTCAGGATGGTGTATAACTATCCTAATTATTGTGTTGATTGCTTTATTGTTGGCGGTCATTCTTGTGTAAGAGCCGCGGGATTTCTGCACGATACCTTGGACTCACCTTCTGATCACCGCGGCATCCTTGCCTGCGTGAATGCAACACAAACACTTGTGCTGAGTATGAAGTAGGCTCAAGGTTCTATCAGCAAGAAGGTAAGATTCGGGGCGAACGCGTGCAGCGATATGCGCTCTCCGACCCCCGGGAGTGAGTCCTGATTCAAGGGCTGCGAGGGTAGGTGGGACCGCCTCTCTGTCACTAGCCTGACTCAACGTTGAAGCGCAACATTCAATCGAGAACCACTGTACCCCAACCATCCTCCCCCTCGAAATCTGCAAAACAAGCAATTTCCTTCCGGACTTACATATGTCGCCATTTCAATGGTTGTCAATAAGGTTCAACGTCCGTGGTCGATATCTGATTCCAGATAACCAGTTTGTACACGTCACGCGGCGATGTCAAAATAGTACGAATTCGGCTCTAAACCGCTATGCTTATTGACGAATTCAAATGTGCAAACATAATCTCAGCTGGTCTACACTGAAAATTTGAAATCTTGATTGCATGGGCGTAATTGCTTGCGAGCCGAGTCAAGTCCACCTGATAGGCTGAGAGACATTTGACCAAGCGAAGCTGCAAAACAGAACTTATTGTTTGGATTCTGGCGGAGCGGTCCATGGGTATAAGTATACATATCGGTATGGAAGAGATACATAATTTGGCGGATTCTAATATTCGGCAGCGATAAGTCTTACCCCCCTGAGTAGACATTCCTTCTTGACTATGATAGCCATTTGTAAGTGACGCGACCGCATGAACTTTTAACGCCAGCAACAGCATCAATAGTGTGTCGATTAGTAGGACTTACCGCGGCGTTCTGATACTCAGAGCACTGTTCTCTGTGCTGTGTTCTGAATCTGAAACAATTGTGCAACGTTCCTTCGATACCTCACGTTCTATCAGAATCTAGATATAATTGGTCCGTGGTCAATTGAAACGTTTCTAGACTTGAAACAGGTTTCCAGTTTACTAGGCCTTTGCTTTTTACAAGTCCAATTGGCCGATATACGTTCGAGCTTCATTGGCCTACATAAGGTCAATCTATGGATACCCTGTGTCAGTTGTGACACGCATTCCGGGCGCTCGGTTTGGCGCACAAGCTGAGGAATCCCTGATTCGGGATTCTATTAATATTCTATCTATGCACGAGACCAGTATATAGCTAGGAGGTCCAGGCGGAGATAGTCACCGCACTATTTCTCTAGACCCATCCCTTAAGTACTGTATATAGGGCTGGCCTCTCGTCGGTCTCTTAGTTCATGCGCAGCATTCCTCGCGTTTCCCCGAATACACGTCATACACTGTGGGGAAATTGCTGGCTAACTTTCCCATAGAATCAACGCCACGAAGAACCCTCTCAGTATTGCTATAAATGAGAAGCATCTTTTTCAAAGAGCCTGACTTTATGTACATATGATTGGAATGAATTTCAATGGGATAGAGACCTGAACAATAGAAAAGAACTGGGATAATTCCTCTCAACTATTACGTGCAACCGACCATCGACCTCAGCCCCCTAAAACGACCGCATATTATTGAATTCTGTTGGGGTGGGAAGCGAGTTCGAGTATCATAATTTAGTGCAAAAGGAGGTAATCATTTATTTCGCGGTTGTGAGTCTCGCTACTCTTCCAGACAGGAGGCAGCCTGCGTACACCTTTAACGTCCAGTCAGCCCACTGGATCTCATCAAGAATGTTTTTTTCAAATTCTTTCAACCGGGTGTTCGCGGCGGACACATACACCAATCATGGCACAGCTGCAACCAACCTCATACACCACACCCAACCAAAGCGTCCAACAGCAACAACCTGTGCTATCTGAGAAAGGGATTCGCATGCAGAGTGTATGACGGCCACTCACTTTAATTTATGTAATTATATGGCGTCACGCGTTCCTTGAACCTCCTGATCCACTGCATCTGCTAGATCGCCTAAAGTTTCGAACCTCCATGTCCACAAGCCTCGCTCCTTCACATCGGCTTTGGCTCCGATGATATTCTTCTCATGGCGCGAAATCCACACGCTGTTGAGATTGTGAAGATTTGCGGGCTCTATATCATGCTGAAGCGAATTTGCTACTACAAGCACCTCCCGTGCTTCCACGGCCCAGGGTGGGTTGGGATGCGGTAAGAGGGAACGAGGCGCAGACGAGACTTGCTGGAGTGCAGTGTCTAGCGCCCTTGGATCTGGTTTATACGCATTAAATTGCTGAGCGGTGAGGATGAGCGAGAAGGGGGAGGCAGGGGTCTCTGTCGGGTATTTGCTCTTGCGAGCTTCACGAGTTTGAGATTTCAGCAACTCATGTGTGCCGTCGAAACTTCTGTTGTCCACGTTGGAAAGAACCACTAGCGCAAAGTGCTCTTTCAGTCTGTGGAGGGCTTGGACGGTGTCTTCAAATGGCTGCCACGTGGGAACGGAAGCTCCGAAGCGCTCAGCATCACTTGCTGGTGGCGTCGAGGAAGCCATATCTGAGTCTTGCTGAGCACCCGCTGGACTAGATGCACCAATCTCCTCCCCTCCTTCTGTGACTGCGGCTGTTTTGCCGCGACCAGGACTCATGTCAGCTTGACCGCTAAGCCGCATCCAAGCGAGATCGAGGATCTTAGAGTACGCTAGACTCGGATCTTTCATTTGAAGATCTAGCTCCACAGCAGCATATTTCTCCAAGACCTCCTCTCTTGGAGTGTCCTTGGGGAAGAGCGACTTGAGACTGTTGTATATTCCAGATTCCCAGTCAATGAGGGTCCCATAAACGTCAAAGACTAGGACTTTGTGAGATGTTAAGTCGAGATTGGGTGTCATGGTGGTTGGTGGCGAGTCGCATGCCGTAACATCAGATAGAGTACTGAACCAGCTTCCGCCACGTATGTATGAGGTCGTGTGCCGGAAATTGGACGCAGATAGCCAGCTGTTTGGAAATTGGGGTAAAGGCTGGGTGAAGAAGGTTGACCTGACGGTTCCTTTTGAGGTCGGTTGCACCGTTTTTCCGGAACCGCCTGTCGACACGATCTCGTCATCCAGAGACACTGGCACCCGCTGTCGGCCATGGCAGTTTTAAACGTAAACCAATCAATATTTAACTGTCATTTATAATTGATCTCATCCATTCTTGGCTTTTTGCAAGGATTTCGGTGTCCATAAGATCCCTCAGATGAAACCTGGCACCAATTCACATTCTTGGAGCTTTTTAAAGACCCTTTAGCACTTGCGTGTCACTCCAAAAATCCTACTTCTGTGTCCTGTGTGTGTTCATAGCACACGACCTGTTGTCCACCATAACCTGACAACGTTCCTCAGCTCGTTGCGGAACAGTTATGAAGTTTGCACGGTGCGTCGGTATCCGACTTCTAATGCCTTTACACCCCTGCTTGTACTCATTTCGTGCGACTTCTTTTTGACCTCAGATACCTTACTGACACACAAGTCAGTCCGTTCGGACTAACCAAACTCATATTGCTGATCTAGGTACTGAATGTTATCTTGTCGCAGACTCCCGAGTGGAAAAAGGCATATATGTGCGTTCCAGCTCAAACGTTTAGACATGCGTCGATTGATCACCTCCGCTAACGCCATTTTCACTACGGTTTGATTGTAGTGATTATCGCTGCCTGAAGAAATGCATCGGTACAATACGTGCAGAACAGATTGCCAGGCAAAACTCCACCGGAACTACTGATGTTGATCAAGTTTATAAGCAAGCCAGAGAATACGAAGATAACGGTATTGGCTACCCTGAATAAACTCTTACCAACTCAGCTCACTTCAACACACTCTTTAGGGCAATCGGTCCTTCCACAACCCGATGCTCCAACTGAAGGGACCACAGTTCTTTCCGCGACCGGCCAGCAAAGGGATAGCCGGATACGTGAGCAATCTCCATGACCCGTCGAGTTCTATTTGACGGAGAGTTTTAACAGGTCCATCGCTCAGCGTTATGTTGCACGATCTTTCGCCTCCATTTCGCCTCACAGGCTCGTCATCACAGGCTCCTTCGCAAACCACTCCTTTACCTCCCAAGACTCCGCACTTGCCACCAGTATTCCCCTTTTTCCGTGATACAGGTCAGTTCAGACGTTGTCCGTGTGTCATGCAGAAATTTCACTTTAATAGCAGGCTCTCTGGCTCCTACTGCCTTACATACCCTTCTACCTCTGCTACCACCACTTCATGCGCATTTTTTCGAGCTATTAGATTCTGAGTTGGAGAAAGTCGACTCTTTTTATGCCGAACGAGAAAAGGAAATGCGAGACCGTGGCAAACTGCTTAAAGAGCAGCTCAACGAACTTGGGCTTCATCGCAAGAAGTACTATGTCAGTCTATGTTTAGCATATGCGCTTCCTTCTGCTCTTTTTTGGGCCATTCTAATTCTACGCATATACAGGAATCTAATGGAAATGCCACAACGCCGAGCTGGGCTGCACGAGCTCACCAATCTCTGTCGGCGGCTTTGCTCGCCCTGACCCAATGTCATGGTCGTCATCATGCGGATACAAGCAAGACCAATCATCAACCAGGGATAGCAGCTTCTGAGTCAGGTCGAGGAGGTATGCATTTATCATTATTGTAGTCGAACAGGGTAACAGAGCGGCCGGCTGATTTTAGTACCTGTAGAAACTGGCCCTTCGGACACTACCAGAGATGAAGGAATTTCCGAGCGTATAATCATGTCGCCGCTTCCTACATCTATCATAGATGGATCAATTCAAGTTGGATCAATCAAGAGCAATCGTTCATGCCCGCCCACAAAAGCCAATGGCAATATTCCGCGGGGGAACAGCGTGTCCTTGAACAGCCCGCAGGAGTACCAGAATGCGAAGAAACGTCTCAAGAAAGCTGTCGTGGAGTACTACCGGTATGTCCCGTTTGCGTTCGCCGGTTTTCGGGACCATACTCTCCTTTCTTGCGGCGAAGAAAGATCGACTCATTCCACGTGTTGGCAATGTGGATCCTTCGTGCCGGCCTGCTTCTTTTCCTTTAATAATCACGTCTTAGTGGTGGAATCTGACGTCTTTCAATGTCCAGTGGACTCGAGGCACTGAATAATTACCGTGTACGTGGCTGATCCCATCGCTCGGTTATCCCAATCATTCACACTGCCGCCGGCATTTGCATGCTACATCCGTTATCATCACTCTCGCATTGAACTACTGCACGCCTCGCACCGTGAATTGATCATCGATGATCTCAAATCAAACAGATACTGAACCTCACTGGTTTCCGCAAAGCTGTCAAGAAATATGAGAAGATTACACAAGTGCCTGTTCAAGCAGCATATATGAAAGAGAGGGTAAGACTTTTCTGATACCCTCTGTTGTAACATTTTTTAAATTCCATTATGGTCAGGTTGAACCCTCGGCTTTTGCCTCCGGCGCGATGGTCAGCTCAATGCTTAAAGAGATGGAAGAGTTGTTTGCCGCAAGGTTTGGTATGTCGCTCAAAGGTCTCATCTTTTATCTTTCCATATGTTATACGTTATCGCAGAACGTGGTGACAAGAAGAAAGCGATCAATCATCTTCGTGTTGGCGCGACCCAGAAATCCCATCATTTCAGCACGTTTCGCACAGGCTTGTGGCTTGGTTTATCTATACCTGCGACAGTTACCGGTTTATTGATATGTATGTTGTATGTTCCTGATGGCGACCACAAGAATTCTCATGTCACCTGCAGGTCTGCGTGACAGTACCCATGTCTCATTGCCTTCATGGAATATCTTACTTTTCATCTACTCCATTTTCTTAATCCCCACGTTACTCGCGTTGCTCGTCGGTTTGAACCTCGTCGTATGGGCCAGAGAAAGGATCAACTACGTGTTCATATTTGGTGCGCATAACTTGTTTTGTTTATTTTCCTCGCGCTGACCTTCTTGCGAAGAACTTGATGTACGATCTCGACTCGACCATCGAGAGTATTTTGAGGTTTGATGCCGTGGTATTTTATGAGGTCATTGATACAATTCCACATTAGCTTCCTGCCTTCCTGTTATGTGCACTAGCACATTGCTTTATGTTATCTTTCATTGATGTCGGTCCTCCACTCGTCTGGCCGCTTGTGTGGCTTGCCCTCGTGATTATTGTCATTTTCAATCCCATTCCGGCAAGGTCACATCATCTATGTCTACGATTCTAGCTCACATGTTTTTGGAAATGTTTAGAACTTCCTTTGGGGTCGTTCGCGATGGTGGCTTGTCAAGAGCGTTGCGAGACTAGGCATCAGCGGTTTGTGGAGCGTTGAGGTACGTCCATATCATGCTGCACAGAATGTGTAATTGACGCGATTGATAGTTCACGGATTTCTGGCTCGGGTTAGTGTCTGCAATTCCGCGCTATCGCATCCTTCATTCACAGCCTTCACAGCGATCAGTTTTGCAGTCTTGTCTATAGTCTGTCGAACTTCTACTTTGTCGGGTGTTTCTACTCCCATTACTTTCCTAATGTTCCTTCCTACGCCATCGCGGAGTCTATCTCGTCACCGGACAAAAACTCTTCCATGGCAGGTTTCCCGCGCACCCGTTTCTCCTCTCAGACGTCTAGTTTGGTGCAAAGGGACACATTCTCGTCTGCGTACAACCCTGCGATTCAAGAAGCTTGGACGACTTGTGGAACGGAATTAAATTGGGGCCCTTACTTCGTACTTGCTGCGTTACCATTCCTGGTGCGCTTCGTGCAGAGTCTCAGACGTTACAGGGATTCAAAGTTACCTACCCATCTCATCAATGTGAGTCTTCACTATCGAACGGAAGCATTCAAGAACAGCTTACGTCTTGGTTGAATTTGCAGGCTGGCAAGTACGGCATGGGTATAGTGTACTACCTCTGTTATTTTCTTTGGAGACGCGACGGTAGGCTGCCTTCCCGCGTCACTGCCCTTTTCTGATGTTTTTTCAGGAGAAACTGACGGTGGTACTTCTTTCATTCTCTGGTGCTTGTCGGCAGTTCTCTACGCAATATATGGGTGTGCATGGGTGAGTTGACAAACCGTCAAGAGTGGACACGCTGTCAACTTCACTCAGGACTTCTTAATGGACTGGTCCATCTGCAAACCTAGCGCTAAATACCCCCTCCTCAGGCGGGAGTTGGTGTACACATCCCAGATTCCGGTGCGGTCTATCTTTTACTGAATCAAACGGTCCGATTTCTCATTCTATATGCAGGTGTACTATGTTGCTCTGGTGAGCGGAATATGTGCTTGTGACTCACTTCATTCTAGACAATCTACTATAGGTCTCGAACTTTGTCATACGTTTTCTCTGGGTCTTCTACATACCCAGTTGGCCACACTTTACTCTCCGGTCGTTCGTAGCTGGCATACTGGAGATGTTAAGACGGGTACAGTGGAATTTCTGTCAGTCTCTGTCATTTTTTCTTTCTATGCAACTTGCTAACTTAGCCTGTCTGGCAGACCGTCTCGAGAACGAGCATCTTGGTAATATGGATCAATACCGAATTACGCGCGAGGTCCCATTGCCGTATTCGTTCGACAATCCTCAACATGAAGACGATGATGACGAGGAGGAGAGTGCTTAGGCTGGATCCCGGAATTATATGCGAATAAGCTGAGCGAGGACATTACTCCAAAGGCACCAATCTCAAATTTAGGTGCACATGATCTACTGGTAATAGAGACGGGTGTGGTATGGAAAGCTAATTATGAGCTAACAGTGATATTCTATAGTAGACTTATGTCATTCCAAGTGTCAGTGCTATAGCTTGCAGTCACGAATTATGTATGTTACCAACAACTCTATTGGCGCGCATTGAAACGTCACAGCTGTTTTTGTGCACGAATAATATATCTGATAGATCTGACACATGTCAATTTAAAAAGTGGGAAGTCAAGGAGCGCCGTGTAAAAAATTGACGGTCCTCTAGATCTGGGCGGGGTTTGTACTGTCCAAGATTTGCAGTCCCAAGAAGTAGTGAAAAGATGTATTCACGAAGTGTCTACTCCAGGAAGAAGATAGTAGTCAGAATGAGCAGGAGAGACCGCCGAAGCTACCAAACGACGATGGAAAATCGACGGTCCCAAGGTGAGAAATTTGCAGTCCTTTCGAATCCCGCTCGGCAACGCTCAGCAGCATTCCACACGTGCGGTGGCGAGACGTCGTCCATGCTCCCTGCTGCCCCTGCAGCACGTTTGCACCGCTCAAAAAGCTTCGGCTGCTCAACGATGATATATTCTCGACCTCTCTACCTACGCCGACCATCCCCAGATTTTTCCGTCTACGTCCCGCCCCGAACTCGACTCCTCGAGCAGCCTCGCCCGCCAGGCCCTCCTGAGCTCCGCTTTTGGTGACACGCGAGTAATCTTATGCTGGTGCCGAAGGCACCAACGTGCTAAGGATAGCTAGACACATTAATTGTATCCGAAATTTTATCTGATAATTTACACGGAGCAACAACGGAAACACACAGATAGTCCAATGAACTTACAACCATGCCTACAACCTACTGACCAGAAGAACGAGATGGCTATTTGCATCTGCAAAAATGCAAAATGCTTCTCAACAAGGTGAATCACCAATCCAATGATGCATTTCCACCATTGCACGGACTTGGTCCCCCAGAGCACGCAGACCCACTCTCAGATAGACCGGGTCCAGCACCGACAATTTCGATCCCTTCTCCACCACCGCGAGAAGCAAGCTCAGCCGAAGCTTGTTTGATCATCCATTTACTTGTTCCAATGACTGCATCCAACTTGTCTGAATCGGGGAGGAGCACGAGGAGATCATCGCCTTCTTGCTTCACGTCGAACGGAATGATAGAAAAGTCTTCGTCGTTCAAACATTTACCGTCTGTAAGACGAAAGTTCCGTTTGTGCAAAGGACCTTGAGAAATCCGGACGTCTCAGAAGACTAGCAGAAAAGCGCAAAAACATGGCACTTGCATGAGACGTAGAGATTACCATCCATGTCGTCGCCGACAATGCCGTGGTCAAGCACAAAAGCCCGCTTGTGCGGGCACATCTACAAGATCATTTCTAAATAGGCTCAGAAAGGGAGCGAAATCAACTGTACCTGTTGCGTGGCAAAGTAGCCCCGTCTGGGAATGTGAAAGATAGCCAACTGCGAGTCACCATACTTGACAGCAGCGGACCTGAGAAGGTGGAGGTCTTGGTGTCAAGCGAAGCAACAGACGAATGTGTTGAAGAACCCACGTGGTAGCGTCATCAGTTGGCACAAGATCATTGACAGTGGCCATTTTTCGCCACTCCCACTCAGATTTGGGAGTCACGATGACTGATTCGCCAAATTTGGCAGGAGGCAATTGTTTCGGCCAGTCTGCTGGACGTTCCTGGCCTCGCTCTTTGATGATTTCCGTTTGAGGGCGACGTTCATCCTGTACATGAACCTTTAGTACTGCGCTATCCAGGCACGGGAATCCACTAACAGTATTGACGAACTGACGGAACTGACGTCTCCTCGCAGGATCATTGACCACAGCTTTCCACTCATCTGCATAAGTTCCGACAAGCTCCCCCATTTCCCTCTCCAGATCCTCACAGATGCCGAGCGCATCATCAAGAAGAATTTTCTTGAGCCGCTGTGCATGATAAATCCAGTAAGCACAGAAAATATTACACGATGCTCATGTGACGGACCTCAATACCACCATCAAACTGTTCTACCCATCTCGCAGTTCGCATGAGCTTGTCGGCAGTATGGATATAGTACATCAGAAAACGGTCAAGGATGCGGACAACCTTTGACGGAGGAACATCTGTGGCAAATAGTGTCGCGTGTCTCGGATTCGATCCACCATTGCCAGCGAGGAAAACTGATGCAGATTTAGGTTTATGGGTTTATGATGTAGTGGAGAGCACGTACTGTTCCATCCTTTATCAGTTGCGATTAAGCCGAAGTCCTTGGACTGTGCTTCGGCACACTCTCGAACGCAACCGCTCACACCCCCCTTAAACTTGTGAGGCGAACGAATGCCCTTGTACCGTTCTTCAAGGTGAATGGCCACTGTGCATCTCATTCAGTTGGTGAAACTCAACATAGACATCATCACAGCGGCACGAACTTCCGACAGCATCGCCAATTCCGTAGCGGCACCATGTGGTACCGACGCAAGACTTTACAGTCCGCAAGGCCTTTCCTGAATCATGGATGATCAATATGACAGACTTGGATCAACTGCCAGGTTCTACCGTACCATAAGCATGTCCACTTTCGAATCCTGCAGCAACCAGCTCCTCCCAAATGTCCGGGAGATCTTGCTTTTGAGCCCCAAAGAGGTCGATGCGCTGCCTAGTACCGTAAATCTCGGTTTTCACGTATGACGCTTGCATATGATGATACACTCACCCTCCTGTAATCTTGGTGTACAAGTTGTCTGCCAGTTTGTGTGAGTGCACAGAACACATGCAGCAACGACAACCCACATTTCTTTGCGACTTGTCCGAGAACAATGAGTTTGTCCGGGGTGATCTACAAGTCACAAGTGAATTTCTACTCGCAAACGAAAAGAAATTACACTGACTTCTCCTCCAGGAACTCGAGGAACGACAGAAAATGTACCTGACAACAAGGTTAAAGTTAATTTAGGTGAATAGGGGATATAAATGTGAGGAGATTCGTAGATAATCGAGAACTCACCATTCCTTTGAACGTTAGCGAGGTATTTATCATTGGTGTCTTGGTTGGCGTGGTGTACAGGTGCGACCACGAGTTCGTTATACAGTGACGACAGGATCGATCCTAGGTCGGCTGAGCATTGCTCCGATAAACGCCAGATAACTTCCTACCGATAACCGGCTTGCATATCTCGCATCCGAGTGAATCTTTCTTCACACCGACAGCCTCCATGATCTCTGGGAGTGTTTTCAACTTCCGTATCCTAGTGGAAACGATAAATTGGATTTTCGGGATACAAAGTCATGGACACACTTCACGACGCTGAAGAGCTCTTGTCGAGCCATACCAAAGTGGGGACAAATGTGATTCGATACAGCATGTCCTGCTTTCTTCATTTCTGCCTAGTAAGTTTTCAGGTCACTCAGGATATTTATGATGAAAGGGGAGATTATTATACCTTGAATATGTTCGTGACCAAAGGCATACATCCACCACATCCAGTACCAACTTTTGTCTTTGCCTTGAGGTCTGACAGAGTGATGATGCCCGCTTTCACTGATTCGCCGATCGCGCTCTTTGTGACATTCTGGAATCAAATCAGGATGCGTGAGCCCTGCGCCGCGGAAGAGAGAATACTTACGTGGCAACTACAGATCTGGGTGTCATCGTCGAGGTCAGCGCCGTCGTCCTGGCCTTTTGAGCCCGATCCAATGATGAACTTGGATGGTGGCTCCTCTAGCTCTTTCTACCTTTTGGTATCAGCGGGGCTGCCGCGGAAGATAATCTCTGCGAAGTTCACCTTCTTCTTGACCAGGGACACGAGTTTGACGTAGTCGGATGTGTCACCAACCATCATGCCACCCAGTAGGTACTTGCCATCGGGAGTGAAGATGTACCTACACTTCCATGAGCGGTATATAACAAACTTCTGTCATGGCAACTCACTTCTTGTAGACATACGAAAACGGGTCACGATAAGTCAAGCATTCAATAGGACCATCCAGTGCGGCCTGGCGGCCTCCCCGCTTGATCTCTGTGGTGACAGTGTTGATTGCAACTTCGCCTTCCTTCAATTCGTTGCTACAGTTGGTTTCTGGAGGACATATCTCCCATACAGGAGGTTTTGCGCAGATGGCTTTTTCGGCTTTGTCTCGAGTAAGCGGCTCTGCAGCAGCCACCTTACTGGTGACGACACCCCGTGCACTACGTTTGTCGGCAAAGTAATCACCAAAGGAGGCAACCTAAGACCGGGTGATGTAGAGTAGTGATAGGTGTGGAGAGTCATAACTTACATCAACTCCCATTAGTTTCAGCTTTGTTGAGAGGTCGGGCATGTTCTGGCAATTTGATGGTGGTGAACAGATGTCACAAACGCAGGAATAATTGCCTACCATCACCCTTGGTTTGAAGCCACCGAGGCCAGTCTCAACTTGAGTCAAATTGAATGATAGGATGCTAGCCATCTCCACTGATGACGCCGTGAGTAACGATCGATAGGTGAATGAGGTGTTCTCACCCCCAGGTGCAATGAGACCATAAGTATTGCCCTTCCAGCTCGCGCACTCGCCAATTGCATAAACGTCTTGAGCGCTGGTTTGTAACAGGTCGTTGACAACTATACCTCCTTTTTCAACGCAATTCAGGCCCGCCTGGCGGGCCAAGTCGTCTCGAGGGGTGATACCAATAGCATAGATGACTATCTCAGCCTTAAGATGTTGGTCATCTGACAGGATGAGGCCAGTTAAGACATCATCTGAAGTGATAATATCTTTGACAGTCGTCCTGGTGAGGACTCGCACGCCCATGGCTTCAATACGTCGAAGAACAATTTCTCCACCTTCATCGTCAAGTTGGCGCGAGAGCGGGAAGAGTTGACGGTTGATAATAGCGACTTCTGAAATGGTCTCACTTTCTCAAAAATTTTCAGTGAGAGTTGTGGTGTACGGGAAAGGTGTCACTGACAGGTCAAATACAGCTTTCGCGGCCTCCAGTCCAATGAGACCGCCTCCAACGATAACAGCCTAAGTGAAGAAAATGAGACCACCGCGCGGGAATGCTTCGTGTGTATAATACGCACGCGGCCACCTTTAACATGTTCTTGCTCAGAATACGATAATATTTTGTCGAGATCAGAAATATTTCGATAAACGAATACTCCTCGAGCTCGCTCAGCCCCGACCGGGGAAATGTACGGCGGGAGAGTGCTTTCGGAGCCAGTGGCAAGAACGCAATAATCATAACTTATCTTGCGCCCTTTGCTGGTCGTAACTGAATGCGCGACAGTATCTAAGGAGGTAGCCCGTTCTCCAGTGTAGAAAAGAAAGCGCTCTGGATCTTGTTGAGCATACCACTCCACTGTTCGAAGTGTGGAAGAACAGGATACGGTAAGCGAATACATATCAAGACAAGAATGTACCATACCTTGGTTTAGATAGAGTTTCTCGACAGAACGGTGTTGAAAGTATTCTGTGAGTGCGACGCGATTATACGCTAAATGGGTCTCTAAGAAGTGACAGGTCAGTTAACATCTTATCTCATTGTGAAATGATAGATTTCCGCAGTATCTAAGATAATTTCGCTCACCTTCACCGCATGTCACTACGCGATATCGTTTGGCTTCATCCAAGGTGAGCATCTTTTCTATGAACGCTTTACACGAAAGTATAAGCAACAGCCGGCCTCATCTCTAATTTCAACTTACCTATCCCCACCATCCCCAGACCAACCACAAAAATTGTCTTTCGTACATCTTGATACACGGAGACACCATCCTGATGTATGACTTGCTTTTCCGGGGAGGCCATCCACACTCTGATGACAAAAGGTCACGGTGGTAAGGAACTTAGCGTCAGGACAGGTTAGCGAAGTTGGACGAGCTTCAGAAAAGCAAAATGTGGTGTCGGTGAGTAGCCTATTCAAGTTAGGTCTCGTATGCGTGACTCGGAGCTCCGACACCAAAAGGAACGACTGTCTTCCTCCGTCTATAAGGCCAGGTCCTAGACTACTCCGACATGAAGCTTCTGATCATCCGAATCTGATGCAGCCATAGCCAGTGAGCGTGTCGCCATCGCTGTAATTGAAAGCCAAGTGAAAGGTGACACACAATTGAAAGATAAGGAACCTACAACGGCACCATGTATGTGAAAATCAAAATGCTATAAATTAAAGCAGGCTTGTGCGATCTTGTCAAAGGTCTTTTTGGTTATTGTTCAATTGAAATGTGGACAGGTCAACAGAGGTCAACTCGCCGCCGAGGACCCCAGCCACCATCAATATAGGGCGCCATCATCCTGTGACTTCAACCTGAACACAGCAAGTCGCACTAATACTGGCAGGCGCTGACTTGGCCGTTTTTTTTTTTCAACCGCCACAAATCGACAACGTCCCCGAAAGACAGACATTGCCTTCTGTGGATCGACCCTTCTCAGGTATGGGAGATACTTATCGTCACCTTGGCATGGCAGGGCCCATCAAGTGGAGCCTTTGCTCTTATCTTTCGAATTCTGATCTCTCCCTACGGTACACTGTTACACCGTGTAGGTAGATAGCGGCGAAATATCCAGGGTGCCTTCGACGATTTCCGTATTCACGCACGCACGCTGGCTGGCACCATCCTTACGGCATCCGTAACATGTATTTATCCCCATATCCGAGTTTTTGTACTGGCATTTGCCGTAAGTAAGTCTGTCACTCACTGTTGGACCAATGTCTTAGCTTGCTGGTCGAAACAAAACCTGAGGTTGAGAAATCGGATTTACTATTCAAGAGGCTCGCACTCCCTTCGAAATTCTTGCAATTCCCCATTCAGCCCTGTATTCGGTTGACTGCACTCATGCCTGCTCTGACATTTTCTGGCATCAGCAGTGCTCTGTATGGCCTGCGTCACCCAGTGATCAACCCCACCAACCGAAAATGCTCCACAATCCCTGTTTTCTCGCTGAACAATCAGTACTCCCGCAATTTCCATCTGTACGTTTCTCTAGAGAGTGTATACAGCCTCACGTCTTACTAGTGACATGCAGGTCGTGGCTTGGATTTTTTGTCGCATTGTGAATTGAGGCTTACTATTAGATATTTCATGCATGTTAATCGCTGAACGTGGCTTTGCTTATACAGCTTATCGTGGTTCGCGTTCTCCCCTCTCATCCCAGATGTCATCAAGACTGACTTGAAGCTGACATCTGCGGAAGTCGGTATGTTAGAACTTCGGGTCTATGCACGCCAGTTATTATCTGAAACACTGTTCAGGGAATTCAAATATTATTTCGCTGTGCTCCACCCTCATTGTACGGGTCATCTCAGGTCCACTCGTCGATCGTGAGTACACCCCGAAACTCTAGCACTCCGTATATCTGATCCTGTTCATATAACAGGTTATGGGCCTCGCAAAGTGATGGCTGGCCTTCTCATTATCGGGGCGATTCCTTCTGGCCTTGCTGGAACCGTATCAACTGTGAACGGTCTCTACATTGTCCGTTTCTTCATCGGAATTCTCGGCGGCACATTTGTCTCTTGTCAAGCTTGGAATACAGTTTTCTTCGACAAGAATGTCGTTGGTAGAGGTGAAATGTTCAAAAAACCCCATGTTTGAAGTATTCTGATACAGTCGAATTCACAGCAAACGCCTTAGGCGGAGGCTGGGGTAATGCGGGCGGCGGCTTCACGTTTATCATCATGATCGCCCTGTTCAATCAATTGCTTGCCGACGGTATGAGCCCGCACGTCGCCTGGCGGGCGGCATTTGCAATCGTGCCTGTACCGATTCTCCTTTCCGTCGCTACAGCCACTCTAATGTTTGGCACTGACCACCCCGCGGGCAAATGGAGTGATCGCCATAATGTTGTCGCGGCCGGACCTCATGTTTCAGACGATCAAACGAGCATCACCGATAGCAAAAATGCGAAAAGCAAGTTTGGTGATGATATCGAGACTGGAGACGAGAAGAATGTCCAAGTCACTGTCACTGCTGTTTGTCAGTGCCCATCGTTCACCTTGGATTTCGTTTGTTCCCTTAACCAATTATGATAGACATGGCTTCAGAATTGGACACTGCTGTCAACAACCCACTTACCCTGAACATGGCGTCCAAAATCATCGTAAACCCGCTGACCTGGCTGCCCTCGTTGGCTTACATGACTACCTTCGGCTACGAGCTTGCTATTGATGCTAATCTGGCTACTGTTCTGTATACGCTACTCAAGTCCCCCACTTTTGGGCAGACCAAAGCTGGTTATGTGAATCTCCTTGAACAGTCACTGTGACCTACTTGTTGACAGATTAATCAGGTTGCAGGCATCTACGGTCTACTTAACGTGTTCTCACGGCCGTTGGGTTAGTCACGTTCTTCTCATCAAGCAAGGTTGTCTCATCATAGCATATCCACCACCTCATTGCAGGCGGGTATTTCGGAGACCTCATATACACTAGATTTGGTGTGAGTGGCATTGATATTGTGTGTGGACTTTTGATTCGATGAACCCCTGCAGGTGCCCGGCAAGAAGTACCTGACAATCGCTTGTGGGGTCACTCAAGGACTTTTATCGCTTGGCCTTGGCCTTTACATTGACAATCATTCCCATCCATCCCGTGAGTTCGGACCGTAATTTCAACACTGATGGTCTAACAGCAACAACACCAGTGGCGGTTATTATTGGTATTTTTGTCGTCCTCGCAATCTTCAACGAGGTCGCCAACGGAGTGAACTTCTCCCTTGTTCCGCATTGTAACCCCAGTGCGTGTTCAATGTACCGAATTCCCAATTTCACCACTGACCGTTTTCTTTCACAAGACTCTAATGGATTTATGGTCAGTACTGCAGTGCTTGGTGTGTGCCATGTATTGATGGCAGAAACATTCAAACACTTGTAGAGTGGAATTGTAGGCGCCATGGGAAATCTCGGAGGGATAATCTTCGCGATTATCTTCCGCTTTGAACCATCTCCTGCTGGCAAGGCATTTTGGATTTCTGGTGTTATCGCAGTTGTGAGTAAAAGGCTTGTCTGTCTTGTGCAATGAGTACTAAGACCACAACTCAGGGTGTGAACCTCTTACTCTGTGTCATCCGCGTACCTCAATTTTGAATATGACAAGATCGTGACCAGGGTGATTTTTGGTGTTGCCTTATAGGAATGACTTATGTAGACCTCTTCTGACAGTACGTGTATTAAAGGAAAGTGCTTGTCTGTTCATATCGTCCAACCACGTTGGCCTGTCACAAACCGCGTCTTGGCTTGAGAGAGTATCGAACAGATTTCTGCCCTAGTAACTATGATAGCTGAGCTTCTAAATTGCCATCAATCAGAGGAATGCTTCAAGTGTCAATGTGAAAGTGGGCTTGAGCAGGAGAGTATCGACCCACAACCTACGAGCTTTGAGTGAAACACGGCCAAAGGCTTACGATGAATACTCATATAGTATCTTGGATTGATATTAAGCCGGAAACGCTTCGCGTGGCGTGTACGATAAGAAATGATGGGTTCCGTAAGTTGGCGAAATCAGGGGTATCAAAGACCCCAAGCACCTCCTCAATCTAGGGGCAAGTGCCCGATGTGACCACGCCTCCACGCTCGATTTCTAGATCTGAGGCTTCCCGTAAGTTCCATGTGTGCCAACCGGTTTTACTTGAAAGGACCAGCCATGTGATGCTTTCCCCTCATACGCTTAGGGGGTAACCATCAGTGAGGTGACAATGATGTCCCGAGATCCAACTGCTACCATACAAATCTCGAGGACTTCAAGTTCGTCCCCCGAAACTGACTACTCACCTAGCATGTTCAATCACGTTGCTACCACTGCGTTTACGGCTTTCACGTCCTTAGCAGGCCCCCCAGGCCCCACCTACCAGAAACTTCAGGATGGTCTCCCCATACCGTTCTTTCCTGCGTCTCTGGACCGGCCTGAAAGGAATGGTCCACAACTTCCCCAAAGTCTTCCACAGCTGCCAAACAATGCTACCCCTACGGAAGTAGCTGAGCAGGTTGTGCTTGAGATTTCAGCGCATGATGTTGAAGCTGACGTTTGCATTCGCTAGGACCTCGAGACGCCAGATAAGTGGGTCAATCGTGTAAGGACGGCAAATTGATAATGCGCGTAATTTTTGATGAAGTCTTCCGCGCTCAGAATCCGGAACTCGTGCGATTGACGGGTAAACATCCGTTTAACTCCGAAGCGCGCCTCGGTGCTCTATTCGAGAGTGTAGGCGTCTTTTCATCCGATGTCATGCAGGGCTCACAGCGATTTTGTAGGGATTTTTTACTCCAGCTCACTTGCACTTCGTGCGGAATCACGGTGCAGTGCCACAAGTCAATCATGAGATGACTGCTGGCTGGAAAATCCGCGTGCATGGTCTGGTGGAGCGAGAGGTTACATTCACTCTACAAGAGCTTCAAGGAATGTTCCCCGTTGTCACCCTTCCTGTAACTCTTGTGTGCGCTGGCAACAGGCGGAAAGAACAGAATGTCATCCAAAAGACACTCGGCTTCAGCTGGGGAGCAGCAGGATGTGAGCTTTTAGCTCGTGCTGACTGAGAATCCTCACCAACATCACTATTAAGTATCAACAGCCCTTTGGACGGGTGTCTACCTGGCCGATGTATTGGATCACGTGAAACCAATTCGTCGACAAGCCAAATACGTTGTCTTTGAAGGTGGAGACAAACTTCCGAATGGCCCCTACGGAACTTCACAGCGGCTGTCATGGGCTTCCAATAAGGACAAGGGCATGCTCATTTGTAATTCAAATGACTTCCGAGTCCATTATTATAATTCCTTCTGACATCATACTATAGCCTGGGCCATGAACGGTTTACCGTTGGAGCCAGACCATGGTTTTCCTGTGCGTGTCATTGTGCCAGGTCAGATCGGTGGACGGTCTGTTAAGGTGAGATGCTATCCTAGTGACAAGGAGCCTATAACCAATTAGACGCCCCCTAGTGGCTGAGCCGCATCGAAATAAGCGATCGTGAAAGCCAGCACCACGTATGCCAGTTCTTGTGTGCTCAAATAAGCGTCGACTGATAATTTGTTTTCGCAGCTGCACTTTTGGGTATGCGTGGAACACTTTGTCCCGAGGATAAATCGCACTAATGTGACATAGGACAACAAATTGTTGCCAGCGCAGATTATGCCTGACCAAGCCCGCGCAGAGAAACATTGGTGGTATGACCCAAGGTTAGTCTGAGTGCTCTGACATTTCTGAACAAAATTACTCACTAGACGGCGACATTCCAGATATCTCATCACGTTGGTCTAATTTTGCTCTCATGTACCACAGGTTGAACAAAAGTCTTTAGGGAGCTGAATGTCAATAGTGCCATCGCGAGACCGGATCATAATGAGAAGCTTTATATCGATAAGACACCGGATGAAAATGGTACAATCGCATCATATCCCATCCGAGGATATGCGTATGCAGGTGGAGGCCGCAGGGTGACCCGTGTTGAGGTTTCGCTTGACCAGGGCGAGACATGGACATTGGGGAACATGTATGTCTACATGCTCCAAAATCAAAGACCTTATTAACTCCGTGCCGAAAAGCGAGTATCCCGAGGACCTATTCAGAGAAGTGCGTCACCAAGACCCAGTTTATGGAACTCTTGATATGACGGAGCGCGACACTTCCTTGTGAGTAGCAAGCACATTACTGCTGCAATGGAAAATGTTCAGATCCCGTGCAGCTGTTGGTGCTTCTGGACATTTGATGTTTCGCATGACGTTCTAGCGAGCAGTGATGCATTGATGGTTAGAGCCATGGACGAGGGCCTCGCATTGCAACAAAGAGACATGTAAGGCAGGATCGTACCATGTGAGCCCATTAACATCAACCGTCAACAGGTATTGGCATGCACTTGGCATGATGAACAACTGGTACGTATTGACAAAGCACGATGTTCTGGGCCCTGATGTGGGCTGCTGGCAGGTGGTTCCGCGTTGCCGTTCATAAAACCGTCAACGATGACGGGAAAATTGTCTTGCAATTTGAGCATCCAACGCTCGTCGGAACAAATGGAGGATGGATGGAGGTGATACTTAATGTCTGGTCCCAGAAAACAAACGTTGATTGTGGTCTATCAGCGCATGAAAGCGGCCGGCGAGGACATCATAAAGCCTGTCTTCGGCGAAAGGGGGCAGGATCTCGCACCACGTGCTCCAAAGCACCAATCGGATGAGGTCTCTTTGACCAAGCCTGGCATAAACCGAAAAATCACCCCGGAAGAGTTCAAGACGCAAGATCGGAAGCAACCATGGTTTGTCGTCAACGGTGAGGTTTACGATGGAACTCCATTTCTAAAGGATCATCCGGGAGGTGGTGACTCTATCTTACTTGTGGCTGGTGAAGACGCCTCTGAAGACTTCTTCGCCATACATTCTACCGAAGGCAAAAATCAATTGGCTGAAGTGGGTCCTCGTGATTTTCCTGCAGAATGTCGGTTTACGACCCTTACGCAGTACCATATTGGCACCCTCACAACCAGTATGACCAAAGAAAAGCCCACCGCAACGCAGTCGGACGGTGCCTTTCTAGAGCGCAGCCAGTGGAAGGGCGTCAGATTGTGTGACATAAAGCAGATCAACCATGATTCTTACCTATATCGCTTCGCCTTGCCGAAAGAAGACCAGCCGCTCGGTCTGCCAGTTGGACAGCATGTTTTCGTTCGCTTGCGCCGGCAGGATACTGGAGAAATGGTGCAGAGAGCCTATACTCCGGTGTCGCAACAAGGCGCAGTGGGCTTCATCGACTTTCTTATCAAGTGCATATTCTTTGTCAGGACACGCTTGTCGCAACTTGACTGACTTCTTCGTTAGATTGTATCTGCCTTCCACGGCGGCCCCTATTGGAGGGAAGATGACCACTGGCTTCCATCAACTACATCTCGGAGATAGTGTGGAACTCAAAGGACCGTTAGGGTCCTTCATCTGGGATGGGCCAAGCACCGCATTGTGGAAGGGGATAAGGAATACAGTCAAGGAAGTTGGCATGATTTGCGGTGGAAGCGGTACGACTTCGAATGCGATATCGTAAATGTGCGATACTAAATAAGTGCAGGGATAACGCCGATCCTCCAGGTGCTCCGAAGTATCCTCCAGAACGCCGAAAGCGAGACTCGGGTGTGGGTGATCAGTGCGAACAAAACAGAGCAGGATATCCTCTGTAGAGAAGAACTTGACATGCTCTTCACATCGCACAGCAGGGAGCGGTTTAAGCTTCACTACACGCTTAGCATCGCTCCTGACGAGTGGCCGTACAGCGTTGGGCGAATCAATGATGTGTTACTGTCGGAGCACATGCCACGGCACTCTGAGCATGGACTCATCCTAGCATGTGGTCCCGATGCTATGATAGCGCATGTCATAAAGCCCGGACTGCAGAATATGGGATGGGATATAGAGAAGTCTCTGGTAGTATTCTGAAAGGGTAAGAAGTCACGGTTGTAACAAGTCGTCTGGACAATGGATTGTTGTGTAGGATATTGTGAAACCATATGCAAAGTGTTCGTTTATAAGGCGTGTATGAGTGCGCATGTTGAGAGCTGGCCCCAGTGATTTTCGTTGGCTTGTGGGAGTGCAGAGGACAATGACGAGGTTGAAGTACAGATGAATGTTGCACATAGCTTTTATGAAAGCTTGTAGCAGCAGATAGTACCTGCATTCTTGAAAAGTTCACATCGCGGCTGTCTGCCACAAAGTCCCGAACTTGAAAGAGGAGTCGTTTAAACATTGACATCGCGTTCATGAGAACCATGTGAAGTTTACGACCTCCAAAATGGACTCGTCGCGAACCTGCAGCGAAACAATAACAGGTTTGTTGGTACAGACAGCAGATGAATGAAGATAGTCGTTCCTTCATGCTTGGCCGTATTGGTACGGTATCAGTGGCCCAGCAACAAGTTGGTAATGCTGTGCAATACCTGCTAACATTGTTAATATATATGTACTGAAGTTTAATATTTGGGATATATCATAGGTACAATTATTTTCTCCTGATTGAAAAAGACTACTGTACTTCGCAAACCCATCACATGATTGCAGGCTTGTATCCCGCGATTTTGCAAAATGAGATTTGACAGTGATCTAATCACAAACTCCCATTATATCCGCCATCCAGCACCCATTTACTTGTATATCTGGTCCCGCACTTGCCACGTATTGTCATACCAACCTACTTTCTCGAGCACGAGATATTCCACAACGCGATGGGGCTCTGCAGATTTAGCATCTACTAGCTGGCCCTGCTTGGTGAACACCTTGAGTTCCTGGAGCAGCATAAGCTCATGCACAATCAGCACATACTGGAAAGACACCCACCTGCTCAGTCTCAAACTTGACTAGCGCATGTATCACCAGCCGGTTACCGCGCTTCGGGGGTTCCTTCGCCACATAAACTTCGCCGGAACGGATAGATACGACGGTAGCTCCCGGTAATATTGGAAGTGGACGGAATACTAGATTGTTGTAAATCCAAATATCGATCGTGAAATTCTCGGAGGGCATAACGTCAATACTTACAGCTTTTCTCTTGGAATAGGGCTTTGTCTGAGACATCGCTTAGAACCTTCCACTGCCAAAACTGGCTAGGTTTACGAGTGCGAATAATTTTGTTCACCTTAGTGGCATGATCGGCTGTTGTTAGCACCTTCAGGGTGGCTTCATCCTTGCTATTGATATAATTAAAATATAATGGAGGTCAGTGAAAAATGTACGCACTCAGCTATGGCATGGCCCATAGCCAGATAGTTATCCATTGCAATACGTCGCATTGGTGCTAGCCAGGATTTCGAAGAATGTGATGTTATGTTGCCCAGTTGACGCCATGTGCGTGGCAGGAATAAGTGACTAGATCGAAAATCACAATCTACTCCCGTAAAAGCTTCAGCTTTAGCGATGGTATACATGCTGCATAAGGTGCAAAGGAGGCTAAGAGAGGCAGAACAAATGCACCAAAACTTTGGACGCGAACCTGAACGTGTTCTTCAGCCAATTGGAGAAATTGTGCTGTTTCGCATGCCAAAACGCGCCTGGATTTGAGAAAAGCATGCGCAGTGGAGCGTCGCTTGGTATTTCAACGTCTGAATTGGTGATAGACTGAGCTTGAGTGATACTTCTACAAGGAATATACACACCGAGAGTTACTAACTTAGTACCCCACATATCCATGGTTGGAAACAGGTTAGACGTGTTTGCCATGTTCATCATGCTCTCTATTTGTTTGAGCTGTGCTTCCGTGCCGTCTGAAGCAGGGAGAGCCTTTTTCGCTTTCTTCTCATTCTTGGTTGCAGATTTTCTCGGAGCACTGGAAGAGGCTGTAGTAGTATTAGCAGACGCCAACCCACCCGTGCTAGAAGCCCTGGACGTTGACGGGGGAGGAGCTGTTCGGGTAGTGGAATTCGTTGATGCGGATTTTAAGGCCGAGAACGAGCGTTGTGGAGAGAGCAAGCAGCTTTTCTTCAGTTGAGACCCGAAGGAGACACGCGCCACCTTCACCGTCGCCATCACCATCGCCCCGGCAGATAGAACTTGTCGTTGCAACACAGCGAGCTCGAGCAAAGACTAAATATGAAGTCGATGTCAATTTCTCAAAAAGGATGTCACCGGAATATACATATGCGTGCGAACAAAATCGGCAGCCGGGGACGCGTGTGCTCGAGCCGGGGAGAACGAATATAAAAGGGTTGTTTCGCCGGCCAAAAATTCCATCCCGTTCTACCCGACGCACCTTTGCTTTGAACCGCCATCACTGAATCATCATGCCTGTAAGACATCTTAACTAAGTATTGTTTTTGAGAGCTTAATTGAGTTCTCTTCACAGCGCTCATCACGTTCCTCTCGTCCAGCTGCTAAGCCTGCAGCTCCCCAACAGTCCCGCGGCGCTCATACGGCCGCGATGCCTCCTGCTGCTGCCCACGGTAACCCAGCACACGCCCCCGCACCACCAGTCCCCGCTCAGACATCTAGCGGTCCCGGATTGATGGCTCAGATGGCCGCCACTGCTGGTTCCGTCGCTGTTGGATCTACCATTGGTCATGGTATCTCCTCTATGCTGTTTGGCTCCAGTTCATCTGCTGCACCTGCGGAACAAGCAGCACCTGTACAACAACAACAGGCGTACCAGACGACTGGTGCTGCTTGTGAAGTTCAGGCTAAGGAGTTCACTAAGTGCTTGGACAAGGCAGACCTGCAAAGTTGCTCATGGTACCTTGACCAATTGAAGGCTGTACGCATCCGTTTGATTAGCTGCAGCTTCGCGACTGATTGTGTTTCTAGTGTCAAGCTGCTGCTGCTCCCTATTAATTTAGTGGAATTTGACTGGATATACTGTTGACGAATACCGTGTCACATGTTAGTTGCCTTTTGTCTCACCCCACGCAATCAGATATCCACCCCTGCGAATGAACGACCACATTCAGATTCCTCAGAACGACACATCCAATTCGGAATTGAGATGATCGAAATGCAAGGATATTACCCACTGTAAATGATGTTCGTATTAAAACCATTTGGGTCACCGTCTATGACCCATCTGCTGTCATCCTTGTGGATGCATCCGTTCAAAATATAACATACAAGCCAAATGGCATAAGTCGCCTCTCTCGAATCCGGAGTGTCAATTATGGTCTGCGGAACAAATAACTTGACATTCTGCATATTACGACGAAATACTTGCAAAGACCTATGTCTGGATCTCCTTGAAATCCGCGCTGCAGCACCAAATAAATAAGTACCACGACGAAACTTGAAAATTAAGAAAACAAGCCTGATTCTCCTGCTCCCTGCACAGCACCAGACTACCGTCAACTCCATCGAGCATCTCCCATGCTATACGCCACTGCCCGTCGATATTTGCACGCGCTCCTGGGAAGCGATTGAGGCCATGGTGGTTGCTGCATCAGAGTCAGCCACGAGCCGAGCGTGATATTCTCGAACGCTTAGGATGAGGCGTGGTCCTAGCACAAAAGACTGTATGACTTGCAAAATATGAAGAACACCAACAAAAATCTGAACTTTGAGGGAAAATAGGTCCTATAGAAATGATGAACCGCGGTCGCATGCAGAGGTCAGTGAAAGATTGATATACCGCTAAGATCGTTGGAGACAAATGTACTACGAGGCTGAAGCAAGACACGGCAATATAACTAGTAGCACGTTCAATCATTCATCAGAAAAGGGAACCATATTCACAATGCGAGCTCACCTCGCAAAGTAAAGCACGTGTGATTTTATCAACACCGTGAAACAGTCGCCGATAATCCCTCCTGCCGAATATTGTCGAAGTTCACGAAAGTGTTTTACAGCAATCCAGATTGCGCGACACAGCGCGAAGACCTCCCAGACAGTGCCGAGTATCCAAGTCATGGAAGCCAGAAGTAGGGAATTGTCCCCAAAGACAATCGTGCACGCATAGGTGCCAGAGAGAATGAGTTCCTCTTGTCAATGAGCGCCATGCACGTTTTTCATTTACAATTAAGTGTACCTCCTGAATTATGCCTTGTTACTATTGCATTGGCCACTACGTCGAAAATGTTGACAGCCAAGCACACGACGACGAGAAATATCAGGATCCTTGCGGATCGTTGATACATGGCATGTAACCGAGCGATCATGATGACTGCAACATGTTTCGGTCAAGTCAATATCATAGGTGTTGTAACTGCACAACTCACCACACAGCATTGGAAATGCCACAGCATTCGTCCAATCCCACAAGAGGTACAGTATCCGGCCTGAGAAATACGGTTAGTGATGGGCCTTGGGTGGTACAAACAGACTCACATCTGTAGCAGTCATGATAGTAAACGAAGAATCTGGTCAAGAATGACACTCACCCCTACAGTGTGTCGCGGTTAATTGAATGGGAATAGCAGACATCGGTGCAGAAGACTCACTGCATCTGTCAACAAGATCGTAGGAGCATCGACTGTATGCCATTGGTCAGAAGAAACAAACACGGTGAATGCGAGAAGACATACCCAGTATGCCCAGGCTGAGTGTGAGAGATAGCAGATTAGCACGACACCAATTGTTTGGCCCTCTGAACATACATGACAAAGAACATTCCGAGATAGCGGACCTAGGATATTGTCAAGTCAGCACAAATTCACAACAGGCAAGCTACGTACACTCAGATAGAGGACGGTCATCAGGGACCAACGTTGCCTCTGTCGCAAATCAATATTAATGTTCTTCTGACGTGGGACTGTGCTCACCCAGACCAGTTCGACCTACACACAAATCTTAGCGAGATGGCTGCTCCGGTCTTAGGATCAACATACCTCTTGTCCGAACGTAAGGGCTGGAAATACTTGTGAGAATCAGCAATTCTCTAATGTTATCATGCTCACCCCAGTCATACACCACTCCAACAAAGGCAGCAACTGGGAAAGCACAATCAAGGTCAGATCGAGACATCAGCGTCGAAATCTGACTGCTCTTCACGAACCTACAAGATAGCTGCTAATACGTGAAGAGTTGATGAGTGGCCAATACCTAGGGTCGTCTGAGACTAGTGTCATACTGTTAGAGGATGGATGTGAGTGAGCGGGGAACTTGGTGGACATACGACATGATATTCGTGCTAGATATACCACCATCCAGTGCTTGCATGACTGAAATGAGATCGAGGGATGATATTCGTTCCTGTCAATATGTCACGTTCGAAGTGATGTAGCGGGACTTGAATAAATTGCCGGTGATGCGAAAGTGATTGGTACCACAGGTTTTGGTCATGAAACGTTGAGTATTACTGATTTACATAAAGATGTGGGGTTCAACGTACATGCCCAGTGGAAACCCACTCTTCCCAGAATGGCTGGGGTTGCGTGAGGTTGTCTGAACTGAGCGACACAATGTCAACAGACGTGCACATGTGTGATTGTGCAGCTGCAGGATTGTGCCAGATTGTGTGGATGCAAATATTTGCTGTTCATGCATGCATACACCCCCGATTGCATCTGATCAGTTGGTATATTAATAGAATACTCGGCGCATCCCCTCGCGCGCGTCCCACAACCATCTGTCCCTGCGTCCACTCGTTGGCCCAGATCCTGTCCATCTACTAATGGTCCTGGCACGATTGAAGTAGGAATCAGTAAGTATATATAGAGTACAAACCACAACGTACCGCCAATTTCGGTCACGAGAAGCGCTAAGATATGCAAAGCAGAAAGATCTATCAAATCTTGATTGAATCAGCATGATATATGCGCATGTAGTCAGTCGCACAACGAACCTTTAGCATGTGGTACTTCTGCAGTGGCCGAAAGAGCGCAAAAAATGACCTCTAAGGGAACATTGTGAGATAACCAGGTTGCAAGACGTCAGGAGGAGAGTGCTTGACGTACCGTACTCGTACTGGTAACCTCATGAGTTCGGATTCCAAGTTGAAACGGCCAGTACTTGCACCAGTGGTAGCTGGCGCACGGACTCGATACGCTCCATTCTGATATGACCTACCACGTCTCAAATGATCCCGCTTGGTGGCCGTTCAACGTTCAACGTTCATCAGTAATACTCGTTTTTAGAGGTTCGTGGAGAGCAAGCAGGGATGACGATGTTGTTGACGTCTCACTATCATTGCACGTGAGGTGGCCATCGGGCAGCAACAAAGCCGCGCTAGTATTATCTGCTGCTCATATGATGCTTATGCGATACGAGCGGTAGTGCTTATAGTCCTAGGAGAAGAATTAAAGTTCTGAATTGGATTCCAGGTGTGTTTGGAAGTTGGTTAGGTAAGCGCACACGAGACGCACGTGGGTGGACGACGCTCCAAGGTCATCATAAGATTATGTGTTGTGGAAGTACATTCTAATACGTATCAACCAAGTTGGCCTTCTGGTATCGTGCTGTATGAATAGTGCTCCGTGGTTTTGATAACTTTATCATAACCCAGCTAGATTTTTCAACATCGCAAATTCATTCTCGCCCGTTGCCTCACACAACCCGTAGAATTGGGACGAAGGGTCGGAAAGCAGAACAGCAGGACTAGGGGCCTCAGTTAATTTCCCGCACCATATACTTCGCAATAACTTACCGATCAAACTCAACGATTTTGCCCTGGTCGAGGAGTATCACCTGTTAATATATGAGTAATGCCCGAATAACATGCCAGATATATCTACCCTATCATAATCGATGACGGTGCGCAGTCGGTGCGCGATGGTAAGAATGGTGCTATTCGCAAATTCTCTGTTGGGCGCAGTCAATCTCCTGTGAGGATTATAAATATCGCAAAACGAACTGTCTGATCGTCTTTCCAATGAGTTCGTCAGTCGCGTAGTCAACGCTGGAGTTATGTTACTTGAAATCCCGACTTCAATCATACGATCGACATTACCTTGCTGTTGCCTGCGACGTATCGTTGAGAAATAAAGTGCAGGTAAAGGACAAGAAAACATACCTCGTCCATGACCAAAACTTTCGACCGCTTCAGGATTGCCCGGGCCATGCATAGAAGCTGCTTCTCGCTGGAAAAAGTCGTGAGCAAGGTTATTTGGTGGCACTGACAGAGTTCTAACCCCGTAGAGAAGTTCTCCCCTCCTTCCGATACAGGCGAGTCTAGGTTTCGGAAAACATTGACATTGATCTCAACACCGTCAATGTTAACAACGCCGTCGACATCATCAGATGGAATCAAATGCACACGTCGAAGAGATTCGAACTAAAGAACGGTGAGTATATGTTTATAGTCAAGCAATAGCAATGGTGAACAGACAATCTCCGCGTCTTCATACTCGTCGAATACATCCAGCGTGGATCGCAAAGTGCCGCTAAGGATGGTAGGGTCCTCTGTTCGGTGTAAGTATGATAATTATTATCACTTGGCAGCTACGCACGAGGAATGATAGTGAGCTTGCTGCGAAGATCTGAAAGTCCCATTTTGGAGATGTCCAGATTGTCAATGGTGATGCAACCCTCTGTCGCCTCCACAAAGCGGAAGAACGACAGTGCGAGGGTGCTCTTTCCGGAACCCGTGCGGCCTAGGATGCCGACCTAGGAATGAAGCTTAGCTCAGTCGCTGACGAAGCAGTCCTCGAATATCTAGTACCTTCTCTCCGGGGTGTATCTCGAAGTTCAAGTTGTGAAGAACATCAGGCAAGTCAGGCTAAGGGAAAGATTATGCATGGATGAGGTTCCCACTGAAAGCTGCTTACTGCATAACGAATGATCAAGTTTTCGCATTTGATAGCACCTCGGTCTGGCCAAGAAGTTGGCGGACGTGGTTCGATGAATTCAGGAGGCTCGCGTTTAAGCTCCGAATACTCCTTGACACGCTCCAGGGCGACCTATTTGAAGGAACATCAATAACACCGCACGTCACACAGTATATTAAGTACTAAAAGTACTAACCATGGATTGTTCAAGGCCAACGAACCGCCGCACCTGAGTTCGAGGTCAACTAGGAATCTACACAAACCTCAGTTTCACCTACCAGGAATAGCAACTGCAAGTAGAGTCAGTATATTGGTCTGGAATCCATGACAAGCAGGCACATACTGTCCAAGTCATGCCTCCAGCAAACGAAAGAGCAAATCCAGCGAGCGCAGCTGAGATGGTCGGGGTGGAAACGGCGATGAGACCTGTCACACCAACGGTCGCAGCAGACAACAGGTCGAACCGGGCGGAGAGCCAACGATTGACTAAAGACATCAACTAATGTCAACCACTCTCGAAAATCAAATGGCTGCTCGACATACCAGCCCATTGCCAATAGTTCGGGTTTGTATTCTAGTAGGCCCATCGGTCAGGGCATGCGAAAGCGAGTTCTGTTTGGCTCACCGTATCGACGCAGCGAAGCATGTCTCGCAAAAACTTTGACGAAGCACCGAAAGCTCGAAGGATAGGTGCTCCGGCAATGGTTTCACCATAGATAGAGTAAAGGGGGGACCGCGCTACCGAGTCTTAAAGCAACCACAATTAATTGACTGCTTGTGACATATGAAGAACGCTTACCCAGCCGCCGCATATCTCTAGCAGCTTGTCCATAGTCCTGGGCACTTGAGCATCCCCTTCATACAAGAAAATGAAAGAGAAGTACCTTTGCAACTAAACACAAGTTCCAAAGTCAGCGCTGATGTGATTGATCGAAAAAAAGGTGCAGACCATTAAAGTACATAAAGCCAAGGAAAATGATAGCAATGAGGAAGGGAACACCGCCCGCCAAAGTGACAGACAGAACCATGACGATGAAAGTCAACGCAAAGATGATACTTCGACCAAAGGAATCCGAGAGTCGACTGTCAATGCCTATATTGTTATGTAGCATTGTGTAAGCGAAGAAAACATTGTCTCAGAAAACGGACCTTCGAAGTCTTTCCCGAATCGGTTCAGGAGCCTCCCCCGCGACACGGTATCATGGAACCGAATGTTCGCAAATAACACAGTTTCCAGAAGTTCTATTACGAGCGATGTAAGTCAGTGGTCACAAGAAACCTCTCGACCTCAACCCACTTTGGTATAAAACGGCGGACGCGTGGATAGAGCCGTTATCTAAATGGGATTGGTTCAGTAGTGATTCATGAGAGAGGGTATAGCTTACACAGTACGAAGTATCTGTAAGTCGAAATAAAGACACCTGAAAACAATCAGCACCGCGCGGTACAAAGTAAATAGTTCAAACCTGTGAGAGTGACCTGCAAGGACATGCGTGAGTCATGATGGGGGATACGGTAGAGCCGTGCTTACCACAGCATAAATGACAATGTAGTACACCGGTCCTTTGGCCTCGACCTCTTCTGTGCTCGATCCCGACCATATCCTACAGATACAATGTCAACTATGCGGCAGCAAACTGCTAACACCATGAACATACTTAAGCCACCAGTTCTCTGCAACAGGACAGAGGGCACCCAACACGAGAATGGACAAGAACCATGCCCAGTATCCATAGGCGCCGCACGATTTCACATAAAGCTCCCAGACATCACGACTAACGCGGCCTACAGCGCGTTTCTCGTCTTCCACAAGTTTCCTGGGTGCTTTCCGCTCCACAATTGCCTGTGGCTCATTGACCACGGTGGAGCTCGTCTCGGATGTCGGGTCAGGTTCCACACCATCTTCCACGAGTGTAGCAACGGGAGAATGGCCTGCAGGCACCGCTGGATTCCTCGAAGTGCTTGCTGCGCCCTGCTTCTTGCTAGTGCCACCCATGGTCTGCACCAATGTCCCCTTCACAGGCGATGCGTCAAAGGCTTCGCGTTCACCAGCGAATAGAAGATGCCCGTTATCAAGAGCGACAACATATGAAGCACCAGTCAAGCAAAGTTGGACATGATGTGACACAAGGATCACCGTTCGCCCGTGCATCAGCTCTCCTTTGATGCATTTGTAGTAGATGTGATGAGCCGTATGAGCGTCAACTAAACTCGAAGGTTGGCATTTAGAATTGCGGTACTCAGAACGGACGTACCAGCAGACAGAACATCGTCAAGCAACAAGATGGACGCTCGGGAATAAACAGCCCGAGCCAAGGAAACTTCGAGAAATTTAGTGTCCGTAGCAAGTAGAATCTCAATTCACTGACCTCGAGCCTTCTGTCCACCTGACAAATTCACCTGTCAGTGCAGCTTTGATCAGTATATGCATGACGCTGCGTGGAAAAACGCAACATACGCCACGCTCGCCAATTTCGGACTGGTCTCCATCCTCAAGGATCATGAGATCGCTGATGAGTGCACAGATCTAGGGGTGCAATCAGTTGAGCTTCCATTATCCACGAAGCGCGGCCGACCTCTAATGTCTTCTGATAGCGCTCTTCGTCAAATGGTAGACCGAACAAGATATTGTCTGAACATGGCGATAAGCACACTGGGAGTGGTTGAATGTCCATAGCTCACCTTTAATAGAAGCATTCCGCAGCCAGGCAGCCTTGAAGCGTCAAGTTCTTCAGTTCAAGCATCATCTACTACCTCTTTGTCACTCACCTGTGGTACGTAGGCGCAAACGCCAGGCACTATCCATTCTTCCTTTGTGACCTTCTGGTCGGCAAAGGAAGCAAGTGCGTCTGGTGGTGAACGCGGACAAATGACCTGGCCGGTGAGGACGTCCGCCTCGCCGAGTAAAGCTGCATCACATTGAGCAGTATTCCAAAGTTTGCTCCATCAGACGTACCCAATAATAACAGGGTCTTTCCACTGCCTAGCTTACCACAAACGAGCGAAAGTTGTCCTTCAGGGAATTTCAGAGCAAGATCAACAAGCATGAACTTGTGCCGGGGCGTGGAAGCTGCTGATGAGTCCGCAGAGCGATCATGGGGCCATGTAATGCTAGCAGATTGAACAGCGATGAGGTTGATGGCGGGTGCAGCCGAGAGCGGGGGTACAGGCGCCACCTCGGTGAGTTGAAGGTACTTTCCAATCCGTTTGAGCGAAACGTGAACCTGGAGCAGATTTATGAAAGTTTCTGGTAGCGCATTCATTGCAAAACGCATTTCGTTGAAAACTACCGCCAGGTTTGTTAGCTCAAGTGCTGCGCAGATTACAAGTGCCTACCAAGCATCTAGACATATGCGTTCAGCCTGTGAATACAAAGAAGACTGATGATAAGTGAAAGACTTACAGATGTGAAGGCGATAGAGGGAGTCAAGGTCTGCTGACGCCAGACTGCGAAGTGCCAGAAGGAAACTAAGGTGACAATTAGAGGAGACGCCTCCCTGAGCCCTGCGTTAGACGAAGCAGCTGGAAGCCTGCACAAAAACGTACCAGATAGCGGCAAACACGACCTAAAGGGTGGATACATGAGGAATCGGATGGCAGAGAAGAAAAGTTACATACCTCAATCCTGTAGTTCAATTTTTGGTATTTCAGCTCTCTCTCACGGATTTTCAGTACGCGTTTTTCGAAGCTGCGCTCCCATGCCATGAACTGCCAAATCAATGAGAGAGGGCTTCAAAACATGAACTATAGTGGATCATTACCTTGAGCATACGAATGCCGCCCAATATCTATCAGAGGTGTCAATGAAGGCAGGTCAGATGGTTTTTCACAAGGCAATTACCTCGTTCATGAGCGAGACCCGTTCGTCCCTGGCCTTCATCAAGTTGTCCTGTGTACTGATCACTACTTTACCTGCAAAGTGATTTAATGGCAGGAAAAGACAGATGACCGCAAGACCAATGAAGCACGAGACACCAAGCATGCTGTACAGCAACGTCGTCCCTACAACAATTTCGATCGGAGAATCTAGAGGAAATCAGGACTAGAACGATGGTATAATGAAAGGATCTCACCCGCGATAGCGAAAAGATGATAAGGAAACTCGGCGACTCGATCAACATCAGTGGTCATTAAAGTCATAACCTGCGCTTTGCTCGAAAATTCGTTTTCTTCCTCGGCCTTGTCTTTGCTTTCTCCATCGGCATTTTTCGATTTTTTATCATTGTTCTCGTCGGACCCAGAGCCAGCAGAAGATACAACATCCTTCCGAACTAGTGTCTTCGCGAAAAGCATGGTATTGAGCTGCATTCGCAAGCGAATTTGGATAATGGAAGTCGCGAGGTTCCACATTTGAGAGTTGACTATGACATGTTAATATCGAATTATATGGTGTTACACCAAACAAAACTTACGCTGTGTGACAATAATAAGGGATGCAAACTGTCCAAAAGCGTATACCCATCCCCATCCTTTATCAAGGCGTTCAGGATCATCTTCCAGGTATGCGATGAGCTTGCGAACGAAGAACGGAGACCCAAACCACATAGGAGCAGCTGCGGCGGCCAAGAGTATTTCTGCGCCAAATGCAAGCTTGTTGACATTGATAAGGCGCCAAGCGAGGTCCCATCCTGGCTTGAGAGGATTTCTACGAAGATTCATGCGCATTCTAAAGAACTGATAGGTCGCCCGCATCTTCATCGGAAGGATTGGCAAGTCGCCAATTTCGACCGAAACAGAACTTCCGAGATGAATGACGCGTGTCACGAAGCGGAAAAACAGAAAATCGATCACAGAGGTGCCCGGAAGGCCGCTGACGTTCTCGTATGACTCATTGGTCGTGTCGTGTATGGTTTTTTGAGAGTAGATAAGTGAAGGAGAAAAGTGCAACGGTGGTCCGCGGGGTGCTGTCGCAACTATCGCAAAAGCCAAGGTATACAACACGGTCATGCTGTACCAGAAAGCAAGCGATGAAGGAAAAGCTTGTAGATTGCGAGTCAAGATAGAGTCAGATGAAGGAAGGATTGCTGCGGCGAAGTGAAGGACCGAGGAGAAGAAGGTCAAAGCCGTGATATGTATCATTGACTCGGAATGATTGTCCGTGGTGGATTGGCCAACGGAACGAACCGCTAGAACGCCGACGTAGAGTGCAAACGTAGTCCGAAATATATGCTCTGTAAGCATGTTCTGGCCATCTGGGTAGGCCGACCAGCCCAGAGAAATGCCCTCGAGCACAAGGATCACCGCTGAAAGGAAGACAAGGAGTAATTTTCTATTGCGCATCTGCACTAGGTGAGACCCTGCATCATATGCAGCGCTACTAGAGATGCTCACTTTGAACCAGAACGCGTCCTCATCAATCGGTTCTCCATTGATAAAATCTTCCGGTTTGGTCACGTTAAAAGGATCATCCTGGTTCACATCGTTTGCCAAACTAGCGTCTTGGGTAGTCGGCAAGCGTATCTTCTGCTGTTGAGACTGCGCCAGGAAAAGCGCGAAACAACTGATTGTTGCTCCCCCGACGAGTGCTTCTGCTAAAAGCAACTGGTATGGCGGCATGACGATTTGCCGCGCCTTCGAGAATAGTACCACTTCCGACTTCCAATTGGTGGTAAAGGGAAATGTAAAATTCGGACAGGTGAAGCATGAAATACAGGTCAACTACGTGCCATGAGATAAGAACGTGACTAGTACTGACTATATGCCGGGAGCGACTTGCTCGGAAGTCTGAGAAGGATCAAACCTTATCAAACCGCAGTCTCACACAACCACATGGTCATTTCAACTCGGGGGACCAACAACAAACCGGTTCGGACCGTACAGCATCTGCCAGTGTGTAACTCCAGGTAACTCCTCACTAGGCATGACCGAGCTTGCTGGCACTTTCGAAGTTCGAACCAAGAGGTTCGATCCGGAGGGCTATCAAGTGACTCAAGTATGATACAGATTCAGAGCCTGTCATGAATTCACTGAACTTCGGCGAGTTTGGTGAGTATGCTTCACTAGCCTTGGATCGAATACGAAGGAATATCATATATATTGTTTGCTCTTTACCACATCCCAAATGTTGGTTATATCTTGTGCATGACTTGCCGCGGGCAATTCACCTGTCATCTGGGGATACGGGACCGTGACTGACTCGGATATCAACCAGCTTTGATATCCTTCTACCAATATTCGCATGGCCTTCAAATCATGTGAACCCATCATCCGTCTTTGTAGAACGCGATTGCCATTACTGTCGACACGTCCTCGCATTGTTCGCGTTCGCGCTGGCGGCCCCTGGTCGTCTTCACAGTAAGATGCGCATTCCTTGCTACATCAACCGGCATTGACATGTTCTGTTGGCCTAGACAGCTGTCAACAACGTCCTAAGCCTGCGCCCAAACGCATGATCCACATCACCACACCCGACACTGTCAATGATGTCGAGATGCTGACGAAGTCAGCATTATCCTAGCGTCCACCTCGCTTCCCACCAGAGCACCTCAACTGAAGTCTCTGCCTACGATGACATTCGCAGAATGATTGGGCATATGTGCGATATATACGCGGGAGGTCAATATAACAATCGGATTGCGGGCGAAAACTTCTGTGCCCATGCTATTGTCACATTTATGATATTTCACCAACTCATGCCTTCAGGTATTTGGTCATGCGCTGCTCCTCCTCAGAGCCTCAGCCGCATTGGATTTGCCGGCCTTATTTTCCTTGTCCATCGGCGATGATCGATACATAGTATCACAGTTGTAAGACTTTGATAAATGCTCTCGTATCGTAATACTGAACATGACTGTAGGGAAGGTGCCTTGGGTACCATGAAATCTTCACCCATGCGAGGGCATATGTGGTACATGGTACCAGTCACTGCCGATAAATTGAATGATCTCTAGTGTCACATCGGCGAACGTTCCCAGCAATGGTGCGGACATCATACGTGACGGTATATTAAGTGATAGTCACCAACTGCAGTGCTGAGAAATTGACCTACGTAGTACACATAGAAACACTCCCTTGTGCCACATCGAGAACACCCCATGCAAGCGAAACCGAGAAATGGTTCCTAACTTCTTCGCAAAGGAAGTGCCTACTAGTTTCGTCATCTTTCATCACGATAAGCATGAGGTGACGTGAATGACTGACATTCCTCGCAAGCGAAATCGGATCAGGTCCTTTGCAAAAAATCCGTGCCAGGGACAGAGTAACAACTTTGGTCGTGGTGGCTGATCGCGAGTGTGATGAGTTACGATTTCATGAGCATTGTATTACTTACCTGATCCAGGAGCGCGCGTGTGCCTCGGAACAGCAGAACGCTAAGCCTTCAAAGGACACACATAAACGATGATACGATCGCAGTTTGCTGGCCGAAGTCCCCCTCATTCCCTTCTCACTATCAGCGAATCTTGAACAGCAATGGCGACTTTTACAAACCTCCAGTACCACGAACGCGTGTTAACGGTTGCAAGCACGGAAATAGTTGGGGCACTGGGTCATCACAGCGATAATCAGAAGGTACTTAGCTAGAGATGCACCGGCGCCGGTGCTGACAAGTGACACCAATAGTGGATGCTTTCCATTCAAGGCGAAGCACCTAACTATCGCGGGTTGATCATTAGCAAAGGCGCTGATATCTTCATGGGATGGGATGTAAGTCGAGTCTGCGGGGTGTTCTAAGTCCAATTTAACCTCATTTAAAGGACAATATGGAGAACGTGATCCTCAGCAATGAACGGTACACTTGGAAATTTGTCATTGATTGGGAAGCAGACACAATAGGGTGCGTATCAGGTCGCGATTCGAACCTATTGTCTGACGTGGACGTTATGACGGTGGTGGATGCAAATTCCAAGTCCCTGGCTCCAGCAACGACAAGGACACTTTCATTACCGCGCAGCTTGAAGATGATCAGTCAACGGTGACCTCACATGCCATTTCTGTATAATACTTTCCCTGACAGCACATGTAGGTCAATCTCGTGGTCCAGTCAGGAGGGCTTACGAAAATGCAACAGTGGACGAGGGATCCACCCTTGTTACAGTAGATATGAGTCAGTTGTGTCGCGAACCGTCATATATAGTTACTATAGTACTGCTTACCATAAGCAAGACGTGATGGTTGTTTGCACTTGTTGAATCCTAAAGCCTTCGACTAGAACGGAACTGAGCCTTCCCCTGGGGAGCAGGGAGTCTAGATACATGGCAAGACGTTCCTTCGAAAATGCATTCATCTTCTGGCTCTACTTCTAAGGCGTCCAGAAACAAAACAAAACTCAAGACCGTGAAACTCGACGCGACCTCTGAGCCTCCGAACAAGAAACTGAGAACCGTAAGTTTGTTGTAATTCGAGGGCTCGTTTTTGCCCAGTCTTATACTACGCGTCAAAATAAGCTAAATCATTCTTGCACTCATTGTCATGTCAGTCTGCGAAGCTGCCCGTTTTTGATCTGACAGGGTCTGTGTCTCGGCCGCCACCACAAGAGCATCCAGTGTCGTCGCAACGACTCTCGCTGTTGCAGTCGCAGACCCAAAAAAAGGACGTGAAGGGAAAGGGAAAGCCAGGTTTGCCTCCAGTACACAAGGACGATGATAGACTTTGGGTTGATAAGTATGAGCCAACGATCGAGGTCTGCCTCAGTTTATCTCGGGTTGTGCCCAGCTGAATTTTGGTGCGATTGTTCTCGTTGGGTATCACCCATAGGCTGATTTGGCAGTGCACAAGCGCAAAGTCGAGGATGTGCGACGATGGCTATCGGAGGCCTTTGAAGGAGGGCCGACTGGGAAGCTGCGAAAATATCGCGTATGTCTTGTTCTGTTGATTCATTCATGACTCAGTCATATCTCGTACATCTCCTGACAGCGTATTCTGGTCCTCACTGGGCCTGCTGGTACTGCAAAGACCACTACAGTGCGCGTGTTAGCTCGAGAGATGGGTTTCGAAATTGTCGAGTGGCGCAACAGCATGAGCGAACGCGGCCCGAGTGCCTTTATCGAAGATTCTAAGGACTTTGGTGGTGAGCACCAGCACAATATGCTATTTGTATAAAATTGTTCACTTCTCCCTTTCAGATGACTCTTGGATGGATACGGAAGCATTGTTCGACAAATTTCAAGCATTCCTCAAGAGAGCCTCCGCATGCCATAGTATATTTACTTCGAACTCTGCAGCCGCGTCGACGCAATCGCAATCCCGCAGTGGCGAATTCAAATTCGTAACACAGCCATCTACGCAATCACTCCCCTCCACTTCCTCGAGTCAGGCTTCCAACCGCCACTTGATCCTTCTGGAGGACCTGCCTAATATCCTGCATCTCCCTACGCAGGTGCGATTTCACGAGGCCTTGCAGTCACTATGTGGGTCTTCTGAGTCCGGAACCCCGGTCGTAATTGTCATATCCGACTCTGGTCTCCGCGGCGAGAACGCCTATAATGATGATGCATGGGACGGCGCGGGTGGTTCGCGCTGGTCCAAGAAAGAGACTATAGACATCCGAAACCTTCTCGGACCTGATCTTTCCATCAGCCCATACGTTACACGCATCGCTTTCAACCCTATTGCACCGACGCTGATGACTAAGGCCCTACAGGCGATGCTCACTAACCATTTCGCGTCCGCGTCCGGAAAGCCACCAGCCAAAGATGTCGTGGAGATGATTGTCGAGTCGTCGAATGGGGATATCAGGAGCGCGGTAATGGCACTGGAGTTTTCTTGTGTAGTAACGTTGGCCAAGAGCGGTGGGAAGGGAAAGACCAGACGGAATACGGCTAGAAGTGGGGGTGCGCGTGCTGTTCTGGAGGCTGTCACACGAAGAGAGCAAAGTCTAGTACTATTTCATCTGATGGGAAAGATATTGTATAACAAACGTGAGTACTCACACCGCCGCCATTTTAGTGGAAGCTGACGAGATGCAGGCAAGGGAGACCCTCCGGCAACACACCTTTCCGCCAAAGATGCCGCAAAGGAGCGTGAGCTGGATGAAACCCTCCTAGACCCGTCACCTCTGCCAGACTGGCTTTCGGAACATGATCGGAAGGCGAGTCGGGTTTGCCTAGAGGTACGACTTCCATTGAGTGTGATACTGATGTGTACTGAGGTACTTTTACTCGGCTGGTAGACGATTGCATCAGATTCGCCTATTGACTCGTCGCTCCTGGGATTGTACGTCCACCAAAATTATACTATGTTCTGCACGGATGTCGATCAATGTGCCGGGGTCTGTGATGGGCTTAGTTGGGTTGACTGGGTCGGCGGTGTGAGTACAAACACCATTCATGTCTCTCACTTTAATCTCCCTCCGAAACACAGCACCTCCCGTCCAACACTCCATACGCCTTTCCGACACTCGCATTGTCCACGCTCCATGCTCTCCCTACGCCGGTCCCGCGAAAAGGGCAGAAGGTGTGCAAGCCCTCATGGTTTGATGTGCGTAATAAGGAGCAGGATGCATTGGAAGGCGTGGGCGATGTTGCGACGTGGTTGGGACATGGAGGGGCAAGTGACGAGCGGGCACCGGGAAGATGGACGCATGGGGACATTGCTGTTGAACTGAGTGGCTGGTTGCGCGCTATTGACCGTCCTGGTGGTGCTCAACTTCCGGTGCCGCGGGCACATAGACTTTTCTCGTGCCTTCCGTGGGGTGTGGGAAGTGTTGGTGGGGATGTTCTTGGAGAAGATGAGTATGGGGAGGTAGATGATGGTGAGGGCGAGGGTGATATCAGGATTTTAGGAGCTGTAAGAGACCAAGAGGAGGGAAAGGGCTGGTGGTTGGAGAACGATGATATAGAGGAGGCAGAGTAGCACAGAAATGGAGACTTGCAGCGATACATATAACACATATCATGATACACCTTATAATGACATTTTCAAACTCCAGGCGCTTCTGCCAGTGGAGTTTCCAAACGATGCTAGCGTTGTCATTTTGAATTCACTGTCTTCTTCGAAAATCAACCACCATGCCTGCCATTAAGGACTGCGGCCATAGACTAGTTCGACGTGTCAACTCTCGACCAGCATGGCGCGTTACCCGACCAGCGGCATGTAGGTTTTTCTCTTCAGCTGCACCACCGCAAAGCACAACTGGCGGAGTACGTGTCTCCAAACTTTTCACAGCGCTACTAGCGCTCGGGGTCGGAGCGACTGGTCTTGGACTGTGAGTCCTGCCCTCAAACTTGTCATTCAACCGTAATAATCTTGCTCAAGTTATGAGTTCTACACATCCTTTACCCTCTGGCCAGAGCAGGTTCGCGGAGACCTCCGCGCAGGAATAAAAGCGAGGAACCAAGGAGATTTGTCTCTAAGCGAGAGATACATCACGCGGTACGGATTGTTGCATTCCTTGCATTCATGGAGTTCTGACCCTTGATTTTAGTGCATTCCAAACAGCACTGTCCCTTCCCTATCAGACATTCGCACCAGATCCGTATCTAAAGCTATCAGGCATAGCCTCTCTCCTTTCTGAAGTCGCTTCAGACCGTCGCTCCCGAGAAGCTCTGCAGATTGCTTGGGAGTTAGGTGCCGGTCCGAACGAACCACATTCTCCCTTGCCAGACGCCGAGAAGACGTCGAGTGGTGTGACAGAAGGAGCGCCGGGATGGTCAAGCTACACCTTGAGCAACGAGGAACGCCTTCGACGCGTGGCCCTTGCGTATAAATTGGGCCAATTGTCAAGTGAGCGGGACGTGGATGAAGAGGAGAAATGGCTCATATGGGCTGTGGAGGAGGTCTTGAGGCTGTCTGTACTTGGGATGACACACGCCAATTCGGATATGAACACAAAAGCGCACGAAAATTCGGAATCTAGTGCACTCGAAGAACTCGAACTTCCGTCATGGATGTCAAAGACAGACCTTGGTGCTCCACTGGAGGCCCTTGGTGCCCTTTACGCGAAGAAAGGTAGAATCGAGTGAGTAGCACTCCTCCAGTTAGAAATGTGGATCCCCTTCCCATTTAACATCAGCCTTTCATTTAAAGCTAACGCTTTTACCGACAGGTATGCGATGCCACTGTATCTTCAGGCAATCTCCTTACTATTGCCACCCAAGGCAAATAATGTGCCTATTGAAGATCGATGTCGAGGTAAGTTATGACACTGCCGCTGTTTCAACTTTTTCTCATTCACAAACCGTCGACAAGCTGCTCAACTCATGAATAACCTTTCTGAGTTGATAATGCGTCGTCCTCCCACACCGGAAGTACGTGCACAAGCTGAGGCGTGGGCGCGTCAAGCATTAGGGATTATTGAGCGAGCACAAGCGCAGCCAAGAAGCTCACGATGGTTCGGATGGGGACAGCCCGCTGATGATGGAAGGGAGGTCTGTGAGCAGGCGCTCGGCGTAGTGCTCTTCAACTTGGGGAGCTTAAGAGAAGTAAGTGTTTGTCATATCGAAAATGCTTATTTGACACCCGTGCAGATGTCATCCGACTTGGATGGTGCAAGGAAGTTGTTTGAGAAGAGTGCCGAGCAATGTGGCAAGGTGGGCATTAGGGAGGGCGTTGTTGAAGCCCAAGAAGCACTACGGAGGGTTGAAAAGGCGAAGAAGGTGGGTTGATGGACTTGTGTTATATTTCTATTAGGAACATGTCTGTGGACGTTACCACTAAATTTTCCATGCGCTTGAGCCACGCTCGAGCCTTCTATTAACGCATGCTGCATAACAGTACCGGAAGACAAAGGTGGTGCTTACTCATGTTCAACTGTTGTAGCAGTACTTAATTATACGGGGGCTTGACGGCGGCACACAGCTTAGCTTCGAAATTTAATTTGCTTCCGCTGTCAACTCTGGAAAATGTCACTGTCACTGGAGCCCGTGTCACAGTCACAATGGCATGTTGTCGAATTGAATACAACTACAGCATTTGAATGGCTTTTGGAGTTGTTTTGTTCTCCGAATCCATGGGGTCCCCCCGTTCTCGCGGAGGGGTCCCTTTTGCTGGCTAAATCCTTGTCGTCTGCGTCCAACGAGACAGAGCAAGGACAATTAGATGGCTTCGATGGACAAAGAGTCTCAGAGTACAAAGATCGAGACTCACCACTCTGCCCCTCCCCTCGACGAAAGTCTTTATGGCTTGCGCCCCCAGGACGCTGTATTTTTCAAGAAACTAACTGGGATCGAAGACGATGCTGTTCTGAAGCAGCATATATTGGATATTCAAGCAAAAGCATACAAGGTAGGTAGCCACCTGTAGCCTCCCAGTGACCACATCATTCGGTCCATAACACAATCGACGTTTTCACGGCCAGGTTGCCCCTTATGGGTGCATTTATCTTTTTGTTTTTACCAGGTATGTTTGTGTGCAAGTTTCAGCTGAGCTGATACGCATCCATCGAAATTTTTAGACACAGACTGTCAGCGCTACCTGCTTATCAGCAAGTCTTGCGCCTCGGACATGAATGCAAGAACCCAATTTTCCTTGACATCGGCTGCTGCTGTATGTGCTCTCACTTCAGCATCTCCAAAAAGTGCTCATTGGCACGGTTACAGTTGGCAATGACATTAGGGAGGCGGTTTTAGACGGGTTTCCTGCAGTTCGGGCCATCGGATGCGATCTTCGCCCAGGTGAGAATAGCGCATGGTCAACGAAGCTCTTTCAATTTACCCACTGACAGAACTCTGGAATCTGGGGCATGAACTCTTCAAGTCGTCTCCGGATACCTTTCCAGCTCATTTTGTGGGCGGTGATGCCTTCGACCCGGAAATCCTCTCCATCGCTCCACCTGCGTCCATGCAGATAGCAGGAGCTCTAACTCCCGATCTCAGCAACCTCACATCGTTGAATCCTTTACGCGGATGTGTCTCCGCAATTCACGCAACAGCCTTCTTCCACCTGTTTAAAGAAGATCAGCAGCTGCACATGGCCCGTGCGTTTGCTGGCCTGCTCTCCGTTGAACCAGGCTCCGTCATTCTCGGAGCGCACACAGGCACCCAAGAGAAGGGTGTCATGAATAAAGTAGTCAGAGACCTCGAGCTTGACATGTTTACCCACAGCGCCGAGAGCTGGACTGCCATGTGGGATGGTGAAGTATTCGAGAAGGGGACGGTCAAGGTGGAGGCAGAGTTGAGGCAAACGTCCGTGTCTGTGGGAAGTGACGAACACTACCCAATTTTGTTCTGGTCTGTGACCAGACTGTGAGTATTTTTCTTCCTCGCCACTGGTAGAAACAACACCAGCCTGTGATATACAATTTTCGGATGCCACTCCAGACAAGTGATATCAACTTTTCAAGCGTTGCTGGGTGAGAAGACAGTCCGACCTCTGACACCTGGTGATCACCGTGTCATCCGTGTATGTTTGGATTACTCAAGGGCTCAGAATGGTGGAGCATGTATGCTACTGACCGACCTCAAGGAACTTCTCCAGATGTTGATTGCAAGTCTTCCGTTGAAGCATACTTCATACTAGATAACAAAAATAATAATACACAAATCACGATAATCACGCTGCGCGCTCAGAATCCTTGACTCTGGTCCTCTCCTGCCGGACATCTCAAAATAACGGAGGGTCGACTTGATATATCCTTCGCTTGTGTCCAGGTTGCCAGGCGCAACTCACGAAGAAACTTGTCCATGAACTAAACCTTGACTATGAACATGGTGGTCGTCATGCGCTGGCTCTGCCACTGGCTGCTGGCACCCCTTACTTCTTTGGTTTCTAGCCCGTTGGTGAGGTTATTCGAATCTTAAAACACTAGGGACTCAACCTTCCAACACCGCTGCACAAGCTAGGTCAGAATATCGGTAGAGCCGCTCAGTGAGAGCATTTGATTGTGTAAATTTGTGTGTTACTCACTTGAAGTAGATTGCGGAAAGGCTGCCAAGGACCTGCTCTCTGATCGCAATACTGCTAATCGCAGGCGCTTCTGCGATGACTCACATGGGCGCTACGCTCATCCTGTGTTAACGTTCATACGCGCGGCTTCGAGATCCCAATGGGTACTAGAAGGATAACTAATTGTTAGCTCTTCATGCAGTGTTACTGACCACTAGTACGTTTGGTAAGTGATTGCACTATCCTGGTTTTGCACTGATACTGCGCAGCTAACTTCTCTGTGGTTTAAATACAGACAATTCGTCGAATAGCCCTCCAAATACTTGAATCCTGGTGTCGAGAAGAAGCGCGAGATGACGAACAAAGAACCTCCGAAGATCGAGGCTCAGCGTACTTTCCCTCCTCTTGACGAAAGTCTCTATGACTTGCGGCCCCAAGACGCTGCATTTTACAAGAAGCTGACTGGAATTGAAGATGACGCAGCTCTGAAGCAGCATATATTGGATGTTCAAGCGAAAGCATACAAGGTAGCTGGACCCTTGGACATGTCGTTTTGCGCAGCGAAGCTTACTTGTTCGCGGCTAGGTTGCCCCTTATGGGTGCATCTATCTTTTCTTCTTTACCAGGTATTTTATTTTCACGTTTGTGCTGAGTTTATACACAAATGACGAGCTCTTTAGACGCAAACTGTCGGGGCTACCTGCTTATCAGCAAGTCTTGCGCCTCGGACGTGAATGCAAGAACCCAATTTTCCTTGACATCGGCTGCTGCTGTATGTGCTCCCCCTCCATTATCTCCATAGGATGCTGATGCCTGGTTTATAGTTGGCAATGATATCAGGGAAGCGGTTCTCGATGGTTTCCCTGTAGCCCGGACGATCGGAATGGACCTTCATCAAGGTGAGCATATCGTACAACGCGATACGTGATTAATGAAGCCCTTGCATTTAACATAGAACTCTGGAATCTGGGGCATGATCTCTTCAAGTCATCTCCCGAGACCTTTCCAGCTCACTTTGTAGGCGGTGACGCTTTCGACCCGGAAATCCTCGCCGTAGCTCCACCTGCGTCCATGCAGACAGCAAGAGCTCCAACTCCCGACCTCAGCAACCTCACTTCGTTAAACCCTTTACACGGATGTGTTTCCGCAATCCATGCGACAGCCTTCTTCCACCTGTTTAAAGAAGATCAGCAGCTGCATATGGCCCGCGCTCTTGCTGGCCTGCTCTCTGCTGAACCAGGCTCTGTCATTCTCGGAGCGCACACGGGTGCTCAAGAGAAGGGTGTCGTGAATCAAGTATATAGAGGCGTTGAAATTGACATGTTCGCCCACAGCGCCAAGAGCTGGACTGCCATGTGGGATGGCGAAGTATTCGAGAAGGGGACCGTCAAGGTAGAAGCACAGTTCAGGGAGGTGCACGGAGTTACCATGGGAGGTGATGAACGCTACCCGATGTTGTTCTGGTCTGTGACCAGACTGTGAGCATTTTCTTGCCTGTGAAATAGATTTATCGGATGATTCGAAAAGATACTTGTTAAACAATCTTTGCTGGGCGAGAGCACAGTCTGACATCTGTCGCCTGGTGACGAAACTCATAATCTGTAAGGATCATGCATGCATGTTGGGATCACTCGGGGGGGCGGAGAAATGTAGTGGACTGTGGGTTACCAGGGAGCGGTACGTATGTAAGTTACTTGATGCCAAAGGTATTCTGACAGAGGACGTTACAACCTCGACTCGTCCAGCGAACACTTTGATGTCCGTGCACGGCCTGAGTCTCGGGAGCCTCTCATTGTAGCGCATTCAACAATCTGGTATGCCTGAATAAGTCTTAGCTAGAACTTCTCGAACATGCATTGAGTCCAAGCTTGTGGACAAATATCATCTGCTCTGTCTAAACAATGTATAAGTAGTAGTCTCACGTAGGATCGGGAACGGTTCACCATTAAAGATGGAACGACTCGCAGGTGCGCTGGCCAAGTTGAAGTGGTCAATTGATAAATATATCATACTTTTATCGCCTGCAACTGACCGTTTGTTTTCCATAGAATACTAAGTACATGAATAGAGATACGAAAACTTACAAGCAAGCCAGCTTCAATGCCTTGGCGCATGCAACCTGAAACCTTGTTTGTGACTTGAATTCTTCTGCTCAATGTTATAAAGCTATTTGTTCCTGACAACGGAAGTACCAAGTAACTCGACACGATCGACAATCGAGACCCGAACGGTGAGTCACTTGATTGCCAATTAGCTACCATGAAAAATAATGTCCAAAGTTGAAACGTGCCTTTGCTTTTGACCGTCTTCGCTGTCTCAGAATTATGCCTGCTGTCAGCAAGCTGTTCAACAGTACAGCAACGCTATCTCAGCCTATCGTGGTCAACAGTCAACTGCGAACTCGGCGGAATCTCGTCGTCAACTAGATGGCTTGATTTTGCATTTCCTACTGATTAACGTGTCTTCAATTTGTCACGATTGACCTCACTGCTAGTGGCTCGACAGAGTCACCTCTGTAGTCTATAGGGGCTACACATGGCAGTTTTCATGAGTACACCGGGCGAGCGGCAGTATGTTGGTTCCTCCGTTGAAATACTCTCGACCTTTTAGCAAAACTTTTAGTACTTTACGATCGAAGTACGGACAACATACCGTAACTCATCTCTGATCTTGCACAACATAGCCACGGGGAAAATTGGTCATGGCAAATTTGGGGTCAATTTTCTGAACTCGAGCTCGAGGTTGCCCACCAAGAAGTTTTGACCGAAGATCATCTGCCATTCGGCGACAACGCTTGACCCGCGCGCCACGCCACGGTTTGTGCCTGAAACAGGACTGGTCACGAGTCGATCCGAGACATAGGTGTGACCCAAGTGCGAATTTGAATAATTCCTCTGAGATCGACAATTGCGATGAATCATGCGGGGTAATCCATTAACATGTTTATGACCAGAAATACGTATGTTGTTTCAGTAATTCCCTTATCATATCGTTTTAAACTTGAATAAAGTTGAACTCTTGCGATCGATAGGCTCGAACTCATATCCTCCAGATAACTTCACATTCCAGTGTAGACCAGAAGCAAGATGGCTCAGACGAACAAAGAACCTGCTAAAATTGAGGCTCAGCGCACTTTCCCGCCTCTTGACGAAAGTCTTTATTACTTGCGCCCCCAAGACGCTGCATTTTACAAGACACTCACTGGAATTGAAGACGATGCGGCTCTGAAGAAACATATATTGGACGTTCAAGCGAAAGCATATAAGGTAGTTAGCCCCTTGACCATGTCGTTCTGTCCTTGCAAAACTCACTTGTTTACGGCTAGGTTGCCCCTTACGGTTGCATCTGTCTTTTGGCTTTTACCAGGTATTAGTTTGTGTGCGCGAGTTTGATAGAGTTAATACATCCCTTCAGACGAAGACTAGCGGAGCTACCTGCTTATCAGCAAGTTGTGCGTATCGGACGTGAATGCAAGAACCCAATTTTCCTTGACATCGGCTGCTGCTGTATGTGCTGCCCATCCATCGTCTCCACAGGATGCTGATGCACAGTTTACAGTTGGCAATGTCATCAGGGAAGCGGTTCTCGATGGTTTTCCTGCATCCCAGGCGATCGGAAGCGACCTTCATGGAGGTGAGCATAGCATACAGCCTGATACATGACCAACAAAATACTTGCAATTAACACAGAACTCTGGGATCTGGGGCATGAACTCTTCAAGTCGTCTCCGGATACCTTTCCAGCTCACTTCGTAGGCGGTGACGCCTTCGATCCGGAAACCCTCACCGTGGCTACGCCTGCTTCCACGCAGATAGCAGAAGTTCCCACGCCCGACCTCAATAACCTCACTTCGTTAAATCCTTTGCGCGGATGTGTTTCCGCAATCCATGCGACAGCCTTCTTCCACCTATTTAAAGAAGATCAACAGCTGTACATGGCCTGTGCTTTCGCTGGCCTGCTCTCCCCTGAGCCAGGCTCTGTCATTCTCGGGACACACATAGGTGCTCAAGAGAAGGGTAGCGTGAAAACGGTATTTAACGGTGTTGAGGTTGACATGTTCGCCCACGGCCCAGAGAGCTGGATTGCCATGTGGGATGGTGAAGTATTCGAGAAGGGGATGGTCAAGGTGGAGGCGGAGTTGAGGCGGGAGACATACGGTACTGCGGTGACGGAAGGACGCCCGTTTTCATTGGTCTGGTCTGTAACAAGGCTGTGATCCCTAATAGAAACCACGACATTAGCCTAAGGTTTCGTAATCCTGTTCTGGCCAGGTGAAGATCCAACTAAACATAAGCATCGATAATCCATGGATCTACGAAATGCCTTGGGAAGAACACCCTCGTTCCTGTAGGCCTGGGAAGAAGATATTCTTCTATCTCCATTTTGTAATGACTCGGAATCTGGGGGGTCGTTCAATGAAAGTTCAACGTTAGTAGGAAGATCACAAACGGTGAGGGGATGCAACGCAGCAACCATCGAAACTTATCAAAGCTCCAGTAGAAAGAAGTGAGAGTATTAGAAGATACTCACTTATAGTAGAAGATGGGGAACAGGGAAGTAGTACCTGGTAATGGTATCATATAAATGCTGCAGCGGTTGATGTAATGCCGGCGCCGCTGCAAGGTCGAACCGCTGCAAGGATATTATGATCGACTCAATGTGTTGAATCTTTCAATTGGTCCAGCTGGATTAAAGTAAAGTCTAAGGGGACACAGAAGGAATTCTCAGCTTGCCTGCTACGGCGGATTGACGGTGGAGGTATTTAAGCTTTAAGAACTTCTGCCACGGTCAACTAACGTTGCGCTGTTGCTGACATAATCATAGAGCTGTTCTTTGTTGGACGGTGACCACCTCACTCACTTATTCGCAGTTGTTATACCGCGGCGCGCCTCCCTCATTCCCAGACATCACACCCACCAACTTCAATTCTTAATTGATTTTTTTTCTTTCGAAAATGGCTTCCAAGGATGACACGCAGGCAAAAGCGCCTCCAGAAACTCGCAACGTCGTCCAATTCCTTCGCAGCAGTAAATCTGGCATGAAAATACGTGTCGGTGCGCTGAATGGGAAACGCGTCGATTACTTCAAAGGTATCTCATTGCTTTGCGTGGATTTAATTTCGTTGGCTGCTGTTCTAACCACTACCATCACCACCAGGCAAATCCGCAGTGAAAGCCCTCCTCTCGCCTGCTTATGCAAAAGTCAAAAACGCACCCAAAGTCACCACCGAAGCCGAAGCCGAGGCTCTCCTCCAATTATCTATTCAATACGCCTTCTACCTCCGTGTAGATCGCAGTGCGCCCACAGGCTCATCTACATCCCCGCGCCACGTCACTATTGTCCCCCAACAACAATTCACCCAGGACGCGTACTTTGTGTGGCTCTACGAAGGTTCTCAATGGACTACTTATGCGGGCGGGCTGTTGATGGTCGTACTTATGCTTGCGGCCGTGATGTTCCCGTTGTGGCCGCCAGTGATGCGCTTGGGCGTGTGGTACCTCAGTATTGCCATGTTGGGTTTGCTGGGAGCATTCTTTGGGCTCGCGGTCGTACGGTTGATATTCTACATCATCACCGTAGTCGTAGCAAGCCCTGGAATTTGGATCTTCCCACAATTATTCGCAGACGTTGGTGTCGTGAGTGGTCACCTTTATCCTGTTTTGTATTTTTGGTTCTTAGGCGTTTGGCGTAGATCGAATCGTTCATTCCGTTTTGGGAGTGGGATGTTCCCAAGAAGAAATCTGGGAAGAAGAAGAAGGCAAAGGCTCCTGCTGGTGCGAGTCCTGAGGAGCAGCTTGCTAATAATGGTGGGGCTTTTATTGAGGAGGTTAATGACGAGTCGCCCGATCAGTCGCGTCCAGGGAGTCGCTCAGCGCGAGTCGAGGAGGTTACGGACGTGGATTCATAACAGGATCCATCATTATGTTTTCGGTGGAGCGGATGGGGAGTAAGGAACAAACATCCTTCACACTCGTCAGGGATTTTGTTTAGACTATCTTTCACACTCATTCCCCTGCTCCGGTTCACCCATTCGCCATGCGTAATAACACTCATGCTCTCAGCTCTTTGAATACTGTCACGGCAATTGCCCAGCAACGTTCGGTGCTCGGTGAACATTTGATCGAAAATTATATCTCTCAAAAAAGGACTTGAACACAGACATGTATCAATCGGTTAGAGCATCACAACGGCATAATAACCAGTGCGTATACTTACAACAGTACTTAACATACGTGACGACTCGGGGTTTCAAAGGCATTCCGGGTCTTTCCATGGCTTAGTCACCAGGCAGATTCTGGCAGAACCGTCGTGCAGCCTACCTCACCATCATCTCAGCCTGCTTTTCCATCGCAGGCTTAGGCCGCTGGCCCCTGCTCCAACAGTACCCAACGAGTCATGTGGCATGATATCTTCATGAACTAGCACAAAGCTTACAGCTTGCTAAACGCTCAGCACTGGGTGACACTGGCACACCTCTCGCGCGTATACATAATGAGAAGCGGATATTTTCTTCACCCTACATTGTTTCACTGATTTCGACTTCTACCAGCTCTCGCTTAGTCGTCATCATGGGTCCCGTGTTTGTCGTTACCCGATTCAATTCAATCTAGTATGAAGCCGGATCAATGGTAGCCTGCACTTGGATGTTTTCTTCATCCTGTATTTTTTTGCAGTTCAATTTTTGATTTCACGAGCTCTCGCGCAGCCGCCGTTGCCGTCGCCCCAAATCAATTCAGTTGGTTGCAATTTTTCATACCCGGGAATTCTGCGAAACTGGATGCCATCATCGTCCAGTGTGACTCGAATTTGAAATGTGAGGACCGGCGTCCTTAATCTTCATGACATTGGGAGGTTGGTGCATAGTGTGAGTAAATCCCCATTCCTTTGCGACCCCTTCGAAGAAAGCAACAATTCCCTCCAAGCATATTGTCAGCAGGGCGAGAGTCTCTTTGTTCAATTCCTTCTCAACAGGAGTCCATCGAAGGGAATTCGGGGAAACTTGAGTAATTCCTTATGCAATGTGGTGGCTAAATGTACCACATTTTCGTCATGACAGCGGATCACAAGGTCACGGTGAGTTGCAATTGCCTGTAAGCACTTCTCAATATATCGAATTACTTACATGGTTCAGGGGTGCATGCGATGGGCTGAGCCCTACACATGACGTGGATATACGTGTTGCCGCGTAAACGCAGAGCCACAGCGCAAGCTGGGCCGGAGATAAGGTACCACCAGCTGTAAGAAATTCGTGCTGAGTGGCTGTGCTGTATGACCTCGGCGTAGATGAATATTGATATTGGCCGCCTTCAGGTGCATGTGTGATACGATCGATGCAGCCTTCAGGATTATGCATGTCCGGCAAGGTTGAGATACCGTTGGAAGTTATATCGCAGGCTGCATTGGTTGTGGGAATTTCGAAGCACAGATTTCCAAACGACGGTTCAAACACAAGCAGGAAGCAATCATGTTTAAACCTACGGCGGAACATGCATCACAGTATACGACCTGGCGTGACATGCCATGGCCTCCACACACTATCAACTTGGGATAACCCATGCGTACGATGCATACCATACTCATATAACATGCATGACATATAATGTGACGACGACGAACAACAAGGCCTGAGACCCGTGTATGATCATGAACTAGCACAAAGCTTACAGCTTGCCAAGAGCAGCAGCCTTGGAGTCTTGACCAGCAGCCTTTGCACGCTTGCGCATCATTTGAGTGGACTTGTTTCCACGGAGACCACCACCCCAGTGACGGCGTTGATCCTCGTACTTGTCAGTGCTTTAGAGTCCCCGTCAGCATCTAAGGATTGCGAAATGAAAAGGGAAAACTCACAAGTTGGCCTTGGCGGCGCTGACGAGGGTCGCGAGCTCGCGCTGATCCTCGCTGTTGACATCTTGGAGGGTGAGGACGGCGGCAGTCTTCTTGTGGACGACAGTGCCGAGACGGGCTTTGCCCTTGACGATGACATAGGGAACACCCATCTTGCGACAAAGTGCGGGAAGGAAGACGACCAACTCAATGGGGTCGACGTCATGGGCAATAATGACAAGGGACGCCTTCTTTGCCTCAATGAGGGCGACACAGTGGTTCAAACCGTATTTAACGAAAAGAGGTTTCTTGTCCTGTAGATCGGCTAGATCAATGACATGTCCGTACGAAGTTTTAAATACAAACCTTTGCAGGCTCCTTTGCTTCAGTGGCAGCTTTGGCTAGAGCCTCGAGACGCTCCTTCTTCTCGACCTTGCTCTCTGGGCGGTACTTGTTGAGGAGCTTGAAGAGCTGTGTAGCAGTGTTCTTGTCCAGAGTATGGGAGAACTGGGCAATAGCAGGAGGGACCTTCAAGCGCTGAGAGAGAATGACCTTCTGGCGTTGAAGGCGGATATACTCGGGCCACTTGACGAAGCGAGTGAGATCGGTCTTAGGACGAATGTGTTGACCTAGTAAAATGTGTAAGGTGCTGATCCAGCCAAAAAGAGATGAAGCGAACCGATGCCAAAGTTCTTGGGCTTGGCCTCGAAGAGAGGGTTTTTTGTGGTTTTTGCGGCTTTGGCAGCAGCACCTGGAGCGGGTGCGGGCTTCTTGCGGGAACCGGCCTTGGCTTTGGGGGGCTGGTCATTGAGACGAGAACGAATTAGCATGCGAAGCAGAGCACAAAGGTGCCAGCGACGTAAGCTGCATGTCTCGGAGCTCTAGCGCTCGTGGATGACTGTGCATCCAACGAGCCCAGCATTATAAAGTATCATCATCGTACGTGACGACTCCACTTGACTTGATAACAAGGATCAAGATTTGCGCTGAACCGATTCTATATGAACATGAGGATGATAACCCATGATGTATCTGAATGAAGGACTTGCCATCCATTGCGTTGAGAGAGCGAGAGCATGGAATGAACAGTGCTAGGGTGCTCCGATGCACGCAGAGAACGATGCTTGCTGGTAACTCACCATTTTTGACGGTCTTGAGGAGTATGTCTTGAGGTTGAGGTCGTGGGTGGTCGATTTCTATGTGTTCGAGTTGGGTATTTGAATGTTTAAACTCCACTTCGGCACCGCCCGGCTTTGACTTGTTGTGACTGACCAAGTAATAGTCTAGTCAGTATTAGCGGAACCGCATAAGTATGTCTTCCACTATTTTGAGACGCATCCTCGCAAATGCACGACTTTACTCGACCGGACCCCCGCCTGTTGCTCGTTCGCCATACCGCCACCTCCGAACACTAGCCCTCGGTGGCTCCGTCGCCATCACCGGCTACACCCTTGGTTCTGTCTACCCCCACCCTTACATCACCTTCATCTCCCCCCGACCAGCCCCAGCCCCACCTGACCCCGAAACCCCACAATCAATCGCATACACCGCAGCCCTTGAACAATCCCTACAGACCCTCCCCCTCCTCACGTCCCTCCGCGCCCAGCCCGACGCCCACGAGTGGTACGAGACCCGTCCTTACGTCAATTACGCGGAGCAGCTTCGCGTAAACAGCCTCACTGCAGGCGCACTTCGTGGCCCGGGAAAACTTGCCCTTCCGCCCCTGGTACGCGCTAAGAGGGACGAGAGTGAGGCTGTCGTTATCGTGCATGTTGGTCGGGGCGTGTGTGGCCATGATGGGATAATTCATGGTGGGCTGCTGGCTACTATTTTGGATGAGAGTCTGGCGCGAACTGTGAGTTTGACTGTGCTGGGCGTTGATTGTCTCTTGACGTGTCATATAAGGCGATCATCAATTTACCAGACAAGATTGGCGTCACTGCCAACTTGTCCATAAATTATCGCGCCCCGACCTTTGCAGATCAGGCAAGTACCCCTTCCTTTCACACACTTACGTGCTTGACCCGGCACTAGTTTATCGTCGTCCGAATCAGTTTGGTTGACAAGGCTGGTCGCAAATCCAAGGTCTTCGGAAAAGTAGAGGACCTCAAAGGCAACTTACTCGTCGAAGCGCAGTCAGTCTTCCATCTGTCTAACCTGGCCCCCTTACCCATTCTGCATTTTACAGCGCAACTTTTGTTCAACCTAAATATGCTCACCTGCTAAAGAGCAAAGCTGTCCAACAAATGATGGGCGACCCCGAACCCACTAAATCAACTCCCGTGCTCCTCAGCGAGGGCATGCCACCTCCCCCGCCCAAGGCATAGAGCAATTCATACCATTTATTAACTAATATATCATACCGTTAGAGATACATGTATCATAGACCACTTCCTGCAACCCTAGATGCAACTTATCGCGAACATCACTTGGCTTCCACCCCCCAAAGAACAGTTTCCATAGCCTCTTCCACCGCCCATGTTCCCTATTAGTGCCACCACAGCTGCGTCACACCTCCCACATAGCGCGTCAAGCCACCCGCGCTCCCTTCCAGCAGGGTACCACTACAATTGCCCCCAAGAAGCCAGTGTACCCAAGTATTAGGAATTCGACGAAGCCTTGCTGGCGCTGATGACAACGCTAGAGCAGCTATCAACGGGTGCAAGGTGACGATCACAGTAAGATCTGAGTAAGATCTGGACTGATCTGGGCCGCATAACGCAAAGTGACGATCACTGTAAAATCTGGATCGATCAAAGCCGCGTCACAGCATGACGCACCAGCACATCTCCCGCGTGCACAATGAGAAGCAGAGCGAACAAGTTGACCGATCCAGTGCCATTGCGCAGAAAAAAAAGTTGCGGGTGTTTTTGTCCCCAAATAAGGCGTTTACGGTCTGCTGTAGGCTTTATATCACGGGAAAAGCGTAGTCGCTGATTCGAGAGAGATTGATGATCGACGCGTCAGATGTCATGAAAGTAGCACAGCGAAATTCAAAAGGTAGATCGGGGGGGAAGAGCGAGTAGTGCTTTGACTCGGAAAATTTGGCCAGGAAACGCCAGCCCTTCGGGTCTGCAAAACTGAAAACAAGGGCCACCGTATCTTCCCACCTAGATCGGCGAGTAGAATTCTCAATTTCAAATTGATGGTAGAAAGACTGAGCACCCTACCATGTACTTGTAGTCCTCCGCTTGCCCTCCGCACGATTTTTTGTGATGGCGCAGGCGTGGTGAAACCTTATTGACTGAAGTGATCAACTATTGCAAAACTGAATGGTCCCTGAAAATAGTCTGGGCGAAAAAGGGTTCCGAGGTTCTGCAAACGCCCGATAATTATGTCGATGGAGCCCCCGCGGCATGTGCTGATTTCTTCCTGTCCATTTGGCAGGAGTGTCGCTCAACGGATGGGCCCGAGTTTCCTTGCGATGCCTGTGACGTCAGCACAATGCAGGGCGGAATCACCACTCTGAGAAACACGTATCAACTAACCTTAGGTTGGAGCGAGATCCAACTTAAGGTCAGCTCAGACAAGACGGCCGCCGCAGTAGCACCCGACGCGACTAGAGAGGCTCTCGCTGCGCCACCAAAAACTACTTCACTTGCCATAAAAATCCAGATCAGATCAGTGGCATCATGCGAGGGTCAGAAGTACACTACCGGAAATACAATGAATCACGGCAAGGCACTGTGCTCTTGGACGAAACTTTTACCAGACTTCCAATTCGTTCTTGATTAGTGGGATGACCCCCGTGTGCAATTTGAAAATGTCAAGGGGGACCTTTGAGAACCGATGCCCGAGGGACAAGGCGTGCCCTCGCTTAAACCCTTGCACGACAGTGAAGATCCACGGCAATAGTCACTGGTTAGAGTTTGTCAGCCAATCCTCCGCAGTACGAGACGTCAACTGTGGAACACCAAGAGCAATGCGGAAAGCACTCGAAGACTGAAATACGAGAAAAAGAAAAATAATAGTTCGTCAGTCCTCCTATATGTAATTGTAAAAAAAAATACTATGCGGCGGTAAGTCAAGAAAGCCGGTTGGCCAAATCAGATCAAGCACCGTGGCATGCCCAACAGCATGGAATCCATCAAACGCTTGACTACGCAGAAGTTCAGCCTCGTAATGCCAAGCTTCCTGATGCGAAAATTCGTGCTATTCATTGCAGCCAATGGCGGGACGAAAGTGGAGTAGTGACGGGAGCGGCACTTGTAGAAGGACAAAGTGCCGTGGGCATTGCTGAACCGACAGTATCCCATTAAGTTAGGTGCAACCTTGTATGTCTGTTGGCATCAAACCCCGCATTCCCGAATCAAGGGCAGAGTACTAACTTACTAGTCGTTCCCGTGCCGAGCAGCAGACTCCGAGGATAGGTATGTCACAGTATACAGATGTTTGGTATAATGAAATGTCAGTGGAGAGCGCAACACTCGCAGCGTGGCCCTGCCTAGTACTTAGCCCATGCTCGAGTATGCGAGCCGTGCGTGTGACTTGGCAAAGGCCCCAGCTGTGGTTCTACGGCTCTAAAAAATGTTTCTGGAGATTTCGGAGAGATTTACAACGTGAACGTTCCCGAGTACGGTGCCGCCAGCGTGGGAATGACATGGACGTGCATCGGTTCAAGTCAGCATCTGGAATCTTCGTGAATCTCTTCACCGTCCTCAAGGCTCATCTGCATCCCGTTGTAGCTTGTTCAATTTGCGACGGCGCGATCCCAGTTAACTGCAGTTTGTTTACTTGATTGGTGTCGGCGTTTCCCTCTCAGTTCAGGCAGTGCTGCAAAAACACGATCAAGGATGTCACGGTATGATTATTTTCACGTTCTAGTCTAGTAAATGTCAGAGGCTTGGGTCCTCGGGACAGGGTAGCGTTGTGATGTACTCGTCCATTGCTTCTTGGCCAAATGCTTCGATCTCACAGGTTCTTTGCAGGGGACGGGGTGACCACGGCAAACGACATCTTCAACAATGACGCTCACCCTAATTCATGCCGCGGCACTTCTCCCACTTACAAACGCTGGCTGGATTCGGGAGCAGACAAGATATACGGGTTCAGTGTCGTCCGGTGAAAACACAGTTCCGGGCTTACGTTGTCAAAATCGGCGGACTTTCGTCTTGAAACCCCTTCATCACACCCGCCTTTATCAGAAGTATCTGGCGCGGTTGAAGAGTGGACCCTGGGTCCCTGAGCATGCGTATGGCATAACTCGAGGAGCTAGAGCCTAGAGACCCATTACAAAACCTTTATTGTAAGTGACTTAGCTTTTGTAAAGAGTTGATTGCGCCCGGATTTATAGATTGAGTAAGTTATTGTGGAAATTGCTTAAGCTCCAAGAGGAACTGAACGGGGCCCGTGACGGCGTTTGCCTATTCCTGAAGTTCTTGAAACGTTGAGCTCTTCTTCGAGAAAGTCTGTAACATGGCCTGAGTGCTGCACCTCTGATCCCTGAATCATTGCATGAACATTTTTTTTCATCTTCCGATTGTCTGTTGCTGATGTGTTGTTGGCTACATCCTGTGCTTTATTTAATAGACACGGATGTACATACCAGAGTGAACATTAATCTCCATGTCATCCTGGATCTCAGGGACGACACGTGGTAGGGTATGCAACATTGTTCACGCGTCACGTGCGAAATCAAGACTACTCAAGATCAGCATCACAAATTACAATCACTCCACCAACTTGGCTCGGTTAACTTTTTGGATGGAGTCATGGGACCCGCCACTGCTCAGCGTGCACTGGATTTATCACGGCGTTCATATCCCAGCCGTTTTCAGAATTTGTCAATGAGTCACTGGTCTCTTCTACCTGGAACTTGTTTGTACGTCCAGATCTGCTTGCCTGTACTAGTGTGTCCTGACAGCCATCCTGTCGTTTAAGTTATCTCCTTGAGCATGGTATTATCCGCAATATAACCAGTGCGGAGAAAGGCGCGTGCCTTACATTGCAATTCACGATGTATTCCTAGACGGCAACCTGAGCAATTTTCTTACAAGGTTCTGACCGAATGAAACTCGACACCCACTGTCCTTACTTCACACTCAATAGCCATACTGGGTCGAGCGTTGCAGGTTTTTGGCCCAGCCGGCAGATCCTGGCATGTATTCCGGGTATGTATGTTACCCACTGAACAGCATTCTCACTTTACCATGGTCAGATTGCATTTGGTGTGACCATCGCGGGCGAATTTAACGATGATTGCAGCAACTGTGCGCTGTACCTCACAGGTGTCGGGAATACTGCGAGCTATGGAGAGTCGTGTTCTCTCTTCTTAGACTCTTCACAATCATGGTGGTACGACGCCATGATAGCCTCTAACAGCCTCGTCCAGTCTCCTATGCGGCCCGGGTAGTTGGGTCTCCGATATGGTTGGACGACTTCGAACTGTTGGCTTATCAATTCTAACGCTGCATCAGCAGGGCAAGAATCAGTAGACGAGTTCGAAGTTAGAAGACATTCAATTCGAAGGTTCAACTCGTTATACTCAAATGCGGCGGCCTGTTGTAGAGATGTACCTTTTTCTGTTAATTTCACACTTGGAGATCATATTCTGACATCTCTGTGGTAGACTTATGTAGGGCCACCGCCATTAAATCGCCATCGCTCGGTTGTCTGGGTCAAACCATACGAAGCCGGTGCCCGCCCGCAAGATTTAAGGTTTGTTGAGCATTTGAAACCGATATTGGTTGCAGTACGTCCTTTCGAGCTACCAACCAGTTTCCTCATGAAAGCCTTCTCAAACTAGTCAATAAAAGCTTCTGCCGTCGAAGCTTCAGCTAAGCAGCTTTAAAATGTAGCCCTCAATGTGGTCGAGCGCCTGACACAAATCCCATCCAGGGCTCCAAGTGATCGGATCAATAAAAGCGGGCTCCTCCGCCAGTGGGCACTCAGGAACAACCCAGCTACCCTGGCGCAAGTCAGATCCATGGTCGGCATGTATCACTGGCGGTAAGGAAAGTCGCGATTTATGTTCTCAGTCCACTGAGCGTAAGGCCGAGCCCCCGAGCGCCAGGTCGAGTCCGAAAATCCCTGAGAAGCGGTTCGGCGTCATTGTAAACACGAGGTACTCGCAAGGGATTTATTACTCAGGCTGCTCACTTTTAGGAGTTCGCGTTCACTTGGAACCCGAGCACCACTATCTCTCACTCAAATAAATTGATTTTACATTGCTACATAACAAGATAAATAAGGGCTAGGCCTACTGTGCCAGGTTTAAGGGGTTGCGTTAATTCACCACAATTACGGTAAGGGTTAGGTACGAGTCTTAGCGGTGCTCGGATCCCAGGAGAACACCCTCAGGCTATAATTAAATGAGGATTACTAATTCACGACGGGTGTAAATGAAAGTTGGGAAATGAAAGGAATTCTCCGTGTTCGGGTCGTTCGCATCGCCGGTGGGGTGAAGGAGATCTGTGAGCTTCTGTGGCCAATTGGTGCTGTCACTGGGCTCCCTGATCAGCTAGAAGTTATCCCTCATTCAAACGGCTTCTCGCGCGTAGTCCTTGTTGTCGGAATTTCTTTTTAGGCATGGCAGTGAGTCTTCCGAGTCATCACGATGCTGTCTTTTTACGCATGAATCACGCAACGTGCCTACAGGTACTGCTATGAGCCCGTTCTTGATTGAATCGGGTAACCAACTGAGGGTGGTTATTTGTGCAGCACCGCCCGTTTTTACCGTGGCACGAATCAATAGAAGAAATACCGTTTTGTGCTTCAAGAGCATCGCGAATTTCGAAGCCTTGCGCAGGTAGTAACTTGATCAAAGGGGCTATCGATCATGGCTATCGTCCCCTCTACTACCAGCCTTAGGTCACGCAACTGCTCTGCTATCCGGTAAACTTATTGCCATGTTTGCCGACACTGATACCCCCATACCCTTAAGCTAAACTGTTATATTAGCCCGGATCCGTTTGATCGATTGATATGCTTTACCTGGTTTCATCTCACATCAGATTGCTCTCATGTTGCATTCTCCCGCACCAATCGTCGATCGCCTACGCTCCGTCACGCTCCACGCTCACAAAGTGCGTTATGAACATCCCCCATCGTCATCCACTGGTAGTATGACAAGTCCATGTGGTCCCGATCATCCGCGGCCAAATTCACCCAACCAAAATACAGACGAGATTATTCGAACGATCATGAAGGTCAGAAAAAGCTGGAAAACTCTGAAGGGCAATAAGGAGCCTGTATGGCCACCCAATCTCGAGGCCACAATGCTGAAAGGTGCAGATCACTCCTGCGGGACACAGCCTAATTAGTTCACACTATTCCTTCAGGCCTCCAAGAATATGAACCCATTCGCTCAAGGGAAATACGAAGTTTAGGTCGATTTCCTCAGCGCAATCAGTTCATATCAGAGTACATTCACCGTAAGACGGGAAAGCACAGATCATCAAAACAAATAGGCAGTCGTCTGCAACAATTTAGGGACACATCCGAGGGACGAGAATGTAAGTATTTGCCCCGTGTTCGTAAGACGGTGTCATTAAAATTCTATGTTGGTTTATTTTAATGGAAGTGATCGAGTCCCTCAGCCGGGTCGGATCGTCACGGAGGGTTTCTCCTCATAACCACAGTTTTGAGGATGCTTCGCCCTCCCCTTTATCTTCTGACTCTTCAACCGGCGACAGCTCATCTACCTCCTCATCCGCCGACTCATCCATACCCTCTACACAATACAGCCCTGCCATGTCATTGTCTAAACGAAACCACATTCCTGAAACGCGTACTCCAGTATATATTGACATTTTGCCAGAGTCTAGTTCATTCTCAGTCTCAAGCTCACCCTCCTTGAACGCGCCGCGTACCATACGAGACATTGACTCCACCGTAACCTTCGTCTCACCCTCTGCTGTCATTGGCAAGTCATCCTATATAGTCTTATTGGATGGTGCACCCATACACAGCGAGGACACAAAACTCGAATGCGTTGGACCATATTTCGCTGGTTCTTCCGGTGATGGTCCATTGCTGTACAGCACAGCTCTAGTTCCCAAGTACTGGGAAACCTTGTGCAAATGTCCAGGTCTGTACTTTCTGATCTTGACGTGCAGCAGGCGTTTCATTGATTTTTTTTGCCCAAGACCCCACCGTATACACCATCATTCAGGATGTGTACCGTGCTCCAGACCCAGGAACTCCCACGACGTCCTCAGGTCGCCCGCGCCCTGTCGTTATCTTCTCTGCTACATACCACTTCCGATACACCTCTGTGCACACACACACGTCTTCCATGTCACCACAATTGGCATATCAAGCCAATTCACAATTTCCCGCAAACACTCATACTTCTCCCGATTTAATCAACCCCACCGGCCCACTCCCTTTCCAGAACTACCCTATGTCCTTGAACTTCTCGGAGGAAGGGAGGCTTCAGTCGCACGAACACAGCACGCAAAACGGGCTGGACGAGCCGTTCATATTGGATGGCAGCCTCGATAATTTTTCTTTGGATGACTTCATGATTAACATTCACGACTCGCCTAACACCACACCAATAGAAACGATGGCACAATCGTCGTCGTCAGGCTTACCAACGGATATCCGCAATTATGTGAGTAATTGACCCAATGAGGGTGACCTCTCACTTACATCTCCATCAGATCATGTAGCAAAGTAGTGCGCATAGTATGATCATAATATTGGCCTGTACTGTATGCTTGTGTACTTGTATCGTAGTCCCCCATTGATTGGGGCCAAATGCTTCCAGATTGTGTTTTTATCCCTTGACATTCGTCCTTCTGATGGCAATGAGAATCGTGGCGTTGCATTTCGCTAGTTTCTGCGGGCAATCCATTGGGCACTTAAATATTGTCATGATAGCCAATCCGGTGTGATGTCGGTCCATCACTGTGAGTATTTACTCGCCGCAAACTCTCTTGTCTCCGGGGTCAGGTCAGACAACTGATCGACGCCCCTGGGAATTCCTGAAATTTGGTCCTTCCCAGGGTCCACTTATCTTGCAGTGCGCGTCACCAAGTGCGTCGACTCACGTACGCATGGCCGTAGCTGCCGCCATTCCGTCCTATGTTGGTGATGCAAACAATGATCACAGCCCCTTACTCGGTGCTTTTCGTACCGCGTCCGCCGACCCAATTTTCATGTCAAGGAAGTGATCGAGAATGCTGGCGATGATGGGTTGGTAGGCGAGAACATTACCAAGCTGCTCCACAAATTTGCCTGATGATCAACGCCACTATCATAGGGGTTTGCATAAGGCGCCAGAGACATGAACTCTTGGCATCTCCGTGACTCCAGTAGCGCTTACCGCTGCAGCCGCCGGCGAGGTGTTAATTGAAAAGGCGTTGCTGCGCCTTTGGCGCCAAGCTCGGAGATGCCTGTAGATGTGCCTCGTTGGCAATCAAATGGGAAACACGAGGTGACGGAGGTGAGATATGTGGTAAAGACTTCCATTTTAGACCATCATTTTTTTTCAAGTGATAAGTATGCGATTGGATGCGCGGCTTACGTGAAAAGTCCCTCGTAATCTTTTGACGGCCCACGTTACATAGGTGGGCTTTTAACGTGGGTGTGCTGTTAGTGGGTGCCAAGATCAGGGCGTAACCGTGGCGCTTTTACAGTGGACGCGCCCACACTGGCATGAAGAGTAGCCTAACCCGTCGCATCAATATTATGCGTAAGGACCCTTCTGGACCTCGATGATATTAACTGTCGCCGTGTCCATGTCACTGGGTCAGCGTATGAGTAGCTTCATACCTTGCATCTGTATGAGCGGACATAATATGTGGGGTGAGGGCACCGTTTAGTAACAGGATGTCTGGATGGGATTTCTGCAAGTTAGGTAAAACTCAAGTCTTGCCATTTAGATCGTCAATATGTATCACTTACCCGGGGGCGAGGTTCAGGTGAACCTGGAGTGCTTGGAATCTATACGAACGAACACTAGCGCGATAGTGGTGTTCAAGTTGTTCGAGGGTTGAGAGCCGTGAGCCCCGTGACCGACCGATAATTTGGTGACTGGCGCTCGTGCCTGTGACCAAATAAATAAGTATCAACAACCGCGCCGCATAAGGCCCCGAATATTCGCCGCAACGTTAACACCTTCCCGGGACGTTTATATATTCCGGCGGGTCCGTCGATAACTCGCCTCTCTCGAATCCGGACTGTCAATTATGGTGTTCGGAACAAATAACTTGAATGCATATTACGACGAAATATTTGCGAAGACCTATGTCTAGATCTCCTTGAAATCCGTTCTGCAACACCAAATACACAAGTACCACGACGAAACTTGAAAACCAAGAAGAAAAAGCCAAATTCTCCTGCTCCCTGCATAGCACCAGATTACCGTTAACTTCATCGAGCATCTTCCGAGCTATACGCCACTGCCAGTCGATATATACACGCGCTCCTGGAAAGCGATTGAGGTCATGCCGGTTGCTGCATCAGAGTAAGCCACGAGCCGAGCGTGATATTCTCGAACGCTAAGGATGAGGCGTGGTCCTAGCACAAAAGACTGTATAACTTGCAAAATATGAAGAACACCAACAAAAATCTGAACTTCGAGGGAAAATAGGTCCTATAGAAATGATGAACCGCAGTCGCATGTAGAGGTCAGTGAAAGCTTGGCGTACCGCTAAAATCGTCGAAGACAAACTAACTACGAGGCTGAAGCAAGACACGGCAACGTAACTAGTAGCACGTTCAATCATTCAGCGGAAAAGGGAACCACATTCACAATATGAGCTTACCTCGCAAAGTAAAGCACGTGTGATTTTATCAACACCATGAAACAGTCGCCAATAATCCCTCCAGCCGAATGTTGTCGCAGTTCACGGAGGTGTTTTACAGCAATCCAAACTGCGAGACACAGCGCGAGGACCTCCCAGACAGTGCCGAGTATCCAAGTCATGGATAACAGAAGTGTGGAATTGTCCGCATCGCCAACCGTGCACGCATAGGTGCCAGAGAGAATGAGCTCCTCTTGTATTCATCAATGAGCGCCATGCACGGTTTTCATTTACAATTAAGTGTACCCCCTGAAGTATCCCTCGTTGTCATTACCATGGCCACTCCGTCGAAAATGTTGACAGCAAAGCACACGACGACGAGAAATATCAGGATCCTTCTGGATCGTTGATACATGGCATGTAACCGAGCGATCATGATGACTGCAACATGTTCCGGTCAAGTCAACATCTATGATAGTTCTTGTAACTGCACAACTCACCGCACAGCATTGGAAATATCACAACATCCGTCCAACTCCCCACGAGGTACAGAATCCGGCCTGAGAAATGCAGTTAGTGATGGGCCTTAGGTGGATCACACACTACAAACAGACTCACATCTGTAGCAGTCATGATAGCAGACGAAGAAGCTGGTCAAGAATGACACTCACCCCTAGTACAGGGTGTGGCGGTTAATTGAATGGGAACAGCAGGTATCTATACAGAAGACTCACCACATCTGTCAACAAAATCGTCGGAACATTGACTGTATGCCACTGGTCAGAAAATACAAACACGGTGAATGCGAGAAGACATACTCAGTATGACCAGGCTAATTGTGAGAGATAGCATATTAGCAGAACACCAACTGTTAAGTCTTCCGAACATACAAAGCAAAAAAAATTCCAAGATAGCGCACCTAGAATATTTTCAAGTCAGCACAACTTCACAACAGGCAAGGTACATACAGTCAGATAGAGGACAGTCATCCCTTACAATGTTGCCTCTATCGCAAATCAATATTGTTCTCCCGGCGTGGAACTCTGCTCACCCAGACCAGTTCGACCTACAAACAAATCTTAGCGAGATGGCTGCTCCGGTCATAGCGTCAACACACCTCTTGTCCGATGGTAAGGGCTGGAAATACCTTTGAGAAATCAACAATTTTCTCTAATGTTATTATGCTCACCGCAATCATACACCACTCCAACACCAGCAGCAACTGGAAAACCACAATCAAGGTCAGATCGAGACATCAACGCGAAATCTGACTGCTCTTCATGAACCTATAAAATAGCTGGCAATACGCCAAGAGTTGATGAGTGGCCAATAACTAGGGTCGTCTGAGACTAGTGTCATGCTGTTAGAGGATGGATGTGAGGGAGCGGGGAACTTGGTGGACATACAATATTATGATATTTGTGTTAGATATACTACCATCCAGCGCTTATATGGCCGAAGATCAGGGGATGATATCCGTTCCTGTGAATGGATAGTGTGATGTCACGTTCGAAGTGATGTAGCGTGCCCACACCCTCAACGTTGCAGCGCTTAATCAAATGAAAACTGCAAAACATGCCACCATAAATGCACCTTGCACGGGCGGAACGTTGAACACTTGAACACTGCAAAAGATGAATGAACGTAATTAATTAGTTGATTTTCGCGTCCCGGTGTTTGCAGATCAGGCAAGCACTTCGCATCATTATATCTGGTTCATCTGAATGGTCGTCCGAATCAGTTTGGTAGAAAACCAAACTGACCGGAAAAGTGGAGGACCTCAAGGGTCACATACTTGTTGAGGCAGTCTGCGTTCTGTCTCTCCCTCTCAACCTCCTGACCATCCTGTATTTAATTCAACCTAAACAGGCTCATCTGCATGGATAGAGCAATACACTTACTTGTATATTATATCATACTGTTAGAGATATCATAAGCAACTCCGCCCATATGGAGTTGACCGCCGACATACGCTCGCGATGCGACGAACCTACTTCCACTCGCCAAGAATACTTTCCATGGCCTCTTCCACAGCCCACGCTCCTACCCGCGCCCAGCGCGCATCCTCTCTTCGCAAACACCTAGTGATCTCCTCCGCTCCAACCTTGGCGCTCTTGCCCCTTATCCCCTTCGCACGCATGATCTCTCGAACAGGTCCAGCGAGCAACGCCGGCGTCACAGAAATATAAGCCTCGTCTTCCTCGCACATCGGTGGATCTGAGAGATATGCATCTTCTTCAGACATCGCGAACTTGGACGGAGAAGCACCGGTAGAGGAAAACATCGTGCTATTCGCGGTCGAGAACACAGTGTTATTTGCGCTTGAGAAACTAGCAGTGCTGTCCCCAGTCTTCCACAACCCGTTTGTATCGCCAGACCCATGAGAGCGCGACACAGCAGGGACGGGCATCAGGAGTCTATCACAGAGCACGATACTACCTTCTTCATACAGCTTTAACACCGCCCATGAAAACAGGCGCTTCATCTTCACACGCGGTGCATCTGTGGGCTTGGTCCTCATGTGGGTATGCGCAAGAGATTTCGATGAGGAAGCGTGAGTATATTTCGACTCGGAGGCTTTCTGCGTTTGCGTAGCTTTGACTTTCTCTGCCTCCTTCTCTGCTCGGGCGCGCCGCTTCATCTCGGTACGAACAACCCGGCCAGCTAGGAGTGCTAGTTCCGGAACGCGGCGTAGATGCGAGAGGGTGAATGCAGGGAGACGGGGAGTACTATCATTCAGAGCAGATGCGCGTGGCGTCCTGTCATGCGCTGTGTATACCGTCCGCGCCTTGGGGGTCTGGTCGGACGGGACGTGCGGCCGCTTAGTCGGCGTGGAGAACAAATCATCATCTACATCCCAATCAAGCGCCACAGCGGGCGCATGATCCATATAATGTTTGAGGTACAACCGAAATGTGTTCTCAGTCAGGTCTCGTGTATGTAAACGGGAAGGATGACGAAGTCTTGGTAGGTCCTGCAAAATGAGGTTAGGTGTTGATTGTATACGACGCAAGAAACTTACTGCGGATCCATGTTTGATTGGACTTGATGGGGCGGAGGTCGTGCTATCTGTAAGTGGTGAGGATGGGGCATGGGCATATAGTGGACGTTTCAAGGGAGTACGGGGCACGGTAATATTCGTCTCCGATGCCAACGCATAGCTTTGTCTGTTGAATGTAGTAGCTGGTAGTCTCCTTTCCTGCCAATTTCCGAGCTCTTCCGAACCTGTCTCACATGAAGAAACAACAAGAGGCGCTGGTATCTCAAACGGTTTCGGCACGGAATATCTCGACTTGTGAAGCTCCACGACAGTTTTCCAGTGTTTCCATTGGTCGTTAGTTGACTTGCATGGCTCTTCAAGTCCAATCACGCGTTGCATTTGTGAAGAGCAGCCATGGGGGCACGCTCAGCTTGAAGTAAAAGATATGAGGCGCAGCACTTACCAATAGATTCAACTACTATTTGTCTCGCATCGTGGAATCGAATGACTTTGCCAATTACTTGTACTGGGTAGCCAATAGCAGTGACAGCAGTGGGCGGTGGCGGAGGAGGGATAGATCTATTTAATCCATGCGACGTCGCCTCCCATTTGGATTTCTGAACCGAGCGACTTGCATCAGAATTTGTTGGAGCTTTTGGTGGCGAGGGATGACGAAGTACGCAGTCTATGACAGCTGTAGAATCGTCGACTATCGATCGAACTCGGTAAGTACTCAAACGCTTAACCACAAAAACTGTTCACTCACTAGTGTACAATGTCCGTTTCTCGTAGTCCTGGATTCCAACCACTATTCCAACGATAAGCACTGTTCGACAAGGAATATGCCCCAGCCAGTAGAAGTCGGTATCTGGTCCCACGGGTGGTTTTAGTAGGTGTTGTGGTTAAGGAAACGAGGCAGACCTCTGGCATTGCTTTCCTTCATCGAGAGGGCGTCTCTGATGAAGCATGGAGCTGTCGCTTCCTTGGTGAATGTCCATTTCCAGATGTCTTGTGCGGATAGAGATTTGCTGGAAGAACTCATCTCGGTGGACTCAAAGTTGCCAGTAATCTTAGCCACGGGTGGGTGAGGAAGGGGTCGTGACGCGTAACTGATCATGACACGTCCACGTGATCATAATGTCTCGTGACGGCATCTGCAAAGTTACAGCTAAACATAGTCACTAGCACCAGTGTACATAGTTGCACAACCTGCTGGAAGCTACTAAAGACTAGGTCCTATTTCCAAAACATCTCCACACCAATCCTCATCGCGACTTCTAGGAGTTTGTTGCCATGTATCTAGGGCTATACTATCACCGAGGACCAATCCCCGTCCACGATCCGATTTCCAGAGCTCAAGATGCATCCGTGTAATGAGAAGGGCATGTACCGTTGCCTGCACGCTTTGATACCGTCCTAGTGAGTATCTTGCTCCGCCGACACCAACACAAACGACGTACTTCGAAATCATGTCGCCGTACACAAGCTGGAGTGCCAACAAGTAGTACAGTAAGCCTAGAGCCTAGCTAATGGAAATGAACGCGTACGGGAAGAAACCCTAGGGTCAGGATGAGAAGGAGTGAAAAGACTGTTTAAATGGCCTCAGCCATAAGCACGAATTGCCAAAAATGTTGCACTACGCACCAAGTCCGCAGATGAAATAGAATATGTTGTGCTGAATGAGAATACTGAGCAGGTGATTGCGGCTTGTAAGGCCTTTGTAATGTTTGATCGAGCGGTATAGCGTGAAACATAGAATTTCTGTGAAGAACTGGTTAAACTTGATAGATATATACAATATTCAACGCTCACTCACCAAACTCGCCAACCACTAGCAAGACATAGGCTACAACAATGATGCGACTTCCGCCGACATTATAACAGCTGGTGATGTTGGGTATCGGAGGTTCAGTTACTTGTAAACATATCAGTTGGTGCGACTCTTCGGCAACGACGGGAACACATACTTTCCGTTGAGTTGCCAAAGTTAGTCATGAGATAACCAACTGGAATCATAATTGCCTGTGAAATGATCATCAACTCAAACCGTTACTCAATAGGGACGCTTGAGAGAGATCAAAGCGTACGACAGCGCTACATGTGAGAATGATCAATATCCTCCTGCTTCTTCCCCAGATGGCGTACGTTCTCGATATGAACATACCTACAGTTACAATGTTTCATCATGAGAACAATACATAATGAAGGTCAAACCCACTTTCCGCAGTTACCAACGTAATTCCCTCAAGCCCTGTACATAAATGAGATGATTATTAGTCTTAGACGCTTCTAACACACTGACACGAGTTCATCACGAAGTATGTCTCGCATAGCTGTTTGACACGTCAGACATCGTACAACACGCTCTGAAGAAAGTACTTCACACTCAGTGGCAAGGCGGGTTGCAAAACCTCTATATATAACATTTTCAATCATGCGAACAGTTATATGAACTCAGGCTCACGGTAGGTATCTGTCGCTAACAGCACAAATGGCAGATAGCGGCACACCAGATACAACATCTTGACCGCCCCCCACCTCGACTTGCGAAGATATGCCAGCTTCGAAATGGTTGAGCTGGGAATCGCAAAAATACCAATGACCAGAGACGATGCACCTCATCATCGAATTTGATGATATAGTCATAGACCTTTGTAAATGTCAATTGAAAGGCACACAGAGAAGCTCCGGTAAAAACACGGACCCATATTACAGTTGCGGACACTGGGTTGATACATTTAATGTCTGGTGGTTAAAAAGTGTGTTTCTCTCACCATAAGCGTACTAAACAGTCAGAATATGTAAAATCACCATTTGAATGACTCACGTTTAGATTCAAAAGAGAATGTCCTACTGCGATTTCAGCTGGCGTATAGAGGGTCATGGGGAAGAGTATCAAACGGCGTACCACTGCTCTCAAGCACTATCTTTAAGTAGCCAGTATATTTAGGCACAGGAATTCGATGGATCCTTGCTGATGGGGGGCGCCTCGGGTATGTGTGTGAATGGTGGGTAGTCCACTTGCACTAGCACAGTCTTATGTTGCAAGGACACAATTGCGCTCATCGTCACTGCGTATATTGGACGCAAATCATGAAATGAAGTTACTTGTCAAGGCCCCGTAGGACTTATAACCAACGGCACGGCATGACGCACCAGACACATCAGGGCCCATCTCCCGTGAGATTCACAAGTGGAATGACCAATCATTTGCTCTCGAAATTCTGCCCAGGATATTGCTTGCAAGTATAGTTGATGAGGTGAGTTATTCTCGGATTTGAGGCCTTGATAGGGCTTGGCTGATATCTTGGTAGTGCGCGTAAAGCGGTCTTGCCATGCCGGGCTGAGAAATGTCTCTTCGGCAGACACCGAGACACCCACAATATTCCTGTGCACCGGAAAGATAGACCCCCGCACGGAAACATGCCTTCATCAACGCCACCGAGTCCCAGCCCAGTGCCCGTATCACGCCTCCACGCGCCTCCATGCCGCCGGCCGCGATGCGATATCTCCTACAACCAGGTCCCCGACCCCGATTGTCGCTACCGCTCAGGCTAAACGATCTCGTACTTCTGGTACTGGATGTGTTCAAGTAAAACGTAGAGCAGAGGCGCATGTCGCTGTGCATTTCCGTGGTGGGATTGGAGGGACTAGCTTCAAGCAATTGGGGGCTGGACGTGCTGGACATGTATGGAAGGAAGGATCGTGGAGAAGTTGCGATGACTCATTTCACCACCCTCCATCTGGTGGACACCGCTGATGGTAAAAATGTAGGTCATTTGCACCACGAGTCAGATCTATGTGAATCTCACCCATTCAAAATGAGCCGATAAACTGAGAGCTAGACCTGCGCAGCAAACACCATCGGATCTACGAAAAAAAAGGTGAAGTTTGTAATGTAAAGCCTCAAGACTTTTAGCAAGGCCGAAATCATTGCTAGAGGCACAAAAATAGGTTAATCGTTGTCTCTCTAGTAGTGACTCCACCCAGACGTCAAGTTTTCTCATGCGTTCTCAGGATAATTCTGCATCACGCGTTTGAGATCCGTGTCAGGGACTCGACTAGCCATCTGGCATCGACACCTTCATGAGCCCCATGTCATCCAGTGGCTTTGTAGGATCTAGAGTGAGCTGGAAACCCAAGGAATAAGGACTGAGTTTATGACCACCGATCTGTACTAGTCGAGATGAGCTCAAAATATCGTGTGCGTGGTAGGATGGCTTTACCGGTTCGCAACGTGTAGACCGAGAGAAATGCTGGAAGACTATGGGAAAGAAAGAACATCCCCGAAAGACGTTACTTACGGCCGACCAAACCCAAGACAAAAATAAAATCGTCTCTCAGTCCACCTTGCTCGTTGATCCAGTGCTGAGGCTTGGACGCGCAAGGTTCGGGATAGACTTCTGGATCTCGAGATGGCCCTAATTGTGAAGCAGTAATCGTTAGGCCAGGGGCTGCCGAATACTGTGGTCCCAGATGGAACACGACAGTTTTCCTGGTGCAAGATTATCATTTGTGCAATAAGTTGTTTGGAGATCACTTGCCCAAATCACATCTGTAGTAGGTTGTTCGGTTGGGGAATCCTGCAACGCAAAGGATGTAAATTTCAGGTACACAACCACGACAACGAGAAGGAAGGCTTTCAGACGGGGAAGGGATTGTTGATCGTCGAAGGTCGGTGTTTTAGTGGATATGTATGATTGAATCGAGTTACCTCGGTATCTTCCAATGACCGCATCGAGCTCAGCCTGGACTTCGGCTTGCTCCTCGGGGAAACATGCGGCAGTCACGAGCACCGTGCATATTATCACACTAGTTTGACCCACGATTTGAACAACATATCTTCGGAAACAACTAGAAGGGCACTCACCGTATCTGATCCAGCTGCAAAGACAGCACCAGCAAGAACACCCATATCTGTTTCCGTCAAGTCACAAAGACCGTCTTTGTCTAGCATGTATTTCCCGAACGAAGGAAAGGCCATATCGGTCTCTTTCGCGCTATAGAGTTGGTCATTCTCTAGCATATGTTTTGCGAATGAAGAGGGCCGATGTCCACATTGCTCTGCTATGGAACGATTCAAATAACGTGTGGATATTGGCAGGGCAGGGCATGCTAATTGCTCTTTCACGATTCAGCTGCTTCGTGTAGAGTTGCCTGCTTTGCTCATGCTCCCGTCTCGGAATTCTTGCCAGGCCATACCAAGAAGACGCAGGGGAGAATGGATGAACAATATTTTGATGTACTAGTACCAACACTCACCACAGTATATATATCCGTCAAGTCACCTAACTTTGATGTAGATGCATATGGTCAGTAGTATATATTCAGGCCGTTAGCAACGAATCCAACGATCGTGAATGCTATTAAAATTCGAAGGAGCCTTATATAAGCGCCAGCGCTAAGAAGAAAGAGTTTACTAAGCAAATCATTGGTCCAAATCTTCCTTCAACTTCCTCGAATGGCACTACGCCGCACTGGTGGCAGGGATACAGTTTGCCCGCCCATCGTCGCTGTGCATATCGAGGATCCTTCATCACGGTAAGATCCAAAGCACACTGGGCAACGCATTGACATGTACACCTGGCAGGTTAGCACTTATCTCTCGCGCCAACATTATAATGAGAAGCGGATATTTTCTTGACCTTACCGTATTGTTCTACTAGTATTTGCCATGATGGTGGCTCGTTTGTCGCCACTCGAATCAATTCAAAGTGGTTGGTTTTTGCAGTAATTGCAATCATAGTGGCGGCTCGCACTTGGATATTTTCTTCATCTTAAATTTTCTGGAGTTCACTTGGCCCGTTGGATTTGACTCGGGAGAATCTTCCTTGTACCTGGGAACTCCTGCGAAGCTGGATGCCACTGTCATCGTCTATCAGTTGGTATACCTGACGAGATGAGTGACTTGAATTTGGGGACCGATGACTACGACCTTACAAGTTCTTAATCTTCATGACAGTGGGAGCTTGGTACCGTAATAGTGTACATGCGTTCGACCTGAGAAATCTCTCTTGGTCCGGAAGAATTAGTGTCAAAGGGCTCTCAAACGGGTGTCCTCTCCGTCATCAGGCCAAAACATCTCCTCAAGCTCCACAACTCTCGCCCAAATACTCTCCATCGCACGTACAGCTGAGCTCGAAGGCCCATGGTGACGTCTCGCGAAGTGCCTGTTTGCCAGATCCTCCACCTTCTGGACAAAGTCTTCGAACTCCGGTGTCGTCCAGTTGTTTGTTAGTTGGCGGATCGCATTCGCAGTATTGTCTTCTGAGACGTTTTGAGGAGGGAGCAGGGATTTTACATACTTCCATGCGTCGAGATATACCTAGGGAGCCTGTGTCAAGCAGCGTAATTAATATCAAATGCGAAGTGCACACACCTGTTCCATTGCCCATAGAAACACGAGCCCCTCTTCCAACGAACCAACAGATGCTACCCTTGCCATCTCAGCTGTGTAGTCCCGCGTAGCTTTCCGTTCGCTCCACCCATTAATATCTAATCCCCATTCCTTTGCAACCCCTTCGAAGAAAGCAACCTCGCGAATAACTCCCTCCAAGCATATTGTCAATAAGGCAAGAGTCTCTCTGTTTAATTCCTCCTCAACAGCAGGTCCATCGAAGGGAATTTTTGAAATGAGCAGACCAATAAAACGTGGATATGCGTGGGCCGCATAAATGCGATCCTGACAGAGCCACAGCGCAAGGCGGGCTGGAGATAGGGTCAAGGTACCAGCAGCCCTAAGAAATTCGTGCTGAGTAGCTGCGCTGTATGACCTCAGAGTAGTGTTTTCTTTCAGATGATGCGTGATACCAGTTTCACGTAAAGCATGCATGTCTGGCAATGTGGAGGTGAATGGTGAAGGTCAGCTCAGTACGTGGGTAATGCATAACGTCAGGTCATGCGAATTATCTTATCTTATCTTATCTAGTTCTTCACTTTCCTGGCAACTCAACTTCCCAAACGCGCACACATCCATCGGCGCCAGCGCTCAAAATGCGTCCCGTCTTTTTACCATCGGTTACATGTGCGTCACCGAGCCAAACGACACAGTTAACGCCCCCTGGACACGCCCCTTTAACGAGAACGCGTTTCGAGGTGTTTTCCAAACTCCAGACGTAGACATTGGTGTCAAGAGATCCCGAAATAACATGCGTCGGAGGTGACGATAGGGCCGGCAAGAACGCCAAGGAAGATATGCGTGCGGTGTGCCAGTCCCAGCGAGTCGGGATAGGCTGGCGATCCATCATATTGTTATTATTTCAGCGTGCCCGACGGAGTGTTTAACAAAACGTACCTCGCCCGTCTGTGAGTGATATAATGCAATCTTTCCGGCAGACTGCAGACGCGATATTGGTAACGGGCACCTGAATTATAATTTGTGCTTGAATACTCACATTTCCTTGCACTATCAATGCCCCGTCACTTGAAACCACCAGCGCAGTTATCGTGCCCTCAGATTCTGGCAGTACCCGTTTCTCCATCAACGTATTGCCGTTCCAAGTGTAGACGTGCACGCGCTTATCCTTGAGCATGAGGAATCAAAAAAAATCACAGCGTATAAAACGGAGGTGCCCACTTCTCCACCAACTGCGACCACATTTTCCCCAGCGCCCACTGCACTTGGCGCATATGATGGCTTCAGCTCGAAAACTCGTTGATTGTTACGGATTGCCTCAACGGAGCTGATACCAGCGACAAATACAGTTTCATCTGACGTCACTGCCACAGACTTGGGCTGCGACAATGAAGGGATGGAAGCAGGCCTATCACACCCATTTCAATAAAACGACAACGCGGAGCGGGAAATAACAGACGTGTATGCGTATCCTTCAATCTCTCGGACCTGATCATCATAACCTGTGGTGAATACCTTCCCAGAGCCTGCGGTCGCCATGCCAGATACAAGACTGGTGTGTAGTGTGCCCCCCACCAGCTGAACGGCATCCGAGGGTGATGTCGAGTTCGCGTCGTATGAAAACACTCGCCCATCAGCTGACCCAGCAAAGAACGTGCCCGAAGATGTTGACGAGGCTGCGGTGATCGCTTTCTGTGGAGCCTGCACGAAAAGTGTCACGCGAAGCACCATGAAATTGGGGAGGGATTGCATACCTGAAGGATGCGAGTTGGCTTATCGCCCGTCCGCGGGTCAAAGACGTTCAAATCACCAGACATGGAGAGTGACACAAGGTCACCAATACCACTCCAGACACCGCCGACTTGCTGGTTGGGCACCCCACTTCCAACCGTCCAAGCCTGCAACAACTTGCGGGCCTCGACGTCCCCTAAATACGGAGTTCAGTCAAGGAAAGCGCATTACTTTGTAGTGCGCACATAGTCTAACAGTGCAATCCAGAGAAGTAGTAAAGAATGACTTGCTGTCTGGGCTCCAAGAACAGGACATCTGAAGAGACAATGTGAGTCACCCAAACTAAGAAAATGCTTCCATTAAGACTCACAATGGTACCTTTGTGTGGGCTGTCAGTAAGCTCTGCGACCGTGTCACCAGTCCTCCCATCGTACAAGAAGATCTTGGAGTCCGAGCCCACGCTAGCGAAGTGGTCGCCTGAGGGTCCAAATTGAACATCTTGCACAAATTTGGCGTGCGTTCTGATGGTCTTCACACTGTTTATAGTCAAGACTCGTACACTATAAAGAAGTTTCAGACCTTATCATATTTGAAAGGGACGCCTGAAGGATGCCGAGAATTTAGTGTTCATTCTATAACTTTAAAAGGTCGGGTACCTTGATGAAAGACGATAGAGTTGTCATCGGAGGCGGTGGCCGCCCTAAAGGGACGCTGATACCTAATTGAAACAGCGTTGATGACCTACTAGAGATGACCTTGCTGGTTCACGAAAATGGCAACGACAAACCTTTGAGTGTCCGCTGATTTGACCCGTCGAGGAGCCGGAATCGGCAAGGAAAGCGTGGCCAAATCTTGAAAACCACTCTTAGTCTCTGTCTGATATGCACGAACATCCTGCGTACTTCTCTCTGCCATCGCCAACCGCAATTATCCGCTTGCTTTCGCCATCCCAAGCCAGGTCGTTCCTACAGATTGAGCACAGATGTCAGCTAGATAAACTTCCAATAAGCAGAGCATGCTACTTACACTTTCCCGGAGAGAACTTTGTATTCTCCCTTCACAGATTGGTCCTCGCCTATAGTGTCCCATATCTTGACTGCAGGATCACAGATCCGACTTGATCAGTGACTGTGTTCATCAGATGTGATACTGGTAGAGGCGCACCTGTTCCAGTAATGTCTGCGGATGCGCAGTAGAAGCCAGATGGAGAGAAACGTGCAACAGTCGTGTTGTATGCGTGACCAGAAAAACTTGTTGATAGAGCGGCGTTCTAGGTGCAGTAAGTATCAGCATTGGACGATCACGAACATCATCAACAATCCTCACCTTAAGGTCACGAATCTAGAGACTCATGAGCGAATAGCATGAGACATATGAAGGGCGACGACGCACGATCACAGTTTTTCCATTGGCATAAATGACCTTATCTTTGCTAGCTGAAAGCTTTGTCGATGTTCCACGCACGGTATTGGGAGAGCAAGGATATAAAGCGATTCGCTTAGATGACATTGCAGGGGTTACTGTAAGTGGGTCTAACAAGATGTGTAGATTGATCAATATCTGAAACCAAAGTCTAGGCTGTCGCAGCAACGCTGCGGATGGTCGTGTCAGGGGAAAGACAAATTAGGAAATTGGCAACCATCAGCTTGACGAGTCCTTAGCCAACCAAGAGGTCTGGAGTAGAGGTTTACAGTCTTGGTTCTACAAATGTTAGCAGGGTCATCTGCTCTCAGTACTTTACAAATCTCAAGAAAAGTCTCAAGAGCAACACAAAGTGCTAAAGCAGGGGGAAAAGGTGACAAAGTGAAAATGTGGATCAACAACGTAGCATAACCGCCAATAGCCTACAGCCATGAGGAAAAGAAAGCTTAAGCAAGGGGGGAAAGACCATTTAGCCATCTCGTGGACATTCTTCGGTAGAATAGTTCTTCAGCGGATCTTTTCTCAATGCTTCTGCTTCAGATCCAATCATGGGTCCTCCTCCTACAGTTTTTGGTTTCATCACCGTCTCAGGTGCAATCATTGCAGCCGACGTGCTCATTTCCGGCTAAATCGATCAACCAGCCGTCAACAACATTTGCGCGCCACACAGCAAAGCTTACTCACCTCATCTCTGAAGGGTGTGAATCGAGGAGTGGACGGAATGCCGCCACCGTCGGGCATGTCATGGAATGGTATAACGGCACTGGTCCTCGTGGGAGTCTTTGGTAGTGCGTCCTTCTGCCTCGACATGGGAACGGGAGGTGGGGCCATCACACCCTTCGCTTCCATGTCTGGTCCGGGGTCTCTGAAAGGCACAATTTTTGCTGCCACTGCCCCCGAATTTGACCCAGACGCGATTCGTCGAGTGCGACCTGCCTGCTTTAAGGTGCTGCCCGCTACTTTGCTAACCTCCGGTATATTTTCTTTCACCCGAGATTTACGTGTTCCGATATCAGGATATGGTGTGACTGAATCCGTTGCGTCCGCGGACTCTGCTCCAGAAGGATCAACGAAGATTTGGAGACGAGCGTTTGTGCCTAGCCGCGGCCCGGGTCGAGACCCGTGGACCTCGGTTTGCGATGACGACGAAGGAGCTCGAGAAATAGATGCGAACAAAGGTGCTGCGTCAGAAGATGAGGAGGTCACACCCAACGCTGTTCTACGACTTGGAGCATTTGGGGCGGGCTGCGGGGGCATTGAAGCTGCGGTCATCATTCGCTTCTGAAATTCACCGTGCTTGGCTACAAGTCTATCAAGGGGGGCAGCCTGACGCGCAATTCCAAGTAGATATGCGGCATCTGCCTCACTGCGTCTGCGACGAAAACCTGCCTCAAAACGAGCCTTGCGTGAAATTAGGCTAGAGCTTACCGTCCGGCTCTTTCAAGTGCAGCCGCGTGTTCCTCATAAAGCAAAGCATGATTGGTTCCAATATCATTTGCGAGCAAAAATTTGTAGATGGTAGTCGGTTTCTCCACATAGCTCGCGTAAAGTACCCAAAGTTTGAGGTACATCGACGTCCCTTTCCATCGTCCGTTTCGGTTGTCCTTTAATATCCTTGTCGCCTCTTCCAGAAGCTCTAAGAGTCCAGACTCTGCACTTTGTCCTTGGGGATAGTTTTCGACAGTCCATTGAACAAAACGCGAGTAGGCTTCCAGTGGATCATCATCATCATCTTCAAGTGCGATTTGGACGTTCATACGAAAGCGCTTACGCGCTGCAAGTAGTTGCGCATCCCGTTGGGCGTGAGGAGTCTGCAGGATAGCTGAAAGAGTGGTAACTCGACGACCAGATGCAAGTGGCTGGATATTCTCTTTAGCTGCCTCTAGAACGTCACAGTCCACGATCACAGGAGCTTGCGTGAACACGTCGACTTCTGTATTCTCCATGTGCCAGAGAGAAAGTTTTGGATTCAGAGTGAAATTTTGGTTAGTAGATGGTTGTAACTCGTCACTGAGGTGCTATTCATAGTGGCAACAAAACAAAGCTCAACAACGCGCTGTTGGTCACGTGAAATACGCGTGACTATCGAATATTCAATCATTGAATGTCTGGACTCTGGATTCTGAACTCTGGACTCTGGATTCTGGACTCTGGATTCTGGACTTGGATTCTGGACTCTGCAAGTTGCGCCGCGTGCACGCCACGGCGCCCCGATATCGCAGCTCCGGTCTATTATGCATATCACGTCACGGGTGCCTGGGTAAACATTCAGTATGTTTGTATACTTACTGTCTTCGACAGAAACATTTTAAATTGGAGACTTACTAGTGGTCGCGGCCTATGACACCTGCACACTCCTGAATGCGGATTCCAAGATTGTCTTCCTTTGTCTATAATGGTCTGGCCAGGGGAGACTATATGGATGCATATGCGAAACTTCCGAAATCCGAGGTGATGTTGTTCACACTAACTCATTTGTTACCTTATACTCATATCTCCAGCTTGGCGATGCGACAGGAAATCCGAGGTGATGTATATTCAAATTGAACCCACTTCAATAGACGGCATAAATACACCCGCCGACTCATTTTTGGGTCGCTCATCTTTCGCCAAGCACGGATACTGTATGCGGCCGTCAGAAGCGCCGATCAGCAGGGTGGCAGAAAGTGATTTGCCATGGAGCCTCAAGGGCTGCTCAATGACAGAAGGGTCCACAAAATAGCAAGGTTCCTAATAAACCCCAGTGCCATGTTTTTGTTCGGCTGCTGATTGGTTGCTTCTCAGGCTGTCAGTGCATCATTGCCTGGCCATGGCCGCATCTCACAGACTCGCCATGGCCTATCGAGGATGCCATAATAACATCGCATAAGAAAACCTTGATGCTGAACGTCCACTGTCCAGTATCCGTTCTCATGGCTCATGCCATCACCACAAGACCCTCGGCAGCGACATGGTGCTCATTCCAGTAATACGGTCATATGTTCTGCGCAGTGCGCACCTCATCTTGGACTGTCTACTGGCGCTAAGCACGGATTTTTTGACCCAATGCTCTTGGCTACGAGTTATTAATTCATATATGTTTTGATTCAATGTAGGTACTTAATATTTTCAGCTGGACCGCTTTCAGGATCATCAAAAATTTACGACTGTTATATTATTATGACATATGACATATGATCCGCTCTGATAATCACTTGTGTCATTTTCTTTGTTTTGACAGTCGATGTCATTCACGGCGATTGCAAACCGACAGTTGGTCTAGATGCATTGAGCGCTTGGAGAACATGACATGTGTAGCGCAGAGTAATCATTTATCAGTATGCCACGAACACGATGTCATTGTCAGACTTCAAACCTCTGCAGTGGATGTTCCATGCACTGAACCGAAGTGTTATTACTATTATTGTTACGTACCGCTCACCGTTACCTGAGCTTGCGGAACCGTAGCGGCGAATCTAAGTCACACGCACTCAAAGAGACTTTCGAACAAAATTTTCTAACCAATGATACTGAAACACGAGGGGGATATGCTCTCCTCTATTATGACACGTGTCTTCCTATTTGATACCAAAAAAACCTGACTTGGCGCTCAGTTCAATGTCCTCCCGAACATGGAAGGTCGTTGCCGTCAAGGGCGCAACCTTGCGTTTTTGGATTTACATATATTATATAAACTAATGGCCAAATATGGTTTTCTCCTGAGCTCTTGACCCGAGCGCCTCGTTAGATTCGAGATGTGTGGCATGGTTTTCGTCACCATTTGATTTCTTTGTCGTAGCTTGCCGTAGGGTTTTCATAGACGCCGTGAAAGTAAAGTTCAGGTTCCACCCATTGAGTGCAGGGAAGGCGGCTCGTATCATAATCGCATAGTCACCCGCGGCGACAAGCTCCGAAACAAAAAGATTATCTACATGCATGAATGCTACTTACGCCAAGTAATCTGAGTCTCAGACTCTGAAAGCACTCATATTAAGTTACGTATAACTGAACAAAGTAAAATATACTTATCAAGTTTCAATCAAAATTTCACTGATCACACCAAGGCTCAAAGTAACAGAATTCAACGTGATATTGGCTACAAGTACGACTTGAAAGTCAAAATACCATGATCATATGGATCGTTTCTAAATGATAAAGAATAAAAACATCTTCAGTACGGTCACAAAATTCACAGGTCGTGCTAGCGCTCAAAAACTCGTACAGGTACGTGACAAATTATTTGTGTTATCGTTGCGATAAATAGGTCCAGAGCTTGGGCACCGCGGAAGTTGATTAATGGGCGGGGCCGACGACCTCCTGCTTGACCTTTGAAAGACCAGCAATAGTAGCGTCATCGAGGCCAAGATGTGCTTTAACAAGCTCAGGTGGCGTCAGTGCAAGCCACTGAGTCAGAGAAATATCCTGGAACAAGCCTGTATTGTGGGGGAAAATGAGTTTGACGTGGCATAAGGTTTGAGACGCCGAACCTGATCTGAATATTTCCAGAAACACTAACGTGGAATTGCCGAGATTCTCAACGTAATGGCCTAAAAGATATTTAGAAGAGATGTCGGACTCATCATCACGTTAAATCATACCATATGATGGTGGGATGTATGCGATATCGCCAGCCTGAAAGCAGAGAAGCACTCGCAGTTTGAAACTGCTGATCCACATGTTTGGATAGACGCTTACCTGGAAGTTCATTGTAGTTGCCTGAGCAGAAGAAGCATAAACAGTAATGCGAGCATTGCCTGAACTGGAAAGGGTTTAGCTAGACTAAATCTCATGTGAATCTGATACGCACATGAAGTAAGTCCACTCAGGTTCCGTGGGGTGCCACTTCACAAACAAAGCTAAGTAATGTTGTGTTCTCAAGACAGAAGGATATCCTTACATGAAGCTCCCTAACAACACAGTGGGTTAGCTCGGGCTCTGATAAGGACATGTAAGAGTCACAAACCTCATGCCGCCCACCTCGACGGTTACTTCAGCACTGCAGACTGTGGTAGAGACAGGGAAGGTGCGCGTGTCTACGACCTTGTATGAACCTCCTGATGCCTGCGTTGCGTTCACCTGTGACATGGCGAATGTGAAAGGCATCGGGGTATCATTCGGAACCACCATGTCCGACTCGACATTCACGGGAGGAGGTGTAGCTAATGGAGAAGTGAGTTCATACGATGACTATCAATGGGAAAAACTTACACGGGAATATGTACAATTCACTTGCTGGGATGTGATCGAATGCTGAAATATTTACCTGGAAGTTCTTTGCGATAACCTCTTTGGGCACATGGGCCAGCCAGTCCTGTTGATCACGTTCAGCCAAGGACCCCACACACCAGACAAACAACTGACCGTAAGAAGGAAGGTGGAATCTTCACTAAATGTGCCGGAGTCGAAGACCAACAAAAACTCTGCGCCGCCAGCTGTGGTGTTCTTGGCCTGAATACTGAATCACAGTTCAGCTCATCGCCTCTGTGAAAGAGAGACAACACATACCTGTGGGGATAACCTGCAGGGAAGTACCATATATCTCCTTGTGACTGAATCGCAGTTTAGGCGAAGTATACATGAGCGGGTGGGATGTACTCACAACATCACCGACGTAAACTTGACCGTCTGGTGTCACAGTGCTGACACGAAGGTCACCCGAAATAATATATGCCCACTAATAAGAGACTGTTAGCATCACTCTCAGCAGTTTTAAGAAGTTGTATACCTCGCCATCATTGTGCCAGTGCATCTCACGGATGGCACCTACTTCCAGACGCATATTGACACCTGCCAAAGCAGTAGCGATACCCATGGCATTTACTAGCAAATCGCAAGTTTCATCAATTGTAAAAGAGGAAGCCATGACATGAAGCACATACCATTCTGCTGCCTTGCCCAACCACCAGTCTGAAGGCGGTTGTGGCTTAAGGAAAAAGGCCACTTAAAATTCGGCCTAGTATGGACTTTGAGAAATGAGAAAACACCGTGTAGCATGTACCTTACACAGATCCACTATCGGTCGTAGGAGGTACAAAGAGGTCGGGGTTTTGCAGCTCTATTGGAATATTTTGGGGTCCAAGGATGGAAGCCCCAAGGGTGCCGCGAATAGGTTCGGGGATGATGTTCTCGGATTCATTCCACAGAGGGAGGTTGGGGTCATCACTGGCGTAAGGAACAGTTGGGCTAGCTGCCGGAGCTGAAGTCACCGCTGAACTGGCAGCTGGGATAGCAATTGCAGATGACAGAAATGCCAAAGTCGAGAAAATTCGGCACCACGAGTGCATTTTTTGGAGTATGCAGAGATGAACCAAGAAACTTAAAAAATTACACTGAAGGAACTAAACATTGGAACTGAGTCCATCCTTTTATATGCTTTATGGAACCGAGGTTCCGTCATTATTATACATAACGTACCAGGAAAGGACCGCGACTCACCGCACCATAATTGATTACGAACACATCTGGTTGCGATAATTCCGGATGTATTAAAAGCAGCACCGTGTATCCGTGCAAGTAGAGGAACCCCAAGGACGTTACCGGTACACCACATGATGAAATCTTCGCAGGAGGTTGGTCTCAGCTGGCAGTACATTGTCGTCGTTTGGGAGTTTATTTTTGTAACATTCCAGAACAGGTCATCTTTGGCACGTTGTCCGACCCTGTTTGTCCAGCGGAAGAAGTTGATCAAGCCAAGTTGGTGGTACCGTATTGACGCTCTCCTGTTAATCTCCAAACTGACTGGCCTAAAGCTTAAAGCTTTGGGTTTCGCTGGCAGCCCCAGACTATCTATCGATATCGTCAAAACCTGCCCACTGATCTTCGTGAATTTCTGTTTTGTCGATCAGAAACAGCTCGTGGTCGTATGGGCGGCAGAGTTCCGACCCCACCCGTTGGACAAGTTGTCTAAGAAAAACTCATCGGGAGGCGCTTTTCGACCACCTTGACTTTTTCGGTCGGCGGCGTTGTCCAAGAAGACGCATCCAATTCACGGAATAGTCCGACCATTCATGGGAGTCAGACGGAACAGTGGATTAGGTAAAGCTCAACCATGTTGAGTCGTTATCGATCTTTCCTAGGATCTTTGCCACAGCCAAGAAATTGTTCACACTACCAAGCTGGAGACTTTGAACTCACTCTAGGCGAATCCGGGTCTCGGAATGCAAGCATTATCTTAGTAAGATGAGAGGCGTTCTCACTGGATCATCGATCGCTTTCGCGCAGTTGACCGTTCCTGGTGGACTGGACAGCTGATACCGACCTGTGTGACAGATCAACTTGGTCTGGTACACTGCGCCACGCTCAACATGAAATGTAAGTCGTTAACTCTATAATTGTTCGCGTTTTTTGATTGCCGCGATTTTATATGGGCCAACCTATCACGCGCGGGATATTTGGGATTCAACAAAGTCGATCACTGATCAGGAACACGGGATCCTAATTTAACCCAGTGGCTCAACGTTCCAAGCCTAACCCTGAGTATGACGAGTCGCGCTGGGAGGTCCCTCACCTATGTCATCATTCTATGCCCAACCGGACCGTTTCATCGATAGGCTCCTTGCCACCAAGCTAGGCCCATTTTATCATAGAATATCTCTTCACTTTAGTGAGTCCACGGATTTCGTACATTTTACGGACCATCAGCTGCATTGTTCAATCCAAATCTGTCATACAAAATGTTCTTGTGACCAGTCCCTAGATGCTCATGTGGAGCCCGGATTTCCCTGCTTTGGCTGAATTGGTACGTTCCTTTGCGCGACTCCGCATTATGCTTGGCCGGCGGTACCAGAATTCGTTTCCTCGTGCTTCGTTTCCTCGTGCCTGTCGATTTCTTGCGGGCATCACGCTGCTTACATCCATTCTGGCATGTTGTGATTGGTGCATATACTTTGATTTACCAAGTTGTTCTTCTCGATTAGATGAATCGCCGCCGGGAGACTCGTCACTGCTCATTGCTCAGCGCTCGATGACGGTTGAGTCTCGGCTTAGGGGGGCGAACACCCTGGTACTAGTAAGTAACCACTAGAATGTTGTGGCACGCACTAGGACTAAACACGCAAAGTTGTGCATAGTTCAAGTGAACACTATGCTGTGCGAAATGCATTTTATGAACATTTCAACTGCCCCGAGTCCGCGGCCATAGGTAAAATCCTGGCATTCGTGTCGTAAGTACCTTGAGGAGGCCCGACTGTCACCACGCGTGTTATCCGGGATCGGGACATGGTCGCAATATGCCAGCAACTCATGCGGCTGACTCTCTCGGAGTCTCTCCCCCAACCAATTGTAAAAAGGAGACATATGGCTTCGTGCTTACATTCATCAATGAATTATGTACTGTTCCTGCCATAATTTATCCAATTCTCCAGTATCCTGATTCCTGAACCCTTGCCGCTGTATACAATTTTATTCATAATAACACATGAGTTTGCATGGTGCCGTTATCAATGTCCTGAATCTACTTTTGACCGTCTCTTACAGAGCGGAAATATATATCGTTTTCCAGAAGGTGAGCGTGAGGCGTCACAATCCTTGTCCCCATGCTCGCTAGAATAGTGCATATATTATCAGTTACCACAACTTCGGACAACCACTCGGACGTCTGGACACTTCGCAAAACACAAACAATTCTGCCTCAATGAAATATTGTACCTCACCACATATAATCGTATGCTTATTCCATAGTATTGCACAGTTGAATCATTGAAATCGGTTGCTGATATGACTGGTTGAAGTGTGACAGACCGGCTATGTCTCGGCGAGTCGGAGCTTCAACATCTTGTAGGACACAGAGCGTCGGTTTGGTCAAGGCTGGGCTCTTGCCGAGCGGACGTTGGCATTACTACCTTGCGACCTTGTGTGACGTCTGGTCCGAAGTTGTGGTAACCGATAGTAGGACATCGATATTAGAAACAAAATAATTTATTTCATGCGGAACTACCAGGAACTGCACATACTGATAGGTGACGCCGTGGAGTATCGGTCGGTACAATAGCTATAATTTGACCAGTGAGGAATCCGGCGAACGAGATTGATCGGAGAAGAAGTCCACACAATCACCTATGTAGATGCTTTCGTGTGTTTCAAAATAGCACACGCAACAGCAGCTATTTTAGTGCCAATCTCGATGTGGAGACCGTCGGGGTACCGAGCTGCACTTCATTTGGACGTCTCTTTTTATAGAGTAGAAGGGGATGGTGGCCTATGGTGGCACGTGAAAAATTCCGAATAAAGGACGCGGGGAAAGTGCCAGGAAGATGACAGGCTGCATGTGTAGTGGCTGTGAAGTTTGCACTGATCCGAGTGATTTTTGTAGTGATAGGAGGACTGTACCTGTACAAGCGATCAGTCATTGTTATCCATCACTCATCACCACACCACCAGGATGCAAGCCAGTAAGCCATGAGAGCTTGGGGAGGCCAGCCGAATATTTCGCAAACAATGCGCAGCACTTGAAGCATAGAGAATCGCGATGTTCCTAGATAACGGTATGCTCAGATATATTCGTATTTACGGAGCAATATCTGTCCCGACACGCGTGAGACCGGCGACCACGACAACTGGAGTGATAGCAAACATACCAGGAGTGAACTCAGACTTCAGTCCAGACTCGGACTCCAGAGTTTGGGCGGGAATTGGGAGAGTGGATATGTCACAGAAAGACCAAAAATAGAGAATCGAGATGCAGGGGAGGAAATGACGTGAGAACACCAGAATGGGGGAGGCTGCGAAAACGTCTTACCAAATACTTCTTTTCAAATACATGATAATGTTTCACTTGAAAAGCAGACAGAAATGCTCCTTTACTTCATTGATCATGCGGATGTGTTCATAGTTCTTGGCAATTTACGCGACAGCAGTTCGTGACCTGGAGACTCTAGCGCTAGTGAGAGGCATCTCTGACAGAACACTATAAAATGCTCATCAAGGAACAGCACAGAACCGACCTGTAGGCTGTCAGCCAGGAGTGCCCAGCTATCACCACGGGGAAAATAATCAATCTGCGGTAAGTCACGTCGACAGATGACAAAAATCCCGCACGGGGTGTGGAGTCCACTTGTGAACGAATGATACCGTTTTGTGTGCGCCACTGTGCAGGTATGTTTGTGTTAAAGCGGAAGCTCTATGTGTGCCGTAACGTGCTCGAAGATAACGGATGAGCCTGAGTGGGGACAACTTAGGGTTCGCAAGTTCCGCTGCTTTGGATAGGATCTTCCGGAGGGGACGAAATTCCATTCGCGAAAGATTTTTGCGTCAAACGGTATAACCATGACCCGCCGACATAAGTTTTTCAGTAAATAATCCATGACTAACACGTGGGGAAGTCCGAGGGCGATCTGCATAACTGTGTTGAATGTGAGTTTATCAAGTAGAAAATATCCATCTCAGACATACATCACACGAATACCAACTAGTATTTTGGGCACAAATATGTGAGGGTCCACAGCTTGTCCTAAACTGTTGGTAAGGAATCGAGAGGCTCCGTGACGTGAGAGAGGGTGAAACGTACCATTAAGATGTAAGTACAATATTAATGCTGACCACGAGAACTGCCCCATGGCATGTCAAAGGTACCCAACGGTTGGCGGTTATCATACCAGCTCAGGTTGCTACTCGCTGTTGGACAGTTGCTTAGAGCAACTCTGTCGCGGTCGAGGGCAAGACCGCGATCATGATTTGAAAGTAGTCAAGAGTTATCGATTGAAAAGGCGCTAACACGCTTTCGCTGATCTCGCTGATATAAGTTTTCCACGCCCCGATTTTTCACTTGGTGCTCAAGCATTACAGTGACCACTTCGAGTTGGTGACACCAAGGTCGTTAATTTGCCCGTTGACTGTGTAAGTTTTTACTGTTAGATCAAGATAGACTGATAGAAAATCCATCTGTTGAACCTTAGAATCGACTTGGAGTAGTCATCTTATACCGATAATCAAGATGGCTACTGGATATTCTTCTCCGACTCTGCAGGACACTGAGGTTCCCCAGCCCCATCCATATCTTCATGAACCTCTGCTTTATATCTCCAATCTTCCCCCTTATGTCACTGATGAAAATCTTGCCATGACCTTCCAGCCATGTGCTCCATTCAGACCCAACATTGCGCGTGATGGCAGCAATCGCCCTCTCTCAGGAACCATAGAATTCAAGTACCTCGAGAAAGGTTGTGCCTGATTTGCGCGTTCGTTTCAATCCTTTTAATTGATGTGTTATTTTGCATAGCGGAGAAGGCTCTCGCCACCTTGCAGTCGCGTCCGATTCAGGGTTTGCAACCTTCTGTGTTTTTGGTCCTATCTCCGTATCCACCAACTACACCACCGACACCACTTCCCCCTCCATCCGCTCTACCACGTCTCGTCAAGCATCTTCCAGTTGGCTTTACTGATTTCCAGCTTTATGACTTATTCCGACCATTTGGCGCCCTCGCATCTACTCGGACCCAGACTGGATTTGGAAGCGATACGGGAGTGGTCGAGTTCTGGCGTGAAGAGGATGCGCAAATTGCTGAAGAAGCTATGCACTGTGCTGATGTCGAAGGACAGAACATTGCTGTAACGGTATACCAGGCGCGACGTACCAGTGGCACTGTCTCTGAGTTCAGCGCCCATGCGCCAACATTTGTCCCATCAGGATCGATATTCCCCTATCCTCAAGTTTGTATCTTTACCATATCATTGTTGATCGGGCTCACTAACCAAAACATCAGTACTCGCCTCCCCGAGTCAGTCCGTACCCTCCCGCGAGAGCCCCCGTATTTGTTCATGGCCCAGGCCAGCAAGTACAACTTGCCCCATTATCAGGACCCGGATCCAGTAGTCACAGCGGTCTGATAGACCCTTGCAATCTATTCTGCAAGGTTAGCGTTTCATCACATCACTCTTATGAAGGTACTTATCCTCGGGTGCAGAACTTGGACCCTGAGATAAACTCCAACGGTCTTTTCGCCCAATTCCGCCAGGTATTGATAATTTGTTTTGTGATAAGTTATTCATCTCATGCTACCATGAAAATATAGTTTGGTCAGATTGTCAGGTATGCAATATCCCTTTTTTGCCGACATACGCCCTAATGTTCGGAACAGTGCTCGCGTAATGCGGAATGAGAATGGCGAGAGCCGTGGTTTTGGATTCGTATCCTTCCAGACTCCCGACTCAGGTATAATATTCCTGTTTGCTCGACATACGTGATCGTTAATTACATGCCAATTTAGCTACTGCTGCTATGCACGCTATGAATGGTGTCGTTATAGGCACAAAACAGCTAGTTGTCAGACTTCATGAACCAAAACAGTTGCGGCAGGAGAAACTTGCCCAGCGGTTCGGCCATAACGGACATCCAAGAAGTGCAAGCGGAGCAACGAGTCCCACTGCCAGTGAAGCTGGTGAGAGCTACGTCGGCTTCTCCAGTCCGCGTCGTGCTCCTTCTGTTCTCGGTTCGCCCGTTATGAGTCATATTGATCGTCCGGACAGAGGCAGACGAGGCTCAGGCAGCTATTATAATGTAATAGCTCTGTCCTTCCCAGCACCTAATATTATTTCTGACACGTTCACAGGCTGCCCTTTCTGGAACCCTTAATTTGCCCATGCGCTACGACGATCTGGCCGCGCTTTCACCTGTGGTGAGGAAGGAAGTTCTCACAGGTGAACTTAGCCGGCGGCTGAAGGCGATTGACACTGTACCCGCCAATGAGGTCGATGTGATCGTTGAATCTTTGGTATCGCTGTCTCTGAGCGAAGCCGTCTCCGGTATTCAAGATCCTGCCAAATTCGCTGAACAAGTTGCCAATGCGCGTCATTCGCTCAAGCCTGCCAGCACACCTTCACCTTTGAAGTCACCCTCGCCTTCGAACTCTCAAGATTCACGTGTGCTCGACCCCAGCGCTCTGAATGCGACTGCCTCGGCGCCGGAGCATCCATCTACGCCTATTTCAATCTCTGCGTCCCTTTCCACACCTCCACGCACTTCGTCTCCCTCTGGTTCGGTGCCACCTATTTCCGAGCAAGACCGCATGGTTGCGGCTGTAAGCAAGTTTGAGTCATCCAGGCAGGCCGACCTGGTCGAACTTCTCATGAGCCTTCCCAAGCGCGAGCGTGCCATGTGTCTCTTCAACACTGATGTTCTGCGAGCAAAGATTGCAGATGCGAAAATAGTTCTAGATAGTGATGATGGAGACGAGGGACAGCAGAAGCCGGATACTCAGTCTGTCCAATCCGCTCCTGCACAACCCGTCCCAGTCACGCCTCAGGCGAAGAAGACTGTTGCAACCATTGAGGACTCTCCCAAAACTCCTGCATTATCATCCAAGGGTCCCTCCGCGGCATCATCCCCCGTGCCAGTTACACCCGGATCATCTTCTTCACATACGATTGCATCTCTTGCACGTTTACCTGCTGCCGAGATTATAAGGCTCGCAAATTCATCGTCAGCAACCGGCCTCCCTCTGCCGAAAGTAGACCCATTAGTCGTCAAAACTACAGATGAGTTTATCGACAGCCTTATGGATAAGCCAATACAAGCGCAGAAGCAACAGCTTGGCGATAAGCTGTAAGTCGGTAGTGGCATTATTCAGCTTTACGGAAATCTAACTTTGCGACCGATCCAGGTGGCGAGCTATCAAGGCTTTTGGTATCAAAGGCGCAGTAGGTTTCGGTTTCATCGGTACTACTCGTGTGACTGAACACTTCTTCTTTCAGCCTAAACTTACCATTGCCTTGCTTGATCAAGACGATCTCCGGGCTCTGGCTCATCTCATGAATAGCTACCCTTCTGTTCTCAAGGAGAAAGCTCTCCTCCTTCAGGCTGGCGGCAAGTAACGAACCATCTGATTTTTTTTAGCGCATTAGCTTCTATTCTCATCCTCATTCTCTATTTCCCATTCGCATCTGCACTATACCGTGCACTACACATTTCTAGGAATACATACGGAGCAATTACACTTCCATCATTACGTTGTGCTTCATTTTTACCGCCCAGATCTTTTTGTCTACGATATATCTAGCCATCCAATGCGCCTTTCCCTTAACATTACACTCTTCTCGCGTTTGTGACCTGGATTTACGACTTTACGATTCTTACTTGCCCCCTATTCGCCTGATGTCTGCTTCGCAATACCGTCGGCTTCAAAATTCTCCACACTCCTCATTATTACGTGTTGCGTCTCATCCCTGAATATTCAGTTTGTTGCAGACGGATTAGAATCGATTAAAAACCCCAGCTTCGGACTCCATACAAACGGGGATACCCTGATATTTACTGGAGATAAATTTGGGCGCTCGGTGACGTTGTCTAGCAAAAATAACAAGTCCCATACCTTCTGTAGGGAATTCCAAATGTTGTTATCAATAACGGGAAAATGGAAGAGCTTTCCCTGGGATGGGTTCTGCGTGCCGCTATGATATATTTACTTCATGGACGTTGGATGTGTATACTTACTTACTTCCATGGACTTGATATGAGACCAGGAATATACAATCTTCTCTACAGCTATTTGAGGTATGTAACGGAATCGGAGCCGCAGCAAGACCCGTAATTGACTGTAGGAACACGCAGAACCAACCCACCTCATCCGCTTGCTCTGACGTATCAACTGATTGTCTCGTTGTCCCAACTGAAAATACCTGTAATTCGCGGTTTTAGCACTCAATCATTGGGGAACAATCCGACTGACGCTTAGTATCGAGGCGCAGTGCAGATACTAGAAGCCAAGCGCCTGAAACTTCTGTCTCAGTGAAAAGGAATCTTGCTAATCATCCAGATATCTAATCCTCGCGTGAAAGAATTTATTAATAAGAGTTTAGCCTTAGGAAGCCTGTGAGGAAAACACAATATTAACAACCTTTTGACAAAAATATCCACGAGTGATCTTTCTTCACTAGGGGCTCGCTCACGTACGCAAACCTACTGCACCCAAGACACAGGCAGCGAAAACGAAGGGTCCCTGCTTTGCGGTCTATCCGATGTATACAATACCGCGATTGCGACTTGAAAAATAATGTATCATGTTGTGATCAACTCTCCTTCAGTCCAGTGCATGTTGACCCATGGATGTGATTCAAAGCGAAAATTGACCAAATTGAACTGTACACCTGTGGAGTCCCCTCTAAGCGTGTCCCACGCTAGGCCCATCAGAGTCTGGTGCTTATGTCAATGACCATTGCTTCCCAAGCAGCGCATGGAGAAGGACACACCTGCAAGGAGATATGGTGAGCAAGTCAGCGATAAGATCTTCTGAAGCAGCTTCTCATGTTCAGTGTTCCAGTGCCTATTGAAGCGGTAGTTTGAAATTTCGTTGGTCACTCGAATGTTCTCCAGTTGATGGGTGCCCATATCAGTGGTGCTGGTAAGTGAGAAAAAAGTGGACATGAAGTGAGCGGGCAAGCAACACCAAATATTGTCAAAGTGCTTGAAGAAGCAACAATGGCACACATTTAATCTTCTTTACAGTGCCGTAATGATTCGGATGAGAAGCAGTGCTTAACGCCATGACAGTGTTTGGATTGATAAAGTACACGATTATCTGCTACGGGACGTATCGGAATCCAGGAGCCTATCGATTGGTCAGAACAAAGATTCAATGAAGCCCTTCAACAAAAACGTACCTTGTCTGCGAGCTCCGATGTATCTACCATATCGTTTGGATCTGGCTTGCCATACTGCTGGTCTCGCTGCGTATTGTCCAAACGGAAAGAAACCTTTAAAGAAAACAATGATGAGGTTGATCACAAAAGGGGATCGGGATCTAGGCTTACGCTCAACAAGAGTGCACATAGTGCGGCCAAAAAGAGCAGGGATGCAGAAACTGAGGTCAGTTAGTCAATTCGGCAGCATGTTGCGGTATGACTGTCACATTACCAGTAAATCCATTCCTAAAGATGCCACGAGTTAGCTAAGGCAAATTCGTGTGGAAAGACGAGAACGAACGTGTAATGAGGACCCTCAGTCAAGGGGTATAGATGGGATCCCAAGATACCTCCGCATTGACCGATAGCACCGTAGAGTGGAATTCCAGCGGCCCTCTTTGTTTCAGAGCCAAGATTATGGTTAACTGTTGAGTGAAAAATTAATTGAGTAGCAGGCATGTAGAAAATCAAACATACACCAAGCGTTCATCAAGCCGATGCTCGAATAAGTTCCACTAGTGATAAGAAATGTCGCGCCGTAACGTACATCTTGCTGGTGAGTAGCGCCAAGTAATATCCTAGAGCAGAATCCAGATCAGCCTGTATCTTGTCCACAAATAACAGTCCCATTCACATGTAACCTAGACCACCAAGTGTGCTGGTAAAGACAAGTAAGGGTCCCCTAATCTGTAGCCTATCGGATGAGTAAGACGTGGCAAGGAGCACACAACCGGCCATAGCGTATGGCGGCACTGTCATCAGTTGAGCCATCGCATTTGCTAATGTGATTTTAAGCCAAAGATAGTTTGATAACAGAAATAATATCTTACTATGCCCCATGGTGCCGATGATAGTCGGTAAGAAGGCCGACAGTGATGACAAGGCACAGTTGAGGCCAAAGTAAATTACCCCACCGACATAGATCTACGGTTTACATCAGATACTGGGTCACAGAAACGCAGGTGGAAGGCTTGCCCTCCAGTCCTGGAAAGCCGCGATGACGTGACCTGTTCATGAATTAGAACCCTATAATTGCAATGCGTCTATGGATATTACTTCGACGGACAACTGCACCAAAGTCGCCACTTGTCCCTCTGTTCATGCGGCTAATTGCGATCTTGCGCTCTGCTGCAGTGAGGAACGGCGTGGACTCGGGGCGGTCTGGAAGCATGAAAATGCAGAGTAAACCTAGGAATATTGTTGGTATGCCCTAGAGAGCATCATAATCAGTGCATGACTTATATCCTGTCTGACGGGCATACCTCCAACATAAAAAGCAACCTCCAGTTCGCAATCGACACCTTGACGTGTTGTATCCCGTGCGCGATGAGCCCCCCAAACGCCCCTGCGACGGCTGCAAACCCGAACCAGTATGCGATGCGAGTACCACACTCGGCCTTGGTATAGTAGAAAGCTATAATAATAAAAACGTCAAATCCAGCAATCATGCACTGAAATTCCCGCAACTCACAGAAGTATAATACAACAGCACCTCCAAAAGCTGCTTCAAAAGTTCCTAACCCAAGACGAGCCATCATTAGGCCAGTAAAATTATGTGCTGCTGCCTGAATGGGTCACGTATCATGAAAATGATGAGGAGGAAATATGGACATAGAGTTATCAGACCATTGATGTGGAACATATCCCCCAGAGGATAGCAGAGCAGCCAATCCAAATACGTGGATTGTAATACTTCGAGAGGACCGTGAACGGAATTTGCAAAAGTATCTGAGAGCCGTGTTGTCGGTAGTTGGCAGACGACCGAAATTCAAAAAAATGGAAACTCACATAGGTGAAAAAGAAGGCAGAGTTGACCCAGTCAAATAGCACCCCAGTTGGATCTCCACCAAGCACATCTTCAGGCAAACCCTGTAAGCGAGCATTGCCCAGGTTTGACCGATCAAGATCTGTCGAGTTCAAGTGTCAGACTGTTTGATTGTTTTGAAATCATCAAGGATGCAGGAAGTTGAACTCACAAGCAAACAGGTAAAGTAGGCATAGTATTGGCAAAATCCTCTGATCTAACTTCTGCAGGAGCCTTTGCTCTTGAGCTTCCGGATCCAGCGGAACGAGCGTATCTGTTTCGCCGACGCCTTCTATGTCAGGACCATATTGACTGCTGTCGCAGTGTTCGTAATGATCAAAGTCCATTATCTCAACGCTTGTGATCCAGAAGGTAAAGGGAGAAATGCTAGTAAGAACTTGAAGAAAGAGGTGCGGACCTCTGACTGGTAGGGTCAGCGTCAGGGACTCGGGAACCGTAGAGCCGTAATAGTCCCGCCGCTACAAACAAGAGAGCCGACCAACTTCGGTGGCGAGATTCGTTCCATCATTTACTGAACTGGTAGTCCTCTCCGTCCGTCCTGCATTGATCGCATGTCGCAATAATACTTACCAGCGACCAACCAGCGACCCGTTTTGACCGGTGGAGCCATCGTGGTATAAGTTAGCACGCGCTCGAACCTTATTTAGTACTAACTTAGTTTACGCAATGCGCATTATTTGGCAAGACTTATATCAAAAGGCGGTAGCTGCTCAATATTACACTGGGCAGTCTTGGGCACAGGATGCGCTCCTGGCATATTGTCACTGCCACGGGATCATAAGTTGCTTGAGTGCAATCTGGCTGAATCTTTATCATCAGGAGATTTTCGATCACTCCTTCCTTGTGTCACGAGTGCGTCCAGCACGTATATAGGACGAGGCAAGACAAACAACTCTGGTAAGTAGATAGCAAATCCTAGAACGGAAGTTTCGCATTCTTAGCGGTGCGGGGAGGTTTGAGAGGATTTGGACGTCGCCTCTTGTAATACTGAAGCACCATGTCAAACATCGCAGTGAAAGTAATTGTAGAGACCATACCTGCTTGAACTCTTTGATACGCTTCGGCATACTGCGCATGAGCAACGCCCTTTGTTTTTCCCTCTTCTCTGCAATGCGCTGCCACTTGTGCCCCTTGAACATCCGCTTCTTCCCTGCATACAATCTGTTTCCAACCTCCGCACCAAGAACTTTCTTCTCCTTCACCTCACCTGTCCATTCTATTGGACGCGCCCACGGTGCGGCAGCACTTTGAACTTTGGGTGTCTCTGATGCTGAAGGCTCTGGAATAAGGGCCTGCGCAGAAATAGCAGCAGCAATTTCTGCTACCGAAATTTTAGGACCAGGAGGCAGAAGCGCGAGCGTGCCAGATTCACGAGCTTTCTTGACAAGCAAAGCCTGGTGGCGCAGAGAGTACTTTGGCGGCGCCCATCTGCCTGTCTTTGGATTGAGCTTCGGAATGAATGGGTTCTCTATGCTAGCAACTGGAACCTTGTTGCGCGACGAGGATGCTGAGCTAGGTGATAATTTGGTTTTAGGTATAGACTTCACGAGAGCGGTAGTTGGTAGAGTGACGGCTCCCAGCTCCCGTATTCGAAACCGTTTGACGGTTTGTAGAGCAGACATTGGAAGTCACTGAAGTTGTCCGTCGCGCGAAATCAAAGGACAAACTCAAGCCGCTCGCGGAGTTACTTTACTTTCCAAAAATGTACATGTCAAGATAAAAATAAATATGCTAAGTGCTTGTCATTTGTTTATTTTTATCGAACATTCCAAGATTCAGTTCACTTACATAGTTTGTACATAGTACTACCTAGTAGTCTTCCCAACTTTGAGTACTCGTCAAGCTTGGAGTTCCAGCACGCATAGTTACGGGTTTCTGGCAGGTACATCCGATGAACTCGCTATCGGAGGTTTCCGCAGTACAGGTTCTGATTCATTATCTTGCAGGGATTCTGTGCCAAACACGCCGCATTCTTAGAATCTAAACAACGCGTGAGGGGAATTGTGTTTTATGTCCGGTGCGGACGCCCTCGCTGATCAGGAAAGGGGCCTTTAGCCACGTTTCACACAGCGGTATCTATGGAATGAATGGTACAACGAATTGATACATATCATCATGATTCATGGCGCCCCATTAATGTTGGGTAGTGATAAGTGATTGCAAAATAAGTTATGTCAACGCCGCTAGGAGCGGTCATCAGTCATAAAAAAGGCTCAAGATTCGTTGGGTGGCACGCTTGGGGCTAGGTTCGGGCCACACATCACTCTCTGACATCACCCATTTAATCAATTCCGCCGCCGTAGCATGGTAACTCTACAGCTCCGCCGTTCTCCTTGAACAACGGTGTTGACGGATCTGGAATTTGATCTGAATGGAAATATGAAATTGATTCATGTACAAGACCAAAATACCACTCCCATTGAATGCAACCTCCGACTTGGATTTTTGCATTATTGAAGTGATCCACGGGCTGCTAGGGGGACCTGAGATGGAAGTAAGCGAGCTATGGTTGGAACACCAATGAGCTATTGGGTTGAATGTCCAGGAGCGGCTGAACTCAGAATGGTTTTGTGACATGGCAAGACAGAAGTCGCGAAGGATTACCCTTCGGCCCGCTGGAAAAAGGGGTAGAATATCTGTTAGAAGCTCACAGGCAGCGTGGCTCTCTGATCAGATAATAACTTATTATGACGACAGAGCGAAAGTCGGCACATCTGATTCGATCTTTCCTTCTGCGACGTTATTCTGATATGCCAAATCATCATATCAAAACTGTTTTGTCATTAAAAAGCTAAGGTTCTACCTTGGTTGCATGGCAGATATGTTCATCGCCGCTTACTGTCCAATGTGCACAGTGCGCAGATTTCTGATCCATGCAAGAATTGGTCATGTTCATCTCCGCAAGCACGCATTATCGCAAGTACGCTCTGCATTGGGTCTGCTGTGGAACTCGTGACCACGAGGTCGGTGCGCATAATCGGTTCGCGAAGACGCGGAAATATTGCTCTCTTACGGGAGACGCAGAAGCGGGACTATTGATGAGGCAGGCTGAGTGCAAGGATCAATATCGAGTGCTGACGAAGGTGTTCGTAAGCAGCGGAAATTTTGCGCCTTGACGAAAACCAGCTGCCGTATAGAATTATGACGTGACGAACGATGAATGAGAATTGACGAGCGATACTATGACCGAACCACGGCCGACAACTTCAGAGACTTGAGAGATCGCCAGTACAAGAATTACAACTGGGATGAAAGGCCTCAAAAATTGTGATGTATACATTGATAGCACTTACCAACTTGTAGCAGAGCTGCAGAATTCGTAGGTTGCAAAGTTCAATAGGAGGAGTACTTATATTAAGTACCCCTGGATCATAAAAATCCTCTGGAGTCGGTGGCACATTCAAGCAATGGGCCGGGCGGGGTTACCATATAACCTTAGGCAGTTCTAGGATGATTTTGGCAACGCACGTATTGCAGAAGAACTTGTAGAACACACGTCGCCGTGACGTCGGTTGTTGGGCTCGACACGTGATCCGGCATTTTCCGTTTACTTTATACGTGTGGCTGAAACCTTATTCGTTCGGTTTACGTGGTGCCCAGCTAGTTGTGTACTCTACCCGTTTGATCGTACTTCGATACACGTGTCGGAAACTTTTGTATCGGTGTAGTAATGGTATGGTCGAGAGTCGAGAGTCGAGACTCGCTCGCGCGCGTGAGTACCAGCGCACGTGAGAGTGATTTGGTTTGTCACGTGCAGCAAGCGCGTTAATTTGTTTGTGTCAGTTTGGTCCCAGCGCGTTTAGCGCTGTACGCGACTGATCCTTTCCTCATTCCACCACCACGTCAATGGTGCTTATTAGCACATCTGCTACCGGCGCCCATAATCTTGGTTTCTTCTGTTAATGGCTGGAGCTTTCAGCGGTCACATCTTGAATTCATACAATACAACAATGCAACAGCCAACACCAGCATTTGGTCAGCCTCAGTCGAGGATTGTTACCAGCGGCGCGATGTCGTTCGATGCGTCGATGCATGGCAGCTTTAGACCAACCAATCCCTTTTATAATTACCCATTCTCTATGGATATCTCCGAAGATACGGCCATCAAGATCGCTACGCTTCAGGCTAAACTAAACAAGAAGCTTGGGCCGGAGTACATCTCACAGAGGCCTGGTCCTGGAGGTGGACCTAAGCTCACGTATGCCGAAGGGTGGAAAATTATCAACATTGCAAACGAGGTGTTTGGGTTCAATGGATGGAGCTCCCAAATTGTCAATATGACCACCGACTACATGGACTACAATGAGGAGTCCAAGAGATGTAACGTCGGTGTTTCTTGCATTGTTCGTGTCACCCTTAGCTGCGGTGTGTTTCATGAAGATGTTGGATATGGGACGGCAGAGAATGCGAAGGGCAAAGCTCAGGCTATCGACAAGGTAACATTTATGCAACTGACAGTACTACTCATTCATATTGCTGTTTTCTTAGAGTAAGAAGGAAGCTGTGACTGATGCAGTGAAGCGAGCGCTTCGTAACTTCGGATCACTCCTTGGAAATTGTTTATACGACAAGTCATATACCCAAGAGATCACGAAGATTAAAGTTCCACCCGTAAGTACCCCCACAGTGCTGGGAATGAAGTAGAACTTATTCACAAAAATTCTGGTAAGGCAAAATTTGACAAGTCCGAGCTATATCGCCGTCCAGAGTTCGATGACACAAAACCTAACATCTCAGGCAATGCTTCAAAGGTTGCACCTGCTTCAGTACAGACGGCACATCAGACGCATGTGACTGCTCCAGATGTGAAAGTAGACACGGTTGTGGTGAAGTCTGAGCCGGTTCTAGGAGCCGGGGCCTCCATCACATATGTTCCCCGACACATACGACAGGAGATGACTGCTGGTGCAAATGGTGCCACAAGCACTACCCCAGGCCGTAATGACCAAGCACCAGGGAACGGTCGCAGTACTACCAATGGCCTGAACACTCCTATCCATACGCCAGCCCAACGAGCAGGAAATGCGAATCGTGGACAGTATAGGCAAACCGCCCCGTCACCACTTGCTCAGCCTGAACAACGACGCGTGTCATTTGCAGAACCGGCTGCAGAACCGCCGCCAGCGGACGAGGCTGAAATACCGGCGGTTGATGAGACGTCATACAGTATTGACTCAGATGATGACGAATTCTATGCCAATGTTGATCTCGGGGATGGTGACTTGGGGAGACCAATCGACTTCGAAGAGGGCATGGGTGGAGTGAGTGTCTCGGACGTGACTTTCGACCAGGGCGAGGCCGCACCATCAGGGAATCCTCGAGAATCCTCGAAGGATCCCCAGGGAAACTCGGTGCATGGCCAGGAAATCTCTAGTTCTGGAAGAGACAAGTCAACTACTCTAGGAGGTTCTCACTCGAACGCACTACGCCCACAAGCTGGTCCATCAACTTCAAATGGAGTACGTCATGGACTCAACGATGCAGCAAGTGTACCTGCAGCGCCTCCGAAAACACGCGAATCAAGCTCCAGCGTATCTGTTTCTTCTTCGGAAGCTAGGCGTGCCGCTCCATCTATGGGAGGGTTCCATTTCCCCCCGGGCATGGTGAGTACCTTCTTACTCTGGGAGTGAGTTGCTCACATCAACGACAGAACCTGGCTGCACAGCAACCAAAACCAATGGGGCCTCCTCAACCTTCAAACTGGACAACGGGTTCCGCTTCCAATTCGTCTAACAGTTCGGCCCTGAAACGTAAAGCCGACACCATCCAGTATGTAGTTCTTGTAACTACCACATGGCTAATACCAGATTCACCCCTGATTTGCAGAACCTCTTCATCATCATTCAGACCCCTGCAAGGTCTTGGCCTCGCTCAGCAACAACAATCAGCCGCTGGAATCCCCAACGGAACTCGAAGACCTCTGGCAAACCTTGATTTTAGCGCCAGCGGTGATATGAAACGAGCAAAACGCTAGTGTTCGCCGCCTAGTCCTGGAAGGAGTTTTTTCCTCATGTCCCCCCTTGTTTTAAGCATGCCTTTACAGTGTTTTATTCTATGTCGTCCAGCATTTCGTCCAGCATTTGTACACCTCCTCTGCAATTTGTTTCCGCTTCTTTGTATCATTTTCATCGCAATCACATATGCATCCTAATACAATGTTTTTTCTATGGCACACAGGGTTCTTGTCTCCGAATCACAGGCGTCGCAAAGTTCATCGAAGCTACCGGATTTTTTTCATTAACTGAGTACTGATTTCCTGTTTTTGTTCCTGCGAGATTCCGGGAGAACTCCTATGCAATGCTGCTGAATCGCCACCTGCACTCGAGCACAACAACACCATATTCAGTCGGCCATTCAGGCCCTACGGTACGCGCTGGCAGTGGAGCAGGTTGGGTTTTTCAATTGTACGTAAGGCAACGATCAACAAACGTGTCTCTCGAGTCACAGCAGCATATATTGCGTATCAAGCCTCAGTACCAATTCCGGGAATGAGTTCACTGGACGAGCCCCTCGTCCATGCGAGCTAGATTCTGCCGGGCACTCAATAAGACTTCCTAGATGCAATTCTGATCAGTGTGCCTCTTATATTGCTAGTCCAACACGTACGGTCACAAATGCTTGTCGCCTCTCGTCCTCAATCTCATTCCACCTGCCCTCGTAAGTCGACAGCAGTTGCTCATACTCATGTTTTCGAACCAGCAACCCGGTCCTAATGACGGACCGCAGAACAGAAATGCCCGCAACCCATTCCACTTCGTCTGCTCCCCAAACTGCGTCACGCGCCATCAGTTCTGACAGCGAATCGCCCGTCCTGCCGGCAACGTAGTCATCGCAGAAACTCAACAAACCGAGCTCTAGCGCTGCGCCATGAATCTGCGCCCATTGGATGTGATCTTTACCCCTTTTTCGGTCTGCGGCAATGCGTTCCACTTCATCGCTCACCGGGGCGATGTCTGCCGGGGCACTTATTGGGAACCATACTGAAGATTTACGAATGGCCATCTGTAGTGCGCGAGGACCGGCAAGTGGCCCGTGGACGCCTGCATGCACAAGCGTCGTTGGGAAATACTCACATGCTTCTGTGAAGCGACGGAGGATGGTTATAATACTATCATGGGTTGAAGCGGTCCGTGAGACAGGTGGTGCATTGAGAGATGAAGTGACAGCGGCAAAGAGAGCATCAATTATGGGGTTCAATGCAGTTGGTGAGGGGTGTGAAAGGACATAGCTCTGGATGAGCGATGAGAGCGTTGCAGCACTTATTCCTCGTGTAAGGAATGCATCTCTCAAAGCATCGGGGTTCCGGTCAATATTTCGAGCTAGTGTGGATGCAGAAGCTACCGTTACGGTAGTTTGAAAACTGAACTGCATATGGCCAGTAGGCTCAAGTGGGGGTACATGACGCTGGTATAACTGCTGCGGTGGCTCGCGCAAGCTGGCAGTCTGAGTTACTATGACATTCTGGGCAGCATATGGCACAGTCGTTGGAGCCATGGGATTCGGGCCCCATTGTGCTATACTATTCTGACCAGGAGACTCTGCAATGAAGATCTAAGGATCAAAAGTGTAACTGATTGGCAACCAATCCAAACCTTGCTCAGCAGCCTTCTTGGATCTGGTTCTGCCCTCAAGTCTTCGTCTCGCTCGGCCTGTGGTATTCTTGTACCAATTGTATATTTGCTGGTCGTGTTAACATAACTTCCCCGTCAATATATTTTATTAGTATCGACGACGGCAGCCCTCACCTCCCGGAACCTTGGTTCTGCCTCACCGGCATCCTGGAGGTCCTCTGGCATGCCAAAACGGACAAGGAACTCGTTGGCACGGTCCAGCGCGAACTTCTTAGCGTCACCTCTAACATGCCCGCGACTGCGAGACTCAAAGCCGCCAATGTGATTTCGCAGAAAATTGAGCTGCTCGTCGGTGTACGCCTTGGGCAACCTGGTTTTGTTCATCATTGCTGGTTATCGTGGCGTCAAGGTTCTCATAAAGATGATAAGGTTCGCTTGGTGATGTGTGACGTGTTACTCACCAGTCTAGGTTCGCTATGATAAGTTCTTCTCATCTTTCTTCACCAACGCCTGGAGGGTCGTGCCCAACACCATTAGCACGGATTCAGAATGGACTCTTATCTTAGGTAAACATGAATCATTCGTTGCTTGAGATCACCCCAGGTTCAAGCTCAAGATCGTGCTCAACGCATGCCACAAAGTTATGCAATTGGTCTAGGGTATTAGCGGCGGGTATATACGTATGTGGCGTCATGGGTATGCAGTCTAGATTTCAGGTAACGCAGGCTTACGGCAAATTGCGAGGTACATGGGCGTGAACAGCTTCAAACGAACTGTGAGCTTTCGACGAAATATACCAAAACATATTCAACTCACTTTGGTCTGGCCACCCTTCACAAGTGCATCGGCAGCGACCTTGAGTGATTCACCAACATCGTATGTGCCCTTGGGCAGGAGACCAAGCATCTCCATGAATTTGATTGCGGTGTGTGAAACGAGTTTTCCGCTCCAGCTCATCCGCCAAACAGTGAAGCAATCCCAGGCAGTTTGTGCCTTCCATATATCGCCTTCGAGTGGGTAGTACCATGGAACTACGTCAGGGCGTTCGGCGAGGTCTTCTTCGTGCTCAATGATGAAGCCGACGTTAACCATGGCTTCGCGGGCTTGCCTCAAAGGGCGCATCTCTGGGATACCGTTGCCATACTCAATGGCATGTGCAAGTTCCTTGTGTGCAGGGATGGATGGATCCCAGGTGTCAGTCATGCACCACTCGTAGACGCCAAACTGCAAACCAATGTCAACATATTAAACTTGAACTCGAAAATTCAACATACCACTCCTCCAGGCTTCAGAACCTTCATGATTTCACCATACACTCCCTCCCACGTAGGTGCATGGACAGTGGCTTCAATGGCGTACACTAATTTCACTGTTGTTAAGAACAAGTTCTGACAAGACTTCAAAGTACCCACCAGCATCGAACGAGTTCTCGCCAAACTGCTCAGACAGCTTCATAAAGTCGCCCTTGGCAAAGCTCACTTGCTTCTCAAGGCCTGCCTTCTGAGTGTACTTCCGAGCACGCTGAATCTGGAAATCGTTGTTATTCAAACCAACGATATTAACGTCGGCGAAGCGCGCAATTTCGCGTGCAGGACCACCGACACCGCACCCGACGTCCAATACACGCATGCCAGGGCGAAGTGACATTTGGGCCGAGAGGTAGTGCTCATGGCGGGCCAAAGAGGCTACAAAAGCCTCGCCTTTATAGAATCGCGAGAAGTGGAAGGACTGCGCCCAGCCATACTCGTACAGCTCCGTCGCACCATCGTAGTAGCCTATGTTTTCTGTCACCAAAAGCCACTCGGAAAAAAATAAGGCATACCGTTTACCACGTCTGTGTAGCTCTCGACACGGTTTTGATTGTCTGCTTCTCCCTCCTTGCCAAGATCCTTTTGCCAAAACTTGGTATAGTTCTCCACGCGATTCTCTTGACGTCCGTCAGAATACTGAGTTGAAGTCATGTTGTCTGCGAGAAAAAAAAAGTCCGTGAATATCGAGCACCCCCGCAAAGTATTCAAAGGTTGTAATAAGAACGACTTACTTGAGAGGTACACTAGAATAAATTTATGGAGGGAATGGACAATAAACACTGAGCAGCCAACTTGGACGGGAGAAACCTTGCAGAGTTTTTGTAGGTTCAATAACCGACGGCACTGGAACTTCTAGCGCCCCTCATTTTCTGTTCACGTGATGAGGCCATCTGCCAAGTGCGGTAGCTTTTGCAAGCTCACTGGTGCTTCAAGTTAGCGCTTTCAAGCTGTCGCCAGTGCGTCTGGTACGACGTAGTACCAAGTACTTTGCCTATCAATTGTAGTAATATCGACAATACATCGTAAGTGGCTGCATATATAGCCCATACTTATCTTTGACATTTCTTGCCAAGAACCTGCCACAGCTGCATCTCCGAATGATACCGTGACCGCCGCTTCAGGGGATAGTCATTATCAGTGGTCAAGAAAATCGATCATTAGGCTTGTGCCAAGCAGGCGGAAATCGAACTCCAACGCCAACATCTCATACCACCGTCCTACCCGTCGCCCGAGACATGTTCAAACATGTGACTGGAACCGACTGTCCCTCCGAGGGCAGTCCGTGATTCATTCGAGTGCTGCATCTTTTTCTCCGAGGCCACTCCGATCTATTAGTCATGGTTTCTCTCCAGCGATGTACGTCGAACGGTAACCGAAGAAATTTTTGCTCACTCGAAAATAGGTCAATGCCTGCAGAATGGGTCAAGTACGTAAAATTCAACCATATGATAGCAATCTCACTACGGCGCACGACACCCGGTCATATGAGAATCCCCCATTGCAGTCTAATCACCTGGGAGTGGGCTTCCCAGGACTCGGCATCGAAAACATATCCAGCATATCCGTGGGCAATTCCAAGTAATCGCCTGCCAATGCCTGGTAATATTTATCCAATAATAATGAGGCTTGCTTACGATCATGCAGAGATCCGATGATTTCTCCGTCATGAGAACCGATCCTTCATGGGCTTTCGGACGCCATGTTCTTCGCACCCCAGGAGTTAGTACGCTCCAAAGCCATGCGCCGATGTACACAGGTTTGATTATGGAACTACTTGAAACTGCGCCTTTGACTGATTATCGGTCGTGGGTTCTATGGTTTTCGATGGTTGCCAAGCATATTCGCTGCGCACTTGTGGGGTGACGCGCTCTACGACGTCGATGGTTGCCAAGCATATTCGCTGCGCACTTGTGGGGTGATGCGCTCTACGACGTATTACAAATAACAAGAATCTAGCCTTGATCTGAATGTAATTCCAGTGCTTGGCCCGAGGTTTTGCCCGAGGCATCGTTAAGGAGTACGACTTGACTCGTCAACTGACTCGGGGTGATATCACAGTGGAGTTTGGAGTCTGACGAGATTCCATCATTCCATTCCATGGTCGAAAGAAATGCCAACAATTGATCCATAACTCCGAGTCTAATAGGCTTGGTGACGAGGACGCAAATACCGAGACAGAGCATGAGGCGTTCGATTGGTCCCCAAGAAGGATTATTACGCCCGAAAGTATGGCGTTGATACTAGATAGTCAACTTGAACAGCTATGTCATAAGTTTAGAAATGCAAGCCGAATCTGCCGTGTCACACACTAGACTACTAGTACTACTAACACACCCAATCACACCCATGCTCTACAATTCTTTCCACTGAACCTCTGTGGGACGAGTGTCTGAGTCTGCACCTAGTACTATCGTGTAAGTCTCAATGATTTTCATTCTGACTGACTACCATGGCACCACTCACCGAAGTGCAATCAGAACCTGACAGCTGGCCAAACTCAATTCGTTGCTTGGTTCTAGACAACCCTGCCTGACCCGACGTCTGCAGTGCGATAAGTAGCGCTTACCGTCTATAGTCCCTTCAAGATCCCCACGATGGAGCAGTCTCGTCTGCGACCTGTGATGCCGTTCCAGGTATGACTTAACCTCTGTCTCGTGCCGGTTGAGATATGAATGAGACCTCCGTGTTCCAGGCTCGTGCAGCACAGCTTCTCAAGAAACTGAGCTGGCGTCCTCGCTTGGGGGGCAGGCACTCAAAAGATACCATGTCCATCGTTTCAACTGGCCTAGACAACGGCCGCTCACACATACCCTCTCCTGACGTTCTCCGCAAGCCAGACATGTCTGGTCCTAGCCTTGCAGGTTTACGGCTAGATGATGTCTTCAATCCGACGGACACGGATGATTCGTCGTCCAGCAATAGCCCCACACGCCAATCAAGGCGCTACTCAGCTTGGGACGGTCTCACGCAGTCATCTGGGAGCCCGGTGTTTGCGGCACATGGTCCCGCCCCGTTATTTTTACGAGACCTAAACGTCTCAAAGAGTTCTTCTGTTCTGCCTATTAGCGATAGGGCAAACGTCCTTGCTCCAGCGCCATTTTTTTTGTGGGCAGGCGCCTCAAGCGACTACCCGACACGTGCATCAAATGATGGCTTACTACACTCAGCGACTCCAAGTAACGTGCCAGACATCAAGGTCTCGCAAGATACATCTCCTGTACCAGACGAGATGGCGCAGTTGGACAGATCACAAACGCCACGACAAATGGAAGGACTCCTTTCTAACGAACCAATCACGAACATAGACATGACCAACTCATTCGTAGAATTAGAATCCGCTCAAACACCCATCGCATCCGCTCTTTCGGTTGCACCTGCTACACAAACCTTGCCCTCGTCCAGCACTCAGGGCCATTACTTGCCCGGGGCACAGCTGCCGACGACCCTGCCACCTCCATTCCGTGTTGCCACCGAGCGTGGCCTCCGTCTTTCTCCTTCCATTATTTCAAGGCATCGTATGCCAATCCTGAATCTTCCAACTTTACCTGTACCTACTCTCGCTCCAGAGACCGCTGCGCGGCCAGTTGTGCGTCTCCAGCATATGCCATCATTAACTGTTCACGGACGGCCCGATGTCGATCCAGAGTCAGACTCTGCTATCGAATCTGAGGACGATGATGACGTGGAGGATGACAACGAGGGTGATGGAGACGAAGGATTGAGAAATGACAACTGGGAGCACCAGAGTGACGAGGACGGTGACGGGGACTCGGAAATGCCAAGTTTGGGCACAGGCCGTTCGCTATCTCATTCTCCACTGCGAGAATTCCAGACTCAAGTCGTCAATTCGACTCCTCCCCCAGTCGCCGGTCCTTCTTCTCCACCCTTTGCCTCGCCATCTTCAGCAGGGGGGTCCACTCCCACTCTCTACAACGTCGTTGATTCCTTCTCGTCCAAGGCATATGGAAAACTCATCGACCCGATTTCGAGGCAGGATACCTCTACACCTAAACCCTTCTCTCCGAAAACACACCTCGCAGAGTCTATCAATGTTCGGCGGCGAATAACGCCAACGCCTTCGCTTCATCGTGCACAGCCTTCCCTGGAGGTCAGCCTCGCACCCCCCAGTCTATATCGCGCGCCATCACACAGCATGATCGACCTGAGTGTATCCCGGAAAGACCTGCGACTAAAACGCATAAAGTCACGCGACACGGTACATTCGAACGTGCACTCCATATCGGAGAACACCATCGAATCCAATGAGAGCGATAACACAGACCATTTGATGGGAAAGCTTCTGCGACGCACATCTATGCCTACTTTCACCTCCGCGTCGGACCCACCTCCATACCCTTCCTTTGACCCACGTCCGCCAAAAAGCGCACCTCCAATCATGTCCCATGAGGACGAAGGTCGCGAGCGCCTACCGCCATACAGCAATTCGCTATATATCACTGCTATTATGCCGCGCAAGATGGAGTTCAGCTCGCCCGGGATTCAGGCGAAGGACAGGAAATGGAAACGTGTGTTCTGCGAGCTTGAAGGGACGACACTCCGCGTGTACAAGTGTCCTCCAGGCGCGAGTGGGGCGGGCATTATCGGCGAGTGGTGGGAGAGACGTGTTGGCGTAGGTGACCTAACTAGTGGACATTATGCGCCAATGCGGAAACCGGACGAGAGCTCGACACCATCATCGAAAATTGGGGTCGACCAGAGCCCAACGCCCCCTTCGAAAATCGGGGTTGACCAACCGGTTGCGTCCTCGTCAACTACACCCCCTCTTTCGGAGAACAGGCCGCGGAGCGAATCGCAATCATCCAGAGCTACCAATCAATCTACAACTCCTTCGACGTCGCGGGCCAACAGGAGGTTGTCAGGTGCCAGCTTCTTGACCCCGTGGCGAAACAGTGGCCTGTCGAGTGGGCCGCAATCGCGAGGTAGGGGAATGCCATCTGGGACAAACGGGGGCATGGAGCTGCTCCCAGTGAGCGAGCCGAACAGTCGTCGTAATTCTGTGTCTAGTTCGGCCTCACAGGAGACCACTTCACAAAGGACGTCACCTCTGACACCGCGAGCTACGTCTCGCCTCAGCTTTCTTTCAGCGAGAATGCAGTTGCGGAGCGGAGAGATACAAAAGCCTGGAAAAGGCGATCTGATTCGTGCATATACTCTCCAGCACGCGGAGAGCGGCCTCGGGAATGATTACCTGAAGCGGAAGAACGTGATAAGGGTACGAATGGAGGGAGAACAGTTCCTTTTGCAGGCAGCAGACGTACCTGCCGTTGTGGAGTGGATAGAGGTGCGTTCTATACTATGAGTGGGCGGTTCAATGTTGACCGTGCACGCAGGGTTTTCATGCGGGCACGAATATCTCACTTGATCTTGATCATCGTGTCATGCCCAAAGGGCCGATGTTCCCTAGGTATGTCATTTCTTTGCTCATTGCATGTTTCTCAAATGTGTCTACAGGCGTCGACGGAGAAGAAATCGACGACCACACGATGAGAACACTGGTAATCATGGAGGAGTGGCATCCACTCCAATAGTTTTGTAAACTTGCGATGAGTGTATGTACTTGGATCGTATCTGCTATACTATGGGGCTCTTTGGCCGAGTTGTATTGGTACCCTATATTGAATGAATCGCATCAACAAGAGCATGCAGGCCTTGAGGGAGATAGGGAAATATTCTCACGGGCTGTTTCCGTTTTGAGCCGAGAGTTCGGTGTTTGCCTTGACACCGATCTGCTCATCCAGGTTGCTTGTTATCTGGATCCTTGGTGTTTTCCCTCATCGATATTCTCATTTTTTCTTTCTTTTACCCGGTTCTGGCAGCCATCGTCAGCTGAACGACTATCCGTCTCCAAATCAAACAAGCCGTTCAAAAAACGCTTCAAAAACCAACTCTACAACACCGAAAACGATCTTCCTTCTCGCGGTTATTTCCCCCGTTTTTTCTCCTCATACCATCATCCCTCACGTCAACCCAAACGCACCGAGCACATTCAATTTGACCAGTCATGGCAGATTCGCAGACGGAGATCGATCTGGACTCGGTTATTGACCGCTTGTTGGAGGGTGAGTGGCTCGTGCTCTGACTCATAGGCTCCTTGGAGCGCAGATTCGGACCTTGAGGGGCAGGCAGGTGGAAGGAACACAAAGGGTCAGCGTTTGAGGCGGGCTAGTGCAATGCGGTGCGCAATCACAGATATGGGTGAAATGTTGGGCCGCGTGAGCACCACAGCAAGCAACCTTGAAAAAAATGATGGGGTGCACATGCACACCGCTGCGCTCATAGCCTCCGTCTATTTCTTGGAAGGACCGCCCGTAATATGTTACAAAACAGGCGTTAACCCAACTTTTGCATCCAGTGCGAGGCAACCGCCCAGGCAAACCTGTTCAACTACAAGAATACGAGATCAAATATCTCTGCACAAAAGCACGCGAGATATTCATAAATCAACCAATATTGCTTGAACTAGAGGCTCCCATAAAGATTTGCGGTGAGCACCTCTCAGTTTTGTGGGTTTATCGGGATGACTCATTCGGGTTCACCTTCGGCTAGGTGACATCCACGGTCAATATTATGACTTGCTCCGACTTTTCGAGTATGGCGGGTTCCCACCAGAAGCAAACTATCTTTTCCTCGGCGACTACGTCGATCGGGGGAAACAATCTCTCGAGACAATCTGTCTCCTTCTCGCCTACAAGATCAAGTACCCCGAAAACTTTTTCATCCTCCGGGGCAACCACGAGTGTGCAAGTATAAACCGAATCTATGGCTTCTACGATGAATGTGAGTTGTGTTGCAATTCTTGATGATGAGGCTCTGATGACATTGACAGGCAAACGGCGTTACAATATCAAATTATGGAAGACGTTTACGGATTGTTTTAATTGTCTCCCTATAGCCGCTATCATTGACGAAAAGATCTTCACGATGCATGGTGGTCTCAGCCCTGATCTTCAGTCCATGGAGCAAATACGGAGAGTGATGAGACCTACGGATGTTCCTGACACAGGTAGGTTTGTTGTGCATCTTGCTTGAACTTGAGTGTCTTACCCGACTCAGGCTTGCTATGTGACCTACTATGGTCAGATCCTGACAAGGATATCACTGGGTGGTCGGAGAATGACCGAGGAGTATCCTTCACATTCGGACCCGACGTGGTCTCCCGATTTTTGCAGAAACATGACATGGATCTCATCTGTAGGGCTCATCAGGTATGCTGCGTTTTGCGGGCGGCGTACATACGGGCCCAAAGTGTTGTGTCGATGACTGACGTTGTGGAATTAGGTCGTTGAGGACGGTTATGAATTTTTTGCAAAGCGGCATTTGGTCACTTTATTCTCAGCGCCTAATTACTGCGGAGAATTTGACAACGCGGGCGCAATGATGAGCGTGGACGAAACCCTATTATGCTCCTTCCAGGTTTGATACCAGCCACATAAATGTTCTTTGGCCAAGGTTGACCCCGATCTTCAGATCCTGAAGCCTGCTGAGAAGAAGGCCAAGTATCCATACGGAGGAATGAACATGGGTCGACCAGTAACGCCACCGCGTAAGCAGAAGAAGAAGGACAGCAAGATGGGCTGAGTCGAGCAGGGCCGGCCGTGCCTTCACTCATTCTCCAGTCGTCGACATTCCCTCTTATCATTCTGTATTGTTCTGTGCTGGTTGTAATTGTGCGGTTTACATTGGCGACAAGGCATACTGTGAAGGTGGTCATTGGGCTGATTCACCAATGGTAAGAAGATGGCTGAGCTGCATTGTTGTACGGACGTTTTCTGGGTTGCGTGTGGAGGGAAAACTCATTGCAAGTACACCCCACCATGTTACGATTCTTACATATCTATTCACTCATTGGACTAACCCACCCACGGTGCCCTTCCTGTCCATATTCTGTCCATCATGTTCCGTGTTGTGCTACTTTGTGGCCTTTGTGTGCTACAGGTTTTTATGCACATAAATCATTCCGTCTTGTGCTTAATGGGCCTTCGCCGCAACTGGCAGATACTCCGTATTTCTTTCTTTTGTCACAGTAAACGTTGTCGTATATTATGAAATTCTGTACATACATTCTGACGTTCTCCGTGATGCGCGGCGCTGAGCGGCTTTCCAAGGCCTTCCTGTGAAACTCCATCTCATTGACAGGCCAACCCAGGTCACCCCGAGATTGATACGGTGTCTGTATTTATGACTGCGGGGATAAAATTTTAAGCTTGAGCTTTGAGCGGCACAGGCCTGAAAGACTGGAGCTAGGTCTAGGCTAGTTAGCTGTACGAGTGGTGTAGCGCACAGTACTGGCACGTGAACGAGATATCATGATAAGGCTAATGAGTCTGCTCTACCAATCAGACAAGGTTGATTAGTGCTGGCCCATCACACATTTGTCACCTAACGTGAATTTGTGAGACAAGCGATGTCCAAGGGCCAAACAGAGCAATTGAAAGTCAGTTCAGAAATGATTTTCGTTATATATATCGTACATGCTTAAAAGAGCATCAGCGTGATGTATCTGCCTTGTGATCGTGCGTAATGAATTTAACCCCCCTCACACCCTCAAACCCTCGGGATAGCATAATATGAGATGCGCGGTGGGATACCCGTAGAAGAAATCAAGCTGTGGACACCTCGTTGTCCGCGCCGAAAGATCTTTTCTCCAATGAAGTGTCTTCGTACACATCGTGAGCACCCTCCGCCTTGTGGGCGATCTGTTCCATTGCATCATCACCATCGAAGAGGGCTGCAGTTTCTTCAAGAGTCCTGTTCTTAGTCTCGACGAGGAAGAAATACAGGAAGACGAATTCGACTGCGAGCCAGCAGACGTAAACGATCTAAACACGACCAGTGAGAGAAATATTCAGAGCAGATCAACGTCCAAAAACGTACATAGTACTTCCACGACAAGGCGTCCAATGCGATTGGGTTCACATATTGATTAAAAATAAGCGTGACAGAAATAACAAAGTTAAAAACGTTGAAGCCCTTGGCGCGAATGTTGTAAGGCAAAATTTCCACGGTGTAGGAGACAATGAGAGGGGTAAACGCTACATCGTATGCTGCATAGAAGAGGAAGATGAAGGCGATGACAGCGTGACCTGCAGCGGCGTGACCGTGCTCAGCGTACTCGGCGAAGCAGATAGCTTGTGCCATGTAGAAGAGCGTCATCAGAGCTGCCGAAACCAAGAACAAGAAGCGACGCCCGAGTCTATTGACCATGAAAGCAGCGAAGACGGCCCATGCCAGGTTCCATATTTGCAAGATACCATTGATTAGCAACTGGGTGCCTGAGCCGGTGATACCGATCTGGTCGAAGACCTTGGTGAGGTAGTATGAAACAAGACCATTCCCAGACCACTGAGAAAAGAAGGCAAGAGCGACGATAATGCGCATGCGCTTCCTGTTGCCAGGAGTGGCGATAAGTGATTTCCAACCGACATTGGAGGCAACTAGAGTTCATGTGAAAAAGTGCAACGTAGCAAGTAAAACGAGACCGACCAGTACGGTCATATTCAATGGCGGCCTTGATCTCTTCGAATTCGTACATAACCAAAGGATCTTGTCTGGGGAAAATGCTCCAGGTTACGAAATGCGGTCAAAACAATGCGGCTCACTCATTTCCATCAGCATGGTAATAGGCGAGGGTCTTGAGAGCCTCAGCCTCACGACCCTTTCTAATTAACCAACGGGGTGACTCGGGTGCAAATAGGACAAGAGCGAACTGCAAGATGGACGGGATGCCCTGAAGGAGAGAAGGCAGACGCCAAGCCCATGTACTATTAATCTTGAAAGTGCCATAAGTCGTCCAGGCAGCACTAATACGAATAATACCCCATCAACGATCCGTTGAGCGGATTCACGTGATCGGACTTACATGATAGATCCAGAATACCAAAGGGAATTGTAAAGCGAGGTCAGGGGAGCACGGTACGTGGGATACGAAATCTCAGTGACCAACATTGGTGCGGAATTAGCTATACATAGCGTGTCAATTGATTTATTGCTTGTGCAGAAGCAGGTTGTACTGACCGGCGAAAGTAAGGCCAAAACCAATAAGGAATCGAGCACCAATGAACATGCCCACGGACTGAGAGGCTGTCTGTATGGCAGTAGCTGCGCACATGATTGTTGCACCGAAGAAGACTGTCTTGCGGCGTCCTATGCCGTCAGACATGTAAGGGGCAAATGGGTAGCCTGCTAGGGAACCAATATTCTGCGCATGGTCAATCATCAACAAAAATCATCAACGCAGATACAAAAAAAAGCTCGCCTGAATGGCATTCAAGAGACCGAGTTTACCGCCAGATGGATTGTTAAAGGCGTTCTCCCACTGAGGAAGAGACTGCAATCCATTCATCATACTGCCGTCGTACCCATTTGTCGAGGAAGTGATAAGACTAAAGGAAAGGCGTTCAGCAGAGGCGCAGTAGAAAAAACGAAACAACGTACAGGAGCACAATCCAGGCGTTGAGAGCGATGAGTCTATCGTACATTAACATTTGATCAGAACCAGAAGAGTTCAGACAAAGTTTGCGTACCGCCTGTTGTTGTACCACTTCCTCCTCCCATCAATGAGATGCGCGAATGAAGCATCTTGACCGTTGACAGTAGTAACACCACCCATGATCAATCTCGAGAGTGAGATGGTCAAAGAGAGAAAGGTCACGGATAGTCGTTCAGACAAGCTACAGGTGAGGGTTATATGCGCGCATTTCCTTGCGGGCCGGATAAAATTTAGCAGCTGACATTGAGGCACCCCGCAGTCCATTCCTCTTTTTGTGATTTCAGATCCGAGCATGTGTAACTCGCCATCATGCGTCAAAACGGGAGAACCGTGATACGGTGAGCTAGTTGGACAAGTTGACAATACATTTGATCTGGGGGAATATGCCGTCACGGGTACCGGCCAGAATGGGATGGTAAGTTCCCAGCGGTACTGTGGCCTCTACCAGGTCACTATACTCAGATCAACAACCACATGGACAGGATCAGGTTACCCCGCACCTTTCCCTATAATAATATCGTAGATGGTCTTTTTAGCACATTTTGACATGAAAGTCAGTGCCTTGATCAGAGCAAATCTTGGAGCGCCGGCGAAAGGGGGCCTCAGCGGAAGGATCATTCTTGCGCGAGTACTTCGTCAGTCGAGTCGCGTCATTCCACGTGTGCAGCACAAGTAGGACGAGCGGTTTGCCACACATGATCCACATCTTGCCGATTTTTTCCCAAGATAATGTCGGGTTTAGATCTTCAGTCTACTGCATTTAAATCTTTACTCACTGCCTTGGATAGTAGGCTGCGCACGATTGCGATTTCACCTATGACGCGTGGAAAAAAGGTGCAAGAACCTTGTGCGCGGATTCGAACAATTTGAACGCGATATCACAGTGTGACGAGCCTCAAAGTCAAATATTAGCAGGCTACCATAGTCAACTCAAGTACTCACAAGTTACAAAGTAGGAATACGCGGCGCGCGCGCGATGATAGCAAGATCTATGCGTTTAAACTTAAAGTCAATCCGATGATTCCGATCACATGACGCCCTTAATTCACAGAGCCCCATCATTCCTAGACTGTTCCGCCAAATCACGAGTGGGGAACTGCAAGTACTGTCGAGATACGCACCTAGGTTCGACCCTATTTGGGTGTGACCAAATGAACATTAGGTTCGAAGGTTCGCAGGGGGTGTGTGACGTGTGACACACTGCGCTTAGGTTCGTGGTGAAACATTGGGTAGACATATTTCCTTGCATAAGTTGTATATTTGTCTCTAATCTTACTTCCGAGGCTGAGGGGGGTCATGGCAAGCGCAGACATTTTGCGAACACTCACTGGCAGTACAAATATTTTTGGATGCACTGGGTGTTTTTTTTTGTGTTTTTACCACTTGTCACAATTTAGGTTCGACGGCCTCAAAATTGGTGTGACGAACCTAGGTGCGTATCTCGACAGTAATAGCGCTTACTAGTATATGCCGCATCGATCAAGAGGGGACAGCGATCGTGGACAGAAGTACCCACCCCATTGCATATATTTCAACCAGAGCTATCTATGGGATGTGACCTAAAACCGCCTCAGCATGTCTCTGGCTGACACCTCACTTCCCCCGGCTTGATCGCGATGCCCAGCCTCGATGATAGGGGCAGGCATATCGACCTTTTTGCTTCTCCCGAAAGACACGAAATTGCTGGCCAAGCTGGCGAGTGTGCTAGTAGCGGATGCAGAAGGTGCGCCTGAAAAATTGCTAGACGCCAATGGAGAGGACCGAGGGACGTGGTGAGACGTAGTCCGACGTCTGTTGAGAAAGATGCTGGTCATCCCTTCGGACACTGAGCCTTGTGGAGACGGCGGTCCTCCGTCGGCCGAAAATTCGTGCGGAGGAGATATTGAGGATAAATTATGTTCCGTCAAAGCGGTGGTGGCCACAGCTTTCACGGCAGCGGGCGAAGCAGAGACAGATGCAAGTGGCGGGAGCCGCACCGCGGAGAACCTAGAGGACGAGGAACCACGGGATGCACGCGAACCTGGGCGCAGTGGAGATGGTACATATGGTGCATGGGTTAATGACGCAGGCTGTTGTACATTCAGATCAACTTGTTGCGCCGGCGGCGAAGGAGGAGGTGGCGGTGGAGGAGGGGTAGTGGGGGGAGAAGCATCCCGTGAGGGTGCAATGATTTCCAGTGTACTCTCAGGAGGGGCTTGAGCAAGCAGACGAGACAATGAAGACGGACCAGCAATGGGTGTAGAGTTCGCTCTTGCCCTGATGGGGAAGGACGATGATGTAGGAGGCTGGGTAGCACTGAAAACACTCTCAAATTCAGATTGGGGAGGGGCTGGGGATTGGCTAGGAGGAGACTCGGGCGGATCTGAGCTTGTCTTGCGGTCTGTTTCAGGATCCGATAACGCTGAAACCTTTCTGACGGCAGGTCTCCGCTTATTCACCTGACCTGCTTGAGTCCAGTCCTCCACCTCCAACATGTAATACTTTACACCGTCGCCTAGACCATATGGATTACTGGAGGGATCCTGGTTGGGCGTTGAGGATAAAAGACAGTTTGTACCATGCCACATACACACCTTGCTATCGACAACGCGTTCTGTGATGGACGTTATCCTTGCCACGATCCATTCTCTCGTTTTCAGCTGCTCGGCGAGGTGGCCAGTAGCCAAAAGGAAGTAATGCGGAAATGAAACTAGATGGCAAGAACAACGTCGGAAGAAGTTTCATCCTCGTAGTAACATGGCTACGTACCATTAAACGCCGCCCAAGGCTTTGAAATGGAATTTCGAGTTGGAAGAAACAATGCTAAATCCCCTTTAGCGAAATTCCGGAAAGAGATCTTGCCCTTCGCGCGCTCTCGATATTCCTTGCATTGCTTCTGCCACTTCCGGATAATGGAGCCTGTTCTGGTCACTGCTTCCAAGAAATGATCATGATCGAAGGCACGTAATGATTCCAGAGCACCCAGAAGATCCGATGGATCAATTGGAGAGGGTTCGTCGGCTTGCGCCCCATGGCGTTGGGTGTACGTCAATGTAGATTCGGCCAGGGACTGTACCTGCTTCGATGAACTGGGGTGACTAGTGAGATTATGAACGAGAGAAAGCGCTTTGCAATGAGAATTTCGGAAAGCAATCGCAACGTCAAGCATTTGGGCAACCAGACGACCACTGTTTTCCAATCGATGCTCATAGTCAGATTGGGAAGCCCGTCCAGCTGTCAAGTCATCTCGGAGAATTCTCTCTATGTGCCTTGCCTCCCGAAGCTCATGCTCGACCCGTTGGAGCTCCTCCCGTAGACCCATAGCATCCGCATTGGTCAATTCAGTTTGTGAGCGTGCCTCCTTCAGCTGCCGTTCAGTATCTTCAAGCTGCGCTCTTAGCTCCGAGAATTGGTGTTCAAGAACAGCCCGGTCGCCATCAGCTTCGGCGATGTGATCCCGCATGATGCGATCGTGCTCGTTAGCCTGCAAGCGAAGCAATCTATCTTTCTCCATGTTGGTGTTCTTCAGTGCTCTGTTCACCTCCTCGCATTCAGAGCGAGCGGTTTGGATCTGGGTCTCCAGATTTTCCCCTCTAGCACGTGCTGCCTCCAAATTCCGCAGAGTGGTTGCTTGCTCCTCGACCAGCTGAGCAACTTTTGACGCGTTCCTAGCTTCCAAAGCTTTCACTTCCTCCGCTTGTGAATGGACTTGTGATAACTCCTGCCTTAATACTTCGACTGCACGTGTCTGTTCTGTTGCATCAGCGAGTGCTAGAACACGATTCTGCCGCTCTTTTTCGAGGTCTTGGGCCAACTCCAAGTTGCGGCGCTCCAGTATGCGCCGGGCTGCAGCTTCGCTTTCGATTTGTGCTTTGGCTTGGTGCAGCTCACGCTCCATTATATCTGCGCGTTCCCGCTCGGAGTGAGAGGTGACTTCAGTAGTTTGAAGGTCGCTATGGAGTCGGTGAATTTCAGCCTGAAAGGACGTCCGCTCTTGCTGTATCAGTTTTTCCTGGTTTACTTGGGCTTCTTGCGTTTCGCGCAGTTGCTCAGCCAGTTCCTGAAATGCGTGTTCGTCTGCTTCTGTTACTGTGGATTGTGTGGGTGCCCAAATCAGAAAAAGAATAGAAAGATGTCGACTTACGCCTTCTGCGTGACGAGGACAGGCGTGACGCCGAGAGTACTTGCATAAAGTTAGATAGAGATGTAGCTGGCGATTCATTTCACTTACAAGAACGCTCGGCGATACGGTCGAACCCGGCCTCCAGATTATCCATCTTGGCTATGACCTTATCCACTGCAGTTCTTGCTTCCTGTACTGAGCCCATCGCTACAGGGTCTGAACTTGATCGCGCCCATGACTCCAAATCACTTAGGACTTGAAGCAGCACTGATATTCTACTGTGAGTTTGGCAGATGAGCAAGTGGGCAAAATAATACCATCAATATCTTCTCGGTTCAGCGAATACGTCGGCTCTTTGCTACCGGAAGGAGAGAAATCGATGGTCGGTACAACATCATCTATTCCTTTCGTATCGAAGGGCAGCTGGCCATGTACTTCCCCTCTATATACCTGTCGGCGCTTCCGCTCGCTTGCACTAGAGACTCATCAAGAACTGCAACATTAAATCACAAGAAACTATCGTGAACTTACGACAGCTTCGCCATTACTTCCAAAATGCTTTGCGCGCGCTGATAGAAAAAGTGAGCTATATTGAAGAGATCAGACATGGGGTCACGCAATACTGCGTTGACTGACCAAATTCCTTGCGCCGTACGATCTCAACAACAGTGGCACCATATGCATACAGCATATTGTGAAGCCTCTGTATGTGCGAGAAACTGTTCTTGGCCCTGAATTTACCTTGGAGGTTAGAAAGCGTCGTCGGTAACTGCACAATATCGATATTCAATGCGCTAATTTGCCGAAGGACACCGATACATTGCTCGGTATATGCGTTCTGCAAAGCGTCATTAAGGGCATTTCAATTGACTTTGAAGACAAACCTTGGCTTCGGTAACGTCTTGTACTTCGTTTCGCAGTGCACCATCAAGATGTTTTAGCTCTGAAACATGATTATCTTGTCTTTGTGTTTATGAATGGGACATACCACGTAGAAGGTTATTTGGATCCGTAGCGGGACTCTCCAGAGCTGCTGCAACGTCTGATGCCTTTTCAATGATCTCCTGCGCCCGACGGGATGACGCTTCTGCACCGTCCAGAATCCTATGAACGAGTGAGATGGACATACTATCCTAAGATAAGGAACACCAACTGGGTATTCATTACTGTTGCGCGTACAGAATCAGTTCCGTTTGTTAACCTGGCCGCTGACTTCTCAGCGTCCTGGAACTGTGCCCGAAGGTCCTCTAAACCACCAACATAAGAAGGTCATCCCAACTTTTTTGTTCCAATGACGTACCATGGGTCCTCGCACACGCATCAGCGACCTGTTTCATCCTGACATTCGACACATAATCACCCAACGTCCTTGGCCGCTCTCCGTTCTCAATCGCATTTCTCACAGCAGGCGACATAAATTCAACATGTATCCTCACGCGGCTTATGATTTCCAGATCCGCATCCAGACCTGCAAGGAGCGCAGCCTGGCGCTCGAGGTCTTTACGGGCCGTCACAGCAATGCCATCGAAAACATCAGCTATAGCAAGAACATTCAGTTCGAGGCTGCTAGATGCAATTCGAGCTGCTTGATGTTGACGGTGAAGGGTGGCCACGGTATGGACGATGTATTCGAGGTGTATATGTGCTGTGCGGAGGTAAGATGAGGCGAGCTGTGAGGGGCGATATGGAGGGGTTGTGGCAATTGATTCTGTGAGATTTGGTTGACGTCAAAATATCAAACATGGCTCTAGCCACGCACCTTCAATCGGAGGTTGCAATGGTGGGTTAACCCTTAGCTCGTGAAGTACGTCGTTTAAGTCAAAATCCAGATAATACTTGTTGAAAACATAAATAGTCTGTTCACAGAGTTAATATTTCCTCGTTTACAGCGGAAAGACAGCTTGCCTGGTCATGGGCACCCACTAGCTCACGAACATTGTCGGTACGCAAGCGCGTACCATCCGAAAGGTAAGCCAAGATAGCGTCCTGATCGACGCCCGTCTCCTCATGCAAGAAGGCCTCGAGGCTTCCTCGCCTGCAAAACAACTGTTAGTGCAGTATAAAGTTGGGCCTGGCATAGACGTACCTCTCAATGTCTCGTAAGTTAGCATTGACCTGTTGTTTGATGTAAATATGGTAGATCAAAGACACCAGATATTCTGGTGCAGCATACCTGATATGATTCGCCGTCTTCCGCACGGCATATATGAATCATTATCCTGGTGTACTGACAATATTATGGTTCGACGTTATGCTGCCTGCTGCAGACTTCGGGAGCAGGCAAAGTGGCACGGCCACATGATGTAAACGATCCCGTTAAGGAAAAACTACCCCTAACCATGTGGTATATTGTCCAACCATACAAAATGTGAATTAGAAACATCCGTCCATATCATGTCAAGTATCCTGTCCTGCCGCCAAATCTTCCTGATGTATATGTATATCGTTTTCATCTGCAGTCTCAATTGAGACAATCCAATATATGTCGCCCGTGGGCTGTCCGTCACTGCGTTCCCCGTCTTCTGGCTTTCTCCGTTTGCAACAAACAAACCTCACAGGATGTCTGTCCCAGTACTTCATGAGGTCAAATGACATACCACCTGGAAGCCTTAAGGCAAGAGTCGGAGAGAATTGTAGATACCCATAGCAAAAATCCGTCGTAATTAGATCCTAAGAGAGTCATTAGTAGGCAGCAATTGATATTATGAACGATATACCTCAGGTCCAAATGCAATTTCTTGCCGATGTTGAGGACTGTTGAAGTATGACCGACGATCGCCTGTAGTCCGCAAATCCAGCGAACGACCCATTTTCCTCTTCTTCTTCTTCAAGTGCACTTTTTCAAGAGGCAACTTTAGTGAACTCTTTACCGAGACGCCCAATGAATCAGGCTTTTTCGGCAAAGTCGAGAGGTTAAAGGAAGATGAGGCAGCAGATGGTAAACTCGACGATAATGAGGAAGATGGTGTCGTGAACGAAGAATTGGACGAATAGGGGGTCAAAACCGTAGTGCTAGAGGAATCCTCGGTCGCAGTGGCAAACTGCAACTGTGAGATATCTTCCCCTATCGATTTCGAGGGTGGAAACGAGGGCGCCGACCGTCTGTGTTCTAGCACGGGCGAAGCTCGGATATCGTCTAATCTTTCGTGCACAAAGTGGGGCATCGTTGCAATCAGGGGTGAAAGGGCCCATGGCTTCGTCTCCGACATCAAGTCATGTTCCAAGGTAGGGTCGATGTATCTAAAACATATTATTAGCTCCGGTTGTGTACCACACACACGATAGTGAACGAACGACTCACTTCATGAACTTGAGGGCCACACCAGAACCCCAAGGCAGCTTCAAACGTTTGTCGAAGGTGTTTCCAAACATAACATCATCCGCTGAAGTCGGCTGCAGGAACCGGCCTGATATATTTACCACACAGCCGTCAAGCCATCAGGATGAAACTATCAATGTCCGAGGTGCTCAGACGCACCCTGAACCTGTATGCTCCACGTTATCCCTTTCCTATCTTCTCGATCAAAGTACTCCGCGGACAGCTCTTCGCCAGAGGGATTGGTGAAACCTTTGATGTTAATGGCGACCTTGCCTTCGAACAGTTCCGATGATATAGCGTGCGCCTTTCCGCTATTTACTTTGTCTGTGATACAGACAAGCTTGTCCATCGACGGTCCAACACGTACCCGCAGACGAGAGTGAAACATGGCGGTTTGGAAACAAATATTGAACAGGAAGCAGAAAAGGGGGCAGTGCACATATGGCGGTGGATTGCTGCGCAGGATCTTGGTCGTGTGAGGGTTTAAGAATGAGACAATATTAAAAGAAGGACGTAAGACCAGCTTTCCGTCGTCGGCGTGGTTTGGGATGAAAGTATCATGCCAGGTCAATATTGTTTAACATGAAGAGATTTGGAGTGGCCCAATTAGGAAAGTAATGGCCATCCGGCCGTTGTCTTCGCGATGAGAAAGATACGGGACATTCGCTGGATCATGATATCCGCCGAATTCTTGAGGGCGAGGACCGGGCGAGATTCGAAGGCTCTTCCTCAAATGCAAGCCATGAGACAAATAACGTGAAGGGTAACGTGAAAACTAAAGTTACCGCGATCTCACCTAAGAGCTTAGCCTGCCTTGGCGCCCAACTTTAAGCACTCAAAAACAGCACGTCCCACCATATTATGGAATAACAATATCAGTATACACGAGAAGGCGGTGAATGCACAACGGCCGTCATAATAATAGGATGGTAGGTGACGCTGTGAGTGTATGTAGTGAGAACGAACACGAGTCCAAGTGGTAGTCTGCGCGCCCATGTGTAAGTAATTCCACAAAAAAACAACTAGATAGCCCTAAAACGATAAAAATCCGATCACCCAACAGGTTGTCCCAGACAACAAACCGATCATACTTCTCCCTATGACGATATTGAAGTTGATAGCACACCCACAGCGAGCAGCACAGCCCAACCTCCCACGCTCGTCAACTTGACGCTCGGTGGCGCCGACGAGGATGCCACGGTCGTACTTTGCGCATAAGACGATCCACACGCACTGTTTAGTTTGTTTGCCGCGTCCGCATAAGTAAATTGCAATCCTGTCAAACTGGTGGCATTTGTGCTGCTCAGAGCAGCCGAATACATTGACACGAGACTCTTGGTGCAAGAGTTGCATGCTCCGTTGGTGATTTTGGGCAGTGGCAGTCCTAGGGGTAGCTGGTAGAAATAGTAGCTGGAAGGGTCAGAGCTCGCCACAGCTTCAACATAGCAGTATGCATTTGCCACGGGATCCACGGAACACGCTGCTTCCCGCATCAAGTCATATGCTTGAAGACCTGCGTAAAAGTGTTTCGTTGTCAGGACCCATACCCAGCATTGCTATTATCATATCGTACCTGTCAATGCGCTGACCGCCATGAGGTTTTGGTCGCTCAAGTCGGTAGCACATGAAGAACGTAGCGACGATGCAAACCACGCCATGTTCAGGTCACACTGACTTTGTGAGATGCCAGTGTTGCACGTTCCCCAAATATCTGTGTTCGTTGCATTTATATCATCTTGTATCTGGTTGTACAACAGTCGAAGTAGTGATGTTGAACAGTGTGTGGGACGCCATCTAGGAAAAACACACCTGTATAAATGCCTGAGAATGAGTGAGCAAGAGTGAGAAAGGGCGGCAGGATCGTAAAGCATCTGTCTGTGTCATGTTAAGGAAGAAATTGTAGCAAGATGTGGTCGAGAAATTTGGCGACAAAGTTGTGTCATAGGGCTGGGGAAATGGAGTTGGCAAAGTTGGATTTATTGGAACGGTGGGGGCGGAGGTGGTCGACGGCGTACTCCTCTTGATGAAAGGTGATGGGCTTGTGTCAGATAGGTGTAAGAGGTCCCCGGTAGATTTGTGTCTCTGGTGCAGTGACCAGTCGGTTAAGCTGTTAGTCCACGATTTCCACCCCTGGGATGAGGTTGGCGAAAAGGCGTCAAACACCGTTGGATGAACAAAAAATCGTGTGGAAACGGCGATTGTGATGAGAGTTAAGGGTACCAAGATGATCGTCCAGCGAAGAGTAAGGGTATGTTTTTGCTTGGATTGGTATGAATGTGTGGGGGACGCAGATGTGTTAGCGCATGTGGGGGTATCGTCAGTCATTTTGGGCTTGTGCGATTCAGAACTTTGAAACCTTTTGGATGGGAGAGGTGAAGGGGGAGGCGTAAACATGTCTGATATCTAATCACCGAGATATATGTGTAAATGAGTGTTGATTTGAAAAGAGTGTAATTGTTGACTTGACGAGATCACCGACAGAGGGGACCTGTGCAAAGTCGCTGCGTTGCAAGGAAAACGTTGTTAGCGTACCACGAATAGATCTGCCAGTGTGCTGGCACTCACATTTAGATGGGTATGTGGTTGGTAGGAGGAAAGGACAACGAAAAGTTTAAATCGCGAGGTCGAGCGCTCGTTGACGCTCACGCCTAATCCCGACGGGGTAAGTCAGGGTTTATGCGGAAATTCAGAGGCTAGGCTATGTAACTTACCGGAGGATTAACGCAAACAAATCATGAAAAAATGCCACGTCTTGACATGACTGGACCCATCCCACTGAATGGGTTCGCATGAGGTATAGCCTTTGTTCCTCGTCGTCTACTGATTTGCGGTGATTTTCAACCTAATTAGGTAGCGGCGTCCTCTTCATTTCCGTCCTTATTTCCTCTTTAAGACGACTGGCGGTCTGGACCGTTCTGGCTGCTGTCCGCACTTCGCAACTTCGAATCGGATCGACCCGGTCTGCACTCATTACTATTAGAGGAAAGTCATTTTGTTTTGCAACCAGTATAAGTCCGTATCCGTCACAGTTCATATGTGTTCACCTCTTTTCGCAGCAAGTTCATAGCAGAGCAGATTAATCTTCGAGACTATTATTGGGACAGCTCCACAGCGACGGACATTCACAGTGTTACCTGCCATAAAACTTCTCATTCAAATCTGCCAACCTTCGGACGCGTCGGGACGATGACGTTGCAAGTATTCCACGACTCAGCGGCGAAGCACGCTAGCAATCGGATCACTCGACTAAAGTAAGAGGACAGTGGTTGCTTGAACCCCCGTGTCCTTGGCACAAAAACAACCCTAGTCCGATTCAAGGGTAGCGGTCTCAAAACATATTTGAGTTTCACACTCTTCGATGACCCTTCAATTATGCACGTACCAGGTCGTCGGTACGTCAAAGCCCATATGCTCCATAATATTACTCTGAACATTGCAACAGCGCACATATGAAAAGTCAGAAAACAGATCCACCACCTGAACGATTTTTTTTGTTAAGCATCTCCATTTGAACCTAGATTGCGGGCCATACCGTCCACAATAATATCAGCCCCGTTGATGTACCTCCCCGCACGACTGCAGAGGAGCACCACAACACCTGTCAGCTCGCTCGGGTCCCCCATGCGTCCCATGGGATTTCTCGAGTACCATAGATTCCTAGCTTCTTCGAGCCCCGGACCTTCATTCAATATTGTGTCCATATATCCTGGGCTGATGCTGTTGACACGGATGCCATACCGAGCCCACTCGGCAGCAAGAGAGCTCTTTAGTTGCAGGAGTGCACCCTTGGAAACGTTGTACGAGACTTGTGGCTGGGGGAAATTGACACTGTGCCCGGAGATGGATGCTGTGAAGACGATGCTACCACCTGTCCCTTGTTTGATCATCTGTCTTTCGGACTGTCAAGTACGTTTCGAGTTCAAACGGGTTTAATTTACTTTGCCGCTGCTTGGGCACACAGCCAGCTTCCTGTCGTATTGATGTCAAGCGTACGCTTCCACTCATCAAGTGCAACATCAAGGGCGTGGTTACAAGCGACCACACCTGCGAAGCACAGGAGAATATCAACGCTTCCGAGCTCGGCAGCAGTCTCAGCGACGGCTGCTTGAACGACCTGCTGGTCGCGGACGTCCACTTTCCTCGTGGTGACCCTTGCCGATGGGAAATCAGAACACAGCTTGTCGACAACATCCTGTACTTGTGCTGGATTCACGTCAAATAGCGACACGCCCGACGCGCCATGCTCCAGGAGGGCACGTGCTGCCTCGATCCCAAGGTTGCCACACCCTCCTGTGACTGACAAACTGCTTGATGTGAAAATCGGCGCACTTGACGCGATTACACCCACCGATCGCGTTGCCTTTGACAGAAAACCTCGCCGCCGCCTTTTCTGCGACTGTAAGGTCACTTGACAAGGGGGTATGGGACCTGGTTAACGGATTGGACCTCTCAGAAAGTACCATCTGTGGGAGGACGCGGCTGGTAAGGTCATCTTTGGATACTGGCATGGGACCCATGACTGTGGCACTCGATGATATGCAGGAAGGGAAGCGACGGCTTTGGAGACTCGTGACAGAAGCCACGAGATTTCGAAGTTCGGTGAGCTTGATGCGACTTCGCCCATTCACACGATTACGAAAGGAACGACTGTCTTCTTCTATTGGTTTATCTAGGGTGGCCACGATTACAGCGCTTATCGATGGAATGTAGGACTGGCTTGTCTAATGCATCGAATCTGCTAACAGAAAAATGTACTTACTCGTTCATGGCACAATGTTCAATTTAAACCTGGTTCTTATTGTGATGCATGAAGTCGATTGAATGGGTAGCGCAGATTTGAATTCAGGGTGTTTTCTTTCAAATTCTGTCAACTGAATTCTGTCGATTTCCCAGTAATACGTGGTGCACTTGATAGTTGTCTCAGATTTCAAGGTTCCCTATGCAGTGCACTACTCGCCGAGATCGGTGTCGCCACTGTCGACCGCTTTTACCAGAGCCACTCTGTCCTCTTTCATGGTTAGTAGTAGTGGAACTTGATCCGAGGCCCTGATTTCGTGGTCTAGTAGCTAATTGAAGAACGATATCGAGAGGCGTATTTACCTTGGTGGCCAATCCTGTCCTCCCAACATCCCATGCTCGCCGGATAATATCGGCATAGTTCACATATCCACCCCCGGGCATCTCGGGCTTATCCACTATGAGTCTGCACACTTAATCATCTTCACCGACCACAGCTGAAGACTTCGACCGTGCGATCTTTACACTCGCCCAATGTTTGAGAACAACGTCAGGTTTGAGAGAGAGGAAGGAAGAGACACGGATAGCGAGAAGGTGCATATTTCCGGATGTTAAACGGTTTATGAAGTGTGCTGGGGATACATATTAATACCTGTGGGGATTTAGCTTCCGGTTGCATCGAGCGATAGAGATACTGAACTCACTCCGAATACGTCAGAGGGATTCCGATCTCGTAGAAGCGGACGGCATTCAGAACTTTCAATGCTTGACCCATAATTATAAAATCGGTGGGATTGTAAAGGTCTAGTTATCCCCATCCAAATTTCGCGGCCTATCATAAGGTCTTCAATAAGTGACTGAGGGGCCAGTTTGAAGCGGTATACTTGCACTAAGAAGCTTTCTCTGCCAATGAGGCTCCCATTCAAGCCCAGCAGCATTAATACACTCATTCACAGCCGCTGCGAGGTCTGATCGAATGCTTCATATGTTCTCATCTGCTTTGGGCGATTTTTGTAAGAAACTTTCCCAAGCTGCAAAGAGGATGGCGGATGATGATGTCGAGCCTGGACGTAATATGGATACTGAAGATACTGTGCGCAGAATGACAAGACTACTGGCGACAAGCAGCACCCGAGCATACTTACCGGGCACTTTCTGGATGAAGTCACAGACATCCTGCCCTATAATACGGGCACCATCGGCCTCCGTGACGACAAAGGTGGGCCTAAAATACAGATAACTATTGATGTCGTGTCAGCCATTGATATGCAAGAGAGAGACAGTCCCAACCGCAGCGTTTCTCCTGCCAGGTTAACTCGTGATGGTAGAATAAGTGATGCAAGATTGTTCCAAGTAACCAAAATTCGCAGCATTCCACTTGATTAACTGATCCATCGGCACCCATAGTTGCTGTGTCGAGAACGACTAGTTCACGTTGGAAGTCCGATGAAACGACCCAAAGGAGCCCAGAGAATGTTAACAACGCAAGGAATTTACTATTTGGCGAAGGAGATATGCAAAAATAGTCCACGGGCTACGCGTTGGTTCGCACTTTCCATATTATCCACAGCAAGGATAGTGGCATCCACAGAGAACAACACCTCAACATGTGTCGATTTCGATTGATCCGGGGGTACAACAGCCCACGAATAAGAGCACATACATATCGGCCCACCATTCTTGCACCCAGCGATCAAGTAGTCAACAAGGTTTGGGAGCTTTCCATATAGCATATACAGCTGCTGCCAGCGCCTGTAGAATACGATGCCATTTGAGACTGCTTCCTATGAGGAACTTCGAATCACGATAATCGTTCTTCAAAGTAGCGGTCGAACCAGGCCTCCGAACACCAAGGGCAGCGTTGGCGCCAATCATGTACAGCCGTATCTGCGGGAACAACTGTTCAAACTCAGAACGCAGTCCTTGTCACATAATTACGAATTGCTCACCAGAGCGGAAAAACGAAGGAGTTATTAGCTGCAATAATTGAGTTATTCCCTCCGAGGATGTCTATCAAGACACCCTTCTACGTTACGAGGGTCGAGGTGCATTAATGTTGACGTTGATCTGCAGCACTGGAAGTGTACATAATCTTGGATGCTTGAAGCGGGTCCAATAGTGTCGTGAGAAAACGGGAAACCTTGAATTCAATGGCTTTGTAGATTGAAACCACACTTGAACTCAAACCATCCTTCAAGCCTTTTAGCCTTCAACAGCCTCGTCGTCAGCCTCTCGAATAGCGACCAAGAAACAAAGGAGTTAACGTCTCACAAATACTCAGCCTCAGTGCACACCCGTGGTTGATCAAACTAGCCCTGCCTTTTTACATCGTCCAATAGCGACTACCATTATCTACTCTCCGTGACCATTAACAAACATGTCTCAATCAACCAGACCATCCACATCCACAGCGTAAGTTCTTCTTTCTTGTTTTTAACTCACCTTTTTCTAATGAAATTTTGATTTCGTAGCTCATCCGCAACTCCCAATGATGCCTCATGGAGGGCGGGTCTTCGTCCACCACCAAAAGACTTGCGCCCGCAGACAGAAGATGTCACAAAGACCAAAGGAACTGAATTCGAAGACATGTTCCTCCGTCGTGAACTCCTCATGGGCATTTTCGAAGCAGGTTTCGAAAGACCATCACCTATACAAGAAGAAGCCATTCCTGTCGCACTTACCAAACGTGACATCCTCGCTCGTGCTAAAAACGGGACAGGCAAGACCGCTGCTTTCGTTATACCCTCCTTACAGCAGATTGATGTCGGCAAGAATAAGATTCAAGCCCTACTCCTCGTCCCTACTCGCGAACTTGCCCTCCAGACATCCCAGGTCTGTAAAATACTGGGAAAACATATGGGTATCCAGGTCATGGTGACTACAGGCGGCACGACCCTCAAAGATGATATTATGCGCTTATCAGAGACGGTTCATGTACTCGTTGGAACACCGGGACGCATCCTGGATCTAGCTGGCAAGAACGTTGCTGATCTCAGCGAGTGTCCCGTGTTCGTCATGGACGAGGCAGACAAACTTTTGTCGCCTGAGTTTACTCCTGTCATGGAACAATTACTCTCTTTCCTTCCTACCGATCGTCAGGTCATGCTTTTCAGTGCAACCTTCCCAATGATGGTGAAGGACTTCAAGGTAGGCTCGCCACGAGTACTATTTTTGCTCCCAGTGTTTGATGCCTGTCTTTTTATGTAGGACAAACGCATGAGAACCCCTTACGAGATAAATCTTATGGAGGAGCTCACATTACGTGGTGTGACGCAGTATTACGCTTATGTCGAGGAACGACAGAAGGTCCACTGTTTAAACACGCTCTTCTCTAAAGTAAGTTCCTTTACACCAACCCCCTTTCCTTATTGACCATCTGTTTCTAGTTGCAAATTAACCAATCCATAATATTCTGTAACTCTACCAACCGCGTCGAGCTACTCGCCAAGAAAGTCACAGATCTCGGCTATTCCTGTTTCTACTCGCACGCAAAGATGCTTCAGTCACATCGCAATCGCGTGTTCCACGATTTCCGCAATGGTGTCTGCCGCAACCTCGTTTGCTCAGACCTGTTGACCCGAGGAATTGATATCCAGGCAGTCAACGTCGTAATCAACTTTGACTTCCCCAAGAACTCGGAGACATATCTCCACCGCATTGGTCGTTCCGGCCGGTTCGGGCACTTGGGTCTTGCTATTAACCTGGTCACTTATGAGGACCGTTTCAATCTATATCGCATTGAGCAGGAGCTTGGCACCGAGATTCAGCCAATTCCCCAGGCTATCGACAAGGGCCTTTATGTCGCACCCAGCGCTGCTGAGGAGCCTGCCCCACAGAAGCCCCAGTCTCAACCACAGCCGTCTCAGCAGCAGCGACAACAAGCACCTTCTCAGCAAACTTCAAGCAACGGTCGCCAGAACGGCGCAGCGCCTGCACCGTCGCAAGGGCAACAAGCTCAGCGAGGTGGCTATGCCAATCAGGCAGCATACCGCAACGGCACTCCTGCACGATGAGCTCGTTCTTTCGTGTTACGTGTAGGAGGTGGGGGGAGGAACCATCACCGCTCGACATCATTCTCATTCATCATCGTCAGCCGTCATCTCGACATCTCGTATTCCAGGGGCCGTATTTCCCTTTCTTCGACATCGCCATGTCCATCAATCTCACTGCTCTGGCACCGGTCACATCTTGCGCTCTGTCCTTTTTTCCCGCGTCTGTTTTTGCGTGTTCGATTATATATATCATATTAGGTTACACTACGCTCATAGTCTGGCCCCTACGTACGTACTCCGCTCGGGTGTCGAGTTTTTGCTGGTGGTGAATGGTGTAGGTGGTGGTCTTGAGGTCGATTGGTGGTGTTGGTGTGTTGGGGGGATTGGAAATGTTTGTTTAGTTCTGACTTTGTCTGGCGCCATGTTCTGTGTCGGACACCGTTGGTACTGCCGGTACCGTGATAATACACAATTCCTTCCCCGAACTTGTCGACGCGTTCTTTCGAATTCACGGGGCAGACTGGCAGAAGGAAGACAGCCGATCGCCAGCAAGTAATTGAAACTCAACTTGAAGATGCTAAAGAGTCGAGTCGCCTGTACAGCTGTGGTCCTTAGGCAGTCCGGTATTTCTGGTACCGTGCTTCTTAAAAGGAACGACTGTCTTTCTTTCATCGGTCTACTTACCTACTTCTTACCTACTATTCAGATTCCAGGGTGCCCAGGACGTTATCGACTATCCAGCATGTGTCAGACGTTACCAAAAGATAAGTGATTCGAATCTGGATTGGGAGCTATCGGTGTTAATACTGAACAACTAGTCCCCGGAGGCCAAGAGACTTTGTAGTTGTCAACATATATATAGCAGGCGCTTCCCCGGTATGCAACATAGACGGGGTTGTCGTTGTCTTCCAAACTTCGCCTATAGACGTCTTCTTTGGGGGGATGAAGGATTAGTACCTCTCTATCTCAATTTGACCAGTACTTGTGACTAAGGCAAAGTATATTTCCTAGGAATATTTGGATGTCTCGGCTCTCGATGGCTCCCCGTACTACCGTAGCAGGATTTCGGGCCCGGGGGGCCAATGGCAAGCAGCAGGTGACCCTATCGACTTCCTTGGCCTATGTCAACCTCGCGATAACCGCTGCAATATTATATTTCGGGGATTCTCGCTAACGTCAAGTTTTATCTTATTGACAACGATGAAATCGCTTCAAGAATCTGACTGCTTACATCAAAAGTTTGTTATCTGTGGGAGATGCCGTGAAGTTGTGCAACCTCCACGTCGTGCGCGTGACAAGGTGAGCTTCATCGTTTTACCTCGTCTGCCACTGCAAAATGCCTATCCTCTGGCATTAGGCACGCCATGATGGGAGAATTGATGTCTGCGCGCGGCCGTCTTATCAAGCTTCTATCGGCAATCTGTATGAGGCATACAGTTTACCCTCTACTGAATTCTTCAGCAGTTTGATCCTCCGTTGAAGATAAGCGAATTGTGCTAAATACGTGCGCTTTGCACCTTTTGTCCCCAGAGTCTGTGCGACCAATTGCGGCTAATGGACTTTGCAAGAAAAGTTGTCAGGGCGCTCGAGGTTCCTCATACTCAGGAAGAGGGTACTCCCTCCGGCCTGCAATTTGTTTCAGTGAGTTTGAGTTCCGAACAGCTTTTAGGAACTTAGGCTTACTGTATGGCTGCTCCTCAGAGTGATGACCTGCTACCAGTTCCGGTAGAGGAAAGGACGTGGACCGCATTCAGTTATGTCGCTTTGTGAGGATTTGAATTTTTTAGATTGACTGTGCGACTAACACTCTTCTCGTCCAGCTGGGGGAGCACGTCGGTGAGTAGTATATCATCAAACAACACAGAATGCTTATAGAAGCTCTACTCATAGATCAATGTTTCAACGTTGGTTGCAAATTTTCACCTCACAATAACTCACACTGGTTCTGTGATAGATGGATGGTAACCTCTGGCATGATCGTTCTTGGCATGTCATGGTGGCAAGCCTGGCTGTGCATTTGGATTGGTTATGGTATTATCACGCCCTTTGTCGTACTGATGGGTCGGCCGGGTGCTGTATTCCACATAACCTTCCCTGTCGTCAACCGTGCCAGCTTCGGAATATTCGGAAGTCTGTGGTGTATATTTAACAGAGCGACACTGGCTTGGTAGGTACGATGTCTTTCGCGCCGTGTTGTATTCACTTCATTATAGTATCTGGTACGGAGTGCAATCAAGTATTGGCGGTTCATGCGTCTTGGTGATGCTTCGCGCAATTTGGCCAAGTGTTAATAATATCCGTGAGTTCAAGGACGAGTTGATTCTCCGTGATCTAATAATTATGCAACGAAGCCAATTCCATGCCGTCGTCCTCTGGCACCAATACGAGGGATTTCATGTGCTTCTTCATTTTTTGGGTTATATCTTTGCCCTTCATATGGCCTCCCGTGCACAAAATGTACGTTCAACGAAGTTCATTCGAAATGATTACTGATGGGCTCGCAACAGTCGCCACTTCTTCACCTTCAAGACGATCGTTGCGCCCATTGCCTGTCTCATCTTTATGATTTGGTGCATTGTCAAGGCCAAAGGTGTTGGACCGATTGTCAAAGAGCCAGCAACTATCCATGGCTCCGAACTGGCCTGGGCCATGATCAGTGGTTTCGGCGTGTGTATCAGTAATACCATAACGCTGACGACGTAGGGCCGCCGTGCTTTCATTTATCACATCTTACCATTTTTGCAGGAACGCGCCAGATTTTGGGTCACGGGCGAGGAGTCCGTCCGCACCTGTCGTTTCCCAGCTTTGGTCTCTCCCCTGCTCTTACGGTTTAATCTGCCTTATTGGTGTGATATCGTCAGCTCATCGTCGAAAACAATTTACGGGGAAACAATTTGGTCACCTGTGGATTTGCTAGGAAAATTCTTAGACGATAACCCATCCCCTGCCACTCGATTTGGTGTGAGTTTGAACACCGGATGGCATTTTGCGCTGATGGGAATGTCATTATAGGTCTGGTTCATCGCCAGCTCTTTCATTATAGCTCAGGTGGGCACCATATTGACTTCCTAAAAGACATAATGCTGATTGATCTCAGATTGGGTATGGAATAACACTCAAGTCTCTGGCATAGCTCATGCTTTGTACCCTGCCCCATTTTTAGAACGAACATTTCCGCTAATTCGGTCAGTGCGGGGTGTGATCTGACGGCGCTATTTCCACGTTTCATCTTAAGTTCTTTACTCTGTGCAGTTGTACTAGCAATCACTTACTTGCATCACAGAATATCAGACGCGGCGGGTATATATCAGCCATTGTCGGACTTGTCATGTGTCCCTGGAACCTTGTGTCAAGCAGCAACCGTTTTGCCTCCTATATGTCTGCGTACTCGGTTTTCCTAAGCGCGATCGCGGGAGTTATGGCGAGTGGACCTTGATCTGATTTTCTTTTGACTTAACATGCCCCTAGGCCACTGAATACTGGCTTGTGCGCAAGGGCCATTATAACGTCGCTGACCTCTACGTGACCCGCAAAGGGAGTTGGTATTGGTACAATTATGGTTTCAATCCCAGGTTTGTGGGAGACTACTATTAGCTCTCCATCGCTAACTCGAATTTTTAAGAGCATACGCAGCATATGTGGCAGGCATCGCCATCAATGTAGTGGGCTTCGCTGGGGATAGTACGTCCTTTTAGTTTGTATTTTGCTTGCGGTACTCATCATTCCACAGCTGGAACACCAGTACCGGCAGCTGCGACTCACATATTTGAATTGTCCTTCTTCACAGGATTTGGTACATCAAGTATCGCGTACTACATTTTGAACAGGATATTTCCAGTTCCAGGAGCTGCCGATATATTTGAGGAAATAGATGTATCTGGGTATGAGAAAAGGATGATGAGGAGCGATGAAGATACGAACTCAAAGGACGAATATAGCACAGAGAAGGAATCGTCTACCGCATAGATTTAACAGTCTTCGTGATCCGTTGGTTTTCCTTTCCGCCCATCGTGTCGGCTCGAACGATCAGCGTCTCCTTCGTGATGCACACAGTCATGGGCTTCATACTGCAGAAAAATGAGATGTACGGAAAATTCGAGTCACGTGCGCCACAGATGCCACTGGCCCACAGCTATGGAATTAACTTAACTTGAAGATGTCTGGCTTGTGTCTGGCTCGAGTTTGGCTACAATAAATATTGTCAAGATTCGAGAGTTCTCTACTCTTGAGGAGCATCACCGCGCGAGTCGATGCCAAATATGCCATCAATTGCACCAGCAAAATCTATCGGAAACTTCAAGCCCACGTGCGCCATTTTTTTGGTAGCAGGAGCACTTACTTTTCGTTACACACCCATTCCACTGCGTTCAGTCTCCCCTGGGTCACGAACTTGAGCGTCCACTTTTACAGATCATTACTTTGGAATTTCCGATGGATACTTACTCGTGAGTGACATTCTGTCTTCGTCTTGTTCCGGCTCCCATCCCATATGCATCCTCAACAACCCACTCCTCGCCGTGGTGACGATAAGTTTTCGAACGATGTCTTGATCCTCGCGAAAGACATTCAAGACCTCCCTGTACATTATGTGATAGGTGTATAGACTCTGAGTTTGAGCGGTTAATGGCACATATCTTGGTGCTTTGTACTTCGCGAAATACTTGGGTGCCTTGCCCGAGGTCGCACTAGAGGCTGAAATAAAGGCAGGGAGACCAAGTGCGAGGAGGTCAACGACCTCAGATTCTTGGCAGGGTGAAGCAAAGAACCGAGCCACGAATGGTTGATGAGTATCGTATACGGTAAGTGGGACCAACTCTCGAAAGCTCCGCAAAAAAACCTGCTCATCTTCATCGAGCGTTTCGACAGCTTTTCGGAAAATACTCAGCTCGTCAGTGGTTTGGCAGAACTTGCACTTTCAGTTTTTGCTGATGATCTCGAAAAGATACTTGTCATAACGCTCTTTAAGCTGGGACACCAACTCAGGAGTTAGTGATTTGAGCTCGAGGGGTGGAGAGAGGAGAGAAGATGACAAGTCTGTTTTTCAAGTTCACCCGAATTAATCTGCCGAGCGCTGATTCTTATACCATTAGCGTTTGTCCCCGCAGTCTTATGATACGTGTACGAGTTGCATCAACTCATTCCTTCTCTTCCTTCATGATTAATTATCAAGCTGCCACATTTTACGGTACCTATTCGGTTATCATTGCATTCGTCACCCTCATTTCTACGGTGACCGTGGCAGAGGGTCGAATAATACTTCCCCGGGCCCACCCATCATGATTCATCGAAGTTGCAGAGGTTAATCCGTGCAGGTGAATTTTAAATTATGAAATCAATTTAAATCAATTTACTGAGCGCTCCGCAGCCTGTGTGTGAACTTCAACTCAGAATTCCTTCTTGAACGTGACTCAAAATGAGCGGCACAAAACGAGGGCGTCTGGTTTCTCGAATTTCTGGCGTTTGAGGATGGAAATCAGCAGCCTGATCTCGATGACCAATTAACATGATTCCTGAAGGGCCTAGAACTAAGTGTCGCTGACTGATCAGAGGGAATCAAGCTATGAAGCGAACCTGAACACGAGCAGGCTGATGCAGCAATCATGAAGACAACCTACCAGTAGAGGACTTAAACAACGATCGACCTCAAACCTACGTATCTTGACTCTGGATTGAACGAATAAAGCCCAGACCTGTCATAGCTTTCATTCCACATTTGTCTTTCTATGTACAAGACAGTCACATTGTGAGTAGGTGATGCATAGATTCATGCGATACTTTGAGGACTGAAATTATCCCGCATCCATTAGGCGAGTCCCCAAATAAAACAAAAAATATGCCGTACCCAGCCCCTCCGAAGCAAACCCCAGCGACACCTTAACAAAATATCAAAACAAGCGGCATTACTTGGAGAGGGACACGTACGTCGGGGAGGAATGGGAGGACAAAGACAGGGGTGTGTTTGCTATTGCATTGTTGCCGGACGGCAAGACATTGATGTTAGCAAGCGGGAGTTCGGATGGCGCAGCGAGTTTGTGGAACATCGACATGGGTGAGATCGTCAAAAAATGGACGGAGCACGCAAAGCGAGTGGACTTGATGTCTGTGTGCTGGAGTCCGGACGGTGGGCGAGTGGTGAGCGGATGCGCAGGTGGGACATTCAGAGTGTGGGATGTCGAGAGCAGTGCGATAATCACTGGGACCTATTGATGCGTACGCGTTTGGATGCATGACAATTCGTGGACCCATTGATACACTGGCGGGAGGGCCTGTGTGGATGTGGTTTGCGATTCACCTGATAGCAAGATGATTGCGACAAGCGGGGACAGATCGAAAGTCTGGGGTGCCAACACAGGCGAACTGTTCAACACCCTCGAGCCATCATATTGTACGTGTCTGGCATGGACGTTGGATGACAAAACGCTTGCCGCCGGAGGACATAAGATATAATGGTTCCTGCGCACCTCGATACTTATAACGCGAAGAAACAATGGGCACATGTTTTGACGTCGGCAATTAATTGATGCATTGGCTCTCATGCCACATGATGTCACTTCTTGAACCAGCTGCAGTATAAACGTGACTCAAAGTCTCGAATATAAGCGGCACAAAACGAGGACGTCTGGTTTCTCGAATTTCCGGCGTCTGAGGATAGAAATCGGCAACATCTCGATGGCCAATTGACATGATTCCTGAAGGGCCTAGAAGTATCGTTGACTTGTTTGCTGTGCCATGATATCAGATTACCCAGTGAGTAGGGATACCGCACAAGGACCTAGGGACGTAAATATCACCAATCAGGTGACATCATGCTCCAGTCATCCTCGAGTCCTCTCCTAAGTATGAAGACACCGAGGTCTCTTTCAACACAACCACCATCTCAGCAGAAACATAGTTCCAAGATGCACCCAACCTCTAATTTCCGCCAGCAGGGAGATATGTCCCAGCGATACTGGCATAATCAGTCGCCACGGAACAGATTTGTGCGCTGAATGGTTCCGTACTGACTGCGACCGCTCATCATACACGCAGTTCATCATGACCGCAGCTCTCCTTGCTGGGACAGGGCTTGCGTACTATTGGGGCTACCGGGGTGTGGACCGGAGGCACAGTTCCGACAGTGAGTGTATTATGATTAGGTTCGGGAAATTGTGTTCATGGCATTGTTTCCATCGTTAGAAGTGTCTGCGAAGAAGTAGTCAGCATGTTACGGGAATCAAACGATCACATGGAGAATATTTGACTGGTCCCCCCTCGCACGATGAAAAATTATTAATTTGTACTCGTCTATCCTACTTTTATGTCTCTCATAATGTTTTTGTACGACACCTATTGCTGTCAGTAAGATGACAAGCCAATATTTTGCGAATGTCACAACATACCTTTGACACACTGTTCCCGGGGTAATTAACAATCCGAATCATTTGATAGCATGTCAGCTTCTAGTCCATGTTTGACCACTGATTGGTCAATGAGGTACTGCAGGGTTGATGTATTTTCGTCACACCTGGGCAACAATCAATGAGATGCAAACGCCCATGAATGTAGAGACGCACAGCCTTGATATAGACCCCTCTACGTCACCTAATGCCTTCTGGGCTGCCCGCAATACAGGCGCATGTTCACCGCTGCGATCCCTCAGGAAGCGACCGTGTGCAGTAATCACAGTCTGCACCCAAATGAGGTCGAACTCAAGATGAGGGCTCTTCTCCAGATGCTCCGCTGTGAATCGAAGGAGTGCAGGAATATAAACATCAGGCATTTGTCGTGCAACAAGGCGTATGTCACTGCGGGGGATGCGCTCGTAAACTTGCTGTATGATTGGCTTTTCATTCAAGCGGAATGCTAGAACAAGCGCTTTCAGGTACTCGCCCTCTGCGAGGATATTGAGCACAGCTTGCGGAGTGAGATCTAACGTGAGGTCGAAAGGGTCAAACATGATGGTGTCGTCAAGAGAGTAGATCAAGAGGCCTTCGGTGCTTGCGGCTGCCCAAGCACGCCCTGTTGGTGAGAAGCGTACGCATTTAGTGCGTGCTTCTTGGCGGTGCTTTCGTACAGACATGTCGCCCGCTCCTCTCGATGCGCCTGGTAAAGCTGTATCCATCCTATCTTCTAGGTCGCTGGCATCGCCGCGGTCATCAATAAGATCGATATTGATACCTGCATCGTTGACCTTGCGACTGTCTAGAAACTCCTGGGTGCCATCCAGCGAGAGGTTTTCTGAAATCTGAAACTTCTTCACGAGCACTCCCTCTCCTTCGCGTACGTCGTATAGACAAACGTACTTGCTATTTCCGCCGGCAAGCAAACACGACCCATCTGCAGTATATGTAAGACTCGTGAATGCCTTCGTGGAGGAACTATTGGCAGCCGCGACTCGATCATCGGCTTTCCGTCCTCCAGAAACATCCTTGCGGCCATCAATGACATTTGTCTGTGTTCCGGATCGCACATCAAATAATGTGATCTGGCCATCAAGCGTCGACGCTCCTAGCTCCACGCCGTCCGGTCGGAATGCAATCGAGAGAACATCGGAGGAGAGGGTAAGAGGCTCCACAGCGCGTGATCTACCGAAAACGCTCCAAATGCGAATGGTGCGATCCCAGGAACCACTCGCCAGTTGATTGGCACCCGTTGGCGAGAAGGCAAGCGCAGATACGGGTGCTTCATGGCCGGCGAGGATGTCAAGGAGCTTCCCGGTCTGGACTGACCACATAAAGACTTCGAATGTGTCAGTTGAGCCTGCGGCAACAACTTCTCCCGATGGGTCGACTGCTATGGAAGAGAACTGAACAGGAGAAGGGGAGGTGAAAGTCCGGAAATTCCGGTACCGAACTAGGTCGAATGCACGAACGGTACCATCAAGGGAGGCGGAGAAGAGAACGGAGCCGTGCTTCGCAAATGTGATGCCCATTATGGGTGCCGTGTGCTCTGAGAAAGTTACGAAGCAGAAACCATTTTGTACAGACCAGACCTTGAGCTTGCCATCATCACCCCCCGTGGCGATGGTCTGCCCGTCTGGAGCGTAAGCCAGCGTGTTCATATCGAAATAGTGCCCCTGTTGTTTGAGGATGTAGGACTCTGACTGCCATTCCCAGACAAGGAGTTGACCAAGCCTACGTGCGCCGAAGGCAAGCCACTCTCCGGATGGGGATATTGCAACAGATGAGATCTTCTCCTGCGAGATGCTCAGAGTGTGAATATTTGTGAAGTCTGGAAGTTCCCAAAGTCCGAATACTCCACTGGAAAATCCCACAACCAAGAGGTTTGAAGACGGGTGGAAGGTAGTACAGACCACCCTCGTGTTTGGGAGATTGAAGTAGTGGCGGTCATGTACACCCCACCTTGTGCGAGGAATTGAATGAGCGAAGGCTGGAGAAACAAGCTGTAGAGCCTCATCGCCGTCTAGATCGTCTTTGGCCGTCCATGTGAAGACAGCACCATCACGACTGACAGTGTATATCTGAGCATATGTAAGTCAAAGGCAAGATGAAAGACTAGCATAACTTACAAATTCACCATTGGCAGAGAAGTATGCTCCAACAACAGCATCCTTATGGCCAGCAAATGTTTTTGGTCGAAACCCTTCCAAGGGATCGAGGGTGAATAATCGGGCAGTCATGTCGCGCGATGTCGTTATAAAGCAGCTGATCACAATGAGTTCAGTGGTCAACTACAATATCTAGACGGACTCACGTTGAATCCGGTGACCATTGAATACTGGATACCTCGTCATGATGCCCCGTGTATGTGCGATGAAGTACAAAGGGTGCAAACTCTCGAACCAAGTGATTTGGCGTGCGCCAAACTTGCACATGCGAATCATGGGTCACCGCGATGAACCTGTAACGTGATCATAAGATGAAAGCCATCGACCGCAGGAAACATGCAGAACTCACTTTCCATCAGGTGAAAATTGTATGTCCTTGACCGGTTTTTGGAAGTTGAAATGATGCAAAACCACGCCTCTCTTGAAATTTATCAGCAATGCTCTGCCATCTGCGCAAAATCATCAGTATTCGCAAGACTTTGCAAGTTTCCAAACGAACCTTCATCGACAGACACTAGAACGTTCCCATCTGGACTGAGGGCAATTGCAGCGATGTTTTTGCGATTCTCGACTGGTAGTGTTCGGGATTTATTGCTTAGGAAAAACGTCGTCCTTCAGGATCTCTCATATGATATGTGATGCACTTACTTCACCAAATCAAACACTGATACTCGATTCCCGACAGGACTCAGCAGCGTGTTTCCATCGGGAGTAAAAAGAATGTTGCCCTGCTGATAAACTGTCCCACAGATGTTGGAGAACTAAGCAGATGATGAACTACTGTTACTGTTGACTGGTACAAAGTCTCACCTTGTAATTCGCCTTCATAGATTCCGAGAATGAGGAGCAGGCTTGCTTGAAGCAAAAGCTTTCAGCACTCTCACACTTGCTGGAAAATGTAGTCACGTGATACGGGTACTACCTACGCATGTACTATGTGCAGAGTCCTGCATGCAGATGTTGCAACGCACCTATTTCACAATCTTAGCTATGTTAGTTGTGACCTGATTGCCCTCAAGAACACAAGTAGTGAAGTGGGCATGAACTACTAATAAGTATATTCTGGTTGAAAACGGAAATATTGATACGCAAAATACAAGTTTGACTGTCACATTATCGTGCCAACATACTTCACTCACCCATTTGCCAACGTTCCCGGTGTCTTCTCGTCGCTCAGGTTTGAATCCGGACGTCGTAAACTCGTCCAATATCGTCCCCCTCGGAAGCTTGGACGCGTGTTGTTGGAATTGGAATCCTTCCTAGTCAGGTCGGTAAACGCTTGCTGGAAAGTTGTAAGGCTAGATATTGTTCTTCTCTCGCTGTTGGCACCCATACCTTCATGGTTCTGTTGACGAGAAATATGTCGCCTGGGAGGAAGTCAATATTTGAAGTCAATAAAATTCATGATATATCAGGTGGGTATGACAGGACCTGTGATACGGAATCCTCACGCTATAAAATGTTGGTTTGGGATGGCGAGAAATAGTTCGACGCCACTTACGATAACCTGCATTATGTATCCCGAAGGACCGAGACCTATAGATTATTTCAGTAAACATATATTTTCGCCGATGCATTATATTTGCTCACCCCTTCAAGAGGCAAATTTTGACTCGTGATGCCGGTCATGACTTAGAAGACCATAAGTTGCGAGTAGTGGGTTCTGACCTGTCCAGCGACACTCGACACTATCCCGAAACTCAGACATATGACACCGCAGACAAGAACAGAATCTTGAAAGGTACCCTGAATCGAAGTCATGGCAAAGGCTGAATTTTAGCAGACAAGGTTCATTGCAAGCATCAACACTGTAATCGTCTATCAATGCCATTATTTGGTAAAACAGCATTTCGATCGTATATTAACCAGCAGATGGGTGGAGCAGCAAAGTTAGGAAGCGTACTTGATTTACCAGAATTACGCTATGGCATCATAGGCCCCACTCGAAGGTTCGTGGAGGCTCCAAGATGACGGGTAGTCTCAAACGAGCACGACGCACTTCAAACAGTGCACGAAATTGTCTGCTTCATGCCTCACGTAAAACAATCAAGACATGGAATGACAGAAATGAACAAACTCACGAGGAGCCGCGATCATTCTCAAGGTCTGCGTTCCGTTTCCGGAGGCTGTCGCCTCCTGCTTTCTTTGAGCGACGTCTTTACATAAAGAAAACTGCCACCGGCAGCAAGAATGAGGCCGCCCCAACCAAAAGCCTTCGCGGGAAACAAAGTTCAGGGTGTCAATCACAAGTTGGCTTCGGCTGGCCACTCACCATCCGTCGACTAAGCATCCCAAAATTACACTGATATGATGTCAAGTTCAAAGCTCCGCAGTGAAAGTGAACGACTACGTTATTTTCAGAATCTGGGCAGCTGTCGGGCGTAGATCGAGCGTCGGGTGCCACAACCCGTAAATGAATACGGTAGACGGTTAACGTTTGTCCAGTGACAACATTTGACTGTGACATGGTGTGACACTTCTGTAACACAGTTTCTCCGAGTCAAAACATTTTCATGTCTCTGTCCCAAGTTCGTCCCCAATGCATTGTGTACTAGCCTAGCTCGGCTACATGTCGCAGTTTTCAGACATCGGTTCAGATAACCTGTTTGACATTATCGTTCCAAGGCTTCAGAGGGTTGTTTGAAAGCTGTATGACCTCAAACTCGCTATCAACATTGGCAAGCGTGTACTTATACATACATCGCAAGTCTGTATATTTTCCTCGCTGCACTCATTTCATCCTATGCGGGGTATGTAGTTACTGTGGCTTCATATTGTTTTGTTATCTAACGTCTATTACCGCAGTTTAATCTTACGATTGGGGTCAAGTGCCAACTGATTCTTCGTAGTAGACTGCGAATGGCCGAGCCAATGACACCGTTTCCCTTACAGTTAGGTTACCGCATAGAATGTCACGCATGAGCAATCAATCACAAGCAAGCGATTCTTGGCGATTTTCCAAGTCACAAGCCTTTCCCAAAGGACTTTGCAACTCACACTCTTACTGTAATTGCGTCACTCAGGAACTGGGGTACTGATATCGGCGCTCTTGTGGCCCATCAGACGATTCAGACCTTCCGCGATACACTTACCCCCCCACGCTCCTCGGTGGGTGGTAGCCCCAGCCTGTATTCTCTTGGACTGTGCGCATCGCCCTCCCACCAGCTCCCACCCTCATCTTGGCAGAATCAATCGCCTATGCATTGGCCCATCAGGCTGTGATAACAGTTACAGAGCAGGTGATGTCATTGTTCCTGGTTGCTACGGTATACATGCACACCACTGGCAGATCCGATACGGTGCCCCTACCCCACTTACCACAAAAACACCATCAGTCCGCAACCTTCAGGCAAGGTTTACAGGGTACTATGGGTCCAGGGACAACAGCGTCTTCTGAATGTGCTTCATATCCGTTGAGTGGCAGTTTATGTAGCTTAATTATAGGTATGCCATGCGAGCGAAGAGGGATCGTGGGGCTGCTTTCACGCGCTCACAACCCCATTCGCTGAGGTTTCGCCCAAGAGCTGCGTATTCTCAATAGCGTGTGCGATCGGCGCCTACTACTACTTGCTCGGTTGTGAAACAAGCTTCTGCTAATTAAAGATACGCTGGCTTGTCCCCAGTTTCCCAATTCCAACCTAGAACAGATAGTCGGAATGTTCCTCGGATGTGGCACGAGGTTTGTCATGATAAAAAGGGCATGTGCCATTTTCCTTCATAGCTTTCGTCACTTTTCTCACAAAGGGTTCTCGAAGGTAATGCTTGGTTCTCGGCGACTCACATGGCCTCACGTCTTGTCCAATGACGGTGTCGGCTGTTTGTTATCAACCGAAGTTCTTCTTCGCTCTTTCTTCACGATTGTTCACGCTTTTGATTCCGTAGATGCGAAACCGCCGGTAATTCAGGGAATGTTGCCGAACGATGGCCCCCATCGGGTGCGCTGAAGTTCATTTGCCTTATCTCCGCAATGGATTGAGAGGAGAAATATCATGAACAAAGGGCAGACCTTACGATATATCTGCCAGTGAAATGGATGCGTCACCGAAGTTGGTGAGATTGGTTGGGTATATATTGTGACCGGAGCAGAAGATAGAACGCTTTCATCAGTCCGTGGATATGGCTCGGCAGCCATGTCGTCACCTTGAATGATTCAAATGCTTTTCAAATCTCAGCGTTATTACATTTCGCGAAGTTCGTGCTAGGTCTAGAATTCGAATGTGGAGGGCCCTGCAGTCATGCTACGTAGCTGGCGAGCCCTACTGGATTTAAACCAAAGGAACCAACATGTGTGCGAGTTCAGGTAGAATTCATCGACGAAGCAGTAGAACGCCTGAGTGACGTCGGATACCAGTAACGCGGACTATGTTTGCTAAATCGGGAAGCGATCGGCGATTATTACTGCGCATACTGTAAGATGATTTATGTGCAAATATAGAAAGTTAGGAATTTCGTACATAATGTTGTTTATTAACCGAATGCTGTCACACTAACGTAATTTTCTTTATATGTGTGTTGATGTCACTACTTTGGTCGTCACAATATTGCCTTTCTTCCCTTCAGCTATAAATGTTGTCCTTACCCTCCCTAACCGTTTAACGATCCGACCCCTACCCTGGCTCCGTTCAAAAAATCTCTACGACTCTTCTCTCCATATATATAGAGCTGTCGTTCTCTCTCTCTACCACACTCTCACTAGCCACCATTCAGCCGACTCATCCCTCTCCCCCTGCCAGCAATATGCCTGGCACAACACCATACATTGGCAATGCTACGAGAATTTGGGAAACAAATGTGCACTGGAGCTTGTACTCTCAGTGCGGAATATGGGATCCTAAAGGACGTGGCGTGGATATATGGGAATGTATTAGAGCCCGTAAGTTGCCACTCTCCTTTCCGTCTCTGAGTCTCAGCAGTCCTAATATGTTCCCCTCTAGATGATTCAACTCAATTTACCCAGGTTCGCCACCTGTCTCGCATTGTTATCTCTATGTCGTATTAATCTCACCCTTTCCAGCCGCCTAACGGTTTATACTGGCGCTACATCGCCCGCCGGTAACCAGCTCATGGTTTCATTGAACACTGCCATAAAATACACCCTGACGCCGTGATTCCATCACGTTACCCGTCTTGGTCATGTGGTACCCACAGACGTCCTCACCTGGTTTAAGGAGAGCGTCATGCCACCCTCAACGTCGCAAGTGAAGGATATATATCTCCCAGGTCTAGGAGACACGCGTGGTCACATTGCCTTCGCTGAGGATGTGGAAGGTCATTTCATGAATGACACGCATTTTTACGATAATACTCGCTTCTGCATTTTCTTTGGCTGGTTCCGCTTTTCGGTTTGGTCACGTTCCACCCCTTTTTTCGGTATATTTGCTTATTTCATTGGGTCTTCTGGCAAAAAATCACTTACGATACATATCTATTCTAATATCCACTGTGACTTTTTGAGAGGCGACCAATAGTTGGAGGACAATGTCGTTCACGTTTTTCAAACCGCTACAAACCCAGATTAAATGTTCCTGGTTGCAGGATGTGCATGGTCTCCGTCACCAGGGGCAAAGTATGTACTAGGTGAGCCCCATCATATTGCTGAGAGTATTGAAACAGTCCACCTCACCCGTGGCAAGCACTGCACTATCACTGAGACACGTTGAAATTCATTGTTAATCAATTGGCCGCGTTATCATTGCCGCGTAACATAGCCTTCCTGTCCCTGGTGACTACCATAGCGCGGGGGGCGCACTGGGGTAAATCTTGGACCCTCCTCAAAACACGTCATGTTACGCATCCTGGAAAATTGGATCTCACACGTCCAACCAGAACCATGTAATAATGTATGACATGAGAAGTAGACTTGTAACGGGGTGCAGAAAAGATAGGGGCATGCGGGAATACGCAATTAATGTCTGAAGTGGAAGCACCCTCTTTCGTAGGTCAATAATCTACAAGCTGATGAGTCTCGCAAAGCTTTGGATACATATGGCGGGGAGTAGTCTATAAGCATCAGTGTCACTGCGTGAGTTTTCATCTCGCAGGAGACCTGATTATTTGCCAAAACATCTATAGTACCATGCGCTTTTGAACGCAAAAAGCGCTGCATGCGATAATATCATTCCCCCATTCCGCTCGGCGCCTCGACATAATCGGATACGGATGACTGAAGGGCCTCCCATATCAAGAGCGCCTCGACAAAGTCGGATACGGGATGTGACTGAAGCCTCCCATATCAAGAAGACGACGATCGCTCAAACAGGTAGCCGAATAGTCTTGCCGGCGCCAAATCCAGCTGTAGGCTCCGCGAACACGCACATCCTCAGATCGTTATCCCCGACTATAATCTACTTGGGGTCCTGAAGACTATGAAACGCCAGCACTAGCCTTGGCATCTCCCGGATGTGATTTGGAGGAGAAAAAATGGTTATCGGAAGCCGCATTGCATTGAGAGATGAAATCATGATAAGTCCTGATAGGGTATGATGCGCCAAGATCCTTGGTACAGTCTCGCCGGCGCGAGGATATTGTACGGTCTTCTTGCCATCAAGAACATGACGGATCGGAGAACGATGGATGACTTGATGAGGGCCATAAGGGGTTTTCATTTATTGCGTCGTTAAACGGAGCTGGTGTTGTTCACCATGGCACATCCTCATGGCACCCGGTAGGCGTAGGCAGAGGTACTGTCTCCATGTGTAATGATATATAAACTCAAATCTGCGAGTCTTAATTAGCAGCAGCGACAGGCGAGCGACGTCGGCGGGCGCACGTTTAAGTCACCTGCCATCGCTCATTATAAAAATACCAGATCGCCGGATGGTTCTCGAAAGCTCGGATATGTACTGTCAGTCTGTCAACTAGAAGGAATGCCGCTCGCGGTGAAAGCTCGGATAATTTAACCTGCGAGAATCTGGTTACATTCCTGTGGCCCTCGACCTCGCACGATGGCTTTGATACTGGAGCTACTCATTCGTTTTTGGGTAATGCGGGGCAGATAAACGAATGATCGGTCCGAAGATGGTTAGCGGGGCATGGATGGTATTCCCCTCCTGAACAAGACGATAGTGAACATGACATTGAACAGCAATCAAACGGGCATGAATTTGCAATTGGCACGTAAGTCTTCTAGTGCGACTTATTTTTGCATCACTTGGTTCTTGATGTGATTGCGTCGAAGGCGATCCCCAACATTGCATGAGCGCCCAACATATTTGTTTTCCGTGTCCAGACTGGGTGATGCATAAGCCACGCACTGCTGCAGCAAACGATATTTACAGTCAGGCTCAAACATGATAAGCAGTGTATTAGATCAAAAGAGGTTCGATACAATACAGTCAAATAGAACAGGCGATGCTGGAATTATAATTATTTGGGCATAATATTTCCTGGAGAGGGACGTCAAGTATCAAAGCAGTAAGTAAAACTCGATATCACAGGAGGTAGACACATACAGAACTGATGAGGTCCGTTGATGATCACCTGATCATGCTACCATCGTCAAACCTGGCAACATCTTAAGGTATTCTGTGAAGTGTGACCCGGCACCCTTGTTGTGGTGTATGGTGAGCCACTTGAGTGGGCATTTGGAGCGAGTAACAAATGCCGAGAATTGATCATGTGGCCACGGATATCTCCTCGGCGAGCAGAAGCGGATGACCAGCTCCTCCAACGCTGGTAAGGTCAGGGCTTCGAATATGTCACCCAAGCCAGCGCGGATAACATTGATCTCAAGTCGATCGATACTGCGGTTCACCGTGTTTATCAGAGGGAAGGGCTGCATGTCCGTCCGCGACGATGGATTCGCACATATAGCGGAAATGCTGACCCGTTGGACTTGCGTGCAGAGGTCGATGACCTGCAGAAAAGTAGCACCGCTAACCAGTGCGAACTGTATCTTCAGTTCCAGAAGCTGGTGCCAAGGTAAATCAATGGAACGCAAAGAGTGTAAATCGGAAGTGAGGGATTGCAAGACCACGGAACGAAGTTGTGGCGTTGGGCTGGGTATGGAAACCAGGAAGTCCGCTTTCTGGAAGGTGACCTGAAAGCGCGACAGGGACTGAACAGAGTTGTCCAATAAACCTTGTACAGGAGGACCATGCCACCAAAGGTCAGAACATTGGCTCAAGAAAGGTTGAAGCCATTGTATGGAAAGAGGCTTGTCCCCATCTGAGAGGCCCACGTCATGAACCACACGAATGGATAGTGGGACACTCCTGGCTTTCTCTAGCCAGCACTTGTATGTATCACCACCAGATATCTCTGCTTTAAGCAGGGATATACTCAAGGACGTCCATAATCGAGGGGTGGATAGGGCAACTGCTCGCCACTGACGACAAACCCTTGTCAAGACCAGTGGGCAATCGTTCGATGAAGGCGTAACATAACTTGTCTGGGGAAGACACCGAATAAATATCTCCCCAAGAAGCTCGGATGGTAGCAAGCAACGTGCTGGAGATACCAGCGCTTCGTGGAATGTCAACGACTCTTGCACACTGACTCGCTTCTCCTTCAATCTAGCCTGGATTCCTTGTAATTTGTCCAATGTATGGTTGAGGATGTTAATGTGGTCGTCAAGGGCTGCAAGTTGCGACTTTCGCTGCGTTACAACAGCGTGAATGGTTGAGACTTTGTCGGACGGAACATGGCTGGTGGAACGATGATAAGACAACGATGTCGGCGTCAGATCAGATAGCTGAATCAAAGCGTCAACTTTGATATAGACGAAGAAGATCAAAAAAAAATTATACCGATAGGATGGGAGACTGGGAGTGGCACCATGATGAGCAATGATCACGCCATCGCAACTGACAAGCAGCAAACTCACCAGTGCTTCATCCAGCAAACCATGCATTAAATCGAGACTAGTCATTTAAAGAACTTCCTGTGACGTTGCGCGGCGGTTTTGGCGGTACGATATTGCTTGAGAGGTGCAAAGCAAGTTAACCAGGCATGCCACGTTGTGAACGTTCAACGTTGACTCACTCAACAGGCGTCGAATCTGAATCAAGTACGGGTCGCTGCCGTGCAAGTTCTTTCGTTTATTGCTTCGCCAATGCGGTTTTGGTCTGTTAGTTGGCTAGATGACCACTGACTTCTGGAGTGGTGGAGTGTTCACACTATAGAGGCTAGCGTAGGACCTATGCCCACGGTGGTTCGCGTGGACCTGAGGTCCGACAAACTACTGAACAATAATGACAGTGGCATTTCTGCTCAAGATTTGAATGTCTTTCATGGTCTGTCTCCGTCCGTTAGCTAGTGCATATCTGCGAGCTGACAACCATGACCCGTGCATGCCAATTTGATTATTTTGCTCGTGTGAGTGATGTATCGATCATCTGATTCACCCGGGCCACTCACGGACAAACTACGCTGCGGCTTTGTCTTCGATGCCGTGAACTATCCTTGAACTTTTTATGTCTCTCAAAGACCTTAAGGCTCCCTTTCATCTCCAAAGCTTTCCCAGTGCTCCGAGTTGGCCAGCTCGGACGTTCCATACAATTGAACCCCCTCTCGAGCCTCAATGACATCAAGGCTCCAAGGACAGGACCACGCATTGCATATTCTGTATTATTGATCATTTTTCCCTGCAGGGTTCGCCGTCTGTTGCCCGACATCTTGGCTCGGGAAAAACCAGTCGATGCAGAACGTTGGAGCGGAAGCAAACTCGCTGAACGTTTTTTGTCGACGGATAAAGATTGCTTGATAGCAAGCTTATTCGGTATATATGGGTGAGGCAACGTGTTGAATGTTGTTACAACTCCATTCATGCAATATTTTAGGAAAACTTGATGAACGTATTATGATGTGTCCTAGTACTCTCGTCACCTGTCACACCATTCATCGCCTTCAAACTTTAGCTTTCACCTCGTGGCCACTCTAATTGCTGATGAGTCTATGCTGTAGTGCGGTATGTCATCATGATTCTCGAAAGAGAAGCCTCTGCACATCAGGGTTCGGTGGGAGTGACTATCCTCGATTGGACCAGAGAACTTCACGTGCATCCGATCGGAAGCCGTTCTTCTCATACGGAAACGTGTCAGGCGGAGCCTCAGAATGTGCCTGCTGATTCTGATTGGTCGGCATCGGTGTTGGCGGCTTTCTTGGACTCCAACACGAAGTTGGCATGCGGGTATGCTCAGGCCTTTCCTGTCACCGCGGAAGTTCAAAAATTTGATGCATAGCATCATCTTATGGTTTCAGCAAAAAATTTGCAGCGATATGATTCTGTAAATTAACCCCTTTTGTCCCATCTGCACTCTGGGTTGAGTTTCGCCCAGGGTTGCCTTCATACCGATTACATTCCCCCGTGACACCGTGACGCACGCGCTAGGCAGAGATCGAGACTCCGTCATGATGATGAAGGTATGAGCGCATGGAGCGCATACCACCGATCATGAAACGAAGAGGGTCCTAAATTGGCGACACGGAGGCGTAATGGTCGACCTTTCGCCTAATCGGACTTTTCCTAGCTCTTGAAGTAGTCCCGATCTCCTTCAAAGCCTGTAGGAACGGCTCTTGTCGGAAGTGGACGAAAGGATTGAGGGTGAGGGCTCCATATCTTGTCTAGTTGTCTTGATCCAAGCCAGAAGGGGAGAGGTGGCTGACTAGGTAGCGGAAGAGACAGACAAGAACAGGCGGTGTAAAGGAGATATGTCTTCAGCCAGGTCATAGACCTAGACAGTCCGTACTAAGAATGAATACCAATGTTTTCAAGACACTTACCGGTACCGCATAAGACGATCATACGCACGTCAAAGTTGACGCAACCCTTTGAGGGTCAGACTGTCAACAACGTTTGAAACTATGGTGAGAAGGCTACTGATCGTCGACTCAGTGCATCAGCTTAGAAGACAAATCGATCGCACCTCGCGCTTGAGCAGGAGGATATCCGAGTTCGCCAGAAATCACGAAATCCCTCTTAGGTGGACGTGTACACCCTGCCAGTATTCCGGAGGAAGGCTTCCTGATAATCGTATACTTCTCACCGACTTCATCGTCTAATATTCTAGGATCATTGGGCACCGAATCGAATTTTACTGGCGGTCGAGACTCGGCATGAATAAGGAAATCGATGGAACTGGGAGCTGCCAAATCATGCATCCCAGTTCTCAATGGGAATGAAACTGTACACACCCGTTGAGCGGATCAAAAAGATGTGACGCCCAACACGTTCTACAGTAGGCACGGTCCAACGATTTAGAACAATACTGTTTCCAGCGAGGACATTAGCAGCGGGGCTGCATTTTTAGAGATCTTTAGGTCTGGACTGTACCTTTGTGAGGACAAAATGGACCAATGCGGCTGGATGGCCCCTTACAATACTGGAACTCTCAAGACAACTTCTGTCCTGGCACCCTCCTACTGAACGCGTAGTACAGCATTCATCTTCACTGCGTTTGGTATTTGAGAGGAATGATGGTGTGTGTGCACTGTACCGGTCAGCTAGAGGCGAAAACATAGTCTTATGAACGGAAGTAGGTTCATGACGATTATACATTCCTACTCACCAGAACACGAGTATATTGAAGTCGAACTGTAGGCTGGACGTAGATATCTGAATGAAGATAGTCTGAAGTCACTCCTTCTATAACTTGATCAGAAATTCATGATGGTACTGAGCAAAGTCGAACCCAGGCCTAGTATTACATAAATACTTCAATTGCCGTTCAGTGCTCAGAGTACTTACTCGCACATACTAAGTGACAAGGACTACATTCTACGTTTGAACAGTTTTTACCATCGGAGGCCCTGGTTCGACCGCTACCTTGAAGAACAATTATCGCGATTCAAAGTTTCTCACTTCAATACACGTACCAGGGGATGGACACCGTACAACACCCTTCGGCAACATGGGAAGCAGTCTCAAACGGCATCGTATTTTACAGGCGCCAGCAGCTGTACACGCTCCCCGGAAAGCTTCCAAACCTTGCTGACTACTTGATCGCTGGTTGCAAGAATGGTGGGCCGATAGGTATGTGCTTCATCCAATTATCCAGAATTTGTAGAATGAGAGGTGGCCTAGCACTTATGAGAGATACCTCAAAGCTGGTTGCACTGGGTCGCGGAGGACCTGCATTTACGAAATCTCAAATCCAGGTTTACTCACCTGCCGGGGAGGGCTTGCTGCTATTCAGTGTGGATATTCTGCATCAGGTCAAGAGTTCAACGGGTAGCTAACTCGCGTTTTTGGCAGTGGGATCAAGGCCGAATAGTGCGGTTTGGATGGACTTTCGATGAGCGACTCGTAGTTTTGAACGAGGAGGGCGTATATCGTCTGTACGACCTGCAAGGCGACTACCAGCAGTTCTCGCTCGGAAACGAGGCGGCGGAATTGGGTATAATCGATGCTAGAATACATGAGAATGGACTAGTCGCCCTAACAGGCTCTTTGACTCTCCTAGAGGTGAAAAACTGGGAAGGAGGGAGACCATTGGCGCTTGCAAACCCTGGTATGTCATCATCATCCATACTGTCTGACATGTATCGATTTTCGGTAGGGATATCCGAACCCCCTCATTCGTGGGCAGTTGTACCCCCGGATCAATCGATATCGAGACATGTTGAGGTGCTGCTCTCTGTGGATGCCACTATCCTTGCTGTGGATAATTTGGAAAGTGCAGACCAACGGGTAGCCCGTGGACCATTTTTGCATGTCTCTCCTTCACCAAATGGTAAATTCCTTGCATTGTTAACATTCTCTGGGCTCCTTTGGGTCGTTTCATCGGACTTCCAACGTGAACTAGTCGTTCTCGACACAACAACTATGGGTGCCGAAGGGCCAGTTAATCAAGTGGAGTGGTGCGGCAACGACGCAGTTTTGGTTACTTGGAACGATCTCGCATCCCTCATTCTGCCATCACGAGCTAACTTGGCAGGAGAAACGCTGCGGTTTGGACTGTCTCTCTCTTGCATATCAATAGCTGATGACATCAATAGTTATCTGTATTTTGGGGCCACATTTGTCGTCACGGAGGCCGATGGTGCCCGTATTATAGGGCAGGATGTCTGTGACTTCATCCAGAAAGTGCCCGGTAAGTATGCTCGGGTACTGCTTGTCGCCAGTAGCCTTGACATTCTGCGCACAGTATCTTCAGTATCCATATTCCGTCCAGGCTCGACATCATCATCCGCCATCCTCTTTGCAGCTTGGGAAAGTTTCTTACAAAAATCGCCCAAAGCAGACGAGAACATACGAAGCATTCGGTCAGACCTCGCAGCGGCTGTGAATGAGTGTATTGATGCTGCTGGGCATGAATGGGAGCCTCATTGGCAGAGAAAACTTCTAAGTGCAAGTATCCCGCTTCAAACTGGCCCCTCAGTCACTGATTGAAGACCTTATGATAGGCCGCGAAATTTGGATGGGGATTCCTAGACCTTTACAATCCCACCGATTTTATAGCTATGGGTCAAGCATTGAAAGTTCTGAATGCCGTCCGCTTCTACGAGATCGGAATCCCTCTGACGTATTCGGAGTGAGTTCAGTATCTCTATTGCTCGATGCGACCGGAATTTGAATCCCCACAGGTATCAATATGTATCCCCTACGCACCTCATAAACCGTTTAACATCCCGAAATTTGCACCTTCTTGCTATCCGTGTCTCTTCCTTCCTTTCTCTCAAACCTGACGTTGTTCTCAAACATTGGGCGAGTGTAAAGATCGCACGGCACAAGTCTTCAACTGTGGACGGTGAAGATGATGAAGTGTGCAGACTCATAGTGGATAAGTTTGAGAAGCTCGGGGGTGGAGAAGTGAGCTATGCCGATATTGCCCGGAGAGCATGGGAGGTTGGGAGGACGGGATTGGCCACCAAGGTAAAGGTGCTTCTCGATATCGCACCCTTGTTCTGAAAAATTCTTCGACCAGCTACTAGACCACGAAACCAGGGCCTCAGATCAGGTTCCGTTACTATTAACCATGAAAGAGGACAGAGTAGCTCTTGTAAAAGCGGTCGACAGTGGCGACACCGATCTCGGTGAGTAGTGCCCTGCATTGGAAACCCTGAAATCTGAGACAATTGTCAAGTGTACCATGTATTACTACATCTTCACAAGCGCCTTCCTTTAGGCTCTTTCTTCAAGTTGATCGAGGATGGTGGAGAACAGCTTGCACCTGCAAGCAAGCTTCTTCAAGTTTACGCGCGGGAGCAGAACCGAGAAATGCTGCGAGACTTTTACTATAGCGATGATAGGAGAGTGGAGAGTGCAACTCTGGCGCTGGACGAGGCAGCCCAAATGACCGTACGGGAGATATTTCCTTCTTCAGTTGTCTGCAATTTACAAGTCACTCAGGATCCTCATGCGGTGATGACAGCTGTAAACACGGCAGAGAAGTTCTTTTCCGAGGACAAGGACCGTCCATTTGAAGCCAAGGCAAGGCTCATTATTTGCTTTGCAACTTGTTTTCATTCAACCTCGACCTTAATTATGTAGATGATGAACGAAAGCGTTCGCCTGCTCGCGCTCCAGCAGCAATATGAGAAGGACTCGGATGGCAAAGTCAAGTTTTTCGGGCAAAGCGTCTCAGAGACGATACGCACGTGTATCTTGAACGGCATGAGCAAGAAAGCCGACCGCGTCAAGAGCGAGTTCAAAGTTCCAGACAAACGGTCCGTCAACTGTGATGTGTCTAGTGCCTTTTTAGCTGATCCACCTTTTTCAGATTTTGGTATTTGAAGCTGCACGCGCTTACTTCTATGCGAGATTTCGAAGCATTAGACGTGTTCGCGCGTTCAAAACGGAGTCCTATTGGCTATGAGGCATTCGTAAGACATCTTGTCGAAACTGGACATCTCAAGGAGGCGGCCTCGTACGTGATGCGATGCGATGGCCCAAAGCGCGTAGAGCTTTATGTGTTGTGCGAAGACTGGCGTGCAGCGGGCAGGGAGTGCAAGGAACGCGGAGACAAGAAAGGGATGGAGTGAGTATTTTGGCTCTCGTTTGCCGCTTCCGGACTCATGGTGGTTGAAGGCAACTCAGGAAGTCGTGTCCTAATTCCCTTATTGCCAGAGAGTTGGATCAACTCATGGCATCGATGAAGTGAACTTCCTACCGAGTTCAAGGTGCACTGAGTTTTTGAAGGGAATACCCCAGCCTTCTACGTGATGAGTTTATGCTGTACCCATTGACCACGTTTTTTTTAAATGCAAGATTTGGTGATCCTGTGAACCCTCGCTGAATGACCATGGCGGGCGTTTCAACGTACTGCAAAACAGTTGTTCTCCTCTCTCCGACAAGAGCTCGACCAGAGTTATTTGACCAACATTAGGCTCGCCTCAAAGGGCCAAAGCGCACAAAAGCCATTGTTGCCATTGCGTTTGTCTGGTAATACGGGAGAACTTGGAGGTTGGTTATGTGCTTAACAGCAGACCATTTACCAGATTCTGTAGGAGTCAGAGAAATTTTGTTGTCCGCAGTGTGGGATGATTTATGTACGAGTGCAGACGTGATCTCTGATTCTCTTTAGCTCGCGGTTTTCTCGATAGGTAGGTTTATTGACTTGACCTGACATCCACTTACAATTTTTTGATCACTTAGGTTGCTCGTGGAAATTTTGGACTGAGTTTGAACGAAGATGATCGACATACCTGTGCAAGTTTCAAACATTGTACCCTCCATTGCACTGTGTGCCCGTGGACACGGAATTGACAGCCCGGGTCGACGATGGTGCCGTGTCCTGCACCGCACATGTCCGCAAACCGGGCCAATCAGTCGAAGTCTATACTTATGGGGCCGTGGCGTGCTGTGCCTAGGCTAGAACCAGGTATCACGAAAGATAATGGCTGTTGTATAGAGGGATATAGATTCCCTGGACGGGGAAGATGCAGTTGTTGGTGGTACTACTGCCAATACCAGGTGCTTTGGATATCGGGAGAAACATTCGCGCAGAGTAAGTACTTACATAGTATGAGCTTGCAGTCAGCCTTACGTTAGTTTGGGAACGTGTATTGATGGGATTACATAATTTAGGGTCAGGAGTCGGCAAGGAAGGATTCCCGGATTGCTAGTAAACTACCACAATAATACATTCTTATAAGCCAAACCTTACCTCACCCTTGCCACTCCTTTTTCTGTTCTCCTTACTTCTTTCTCGCTCACCGCCATGTATGCGCTTTTCATCTACATGTCTATTTCTCGTGGCTGACTTTTTCTTAGGTCGGGGGTGGACCAGCAGACCGCAACGTCTGCTACGACAGCTACCTTCATCACTGCGCTTGTCTTCAATGCTGCAGTCTTTGGAATTGAGATAGGCCTATTCACAGTGCTACGTCCATACTTCAAACAAATCTATGAGCCGCGCACACGAGTTCCGGTTGAGAAGTATGCATTCATCTACCAATTCGCCCCGGGCCGCTCATGTTCTGTTCACTCAGGGACCGTGTCAAACCTTTCGAGGCTGGATTTTTAACTTGGCCTATCGCCCTGTTCAAGACAGACTATCGTGATGTTCAACAAGTCAACGGACCAGATGCATATCTTTTTGTCCGATTCTTGCGGATGATGATCCGCGTTCTTCTACCTATTTGGTTTATTTCCTGGATCGTGCTCATGCCGGTCACCTCTGTCAATAACTCAGTTGCCAACAACACCGGACTAGATCGTTTCATCTTTGGAAACGTTGCTCGCAATAACCAAGATAGATATGCCGCCCACATCATCCTCGCATATCTCTTCACTTGTGAGCCCATTTGTTTGTACAAGACTTGTAAATTTGACCGTCTCCACGATCAGTTTGGATTTACTGGAATATCAGACGGGAAATGCAACACTTCACCACAGTCCGTCAGCTGCACCTCGTCAATCCTGCACATTCCCAATCTGTACAAGCAAATACGATTCTTGTAACCGGTATTCCTGCTAAACTTCTTACTGAGCCCGCACTTCGCCAGTTGTATTCCCACCTTCCTGGTGGTGTGAAAAAGGTTTGGCTCAATCGGTATGTACCCCTTACTTTTTTTCTTTTCTTCTTTTCTCGCCGGCTGCTATTCTTTATCGTTTTTCGTGCCTGTTTATTTTGGCTCTTACGAGAATTGCGCCTGCCCAATGATTCTCGTCTGTTTTTACTGCTATACGTCCCACCATGTGTACGACAACCTTGTTTGACCACTTGTCCTTCTCAGGGATCTGAAGGAACTTCCCTCTGTCTACGATCGTCGCTTGGCTGCTTGCGGAAAACTGGAGTCCGCGGAGACATCACTACTTTCAACGGCGGCTAAACTTCGACGAAAGGCACTGAAGAAGGCTACCAGCGCTGGTGATCCGTCCCCTTCTGCGGACCCCGAGCGCAATGTGGCTTTGGCGGAGCGTCTTGTGCCTCAGGATAAGCGGCCTTCGCACCGTCTTCCAGCCGGTTTTATGCCTTTCTCGCTCCCCTTCATCGGCGAAAAGGTCGACACGATTGATTGGTGCAGGCAAGAGATTGCTACTGCTACACGACTGTTGACTACAGGCCGCCAAGCTCTCGCCGATGAAGGCCTTTCACTCCCAGAAGATGTCAATGGAGATGGACAAGTTGACAAAAATGACCGCGCCAAACAGACTTATCCACCACTCAGTTCCGCGTTCGTCACTTTCAACCAACAGATCGCTGCTCACCTTGCAGTTAACGCCTTAACTCACCATGAACCGTACTGCATGGCCGACCGATACCTCGAAGTCTCTCCTCCTGATGTGATCTGGGGTAATCTTGGGCTCAACCCATACGAAAAGCGCATTCGAGTGGTGATCAGCTATAGCGCCACTGCAGCCCTAATCATCTTTTGGTCTATTCCCGTTGCCTTTGTCGGTATCATTTCCAATATCAAAGGCCTTTGCGTTCGCGAATCGTGGCTCGCTTGGTTATGCTCGCTACCAGCCCCTGTCGTCGGAATCATACAGGGCATTCTGCCCCCCGTGCTACTCGCCGTCCTTATGATGCTCTTGCCGATTGTCCTTCGTCTCCTTGGGCGTTTCGAGGGTATTCCGACGCGCACAGGTCTCGAGTTGAGCTTGATGACACGGTTCTTCATTTTCCAAGTAATCGTGAGTATCTCATTGCTCATGAACGGGCGATTTCGCTCACGGTACCTAGCACTCGTTCTTAATCGTCACTTTGAGTTCGGGCATCGTTGCGGCTCTTCCATCACTCCTTGAAAACCCCAGTTCGATCCCGAGTCTCCTGGCTCAATATTTGCCCGAAGCGTCGACTTTCTTCCTGACGTGAGTAATTCTTACGAGCTCGCCGGGGCGGCTGCTGATTAAGATCCCCAGATACATTCTTCTTCAGGGATTATCTGGCGTAGCGGGAGGATTTTTGAATGTCGTTGCGCTCATCCTGTACTACGTCAAGCTGTATATTCTAGGCAGCACGCCACGCTCTGTTTATAACATCAAGTATGCACAGTCAACTGTCGCTTGGGGCACGTTATTCCCGTCCATCACTCTGCTCGTCGTCATCAGTACGTCTGCTCATTACAGTTCACATCAAACATATTAACATTTTATCTCAGCGTTTGCTTACTCCATTATCTCGCCCGTGATCAATGGCCTTGCATGCTTTACATTTATCCTTTTCTATCTCCTCTACAAGTACCTGTTTCTATTCAAGTACACGCAGCCGCCTTCGGCTGATACAGGAGGCTTGTTCTTCCCAAAGGCGATTCAACACGTGTTCGTTGGGATGTATGTTCAACAGATCTGTCTTTGTGCCTTGTTCTTCCTCACAACGGATTCGAACGGGAAGCCAGGCGCAATTGCAGAGGGCGCGCTCATGGTTGTATTGATCGTTCTCACCGCCGGCTACCACGCCATCATCAACAGCTCCTTTGGTCCGCTCACCAGGGCCCTTCCACTCAGTCTTGCGCACAAGACATTCAGGCATCCAGAGCCTTCTCTGGATGAACGGGACAATGGCGTGTCGGGCTCTCAGCGTAAAGAGACGGCCAAGGAGGAGATCGAGGAGGGACCTTCGTCGGCTGACAAGCCTCGCGCCTCGTCCTCCACCGAGTCGGGCGCCGAGCATGCTTCGCAAAGTGACTATGATGATGTGTTCTATGCGCGCAGGCCAGACGGCACGGCGGATTATGGGTTTGCACAACCGGCTGCGTCCCACCCACAACGCATTGTGTGGATCCCCGACGATTCGCTCGGTTTGGGCCGTGAGGAGGTTCAGACGAATAAGGAGTCAGGCGTTAAGGCAACAACTCAGAACGCGAAGATGGATGAGCACGGGAAGGTGGACGTGACAGGTCCCCCTGTCGACCTTGAAAAGTTCTGAGAGATGATCTGGAGTCACTGAGGTTGTTTCCCTTTTTTTCTTGCTGTTGGAATATGGTATCTTTCTTTCTTCCAGCTTCTTGTGCCGCACATTGCATTTTACACTTGACTATACGATGAATATTCATGTTGTCTCATCTGGTCTTATCTGATTCTTCATTTGCCCGTTCAATCACGTCAACCGTTGTAGGTTCAGTATACCCCTTGTCCAATACATAATCCTGTTATACACGCCAATTTATGGATAGTCGTTCTGTAATTCATGAGTTCTTGAGACATGCATTCAGTGACTGTGAATCTGTCCAAATTATGATATCGGAGAAGTGGTGAAGCGGTAATCGCGAGACATGATGGGTGGCTGTGCTGCTTTGACTTGGGAATTCATGTTTGCGTCTTCGTTCCATGTATCGTAAAGACTTCCTAGATCTCAAGTCAATCTCAAGTTGCTCATATGTCTGACTATTGTTCGAGATGGTTGCTATCACGCTTCCACTTGTTGTATCGTCCACTGCAAAGTGTAGCTATCTCATCTGAATTCGACCTGTCATGCTCACGCAAACTGTCTCCTCGGTACTAGGTCAGTTCAATCGGAAGTACTTTATGATATACAATTGATGCGCATCGTTTTCAGCGAACTCTTTGCAATATTATTACATTGTGAAACACACTCGATTCTACTTGTTACCCTAGTGTGCTAGATGAGTTGTACAACTTCGTGCAGGAGTAGCTGAAGAGTATCACAGGATGCTCCGAGTCTCACATAACCTTGCCGTGCCACTTTTGTTGATGGCAGGTTCTCCCGCTAACGCTACCTGTTCGTCTTTTCATCTTAGCGCTTAGTCTAATTTAAATCATCCCAGCGTCTATTGTGCCGGAACAGCCCTCGACAGCATGGAAAAGTCCTCAACCTCTTCTCCTCTCCCTTTCAGCTGAACTCCATCCGCCTCCCCATATCCCTACCCCGTCTCCTCCTTCCACTCGTTCCGCCCATCACTCAGCCCATCCTCAATCCTCATCGTTTTACTGCATCCCACCATCATGTCCCGTACCTTAGAAAGCCAGTCTATCAGACTTGAAGGTGGGTCACTTTGTATCACCTTCGTTTCTTTTTTGATCCTCACACTCTATCTACAGTTATCAGGGCAAAAAATATCAAAATTCCTTCTGACCGCATTCCCGCTGGCATTTACGTAACTATCGATGTCCATTCGAGGAGACGCTGGAAATCAGCCATCGGAGTCTTATCATCCGACAAATCTGTAGCGTGGGGTGATACTGTAACCCTGTAAAATACATGGAAACTGTCGGATGTGGTTCGAGAACTGATCTTCGGTTTACAGGTCATCACAGGTGTCATCTGCATTATCAATTCAGATCAGGGTGTCCTATGAGCTCGATCGAATGCTAGGCAATGGCGAAGTCATCAGAAAACTCGAAACATCGGGGGATGAGTTGCTTGATCATGGAGATGAGCCTTTTGGTGAGTGATTCGCTCCTCATTCATGTACATACACTAACATCTCGTAGAACTGTCCTTTCCACCTGTTTGTGGTGTTCGCCCTTCCCTCACGCTGAAGGTTGCTGTTGTACATGCTTTGGACAACCTGGACGGTGCACTGTTTGATGTGAGTGATCCCAGACTCTATCCTGTCAGGTTTTTCTCACGGAACACCAACTGTAGGTCCTCGTAGACTGCGAGATTGCTCGAGACACGGATGCGGGCCACGCACGATTCGCCATACACATGACACGCAAGGGGGTCTCTCACCTGAACAATGCTGTAAAGCAGTTTCAGTTGGTTCTGGCCTGCTGTCCGGTCGGCCATCCTGACCACGCAGCAGCTCTCACGAACCTTGCGTGGGCCCGCCTTCGAGGTTATATTCGACAGGACCGCCAAGACATCGACAACATCACTTCCCTCTTGCGCGAAGCCCTTGCATTGCGTCCGCAGGGCCACCCCGATTGCGCATTATCCCTATACGGTCTCATTGAAGCATTGACCTGGCGCTACAGCAGGGAGCGCACTGCCGACTACATTCACGAATCCGTGCAGCTGTGCTGCAAGCTACTGCCCCTCTGTCCAGAGGGCACCCATTTTCGTAGCATTGGCGTAGACAACGAGGTCGATTATGTGATCACGCAATGCAATGATCTTCCAATTAAAGCATCTAATGAAGGCATCCGCCTTCGACGAAACGTGCTCGAACTCTGTCCTCTGGGTCATCAACACCGTCCCCGCGCCCTCGACAGGCTTGCATATGCCGTTTGGGTACGCTTTGACCAGCATGGCAGCATTGATGATCTAGAAGAGAGCATACAACTTGGTCGTGAAGCTGTTTCTCTGTGCCCCGAGGGACATTCCAGGCGTGATGCCTACCTGAATAACTTGGCATTCTCACTCGAGTCCCGCTTTGATCACCAAGGCAAATTTCATGACCTCAATGAGGCCATCACCTTGTACGAAGAAGCGCTGCGCCTGTGCCCTGTTGGGCACAAATGTCGTGGTTTCTTATTGGACAATCTAGGGAGCGCCCTCCGCAGCCGTTTCATCGAACGCGATGACATTGATGACATCACCCGAGCTATCAGCCTCCATCGCGAGGCATTGACGTTTCGCCCATCTGGGAATCCACGTCGTGACACCACGCTTGGCAACCTTGCCCTCGCGCTTCAAACCAGATTTCAAAATTCACATGTCAGCGAGGAATCTGCCGATGATCCTAACGAGGCTGTTGATTTGCACCGTGAATCCCTTCAGCTAAAGGGGCATGATCATCCCGAGCGCCATAGAACTCTTCGAAATTTGAGCTCGGCGCTCTGCGATCGTTTCACGCGAACTCGGAAGAATGAAGATGTCAAGGAGGCAATTGATCTCTGTGAAGAATCATTGTTGGTATTGCCTTCATTGCACCCGACTAGATACTTCAGCTATGTGTGGCTGAAGGGGGCCTATTTGTCTCGTTACCAAGTGCACAACAACCCTGTCGATTTGTCGCTTGCAGTGGAGAACTTCAGACTGGCATCAAGACATCCTACTCAAGGATTTCCACGACGCATTCAAACTGCCTTGAACTGGGTTGATGCAGCTGAGAGTCATCAACATGACTCTGCCCTCGAAGCGTACCAGATATGCTTGGAGCTTTTCGACAACCACGTGATGACGCGGTCGTCCATTATCTCACGGCGCGAAGCTGCAACCGCTTTTTACGGTGTACAGTCACTGCCAGTAGATGCAGCATCATGTGCCGTTCGTTATAATGATCCGCAACGAGCGGTCGAACTCGTGGAGCAGGGCCGTGGCCAGCAATGGTCGCTGGCCTCTCGCCTAAGGAGTCCACTCGAAGACCTCGAGTCCACGAATCCAATCCTAGCTCACAAGTTCTCAGAGCTCAGCAAGCATCTTTCTGACGCTCAAGGTTCCGCAATTAGTACAGACCGAGCTGCTGCTGATCGCGCAGCAATAAAGTACAGGAAACTGACAAAGGAGTGGGACGCTGCGGTAGCTGAAATACGGGATCTTCAAGCATTCTCACGATTTCTGCTCCCGCCATCGTTTGCAGAGTTGCAAGTGGCCGCACGTTATGGCCCAGTCATCATCCTCATTGCAAGTCAATACTCATGCAGCGCCATCATTGTCCCGACGTCAGGGGAACCCCACCACGTTGCCTTCCCACGCATCACTCTCGCAGATCTGGAGCAGCTCAAGGACGATTTTGCTACGGCAATCAGGCACACGGCTTGTATGCACCCAAGGGCGCCGAGGGAGAGGTTGCGAAGACGCTTGCGGATAGTATGGGACGAGATCATGCTACCCATCGTAAACGTCCTCCAGGATGACCTGAAATTGCAGCGTCAGTCTCGAATATGGCTTTGTCCGACGGCAGCCTTCACGTCCATTCCTCTACATGCAGCTAACCCCTTTCGGTCGAAGGCAGACCGCTCAGGGCCAGAGGCATGCCTGGAGGACATATTCATCTGTTCTTATACGCCAACGCTTTCGGCTCTGATCAGGTCTCGACAGAAGATGGAGACTTGCGTCACTCAGACCTTCGCAGCGATCGGACAAGGAGAACCGGGCGCAGGGCAAGGCAGTGTGCTCCCCGCTGTCAACAGCGAACTTAAGCTTGTCCAAAAACTCATTCCTCCCAACGTCAAGTTCACTAATCTTTCAAAAGACGAAGCCACTCAAGCAAGTGCACTCGACACTTTGCGACATAACACCTGGGTGCATCTCGCTTGTCACGGGAAGCAAGACCTTGAGCAGCCTTATAATTCAAGTTTCACCATGAGAGACAAACCTCTTACGCTACTCGACATCATGGAGAACAGTATTCCGCAAGCCGAATTCGCGTTCTTGTCGGCGTGTCATACCGCCGTCGGCGATGAGGAGACGCCTGATGAAGCCGTCCACCTCGCAGCTGGACTCCAGTTTTCTGGTTTCAAGAGCGTTGTGGGGACACTGTGGGGGGTCAATGACGCGCTCGCAAAACACTTTGTGGAAGCTTTCTATGAGAAGATGTTCGAGGATATGGAGGATGGTGTCATGGACTGCACGAAGGCGGCGCATGCAGTCAACTATGCTAGAAACTCCGTGAAGACGAAGGTGCCGCTCGAGCAGAGAATCGTTTTCGTTCACATTGGTATGTAGTTCCTACTGTATTGCTTTCGATTGGTACGGTTTTATGGGTTTTTTATATTGCATTCTCTTTCGTCCTGTTGTTTAGAGTCACGACCGTATTACTCTTACGCTCCTGTTATCACGCTTTCATATCCTCTCATGTTATTGTCCCCAAGTAACCTCACTCGAGTTATTGTGTACTCTAATCGTTTGCAGCCTCGTCTTCTGCTTGAGTATGTCGTACGAGTTGACGTAGGTCGACTTGCACCTTCAAGTCACACTATTCTTCAAGCTTCAGGCCTTCAAGGCCTTCTGTGCCATGCAGCCTTGACTAATCATCGCCAGCGTAATCAAACATCGAGTTGGAAGCAACAAATCACCCGCGCAGCCTAAGACACACTGATCGGGCCCTCATTCTTGCCATATGGCACCCACATCATGACTGGTGACGATATAACTGTCCGGCTGTGGGATGTAGCGATAGTGATGTCATTGCAGGAGTGGACCGAGAAAGATGGTTCGAGTTGAATGTTCCATCTCTCCCCCAGGATAGAAGGACAGCACCAGCATCTCAACCAACGCGCGGAAATTTTATTTCATTTGCTTCTCATCTAGCTTCAAACACGCTCTTTATAACCCCTCCTCATGATTGCAGCTCAACGTCAGTTTTACTAAGAAGATGCAGTGATATTAGTTTCTCTCTCTCTTCCCGTTCTGAGTCACTGATAAAACTTACCCTCGCGCTTTGTCAAAATTTCAGAAATTTATTTGTACAGATGTCAGATACATACACAAAGAACGTTGAGCGCAAGTCGGATTCATGATGTAGTCTTTACATAGTCTCGAGCCCGAATTCAAGTCTGTCCCAGGATTTGTCTGTTGAAAATGACAGAGTGAGGGTGGGGTCTGCTGTCGGTTCGTGAGAGCACCCACTGATGAATTGTTATGCGGTGATCACCATGAACATCACAAATTGTTAGTTGATGGTCCCCCAGAATCCAAGAAAAGATGTAAATTCATTTACCATGAGATAACGATCTCTATACAAGTCGGTGTACCAGATAGAAGGGGATTCGGTGCCCTTGAATTTCAGATTCTATGGGAAGTTAGTAATTGATCAGGTTGTGTCTGAGTTGGCGTACATACCAAATCAGAAGAACGTCCCATAGTGTTTGGAAATCTATTGCATTGCTGATAGCATTTCCGCCAGCGACAGGATAGTGACATATGTATGCGCAACTTAGGATGGAGCTTCAATTGTGTGATGCGCGCCACATGCAGTCTTTCGATTCTGTAAATAAATTAGTGACGTCCAAGTGTACTGCAAATGTTCGACCCAACTGCAGGCCCAGTCCACCTCCATGGTGCAAAAATATAGATGAAGGGATAACAAGCAGGAATGTGCATAGGAGATCGATCTAGCTTGAACAAGGTATGCTTCCAACGTGGTTCATACATCAGCTCCTGGGTGCGCTCATAACAGAGCCTGATAGAGTAGGAAGAAATACTCACCTGCGAGACGCCAGTACTTAATTCGTCTCGAAGTATGACCTTCTCACGCCCTCGGCATACGCAAGTTGACTCGGGCATCGACTGCTAGCGGATCTTTTCGAAACTGCCTGTAACGCTCCAGACTCGTTCAACGATCAACGTCGATTCGATCATGAGAATGATCGGGTCGCAAGCCGCTTCAGGTTGAACTGGACAACATAATGAGAAGACGAGTTAGCAGGGATCGATGTAGGATGCTGTGTCGAAGTGGAGCAGTTGAATGCGAAGACGACAACACTACAACGCACTGGAACACATGCACACCTACGTCGTGTCTGGTGGCCGAAGTGCAGGCTCCAGTTGCCTTGGAGGAGTCCTGATCAGTGGTGTCGAACGTGAAAATGGGGATTCTTCTGGGAAAAGGGCAATATCAAACGGTAACGGCGTTCGGGATATAGTGGAGATGCAACTTGAGATGAGGTATAGCAGGGCAGACAGGATCGACAAAAAATATGTGAGACAGGATGCTGACACTATCCTGATACCAGTGAGCCTACTCGCTTTCTCTCCATGTTAATCATCAAATTCGGCGAAGGCGCAGTTGTCAAAGTGTTGTCCAACCAACCGGTAATGGGTGTCTGTGCTTCTTTTTACCTGTTACCCTAGCTACCCCTCAGCTGGACGTGATGTTGCCGGGATATTCCGGCAAGCTGCATGTCCCGACACCTGAACATTCTTGGTACAGCTGACCTCTCCCTCTGGATTCCCTGAACACCATGCGGAGTGGTTTTCCAGACGAAAGTGAGCATTGCAAAGTGGACATGGTGGTGGGACACGTGGGATCCCTCCTGAGCGGCATCACTGACCCATCTACACCCATCCGACCCAAGGCTTCACACATCCTTCCTCGATTTCTTGACGGATCAATCACACAATGAAGAGTTTTTCTTCGAAGAAACAGCGCGACCTCACATTTGCGTTACTTTCAATGATGAAACGTGGTGTTCGCTTCAATATCTGTGATTCGAAAAGTTTTCGTATCTTCCCCAATAGTGAAGATTTCGAGCTGCGAGTTGAAAGGTGCATTCCCAGACACCTGTCTTATTCTTCTCAATTTTGGGTTGCGCACGTACAAGCAACAGCCTTCGACTGGGAGCTTGCCAAGGAAGTCAAATTGATTTTCGACCACGAGCGGCTGCTCTTCTGGATCGAGTCACTCGACCTGATCAATTCACTCGGCGGCGCAGTTTCTGTTGCACCATGCACCCCTTGGAGGCCACCACTACCGTAACAAGCAAACCCTTGGACCAATGCCTTCATTCACATTTCGTCCAACTCTACCCATGCACTGCTGACTTAACGGAGGGAGCATTCCATGACGACCGCAGCTCCCTTCTCCTGAATTGTGATGGATGAACGTAGGACCCAACCGTCGACTGTTATTTTGGATACCACACGCTTCTTGACACCCGTTTCATAGCCCTGTGACCGCATCTCTAGAGGAGATGCAGAGCTTGATTTGAGCCGCTGTATGGCAGATGGAGAACATTGGCAAAATTGCCGAGATGAGTGAGTTTTTTGCTGTCTCGCCTTTTCCGTCCTTCGCACTTACTGATATTAATACTTGCAGACTTTATTAACGATGATTGTATTCTATCGCTTGGTCCATTCCTGAGATGCAACGATACCAAGTGTACTATACTTTGCTCTTTATTCTATACCCACCCAGCATCTGGTCTGAGTTCAAGGTTGTCCGTGCGAACGACTTGCTCAAGAACTGACTGATGCTCACTCCATCAGAGATTTGATTGCGCGTATGGAATGGAGTAGATTATGTCTATATTCATGTATGCTTCCTCACAGCAGATTGAGGCACTGAATGAACATAATAATCATTCCGGTTCCTGTTGCATCTAGCACAAGTGGGCAGAAATATGGGCAAACTTGGTGGGACGAAATGTGTAATTCACTGTGTATGATGCACAGTACCACATATAATTGTGACATACATATTTACACAAGGGTGGTGAAGACGAGAGAACGGCGGAGATGGTGCATCCAAGGATATGCGGGACGTGAGGCGTGAAAGAATGTGGCACAAGAACAATCGGGATGAAGAAATAAACGAACGCAGAGCAACAGCAAGCGAGTGGGAACGAGATCGAAGAGTAGGAGCTGAGAGGAAAGAGGTTCTGGCGTGATAGACGACACTTGATTGGAAGGTACATTGGGCGTCCTCGTCAAGGACGTCTATTTCTGGGGAGAACAGGAAGAGTCTCGAGACTGCGATCATAAATGTGTGATGGTGTGAGTATATGGATGCATCCAGACTAATGGACTCACAATTCACAAAGCTGCACAGTGAGTACTAGTGGCCTCATGCTCTACATATATGAGGAGTTGCGTACAAGTGATTAGTTGTGACGTCGGGGAAGTCTGCAACGTTCGACAGCCTGATCAAACACGGAGAAGGATAATGGGTGGCTGTGCTGCTTCAACTTGGAAATTCATGTTTGCGTCCTCGTTCCATGTATCGTAAAGACTTCCTAGATCTCAAGTTGCTCATATGTTCTGACTACTGTTCGGGCTGGTTGCTATCACGCTTTCACTTGTTGTATCGTCCACTGCAAAGTGTAGCTATCTCATCTGAATTCGACCTGGATGCTCTCGCAAACCGTCTCCTCGGCACTAGGTCAGTTCAATCGGAAGTACTTTATGATCAATATGCAATTGGTGCGCGTCGTTTTCAGCGAACTCTTTGCAATATTATTACATTACGAAACACACTCGATTCTACTTGTTACCCTAATGTGCTGGATTACTTGCACGACTCAGTGCAGGAGTAGCTGAAGCATCACGATTCACAGGATGCTCCCAGTCTCACATAACCTTGCCGTGCCACTTTTGTCGATGGCAGGTTCTCCCGCTAACCCTTGCTGGTCGTCTTTTCATCTGAGCTCTTAGTCTAATTTAAATCATCCCGGCGTCTATTGTGCCGCACAGCCCTCGACAGCATGGAAAAGTCCTCAACCTCTTCTCCTCTCCCTTTCAGCTGAACTCCCCATATCCCTACCCCGTCTTCTCCTTCCACTCGTTCCGCCTATCACTCAGCCCATCCTCATTACTGCATCCCACCATCATGTCCGGTGCCTTAGAGAGCCAGTCTATCAGACTTGAAGGTGGGTCACTCTGTATCACCTTCGTTTCTTTATTGATCCTCACACTCTATCTACAGTTATCAGCGCAAAAAATATCAAAATTCCGTCTGACCGCATTCCCGCTGGCATTTACGTAACCATCGATGTCCACTCGAAGAGACGCTGGAAATCAGCCATCGGAGTCTTATCATCCGACAAATCTGTAGCGTGGGGTGATACTGTAACCCTGTAAAATACATGGAAACTGTCGGATGTGGTTCGAGAACTGATCTTCGGTTTACAGATCATCACAGGTGTCATCTGCATTATCAATCCAGATCAGGGTGTCCTATGAGCTCGATCGAATGCTAGGCAATGGCGAAGTCATCGGAAAACTCGAAACATCGGGGGATGAGTTGCTTGATCATGGTGATTCGCTCCTCATTCATGTACATGCACTAACATCTTGTAGAACTGTCCTTTCCACCTGTTTGTGGTGTTCGCCCTTCCCTCACGCTGATGGTTGCTGTTGTACATACTTTCGACAACCTGGACGGTTCTCTGTTTGATGCGAGTGATCCCAGACTCTATCCTGTTAGCTTTTACTCACGGAATATCAACTGTAGGTCCTCGTAGACTGCGAGATTGCCCGAGACACGGATGCGGGCCACGCACGATTCGCCATATACATGACACGCAAGGGGGTCTCTCACCTGAACAATGCTGTGAAGCAGTTTCAGTTGGTTCTGGCCTGCTGTCCGGTCGGCCATCCTGACCACGCAGCAGCTCTCACGAACCTTGCGTGGGCCCGCCTTCGAGGTTATATTCGACAGGACCTACAAGACATTGACAACATCACTTCCCTCTTCCGCGAAGTCCTTGCATTGCGTCCGCAGGGCCACCCCGACCGTGCATTATCTCTATATTGTCTCATTCTAGCATTGAACTGGTGCCACGACAGGGAGGACACCGCCGTCTGCATTCACGAATCGGCGCAGCTGTGCTGCAAGCTACTGCCCCTCTGTCCAGAGGGCACCTACCTTCGTAGCATTGGCATAGACAGCGAGGTCGATTATGTGATCCTGCAATGCAACACACTTCCGATTGAAGCGTCTAATGAAGGCATCCACCTTCGACGAAACGTGCTCGAACTCTGTCCTCCGGGCCATCAACACCGTCCCGACGCCCTCGACAATCTTGCACACTCCGTTTGGGTACGCTTTTACCAGCATGGCAGCATTGATGATCTAGAAGAGAGCATACAACTTGGTCGTGAAGCTGTTTCTCTGTGCCCCGAGGAACATTCCAGGCGTAATACCTACCTGAATAACTTGGCATTCTCACTCGACTCCCGCTTTGATCACCAAGGCAAATTTGATGACCTCGATGAGGCCATCACCTTGTACGAAGAAGCACTGCGCCTGTGCCCTGTTGGGCACGAATCTCGTGGTTTCTCATTGGACAACCTAGGGCTTGCCCTCCGCAGCCGTTTCAACCAACGGGATGACATTGATGACATCACACGAGCTATCAGCCTCCATCGCGAGGCATTGACGTTGCGCCCATCTGGGAATTCAAGTCGTGACACCATGCTTAACAACCTTGCCCTCGCGCTTCAAACCAGATTTGAAAAATCACATGTCAGCGAGGAATCTGCCAAGGATCTTAACGAGGCCATTGATCTGTATCGTGAATCCCTTCGGCTAAATGGGCATGATGATCCCGAACGCCATATAACTCTTCACAATTTGAGCTCGGCGCTCTGCGATCGTTTCACGCGAACTCGGAAGGATGAAGATGTCAAGGAGGCGATTGATCTCTGTGAAGAATCATTGTTGGCATTGCCTTCATTTCACCCAGATAGATACTTCAGCTATATGCGGCTGCAGAAGGCCTATTTGTCTCGTTACCGAGTGCGCGACAACCCTGTCGATTTGTCGCTTGCAGTGGAGAACTTCAGACTGGCATCAGGACATCCTACTCAAGGATTTCCACGACGTATTCAAACCGCCTTGAACTGGGTTGATCATGCTGAGAATCATCATCATGACTCTGCCCTCGAAGCGTACCAGATATGCTTGGAGCTTTTCGACAACCATGTGATGACGCGATCGTCGATTATCTCACGGCGCGAAGCTGCAACCGCTTTTCACGGTGTACAGTCACTGCCAGTAGATGCAGCATCATGTGCCGTTCGTTCTAATGATCTGCAACGAGCGGTCGAACTCGTGGAGCAGGGCCGTGGCCAGCAATGGTCGCTGGCCTCTCGCCTGAGGAGTCCGCTCGAAGACCTCGAGTTCACAAATCCCAACCTAGCTCAGAAGTTTTCAGAGCTCAGCAAGCGTCTGTCTGACGCTCAAGGATCCGCAGGCAGCACAGACCGAGCTGCAGCGGATCGCGCAGCAATCAAGTACAGGAAACTGACGAATCAATGGGACGCTGTGGTAGCTGAAATCCGTAATGTTCAAGCTTTCTCGCGATTCCTGCTCCCGCCATCGTATGCAGAGTTGCAAGTGGCAGCACGTTATGGCCCAGTCATCATCCTCATTGCAAGTCAATACTCATGCAGCGCCATCATTGTCCCGACGTCAGGAGAGCCCCAACATGTTCCCTTGCCGACGATCACTCTCGCAGATCTGGAGAATCTCAAGGGTCGCTTTGCCTGGGCAATACGGCAAGCATCTCAGATGGGCCTGACAGAGTCGAGGACCGACCTCATAGTACTCTTACGGGTAGTATGGGATGATATCATGCTACCTATCGTCAATGTACTCGAGCACATTCTCGAATTAAAGCGCCGGTCTCGTATCTGGCTATGTCCAACTGCAGCTTTCACATCTATTCCTCTCCACGCAGCTCACCCCTTTAAAACGAAGGCAGATCGCTCTGGGAGGGAGCCATGCCTGGAAGATCTCTACATCTGCTCGTACACGCCTACACTTTCGGCTCTGATCAGATCTAGACAGATGATGAAGAAATGTGCAAATCCGTCCTTCGTGGCGATCGGACAGGGTCAACCTGGTTCAGGGAATGGCAAGGAACTTCTGGCTGTTGACAGTGAGCTCGAGCTCGTCCGGAAGCTCGTCCCTGCGACGGCCATGTGTACCACTATTTCTGGCGACTCAGCCACGCGAGCAGGTGCACTCGAAGCTTTGGAACAGAATTCATGGGTGCACCTTGCATGTCATGGCAAGCAAGACCACGACCAGCCTTACAATTCTCATTTTGTCATGAGAGACAAACCTCTCACGTTGCTTGATATCATGGAGAAAGACATTCCGTACGCCGAGTTCGCGTTCTTGTCGGCGTGTCATACCGCTGCCGGCGATGAGGAGACGCCTGACGAAGTCATCCATCTCGCAGCTGGTATCCAATTTTCAGGATTCAAGAGTGTCGTTGGCACGCTATGGGAGGTCGACGATGCTGTCGCAAAACACGTTGTCGAAGCTTTCTACACGACTTTGTTTGAGGGTTCGAAGGATGGGGGTGTCATGGACTGCACGAAGGCGGCGCGGGCACTCAACCATGCTAAGCGTGCCGTGATGAAGAAAGTGCCGCTCGAGCAGAGAATTGTTTTCATTCATATCGGTGTGTAGGTCCTGTTGTATTGTCTTCATATGGTGCGGTTTCATGGGTTTTTAATGTTGCATTCCCATTCGTCCTGTCGTTCATAGTCACGACCGTGATATTCCTGCATTCCTTTTGTCTCGTTCTCGTATCTTCTCGTGTTATCGTCCCCTTATATCTTCCCCTAAGTTCTTGTGTACTCCAATCGTTTGCAGCTTCGTCTTCTGCTTGAACACATAGTACGAGCCTACTCAGGCCGACTCCCACCTTCCAGTGACATTGTTCTTCAAGCTTCAGGCTTTCAAATCCTTCTGCGCCATGCAACCTCAACTAACCACCACCAATGTAATCGGACATGCGCAGTGCACCCATCGAAGTCGTACTGTGACTTCGTCGATCAGGGATTATATTCATTTGCTATTGTGATACACTCATAAATTGAATGCCGATCACTTGTACGGCTCGATACTCCTCCTAAACTCATCTATCCTCAAGCCTACCTCTTGTCAACGTTATGACAAAGTCGTCATTATTCTGAGCAACGGGCGCATTCACTGGTGCCTATCACCACCGTCAGGCTTTCTGGCACATCTCGCGGTCGTTTCGCATGCAAAAATTACAGCTGGATGTGGGGATGACTGTCAATGTTGCTGCTGGACAGATTCGAGGTAGTGGGTATGGCTCTGCACACTGTAGGATTAGCTTGGGAGACACGATAAGCACGAGGATACGCGAGCATGCTTACCAATAGATGCCATGCTAGATGCAGTTGCGGAAGTAGGCCCTGGAGATCCTTGCTAACGTGTAAGTAAATATTACTCGCTCGTGGTTGAAGGCTTCAAACCGTCGAAGTTAACCAATTGGATGATTCATTGAGTATCCTCAACATGAAGTGTGTCGTCTACGCTCCTGTCAAAAGAACTCTGGAAGGAGCCAGCGGCAATATCCTGTAAAGCAGAGGTGAAAGAGAACAGCTCGCGTTCGATGCCCTATCCACTCGCTGCCCTCGCCTCCTCGTTTGAGATAGGTGTTTAGGCGTGGATGGGATGAGGACAATGGGACTTCCTAGAACTGGTAAACAATTTTTAAAGAAATAAAAGACCACCGTTGATTAGCACTTGTGACTGCTTCGACACGCCAAACTGGAACCCATCGATTAGAACAAGGGTTTGCAGGTCTTCGGTGAATGGTGTGATGTCCCTGGTGAGTGCTGTGTACGGTTATTTCCTGCAGAACGGTCTGGATTCTGGAATAAATCAGTGTCAAATCACAAACGAAATCGATTTGCTTACAAAAAGCGCTCAGAGAGGACACCATTCTAGGAGATGAGAAGCAAACCTCAGAAGATCACGCCGCATAAGGTGAGAAAAACTTGCCCAGCCGTCAGTGCTCGTCGGTCACAACCTGGAGTCGCAGGACGGACATCCATCCTCCTTAGCGTTTCTGGAAGAGAGTGCCATCACGTTCGAGGACAGAAATGGGATGGCGGACTGACACATTGCGTCCATGGGGAGAGGCCGAAAACAGGAAGGTGTGCAAGAATAGATTCTTCACCAAGTTTTGCCTTCTGACGCATTCAGCTGGATTCAACGCACTTCAAGCAAGTTCTCACAATTGAGACCTGCAAGATCGAGGTAAGATAAATACTCTAAGCTACTAGAGTTTAGCTTATCTCATACCTGTGCTGTCTAATTGTTCGCGATCGGCTTCTCCGTGCGCGTCGTTTTCAGTGGTTACATCGCGAAACATTCTTGTTACCCCAGTGTGCTAAATGAGTTGTACGCCTCAGTCAAGCACCACAGGACTGAGTCACACATAACCTTGCCATGCGACTTTCGCTGACTTTCACATGACTATTGCCCACCCTACTACTAGTAGTAAGTCATCTTGTCATCTAAGCGCTTAGTTTAATCATACCAGCGTCTATTGTGCCGAACGGCCCTCGATAGCATGGAAATACACGTGCAGTCTGAGCGCTCAAGCTCTTATTCTCTCCCTTTCAGCTGAACTCCATCCGCAGTCCCATATCCCTACCCTCCGTCTTGTGTTACCACTCAGTTTGTACCCCACTCAATCTCCGATGCGCCGTACTGTTCGTCATTTGTTTCGTCGCATTCTCACGCCTGCTAGCCTTGCAAGCCAATGCATCAAACTTGAAAGTAGGTGACTCAATATCATGCTGGTATTCGTTGCATGACCCTCGCGTTTGTTTACAGTCATCAGCGCACAAAATCCTGAAATCCCTTCCAACCGCATTCCCGCTGGCATTTACGTATCTATCGATGTGGACTCGAGGAGATGCTGGAAATCAGCCGTCAAAGTCTTATCATCCGACAATTCTGTAGCGTGGGGTGATGCTGTGACCCTGTAAAATACAAGAAACCTTTCGGACGTGATTCGAGAACTGATCTTCGGTTTACAGATCATCACAGGCGTCACCTACATTATCAATCGAGATCAGGGCGTACTACGAGCTCGATCGAATGCTAGGCAATGGCGAAGTCATCGGAAAACTCAAAATATCGCGGGATGAATTGCTTGATCATGGAGATGAGCCTTTTGGTGAGTGATCCGCTCCTTATTCATGCACATTTACTAACATATCGTAGAACTGTCCTTCCCACCTGTTCGTGGTGTCCACCCTTCCCTCACGTTAAAGACTGCTGTTGTACACGCCTGCGACAATCTGGACGGCGCACTGTTTGTTGTGGGTGATGCCAGACTATTCTGCTACCTTATGCTGACAAAACACCAACTGTAGTCCCACGCAGACTGTGAGATTATTACTCGAGAGACAGATGCGGGCCACGCACGACTTGCCGAATACATGTCCAGCGGGACGGACTCTCACCTGAATGATGCTGTAGGGAATTTTCAGCTGGTTCTGGACCAGTGTCTGGTCGGCCACCCTGACCGCGCAGCAGCTCTCACCAACCTTGCGTGGGCCCGCCTTGAAGGTTATATTCGAAAGGATCTTCAAGACATCGACAACATCACTTCCCTCATCTGCGAAGCCCTTGCATTGCGTCCGCATGGCCACCCCGATCGCGCATTATCTCTCTATTGTCTCATTCGAACATTGATCTGGCGCTACAGCAGGGAGCGCACCGCCGTCTACATTCACGAATCCGCACAGCTGTGCTGCGAGCTACTGCCCCTCTGCCCAGAGGGCACCTACCTTCGTGGCATCAGCCTTGACAACGCAGTCAATTATGTGATCCCGGAATGCAACAACCTTCCAACTGATGCATCCAATGAATGCATCCGCCTTCGACGAAACATCCTCGAATTCTGTCCTGCGGGCCATCAACACCATCCCCACGCCCTTGGCGAGCTTGCACAAGCAGTTGAGGCACGCTTCGACCAGCATGGCAGCGTTGATGATCTAGACGAGAGCATACAACTTCGTCGTGAAGCTGTTTCTTTGTTCCCCGAGGGACATTCCAGTCGTGATACCTACCTGAATAACTTGGCATTATCACTCAGCTCCCGCTTTGGTCACCAACGCAAATTTCATGACCTCGAGGAGGCCATTACTTTGTACGAGGAAGTACTGCGCCTGCGTCCCGCTGGGCACAAATCTCGTGATTTCTCATTGAGCAATTTAGGGCTTGCCCTCTGCACCCGTTTCATTGAACGCGGTGACATTGATGAGATCACCCGAGCTATCAGCCTCCATCGCGAGGCATTGGCGTTGTGCCCATCTGGGAATTCAAGTCGTGACACCATGCTCAACAACCTTGCCCACGCGCTTCAAACCAAATTTGAAAAATTGCATGCCAGCGAGGAATCTGCCGAGGATCTTAACGAGGCCATTGATCTGTATCGTGAATGCCTTCGGCTACAGGGGCATGATCATCCCAATCGCCATACAGCTCTTCACAATTTGAGCTCGGCGCTCTGCTCTGCTTTCACGCGAACTCGGAAGAATGAAGATGTTAAGGAGGCGATTGATCTCTGTGAAGAATCATTGTTGTTATTGCCTTCATTGCACCCGGATAGATGCTTGAGCTATGTGAGGCTGCAGGAGGCCTATTTGGCTCGTTACCAAGTGCACAACAACCCTGCCGATTTGTCACTTGCAATGGAGAACTTCAGATTGGCATCACGACACCCTACTCGAGGATTTCCAGACCGCATCCACGAGGCGATTAATTGGACAGTTGCAGCGGAGGAGTACAGCCACGCCTCCGCACTGGAAGCCTACAAAACATTTTTCGAGCTTCTTGACAGACATCTCGTAGCACAATCTTCAATTGTTGCCCGACGCGAATCTAGTTCTGCTTTTCGTCGTCCCAGTGCATTTCCTGTGAAAGCGGCATCATGTGCTATCCGCCTCGACAATCTACGAGGCGCCGTTGAACTCGTGGAGCAGGGCCGTGGTCAGCAATGGTCGCTGGCCTCTCGCCTAAGGAGTCCACTCGAAGACCTCAAGTTCACAGATCCAATCCTAGCTCACAAGTTCTCAGAGCTCAGCAAGCGTCTGTCTGACGCTCAAGGTTCCGCAGGCAGCACAGACCGAGCTGCAGCGGATCGCGCAGCAATCAAGTACAGGAAACTGACGAATCAGTGGGACGCTGTGGTAGCTCAAATCCGCAATCTTCCAGCTTTCTCGCGATTCCTGCTCCCGCCATCGTTTGCAGAGTTGCAAGTGGCAGCACGTCATGGACCAGTCATCATCCTCATTGCAAGTCAATACTCATGCAGCGCCATCATTGTCCCGACGTCAGGGGAACCCCGCCACGTTTCCTTCCCACGCATCACTCTCGCAGATCTGGAGCAGCTCAAGGACGATTTTGCTACGACAATCCGGCACACGGCCCGTATGCACCCAAGGAAGCCGAGGGAGAAGTTACAAAGACGCTTGCGAGTAGTATGGGACGAGATCATGCTACCCATCGTAAATGTCCTCCAGGATGATCTTAAATTGCAGCGTCGGTCTCGAATATGGCTGTGTCCGACGGCAGCCTTCACGTCCATTCCCCTCCATGCAGCTAACCCCTTTCGGTCGAGGGCAGACCGCTCAGGGCCAGAAGCATGCCTGGAGGATATATTCATCTGTTCTTACACGCCAACGCTCTCGGCTCTGATCAGGTCTCGACAGAGGATGGAGACTTGCGTCACGCAGACCTTCGCAGCGATCGGACAAGGTGAACCTGGCGCAGGGCAAGGCAACGTGCTCCCCGCTGTCAACATCGAGCTTGAGCTTGTCCGTGAACACATTCCTCCCAACATCAAATTCACCAATCTTTCAAAAGATGAAGCCACTCAAGCAGGTGCACTCGATGCTTTGCGACTAAACACCTGGGTGCACCTCGCTTGTCACGGGAAGCAAGACCTTGAGCAGCCATATAATTCAAGTTTCGCCATGAGAGACAAACCCCTTACGCTACTCGACATCATGGAGAACAATTCTCCGCAAGCCGAATTCGCGTTCTTGTCGGCGTGTCATACCGCCGTCGGCGATGAGGAGACGCCTGATGAAGCCGTCCACCTCGCAGCTGGACTCCAGTTTTCCGGTTTCAAGAGCGTTGTGGGGACACTGTGGGGGGTCAATGACGCGCTCGCAAAACACTTTGTGGAAGCTTTCTACGAGAAGATGTTCGAGGATATGGAGGATGGTGTCATGGACTGCACGAACGCGGCACATGCAGTCAACCATGCTAGAGACTCCATGAAGATGAAGGTGCCGCTCGAGCAGAGAATCGTTTTCGTTCACATCGGTGTGTAGTTCCTACTGTATTGCATTCGACTGGTACGGATTCACGGGTTTTTATATTGTATTCTCTTTCGTCCTGTCGTTTATAGTCACGACCGCGATACTTTTACGCTCCTGTTATCTCGTCCTCGTATCCTCTCGTGTTATTGTCCTCAAGTATCTTCACCTAAGCCATTGTGTACTCTAATCATTTGCAGCCTTCCGCTTTAGTACTTGGTACGAGCTGACTTAGGCCGACTCGTGCCTTCCAGTCACATTGTTCTTCAAGATTTAGGCCTTCAAGGCCTTCTGTGCCATGCAACCTCGACTAACCATCGCCAGCGTAATCAAACATCAACATCGAGTTACAAGCAACAGATCACCCGCGCAGCCCTTCGGACCATACAACTGTACGGCTGTGGGATGTAGCGATAGTGTTGTCATTGCAGGAGTGGGCCGAGAAAGATTCTTCGAGTTCAATGTTCCATCTCTCCCCCGGGATAGAAGTCACACCACGCATCCCTCAGAAGACAGCACCAGCATCTCAACCAACGCGTGGAAAATTTATTTCATTTGCTTCTCATCCAGCTCCAAAGACGCTCTTTACAACCTCTGCTCATATTTGCAGACCAACGTGCAGTTATATGAGTGTCTCTCTCCCTTGAGCGTCCTCGTCAAGGACGTTGATTTCTAGGGAGAACAAGAAATGTCTCCGTGGGGCGGAGATTTGCCTAATGTCACGGTTTGCATCCATGGGATTCACTCAGCGCACATATGAGCTGAGGCGAACCTTATCCATGATACTGATGTAGAATCAGCCTGAGTGATATTCCATGAGAATATGTGAGCGTACGTTTGAGCAATCTGCGGATTCTTCAAGACATGTTGGCCGAATCTTTCTGTTTTGAATATTGGGTTGCGGACGCCAGCTGACGTCCCTTCATTTGCACTGTGGTTTTTGGATGAAGATGATGCAGCGACTAATATTATTGACGGCTGGTGAGTGCGCGAGAAGCGCCCTGAAGTTGCACGAGGCATTTTGTATGGTCACGGTGGTGGGGTCGATTTCACAGAAAACTCACCTTGCGTCTTTCCTTGGTTGTCCCCCCCCCCCGCCCTTCTTGTCGATAAGCTTTCCTGCCTGTGCCATCGCCAGGGCGATCTGCAGGATTGAGCATATCGACAACACGGATGGAAAAAAACCTACAATCTTGTCCTGTGCGCCACCACCACCTATAGGAGCCTGTAGTTTAGCAGCCGGTTCCTCGTCCTCCTGCTCGTACTCAGACTCTGCATTCTGCGGTCGTCCCTGAGGCTTCCCACCATCGGTCTCCCGCCCATGTCTGATGAATGCTGCGTACCAGAAGTAACGTTGGCATATGGTCTCGCATGCGGATTGTCCATGTCAGTCTGGAATCCACCCTGTGGTCTACCTCCCTGTTGCGGCCTGACACCCGACTGGTTATTTGCAGCTGTGATCTTCAGCGCCTCAATAGCGGCAGCTGTGCCTATGTCGTCATTGGCCATTGGCTTATCATCATTACCAGAACTACAAGAAGCGTTAGTCGATTCAACCCAATTTGATAAAACATTCATTAGCAAGAGCCTACCCATGAGCCTGAGCGTGAGTGGAGAAATGAGAGTTGTACACCTCTTCGTCGAACTCGCCCGAGGGGTGAGGCTGGTAGCGGACTGGATTAGAGGGATCACCATGAGCGGCTGTGTTATCTGGACTGTGTGAGTAGGGCTGCGCTAATCGACCTACTTCGCCATTAATCAAAAAGAAGCGGTATTTGGCAGTCTATGCATACCTGGCGGAGGCCCATTGTAATAATCACTTGCAGCGCCTCGACCCGACCCTCCTCGAGGAGAAGCTTCGTGTTCATATGAAGGCCTAACTTGAGGGGGAGCCCCATGAGGTGGCGCGTAACCTCCCGCTGGCGCATGACTGGATAGTGCCCCAGGAAGAGGACCGGCAGGGGGTGCGTACACGTTGCTTCCATGACGTGGCTCCAGCGATTCCGGGACAAAATACTCGTTATGAGAAGGCAGAGAATATACTTTCATAGACAGATGTATGCTGTTCGTGGGGGATGGGTGGCAGAGGTGGTTCAGGGTCCGAGTCATCTGGACGGCGATTCCCTGATTCAGGGAATCGCAGTCGAGATGGCTCGGACTGCTGCAGGTATGATTTCTGGTAACCAGCATTCTGAGTTGGTCTAGTGGAATCGTACATCATCAGCTCACATACAACCGTCATAAACTCACCTCGATCGATCCCATTCTCCATAGTCCTCAGGGCCGATATGATCACCTCCCAGGCGCGGCTTTTCGAACCCACCACCGCCATGCATCATCCTCCTGAATTCCTCATCAGAGACGAAATCCGTCCTGTTGGGCCCTCCAGACGGGGGCGCGTACTGGGGCTGATCCTGATCGCGGTGAAGTTGATGATGCCTATCGCGTCGGTCATGTCGATGCTCTTCATGCTCCTCGTGTCGGTCATGTCGATACTCTTCATGACCTTCATATCGAACATGCCGACGCTCCTCGAGCATTTCACGGCGGTCATGCAGACGTTTCTCGAACCCTTCATGCAAACGGTCTTCGCGCTCCTCGCGTCGTTGATGAAACTGGGATTGGCCATTTAAACCCAATAGGAAGACGATGCATGTGGGATCAACTTACCATGATGATGTTTTGGAGGATCTCAGAGTACTAGAAGATGGAAATTGTGAACGGGAGGATTCCAGCTCTCCACTGTATATAAGTATTGCTGGAAGAATGGCCTTGCCTTGTGCTGGAAGTCAAAACACGTGACCAGAGAATGGAAGCGCCATTGAATGCCATTCAAGTTGTAGACTCGAATTGACTTGTCCAAGTCGCAGTAGCAAGCATCACAGGACCGAGTTTCACATAACCTTGCCATGCCACTTTTGCTGACTTTGACATTACTATTAAGTCCACTTCATTAGCACAGGTTCTCCCAGTCGGCCATCTTTTCATCTAATCGCACTCTATTTGCGCGTCGTTTTCAGCGGTTACCTCGCGAATTATTCTTGTTACCCCAGTGTACATGTGCTAAATGAGTTGTACGCCTCAGTCAAGCCCATCACAGGACCGAGTCTCACATAACCTTGCACCGTGCCACTTTCGCCGACTTTCACATTACTGTTGCCCACCCTAGTAGGTCATGTTTTCGTCTTAGCGCTTAGTTTAATCACACTAGCGTCTATTGTGCCGAACAGCCCTCGACAGCATGGAAATACACGTGCAGTCTGAGCCCTCAACGTTCAGCCTCTTCTCCTCTCCCTTCCAGCTGAACTCCATCCACGGTCTCCATATCCCTACCCCCATCTTGTCCTACCACTCATTCTGCCCACGATTCAGCCCATCCTCGATCCTCATCGTATTACTGCATCATGTCCGGTACCTTAGAAAACCAGTCTATCAGACTTGAAGGTGCGTCACTCTGTATCGCCTTCATATCTGTTTTGTGATCCTCACGCTCTATCTACAGTTATCAGCGCAAAAAATCTTGAAATCCCTTCTGACCGCATTCCCGCTGGCATTTACGTATCCATCCATGTCGACTCGAGGAGACGCTGGAAATCTGCCATCAAAGTCTTATTATCCGACAAATCTGTAGCGTGGGGTGATGCTGTGACCCTGTAAAATACAAGAAAACTTTCGGACGTGATTCGAGAACTGATCCTCGGTTTACAGATCATCACAGGCGTCACCGGCATTATCAATCGAGATCAGGGCGTACTACGAGCTCGATCGAATGCTAGGCAATGGCGAAGTCATCGGACAACTAGAAACGTCGTGGAATGAGTTGCTTGATCATGGAGATGAGCCTTTTGGTGAGTGATTTGCTCCTCATTCATACACATCTACTAACACATCGTAGAACTGTCCTTCCCACCTGTTCGTGGTATCCACCCTTCCCTCACGTTAAAGACTGCTGTTGTGCATGCTTACGACAATCAGGATGGCGCACTGTTTGTTGTGAGCGACACTGGTCTCCGCTGTTAGCTTTTGCTGACGGAACCCCAACTGTAGTCCCTGGTAGACTGCGAGATTGCTCGAGAGACAGATGCGGGCCACGCACGACTTGCCGAGTACATGTCCAGCGGGACGGTCTCTCACCTGAATGATGCTGTTAAGCATTTTCAGCTGGTTCTGGACCAGTGTCCGGTCGGCCATCCTGACCATGCAGCAGCTCTCACAAATCTTGCGTGGGCCCGCCTTCAAGGTTATATTCAAGAAGATCTTCAAGACATCGACAACATCACTTCCCTCTTGCGCGAAGCCCTTACATTACGTCCGCAGGGCCACCCGGATTGCGCATTATCTCTTCATAGTCTCATTCAAGCATTGATCTGGCGCTACAGCAGAGAGCGCACCGCCGTCCACATTCACGAATCCGCGCAGCTGTGCTGCAAGCTACTGCCCCTCTGTCCAGAGGGCACCTACCTTCGTAGCATCGGCCTTGACAGCGCAGTGAATTATGTGATCCCGGAATGCAACGATCTTCCAACTGATGCATCCAATGAATGCATCCGCCTTCGACGAAACATCCTCGAATTCTGTCCTCCGGGCCATCAACACCGTCTCCACGCCCTTGGCGAGCTTGCGCAAGCAGTTGAGGCACGCTTCGACCAGCATGGCAGCATTGATGATCTAGACGAGAGCATACAACTTGGTCGTGAAGCTGTTTCTCTGTGCCCCGAGGAACATTCCAGCCGTAATACCTACCTGAATAACTTGGCATTCCCACTCAACTCCCGCTTTAATCACCAAGGCAAATTTGATGACCTCAATGAGGCCATCACTTTGTACGAAGAAGCGCTGCGCCTGTGCCCTGTTGGACACGAACTTCGTGATTTCTCCTTGGACAACCTAGGGAGCGCCCTCCACACCCGTTTCATCGAGCGTGGTGACATTGATGACATCACCCGAGCTATCAGCCTCCGTCGCGAGGCATTGACGTTGCGCCCATCTGGGAATCCACGTCGTGACACCACGCTTGGCAACCTTGCCCTCGCGCTTCAAACCAAATTTCAAAATTCACATATCAGCGAGGAATCTGCCGAGGATCTTAACGAGGCCATTGATCTGTTTCGTGAATGTCTTCGGCTACAGGGGCATGATCATCCCAATCGCCATATAACTCTTCAAAATTTGAGCTCGGCGCTCTGCTATGGTTTCACGCGAACTCAGAAGAATGAGGATGTCAAAGAGGCAATTGATCTCTGTGAAGAATCATTGTTGGCGTTGCCTTCATTACACCCGGATAGATACTCCAGCTATATGTGGCTGCAGGTGGCCTATTTGTCTCGTTACCGAGTGCACAACAACCCTGTCGATTTGTCACTCGCAGTGGAGAACTTCAGACTGGCGTCAGGACATCCTACTCAAGGATTCCCAGAACGCATCCACCAGGCGATTAATTGGACAGTTGCAGCGGAGGAGTACAACCACGCCTCCGCACTGGAAGCCTACAAAACATTTTTCGAGCTTCTTGATAGACATCTCGCAGCACAATCTTCAATTGTTGCACGACGCGAATCTACTTCTGCTTTTCGTCTTGCCACTGCACTTCCTGTGACTGCGGCATCATGTGCTATCCGCCTCGACAATCTACGAGGCGCCGTTGAACTCGTGGAGCAGGGCCGTTGCCAGCAATGGTCGCTGGCCTCTCGCCTGAGGAGTCCACTCGAAGATCTCGAGTTCATAAATCCAATCCTAGCTCACAAGTTCTCAGAGCTCAGCAAGCGTCTGTCTGACGCTCAAGGTTCCACAGCCAGCACAGACCAAGCTGCAGCGGATCGCGCAGCAATCAAGTACAGGAAACTGACGAATCAGTGGGACGCTGTGGTAGCTCAAATCCGTAATATTCATGCTTTCTCGCGATTCCTGCTCCCGCCATCGTATGCAGAGTTGCAAGTGGCAGCACGTCATGGCCCAGTCGTCATCCTCATCGCAAGTCAATACTCATGCAGCGCTATCATTGTCCCGACGTCAGGAGAGCCACATCATGTTCCCTTGCCATCGATCGCTCTCGCAGATCTGGAGAATCTCAGGGGCCGCTTCGCCAGGGCGATACTGCAAGCATCTCAGATGGGCCTGACAGAGTCGAGGACCGACCTCATAGTACTCTTGCGGGTAGTATGGAACGATATCATGCTACCTATCGTCAACGTACTCGAGCATGACCTCAACTTAAAGCGCCGGTCTCGTATCTGGCTATGTCCAACTGCAGCTTTCACGTCCATTCCTCTCCACGCAGCTCACCCCTATAAAATGAAGGCAGATTTCTCTGGGAGGGAGCCATGCCTGGAAGATCTTTACATCTGCTCTTACACGCCGACTCTTTCGGCTCTGATCAGGTCTAGACAGATGATGAAGACATGTGCAAGTCCAACCTTCGTGGCGATTGGACAGTGTCAACCTGGTTCAGGGAATGGCAAGGAACTTTTGGCTGTTCACAGCGAGCTAGAGCTCGTCAGGAAGCTTGTCCCTGCGGCGTCCAAGTGTACCACTATTTCCGGCGAAGCAGCCACACGAGCAGGTGCACTCGAAGCTTTGGAACAGAACTCATGGGTGCACCTTGCATGTCATGGCAAGCAAGACCACAACCAGCCTTACAATTCTCATTTTGTCATGAGAGACAAACCTCTCACGTTGCTTGATATCATGGAGAAAGATATTCCGCATGCCGAGTTTGCGTTCTTGTCGGCGTCTCATACCGCTGCCGGCGATAAGGAGACGCCCGATGAAGTCATCCATCTCGCAGCTGGGATCCAATTTTCAGGGTTCAAGAGCGTCGTTGGCACGCTATGGGAGGTTGACGACGCTGTCGCAAAACACGTTGTCAAAGCTTTCTACAAGACTTTGTTTGAGGATGGGAGTGTCGTGGATTGTACGAAGGCGGCGCGGGCACTCAACCATGCTAAGTACGTCGTGATGAAGACAGTGCCGCTCGAGCAGAGAATTGTTTTCATTCATATCGGTGTGTAGTTCCACATCTAATTCCTCCATCTCGGTGTACATGAAATATTACCCTGATACTGTCACGTTGTAGTCATCTTGTTTTCGCACATACCTCTCACATTATTGTCTTCTTATCAAAGTCTTTTATTCGAGTCTTGGCTACAACTGTGTGGCATCGTCCTCTGTTTGTGTGCGAGTCAACTCAGTACCGTCTGATTGAAGCGTGCAAGCTCAAATATCTCACGAGAGCCGCACCAGTTATTTATGAGATTCCGTTCTACCTATAATGATCAACACCACGCACTTATATACTCCCTGCTCCATTCCTATTTTATTCTCCATGCTTATTAACAATGATGCAATATCAAGATATCTATGCTCATACAAGCTGGACAGGCATCATGGAAGCCATCCGCCCAGCCGTGCAAAATAAACGTGACCGATTACTAGTAGCTACAAAGATGCGTGACCACGGGGTTCAAATGGTAGCAAGAGAGCAATAAAACCAGAAGCGATGAAAATAGCTCCTGAAATCCATATTGGCACAGATGTGGTGAGGTTCGCATACAAGGCAATGATCGGGGCCTGTGTGGTGAATTGAGGAGTAGTAACTTGGCAAGGCGCACGCAGGTAATAGGCAACAGATGAACCCACCATGACACCAAAAATTCTGTTTGCAGTGGCCACAATCGCATTTCCAGTTCCACGATCTTTCGTAGGGAACAATTCAGGTGAAAGAGCATACAAGACGCCATACATGACGTTGCTCGTGTAGCTATAACCACAGTTCCAGCCAAGGAGCGCATTGGAAGTGCGTGCGGTGGTGGATGCCAATATGAACACGCCCGTCAATACTTAGTGGCAGATTTAATTAGCAGAAGCGCGCAACATATCCTGAGAGCCTTACCGGTGAATATTGCCAAGGTGCCTCGCCTACCGAGGTATGAAAGCTCGACAAAGTAACCTGCCATCAATGCTCCAGGAATACCTATCACGCTTAGTATGACTTGCTAGGTAGAACATGAGTCCACTGAACGGGTGGATGTAATTGTGCGTACATTGCGATACGTGATATACGTCGAACCATCTCCAAAATTTGCCCCTCGGGTGGCCAAGCTAGCAAGGAGTTAGTGGGAAGCTAGTCATACCTACTTGAACCACTCACAAGTATGTTACGAAGCTGTTGTACCTATGCAAGTCTGAGAAAGAACGACCACAAGAAATTGAAAAAACCTACAGCGGAAACGCGAGGCCGATGAAAGCTGAAGGAACAAAGACATCAGTCGATACTCAAGCCATGGCCTCGTAACAGAGACTCACCCCAAAGTATGATCAAAATAATTGTCGACCAAGCCGTCTTTCGAGTAGCAAATAACGATTTAACACGGTTATCGCTAAATATCCCCATCTGCCTCCGTACAGCAGCGTCAGCTGATTTTCCAGCCCTTTGGAGGTCTTCGAGCGTGAGGTTGCTCGTTTTCCCATTGTAAGCTGCAATTTTGTGGACGACCTCGACTGCTTGTTCATCCCGACCTCGTCCCATGAGGTATTTTGGACTCTCGTATAGGTTGAAAACGAAGAAGCGGATTACCCAAAGGAGCATCATAAACCCGCCCATGGTGAACAAGAAATATCGCCACCCTTGATTTGACGATCTCGGGCAGGGAGAAGGGGGGACGGTGGTGGGACAAGAGTAATTGGCAATGAGAGGCCATGCAACCTAAAGCAAGTCAGTATGCACCGCAAGCATTGATCAGGTAGATATCTGACCAGGCTACCCAACAATTGCCCAAAGGCCCACCAAATAGAGAGTACCGTTAACAGATATTGGTGAGAAGCGGGGGTGAATTCTACAAAGCGCATCAATATCATTAAACCTGGGTGCAAGCCCTCTTCTTTACCTAAGAAGACAGCAGAATCGACAGGCAAATTTCCACCCACACCCACCGACCACACCGCGGTCAGGGAACAGAGCGCAACATAGTTCATCGATCCCCCAGCTGCAAGAGCAAACAGGCTGGTCATGCACAGAGTGATGTTGAAGGCCCATCTATGCGCCGCCCGTCAAGACAGCACTAGAAGAAGGTGATTCAGCCTATGTAGCACACCTCCGACCCCAAACATCTGAAGAGACCCCCCAAAGAGCAGCTCCCACCAGCAAGCCGATGTTTTGGGCGAGTTTTAGCCAAGGTCCCAGTACGTTAAATTCGTTCACTACTGGTGTTAATATCAAGCCAGTGACAATCTACGAGAATAGTAAATAAATGTGTACGCGAGATACGAAGAACACACATACCGGCCAAAGATTGTCGCTATACGAAGAGGTTTGGCAGGTGCATCAAGAACGATACTTTCAAGTTCATGTGCTAACTCACGACAGCCAGCCAAATCCAGCAACCACGAACAAGTACCACTTCTCTCCTATTAACAAACGAATGCGTCAAGCACGAGCCACTCACCTGATATTTTCCCATTCCAATCTCCTGCAACGCATCATTAAGAATCCTGGCCTTGGCATGGTATACAGGGTCCAACGAATCCTCAGTGAAGATATCCCGAGTCTCAGCATGCACGTCGAGACTCTCGCATTCCTGGGCTTTGCGCAGCTCACCCTGCTCGACCGGCATCGCAAAGGGGGAAGCAAGAGATAACCACGAGCGCCTCTATAGACGCTTCCTCAGTTTATGTACAACATAAAATCCACCTAATCTACCGAACAAGCAGATGGATGGTAAATCTCGCGCCAAAAGACGAACATGAATGGAAGTTCGAATGTGCCAAGCCGGAGTCTGTGTAGAAAATCATATGGTTACAAGGGCGTGTCTACCTTATAAGTTAGACTCGTTTCTCGAGCTGTCCGCGGTAGTGTAAGTGGCCAGCTGCTGCCAGGCTAGGTCAGCCTTGTTGGCCGCAACTTGCGCGCTGATCGGGTATTCTAGACTCCGATGGGCGGACTGTGAAAATTGTACAAGGCAAGACGGCAAGAATATCTCCCAGCTCGAATCGCGACGTGACGAATATCCTTTGAAGGCAAAGATGCAACAAGTGCTATCTTTGTGAGAAGTGGAATGAAATCAGGGCGGCCCGCCAGAACCCGTGACGGGATCCCCGCACTAGACAATCCGCGTGCAATTCCCCATGTCTATGAGTACTCCCTTGAGTCTCTTTCCGTACGCAGCTGCCACATGCCACTCTTGCCACGAGTCAACCCCAGAAACATATACTTTTCTCGCAAGAAATCAACCCGTTTCACCCCATCCATCCGTTCCCTCCTGTTCCTACAACGCTGCTCCCAAGCCTGCTTAAGCGCCCCCCGGTCCTCGGCATCCAGCACATCGTTGTAATAATCCTCATTTCGTATCCGTTCAGCGAGGAATTGACATAAAACCATGAACAAGTCTCCCAGTGTGACGTAGGAGCCATTGCCAATCGGCATGACATCGATGTACCACGGTAGGCGCGTGTGATAGATACGCATGAACCTCGTTGGTGGGTTTGTGGCTGGTTGCATCAAGTCGTTTGCGACTACTGGGCGCTGTAGCGCGTGAATTCTGAGCAAGTGTTGGCTGTGGCGAAGATCGAGGGTTATGGCTTTGTCATGTCGCAGGACAGTAGCGAGGGTGAGGCGAGCGCTATCGGTGGATGCTGCTGCTATATTAGCATCGCTCGTGGACTCGAGAATTAAAGTATAACTTACCATCGGGTAGTCTTGTTACAGACTTGCTTCGGAATAGGGACGAAATCCCCGACCTGAATTTGAAGTCGCGTCTCCAGCTTTTTGGAGGCTCTCCCGGCCAATCTGGAGGCACATAAGATGTGGATAATGGCCGTGACATAGAGACTGCGGATGAGGGCGTGTGTGAACTTGTGCTTGGGAATGTCTGAATGGGAGGTCTGGCGTGGTTATAGGACATCGATGGCCCCCACGCATTCCACGGTGCGGCTTGTGGTGGAAAAGCAGCAGAAATGCTATTACTTCGCCTGCGGGGATCATGTTGGGCGGTCTCTGGATTCATGGGCAGGTGAGGTACATAAGGACTTGGCATAGATGGCCGTTCTAGCGCAGCCTGAGCTTGCAAGTAATGAGTCCATTTCGCCCATTCCTCTTGACCTGCTGCCTGGTTTTGGAATGGAGGATACGGGTAAGCCATAGGCGCATTCCACCCTGGGCCAGGATATGCGTTTTGCGGGGGTGGATAACCCCCCATAATTGTTGCACCTGGTGGATGGGGTATATTTGGCTGCGGCATACCAGCGTTGGAGTCGACTAGGGGTGGCATGTCATCATAGATGCCGTTCATGCTGGCAGCTGGTGTTCAGAGGATGCAAGGACAATGTGAAGAAGTGATAATATCGATAAGTGGCCTCCAGACTTGATAAAGGTGAAGCAGTGTGCACTGCAGTGACGAACGCACGTGAACAAGAAATGCTGTAGAGTCTAAGTTCAAGCTGTGTTACCTTGTATTACGCGACCGTTGGCGGTGTCACGACAAGTACTTGCAAACCAGTGCAATCCAAACGCTGGCGACGGAAGCTCGGAAGGCCTGACGAGAAGTTCGAGTATATATATGTGGGGAGACGTCCGAGTCAATACGCACTTCCCACAAAGTCCGCTAGCAGGCAAAATGTGGCGCAATACTTACTTGCTGATTGGGACAACATCATGATCCCGTGAGGCCGATATGGATGTTGAATTGATGCTTAGTTGGAGAGTCAGGAACAGGGATATAATAATAGATATACGCCACCCGAACTACACGGACTTTGAAAAAACGGTAAATCCCGAGCCTTGATCTTCAACTCATAGGCTCTGATGATGTTTTGCCATCACCATGTCCTGTAAATTGGCAGAAAAATAAACCAGGGTACTGGAGCACGAATCCCTCTATTGTGGCAGTTGACCATCAGCACTCCGATTGGTGATCGGCGACGATCCCGAGGAATTGACAGTATCTGGACACTTCAAGGGGAAGATGGGCCTGCAATGTGCTTCATTACACATGCAATATGCACATAGCAGGCGTCACTTGTCAGTCTGCCTGACATGCACCTCATGTAAGTATATAGTGCTGCCTCCCCCGTGGGGGCCGAAATTTTGGTTCGCTGCCCCTTCTTCACCTATCATGCTACTGGGTGACTAACGATTCACAGACGAACCTACTTTTGCAACACTAGAGATATGCTAAGACTAATTGCATGATCATATGAGGTCTCAGGTATGTCACTTTTGAAACTTTCAAGAATCTGATGAGTCAGTTTAAGACCAGCACCGTCTCTCAGCTGACATGTCCTTCCTCGCTTGGCCCAAGCTGTGAGACGTCGGGACTTGCCATCGGGTGAACTGGGGAAGTTTCTATACGGTGAGAACGACTGAGTTTTTGAGGTCATATATTACACACCATGATGGGTATCTTCTCCTTTTTTTGATAGCCCCATTGACTAGTTTTCCGGGTATCAATCCATTTGGGCGATTATTTGAACGCTTGAACCAACGGCCTCGGCCTCGAATACAATTTGTCATGGAATAAGGCGGGGGTATTTTCTCTCCGCGGGACCTATTATGTTCTGTTTCAGGTTTGCGCACAACGACTTCCGATCTCTGTCATTTCTGCAACAGCTAACCACAATATTTACGAAAAAGCAATGTGAATATGGGCAGCCGAGAAGTATTACTATCCAATTCCGCAGCAACCATGATGTACAAATAATCACCATGGACTGATAGGCTGGCCCCAGCAGTTGCTTTACTACCGTGGCCCGCACTCCCACATCGTACAATGATCCTTCATGACGTCAATTTGCACGACATTCAACGCTCAGTTCCCTCGGTCGATAATACAAATATAACAATCCGCGTTCCCCGCATATGATTGCCCTCGATATTATTAACCCATAACCCTAGCGCCCCTCGTGACCTCCCGTTCGCATCCATATGATACCCACGGCTCGACCCATATTTCCTTTTCTTATATTTGTCTTGGAGACTTTCTTCCGCAAACCAGTGTTTGCATCTCGAGTGGGCCATATTACCTCGTTTCCTATAAGTAGGTCAGCCAACCGAAACTGCTTATTTCGTTGTCGTAGGACCACACCACTCGCATGGGGGTCTAGAGGACAGCATCCGCGGGTGCCCCATGACTAGCACTATGGTGCATTTGCACTGATCCGAGGAACACCGAATTTCTGGCCAGACTGTCAGCTCCTAAGTGTCAATCATATTCATTTATCAGCGCTCCACGCTCAGCGTCCAAGCGGTTCTTCCCCCCCGAAATTCCAATTCATTATAACACTTTGGGGGATATTGGTTCAGAATTCCAGACTGAACAGGATTCCTTGATTCTGTGCTTGATTCTGTTTCCAACCTTGTAATCCGAACCAGTATGACAGCCAAACTGAGCCTGGCGTTCCGCGTCTTTCGATTAATTCATATTGTCTTCATTAGTGAGCCGACGGTTCGTGAAATATCAATGCAGGTCATTTCTAAGTGATTCTCCAAAGCGGTATAATTATGAGTCGTAAACCATATTTCTACATTCTTCCGGAATCTCTCCTGATAATCTGCTGAGAATGCCGAATACCCATTGGTCTGACATTCACCGTTAGGTTCAGAATGCAAATACACATGACCACAGCGCAGGTCACCTTCCCCGGGCTCGGCCTACATGTCGCCGCAATGTACACTCCGTCAGATTGTAATGTACGAGACCGCAGTCTATCATAACGCGCATTGCGGTGGACTCACTTAAGGATAAGCAATCGGGTAGGCCATCGATGATCTAGATGCTTGACATCTAGATACTTAGATCTAGATGGTCAGATCGAAGCTGCATTTTGAAACCGAGAGAGCCCATCATGATCATGATCACCGATTAGATCAGGATGAAAGGTACGGTCTACGGTTTTCAAATTGCTCCATATTAATTTAGACTCACCGCAGCTTATATTACATTTGTTCTGATGACGGTCCACATGCATTGAGACTCGCTGGAATTATAAATCCTCAACATCTGACCGAATAAGCGCACGATAACGTCTTCCCAAACGTGAAGGTGTAGCCGTATGAATATCATACTCTGGTATGTCCGAGTCATCATTGTCGGACTCGCGGCGTACAGACTTCCCTTGAAGTCGCGTTGACCTGCGAGTTGCGTGTGGGAGTTCATCATCGTTGCGTGGGCTTGCAGCGGATTCCTGTGACAACGACAAAGCACTGAGAGATTGAGAAAGCTGATTGCGACGGGGAGTTTCAGGTTCATCAAGTGTAGCAATGGACTCTGCATCAGAGTGGGGACCGGTCTTGGCAGACCTAGGGACTAAGTGATGACCTGTTATCAGAACACTTGAGAGACGGCGTTTGAAATACTCAGGCAAACCATAAGTACCTTCATGTTTGGACCTGCGTCTGAGGCGTTTTGACGGGGGCTGGTCAAAGATATCACTTTCCTCGTCCGAACTCCAATGGCCTCTTCGGCGTTTGTTCGAGGACGTGACCCTCGCTTTTTCTTGTCAGATTTTGCCCTAGCCTTCTTGCGTAATTCATCCAGAGGCGTATCGTCATCAAAGTCTGAGACCGAGCTTTGAGAGATATTTGCACTTGCGTGAGATGGCGAGAGCTGTCCTGCCTGTGCAACAAACCCGTCTGTATCATTGTTTGCGGACTCAGACTCGTCAGCTTGCTCCTCTTTGCCCTGCCCGTTACAGTCGTCATTGACCGTGGGACTGCTGGTGTTATTGGCTGGTTCAAAATCACTACCATCCTCTTGGTAGATTCCCTCCTCGTCATCATCATCGTTGACTACAAAGTCATCACATTCGTAGTCATCGTCTGGCTCCACTGACCCACAATCATCATCCCATTTTCCGAGAAGTTGCCCGGTGGGATGTTCCACGTGCGCTGGTGCTCTAGGGCGGTATGGCCGTCGGTGGGTCTGGAGATGCATCTTGTACCTCTGAACTAGGTCTTCGAACCTGTAATACTGACAAAAGGAGTGATTACCAATAGTGCTAGGCGCAGCTGGGGAAACTACGACTCACCCAGGGGCATTTGTTATGCTCCAGTTTCAGACAAAATCTGATGAAACCAGGACGTTTGTACACATCATCGAGCCTATATCCGTTATACCGCTCTCCAAACCATATTGTGACTGATCCCGGTGACTTCTCGTCGTATACCTTGTCCAAATAAAGGCGATTTGCCTCCACCAGGTTTTGGTGCTACGAGTCAGAGTGATTGTAGCGCAAACGCTGCTCACTGGCAATGAACTCACCCAGAGGTTACTAGACCGTAAAGGATGAATACTCCACCAAATGAGATCTTCTGGTACTTTGTCAAGTCGATCGTTTTCATGCTTGCCAAAGGGGAAGGGGTATGCTTCAGGAGTTTGGAGAAGTAATTCTTCGTATCGTTTATTGGCCTTTATGTAGGCAGCATACTGACTTGGTTTTCAGTGACAGTCATAACTGTTAATTACTATATGCGGTTCTGACCCAGGAGTTGCTTGCAAGGTGGGCTCGTGTTGTCCACCACCTCAAGTTATTTGAGACGGCATCAAGCCGTTTACCAGCAAATTGTCCAAACGGGAATGGGTATGCTCCAGGATCATCGCCGTGGTGAGCAAGTTCGTTGTTGTCCACAAAACCACCGTCGATACGTGTCATAGCGAGAGTCTGAGTGAAGGCAACACTGGAAGTTCAACTAATGCAGTTGGCGCGACGTGCACGTGATTTAGATCAACCGCACTTCATCATTACCATCTGGCAATAGATATTGACGCGGATGGACGAATGTTTTTCCATTTGGCGAGGTGCATTAGGTCGGTGTAACTAGAGTATGTAAGAATATTTCCGCATCTCACGATGTGGAGTGATTTATGTTGAACGAATGTCTTCGTCAGCCTTAGGGGTGCCTAAGCGTTGTTTCGCACTTACGGATTAATACTTTAACCAGCAGCAGCTATAAAGCGCTTGAGCATCGTGAGAGAACTGACAAACAACCAACAAAATTAAACCCTCACCTGGCTTTAAAATCTCGCACCTTTGACGGTGAGGTTCACCTCACCAACTTGTGGATCGAACTTATGACACTGATGACGGTCTAGATGAATTTCTCGATGATCATTGTCCTGGCATTTACGGCTTTTGGTACTCTGAGCGTACGAGCAACGCCCACATGTGTTTTGCAACCGTGTGGGGATGTAGGAACACAGTCGATTGCATGGTGTTGTCTTGGTACTATGAGAGCACGAGCAACGCCCATAGCATTGTCAAGCAAGTGAGGGGTTTGGGTACGTCAGCAATGAAACTCTTTATCAGAACAAGTACTGACCGCAAAATAGCGGCGAAAACAGTTCCACTCACACGTTGAGCTGCAATGAAGCATCCCCAGAAGATTCTCGCAGAGTGTCTGAGGTAGCATCCTTAGTAACCCTTGTAAATACTTTTCTGTCTCGCACTTGTCAACTGTCACCAAGAAATCAGACTCGTTCTTGACAACCGACTGTACGAACTCAGTACAGACCTTGTGATTGTTTCAAATGTTCACTGGGGACAGAAAATGACGAGGTAGACGATGTAAGTCGAAGAGTAGTGCACCGTGTGATCGACTCTGGCATGGCGTCGCTGGGGTAATGTATACCTCCCGGTTCGGGTGAAGTGCATAATCTAGGAAAGGCAGGGTCACCCGCCCTTCTTCCAAATGCTAAATCTGACTCTGAGGGAGTCCCTATGGTGCGGGCAGAACTTGGAGTGAGAGTCACCGATCAGTAAACTCAAGAGCAAATGTATACCTCAATGCAGCAGGTGGAGAGAAGTGGCAGTATCAATGTCTTGAAGGTCCTTTTGAATATAGTCTTGAAGGCAGGCCGCTGTGTGGCCAAACCAACTGAAAATGCTGCACAGCGTCGTTCAGGGTCACAAAACAGATACGAAGGTTGACGGAGTGACCTACGTCTGATGGGTTGGCTTGCTACACTACCGGGCATGATGGCACGATGAAAACGCGAGTATTTGGTAGCTCGGAGGAGATGGGATAGAAATATGATGTTTGCTAGTATGTCACGGTATAAAGCTGTACATATATCTAGAGGAGAACTTCTATATAGGGAACTAAAATAACTCATCATCCCTAGACCCCCATCGCTCATTCCGTGACTGGTACGAACTTCTACTTTTCGCGCGACATCTAGCAGTGCAAATCCTACCTGAATGCGAACAACTCACGAATGCTAAACCTTGTGCGGAAACCCAATGGGTCGGCTCGATACTTGCAGACCTCCGCCCGAGCAGCTGCACTTGTTCAGAAGCAGAAGCAACATTATAACCATGTACAACAACCACGACCCGTCATAGGCACGGCTGAAGTGAAAAAAGGAAAAGAAAGAGAAAAAGAACGTGATGTAGTCCAAAAAGTCGTGAAACATGGTGCGCTATGTTGCTTCAATTCCATTTTTCCGCGACCCATGAATATTGGACAGTCAAACGCAACGAGCTCGGGGTTCAGCTTCTCTCTCGGGAATTGCATTCGCAAATATTTCGCAACCTCTCTTTCCCAGCACCAGAGAAAGCCTTTGTTCGCATTGCACAGGAGCATCTGGAAATGCATGGACTAGATCCCAAACAAGGCTCTGTTCTTCCTGATATTGGCTTCACCCTCCCTCCCCTTCTAGGCTCAAATATCGATGAGCATTTCCACAGAATCGGCAGTCAATCCGCTCAACCATGGCTAAACATCGCCAAAGATTTTGCGTCGAACGAACTTCCTCCCAAACCGGACCATTGGGAGATTCAGTCAGGATGGACGAAATATCACTTCCTCGCTGATGGGTCGAGCTACAGTGAGCACGTAGAGTTCCCACAGCACGAAGGGAATGCCGAAGAAGTCCTCGTGTTTGATGTAGAAACCATGCCTACATATCATCCTTATGCCATCATGGCATGTGCTGCCTCGAAGAATGCCTGGTACAGTTGGATATCGCCCTGGTTGCTCGGAGAATCAGTTGAGCAACAACACCTCATTCCCTTGGGGGATACGCTTGTCCCACGTGTAGTCGTTGGTCACAATGTCTGCTACGACCGCGCGCGCATTCTGGAGGAATACAGCTTGCAGGGAACTCAGTCCCGCTTCCTCGATACGATGGCTCTGCATGTCGCAGTAAAGGGGATATCTTCCCATCAAAGACCTGCTTGGATGAAGCACCGCAAGTCCAAGGAGAATCAGCAAGTGCGTCGTGTCGAAGCGGTCGAGGCCGTCATGGAACTCATGCGTGATGCAGAGTTCAAGCACGACCAGGAGGTCGATGAAATCAAACGAGAAGAACTACGACGTCTCCGCGCTGATCTCGAGGAGAGTCTTCCGCAGCTCGAAGCTGCCGATACCGATGCCACGGAAGCTGATCTCTCAAGCAAGCGCTGGGAGGACCTGACTTCGGCCAATTCACTGGCTGATGTCGCCAAACTGCACTGCAATATCGATACGGACAAGGAAATTAGAAATGACTTCATGAAGTTGACCCCAGAAGAAATAGCGGATAACATTCACGACTACCTCAACTACTGCGCGCAAGATGTATTTGTGACTCATGCTGTCTTTTCCAAGGTCCTGCCAACTTTCCTTGACCGCTGCCCCAGTCCCGTTTCATTCGCTGGCATTCTTACGATGGGTTCCAGTTTCTTGACGGTAAACGAGTCCTGGGAAGCATATCTTGCGGATGCAGATAGGACCTACAAGGAGTTAGATGGGAAAGTAAAAAAGCGGCTTGTCGAACTCGCAGAGCAAGCCAAGGATAGGATGGGGGACGAGTCTTGGAAGGATGACCCTTGGCTCTCTCAACTTGACTGGACGCCCAAAGTAGCAGGGAAATCTAGGGGGATCGTATCTGCTGAACAGGTATGTCTCGAGGTCGATGTACCGAGCTTCTGTTGACGACTTCCTTTTGCAGATTGACTCGACTGCAGCGAGCCCATCAACTGCTCCCGCTACTTCCTCCCGACGCAAGAAGTCCGCTCCTAAGGAGCCCAAAGTTAAGGTGTTTTGGCCGAAGTGGTACTGGGATCTTGCAAAGCCCAAGAAAAACATGCCTCCCGGCACGCTGGATGTCACAGTACGGAATCGCATTGCTCCCATCCTCCTCCGTTTGTCTTGGCAAGGCTGGCCACTCTTCTACTCCCGGGAACACGGCTGGACCTTCCGCGTTCCAGGAGATGTCGAATTCTCTACCCGTCTTTCTCAGCTCGATTTCTATGATCCTACAGATGATGCCCTGCAGGACATGCGCTTGAAGGGAGGTTTTCTCTTCTACAAATTACCACATAAAGACGGGGAGAAGGCAAACGTGGGCAGTCCGCTTGGGAAAACGTTCATGAAATATGCACAGGATGGGACGCTCACGAGCCCTGGCGACGAAGCGAATGATGCATTGGACATGAACGCGCAGTGCAGCTATTGGATCAGCGCGCGCGATCGCATCTTAAATCAGATGGTAGTCTGGCAGCAGGGAGCGTTAGATCTGCAGTTCAAACCACCTGAATCTTCGGACGAACCCCAGAAATGGGGTATCATCCTTCCTCAAGTGATTACCATGGGCACTGTGACGCGCCGCGCTATTGAGAAGACGTGGCTCACGGCTAGCAACGCGAAGAAAAACCGCGTTGGGTCAGAGCTCAAAGCCATGGTGCGCGCACCCAAGGGGTACGCCATCGTTGGCGCAGATGTGGACTCAGAAGAGCTGTGGATTTCAAGCTGTATGGGTGACGCACAGTTTGGACTACACGGCGCTACGGCTCTTGGATGGATGACCCTTGAAGGCACCAAAACCGCGGGAACAGATCTTCATTCAAAGACAGCGAGCATCCTGGGCATCTCTCGTGACCAAGCAAAGGTGTTCAACTATTCCCGAATTTATGGTGCTGGGATGCGTCATGCTGTCCTCCTGCTGCTGCAGTCGAGCGCCGGCATGCTGCCCGATCAAGCTCAACGTCTCGCAGAAAACTTGTACTCGTCGACTAAGGGCAAGAACACGCATCGCACGGATTTCTTTGGGAGGAAATTCTGGTTTGGTGGAACGGAGAGCTTCGTGTTTAACAAGCTGGAAGAGATCGCGCTTTCGGATCAACCACGAACTCCAGCTCTCGGATGCGGAATCACAGCTGCTCTATCAAAGGAGCTTCTTCCGGCCAAATTTGGTTCAGATTACATGACATCACGCATAAACTGGGTCGTGCAGTCATCTGGTGTCGACTACTTGCACCTTCTCATCGTCGCAATGGATCACCTGGTCAAACACTATGGTATCAAGGCGCGGTATCTCATCTCGGTGCACGACGAGTTACGTTATTTGGTTGCCGAAGAAGATCGCTACCGAGCTGCACTTGCCCTGCAAATCGCCAACTTATGGACACGGAGTCTTTTTGCCTTTAAGCTAGGAATGGATGACTTACCTCAGGGTGTCGCGTTCTTCTCAGCCGTTGATATCGACAAGGTGCTCAGAAAGGAGGTTGATATGCCGTGTGTCACACCTTCTCATCCTGACCCTATCGCCCCTGGAGAAATTTTGGACATTGCCGGCATTTTGGAGAAGACAAACAGCGGTTCATTGTGGAAAGATGGACGCCCCATGATTGCTGACTGTACGCCTTCCAAAGTGCCTGACGAGCATAATGAAGGCTATGAGCCTCCTAGTTGTCTTATTCATCGTGCTGAGAGCGCGGCTTGGCTACGAGCCCAAGCTACCTCTGAGTTTCCTGAAATCAAGCATCTTGCGCAGCACTCCTCGGGGCAGGTGATAGAAACCGGGATCCGTGGCGCCCAGAGCGGCAATGAAGGAAGAAAGCGCGGGCGTCCGGCGAAACACTCATCCATGGAGTTGGGTGATTGGGAAGCGATGCAAGAAGTGTTGAAATCAGGCAGCCTAAGCTGAAATCTAGCAGCTGACATACCGACGGATCATCATCACTTAGTTGACATGGGTATCTTATCACGCTGTATAGTGATTTAAATTAGGCTCACATAATATTAGAGTTACCTTATTCATGTTTCTCTGGGTGGCTGCGAGATCCGGCTTAACCGTTTACATCGCAGCGCAGAGACTTGTGAGTCTAGGGTCAGTGGGCGAATAGACGCCATCGATAACAGTTATCGCCTCTTAAGACCCATCAAGGTGCCTTCTCTACGTGTCCCGTGAGACCGCCATCAGCGCGCATTTCCCGACGCCTGCTTTTTATGGGTGAACGGTTCCGCCAGAATCCCGCCTCATGACCATATTTGGAATACCCGCCCAGTACCATCAAAGATTCGGCGTCTATTCTGAGGTTCTTGTTCGATCTCACCATATCCAACGATGTTCGCTGTCCCGCCCATATCACTCGTGTACGGCGCTCTCCCAATTAGTCCCCGAACCACGATGGGCGCGAGAAGTCTACAAGTAACTTCCCGATGTTCCCTGGCGGGCTATAAAAGACACGCAGCATGACAGTCGAGTCACCCAGCGTACTGCGCATCTCCAAGTCTAATAACGCCCGCCTTTGCCCAATATCTCTGACTCGAATCTCCCTGACTCTCTCTGACTCCAATCTAACACGATGAACTACCGGATTGGCTCCCCTGCCTCTTCATCGAACCACAGGTCCTGGGCTGTGCACAGCGCACAATCTAGCTCCAATATCCAGGCCATCCAAGGCCATTGGTCTGCGCTCCCGGCATCGTCCCCGTTGCCGATCCCAAACACACCGCTTCTTCACTCAGTATCGCTCCCACACCCTAATGCAGCTTCGCACCAATCGCCTATGTCTTGTATGCATTTCTTCTTTTTGTTCATACTTTACGCAAACCTCACATTCATTGTCTGTTAGACCAACACTCTTCCACATCCCACTCTTCATTCATAGTCTTGCACTCACTCTTGAGTTATGGTCCCAATTTGAGATTTAACATCACACGAGACCTAGCACATGTGCAACTGCGACCAGGCTGTCCGCCTACCATGCTTCAGGAGTTTGCGGTGCAACCGCTAGTCTCTCATATGATTATTACTGTTCCTGAGCTTCCTGCTTGGACAATAGAGGTGGTGAACCCTCGGGGCGTCACTGTGAATGACGTCCTTGCCAAGATACGTGAAACGCTCAACCGGAGTGTTGCGCCGCACGAGATGCAAAGATCTTCTCGCGCAGTCAATGCTGCTATTGATTCTTTCAGGGCCAGGTCCCGCGCAGACTCGCGCGAACATGCGCAGGGCGTGAAACGCGTTGACTTTTTGGGCCCAAAATTTTTCTTTGCTGGCCTTGCCAGAGCTCGAGATGGCTCAGACAGCTGGGAAATTCACTTCTCCCAGAGTGTTTGATCCTCGCCGTGCGCGGGTCGTCTTGGCTGTTCCTTATCTTTCGACACATTGCACCTGGGTATCTCCAGCCAGTTCCAATGGGCTTTAGTCGGATCTCATCACTCAACACTGCCGGCTCTAACTTTACTTGGTATCTTGCCGTCACCGTTTACTTCGCATCTATATTCGACAGCCCCTAATTTGTTTTTATCGCTATCTTGCTATATCGCTATTCGCAAAGTTTTTTTTTTGGATTCATGTACCGGAATAGTTTGGATAGATTACACTCATATACCAGGACATTTGTAGTTTTACCATGTACTTGATCCCCACAGCAATGCAGTGTATTCATACTCAAAATTCGTTAGTGGGTGGTTCGAGTGGAACGAAAAATCATGATTCGTCAGTTAGATGGCATCATTGACAGGTGAGTACTAGTGTGTTCATCGTTCAAAGGGGCGCAGCTGAAAAATAATGAACCTGATCGGATGGCACGTTCGTCTCCTGTCGGTACAGTGGATACGAACAAGCACTATGGTAATGGCCCTTCAATTAATTCGAGGGTCTTGAACGTTAACCTTGAGCACAAATGCTAAAGCTGCGCATTTTATGTGATGCGGCATGCCGTCCCATATACGGCATTGGTCTGATTGTAATTCCCTCCTGGTGTTTTTCTGTTGACGTCAGCCCAAGAGTAGAAGCTCCAAATTAATCGATGCTAGCGCTTTGCTGCATTGTATCAGGTGCTCGAGCCCGAAGGTTACATCCAAACTCGGAGTTCCGACCCGAAAAATTAAAGGCTTCCTTTCTGATGGAGTCCAACCACGCCCGTAACTGGCCCCTGTCCTGAAGCATGCTCCCCCCATGACACCCTCCATTCATATCAAGAAGTGACTTTGACCACCCACTGCCAGACCTAGGGGGACGAGGTGCCATTTCGGTACATAAAAATCACTTCACGTGACGTGATTCGTACTCAGCGCGTCACGCCGCCATTTCCAACGTTTCAGTTTCAACCAATTTCCACCTTGTACATCACTACCTCGCCCACGTATCAGTCAAAGACCGTAAACATGTTTTTATCATTCAATCTTTTCATTGTGCTCGCGCACGTCATGCTGGCAGTTGCTCGGCGGCCTGTGAACAAATATCAAGATCTCATGGCCAATACGATACCCGCAGATCCACGACGTAACGAGACGCTTGCCACGAGAACAAGCTCGCAGATTAATCAACCTCACCGCTCTCGAAAAGGCGCGAAACAGGCCGCCCGCCTCCAGAGACGATCAGGTCGCTTGGCGTCGACTCCAGCCCGACTTCCTCGAGAAAACGCTGCGCCAACGCCTCAGCCTACGGGTCCTTCGTCCGTCTCGACTACAGTACATATAACCAGCGTGACTGATTTTTCAATCTTACTTCCAAGCGATGGAGGTGTGTATTTCTTAAGTATTTTTATTGCGCACTTGCCACCACGCTTATCTCGCTTAGAGCTTGTATCGGACGCGGAGAGTGACGGAACGGCGTATTGTACCGATGGATCTGGCTGTCAGAACTCGTTTCCAGCAGGCTTCATTACTGGCGCGAATATCTCGCAAGCGAGCGATGGGTCGTATATACAGGTCAGTGGAGTTTTATTTAGTTGTCTACAATCTTTTTCTGGTACTGATAAACGTGTCAGATCACCGGCTGTTTAGACTCCAGCAAGTTTCACTTTGCCCAAAATGACGCAGGAGGCCAGATGGACGTTCGGTTTCCCAACGGCGCGCAGTGCACTTTCGGGGGATACGGCGCAAGCTTCATCGAGCAGTCCGTTCCGTTTGTCATTATTTTATTCATTGACTCACTGATTTGTTCACCAGGGTTGAGCCCTCCGCCAATCGTTTCTGCCTTCGCTGTTGTGCATCCGCAAATGACCAGGTCAACTGCAATTCACATAACGACAAAGCTGGTTGTCCTGTTGCTGTTCCTGGCATTTATGACTTCGCTGGAGTGAGCTGCTCCTAACACGGCCTCATCAACAATCTATTTTCAACTATTTCATTCACGCACTTGTAGCCTAAGCTGATTGACACTTCTACCAACAATTGTAATATCATTCGCACTGTATCACTATGCCCAAGCCGGTACGCAGTACAGCCAGAATACAAAATCATAAAGAGATCGTGAAATAAATCCATACAAATGCCTGATGCCTAAGTATACTATATAATCATGAAGTCCGCAGAGGTGTCACGGGTCTATGTATGTGCCGCGAAATATTTCGCAGGTATAAGGGGATATCAAGAAGGAAACCACAATGAGCCTCGGATGCTGTCGATCGCAAAAGTTGAAAATCTCGGCTTCAAGCCTTGCCAAACACGAGTTTTCCGGAGCCGACGCCGGGACCATACTTCTCCACTTCGATTCCGATCAAACGAGTCTTCCCATGCAACCAATCCACGCGTCGCACTCCACCTTCCCATCCACCTCCCAACTTGGTGCACCGCTGTTCGTACGCCTGCGTAACTTTCCGCTGTGCCCTGCTTCCATTACCCAGGGCTTCCCACTCCTGAGGAGTGACTCTCGTGAGAAGCGTCTCATGCAATGCGTGAAGAAGGTCGAGATTAGTGATATCTGGGGAACGCCCACTTTGACAAGACCCAACAACCACAGGCCACGGGAACTTATCTGAGCGGAGTAGGATGCGAGATGATACTGGAGTTGGCGGGTCTGTCGCAGGTTGAGATAATGTATGTGAATCAACAGGTGAATGTGTGGTGCGGTCGAGTACTGTTCGCGGTGAAGGGGCGTATGTGACGTCGTAATTTATCGGTGGAGAGTGAAGTCGAGTGGAGGCAAAGAGCGGATGCATATGCAGTGCAGGTGCGCGTCTCCCATGCGGATCCATTCCATCTATGCGCCGTTAGAACGCCGATCCCACACCTATTTTAAGCCACTTACATGAGTTGGCCGATCCAGTCGCAGATGAGATATTGCTCTCCCAAGTATGACGCTGCTGCATAGAAGGCCGTCTATCGTATTGGAGAGCGTGAGATGCCATAGACGGCGTGCCTGGGTGCATGCTCGGAAAACCAGAAGAAGAACTGGAGCTGGTGCGGGAAGATGCACCATAAGAGACGGGAGGTGCATAATTATACAAAGGATAGTGCCCGACTTGACATGGGTGTCAATTTCAAATGCGCTCGTTGACCGCGGAGGATAGAAGACGTACGATGTTCGGATGACTTGTAGCTGGAACGCCTGTAGAGCGGCACCTTCTCAGCTTTCGACGGAGTACCGTATCTCATGTCTCTGGCACCGTCATACGTGGTATATCGCAGTGGAGATGGAGCTGTCGTAGCACTGAAGCTATTGCTTCGTTTTGTCTTCAGGCGTGAAGAAGAACTTGAACCAGCTGGTGGTCCATAGAAGAAATTTGCAGGGTTAGAGCGTGAGCGTGAATGGGACTTGTCGTGATTAGGGGACGAGCCTCCACCGAAGATGGAACGGAAGTAGGAGGTCATGATGACTTTTGTTCGTGAAGTGGGAGTGACAAGTATTACAAGTCAGACGTCGTTGCCCGAGGTATTGAACCAAGAGGAGGGATGAACTCGGCAGGAGAAGTGTAGGGTCGGGTTCTTATAAGCGCAGAAGATAGCCGTCATGCCTGGATCGGATCGCCTGTGAGTTCTAGACATATCCTGGCGAAAATACTTTCATGAAGTAAGGGCACCCCTAGAAAAGCCGTGGACGTGGTTTTGGATGACTAACATGGAATTCAATGCCGAGAGGGGAGATTGCAATAAAAGATCTCTTGTCCAAAAGCGCATTGTCAACCATGGCGGTGGATCAAAGATCACGTCTTAGAATGGGCCTGTCCGGAAAGTCCGTGAGTAATGAAGCACGACCAATAGAGGGAAGTGACAATATAACATGGCTTGGACAGGAAAGAGAGTCTTCCTGTGAGAAGTTTGAGTAAAGTTCGGAACGAGTAGGAACAACGGTGGCGACGCGGTTGAATGCGTTATACTATCTTGATTGGAAATTGGAACCATGAGGTTTGATGCCAATCCGTCATCACAGGTGATTCGGTTCACGACATTCAAGACGCATGTAAAACGCGTGTTTTCCTTTTTTGGCAAAGGCGCGGCGGTACGCCTTTATCGCTGTGGCTTCTCGTAGATAGCACATTTGACAATAGCCTGGTGAGGCTGACATTTTCATAGGATGATAATTTCAGGCATGGGACTAGAAGAGGCATTTACGACCGGGATGTCCATACTCACCGAAATTTGACATGTCCGGTGTGGTACTTTGCGATATCGGTTTACCAGAGTTGCCCGGTCGGCCGAATGAGCGCGCAGGCAGCATGGCGAATGGTCACCCTAAATAGGGCCAAGCGGCGCGCAAGAAGTCTTACCAAACCCGCCATGACCTGCAGGCAGAGGACACGCGAAACTATTAGTTGAATCGCCAACCGGGAATCGGGTCTAGACCACAATATAAGCTCGCGGCGCTTAAGCAAAAGAGTAAGGAGAAAGAAAAGGGGGACAGGCCTCATCGCTAAGGAGAAATGAATTCACCAGGTTAGCGAGATGAACTATTTCCGGTTGGACGATCTGTGATAACACCACAGTGTAGGGAAGGGTCCTCTTCAAACTTGAGAGTAAAAGCATCTTCGATGTGGCGGGGCAGGTTGTATGAGCCAGAGAAGCGTACTTTTCCTGCGCAGAAGCCAAAAACATGGCCCATCAAGAGAACAGGAGAACAGGAGGAGCAAACAGAAACAAGGTTAAAGTTGAGTTCTGATGTTTGTTTGGAATATCCCACAGGTTGACCACAGGGTCTAAAATCGGCGGCTGATGAGCAGAAATCAACAAACTGACAGAACAAACGTGTTAATTAAGCATACCTTCTCAGTGTAACATGACAATAAGAAGCAGGGTTTTGGAGGTACCTGGGCAGAACATATGCCATCGCCTACTAGCGACGCGGCAATATCATGATGTTACGGGTGTTGTTGGTCATAGCTACCATATGGTGCCGTACTGACAATGATAATGATGAATTGAGTAATCGAGATCTTATGAAACTTGTCGACCCGGGCCTAAGTTGTTTGGATCAGAAGCCTTTGCCAAACACGCCTACTTAATGTTTAGTCATTTCTTCTAGTTGGACATCGACCAACATATGTTAGCCTGCAACTTCTAGCCCAGCCATTCAAAATACTGATGCGGTCCTGCAGCCTCCACATAACATGCGGAACTTTATTTCTAGGTTGAGACACGAGAGACGTACTAGTTCCAAGACCGAATCAGTGCCTGGTCTTCAAGAAGCAACACAGGAAAGCCCTCAACAACACCTCTACCGATATCGCAAGCAACGCGGAATTAATCTTGGTAAGCTCGAACTGAATGTGATATCAAAAGCGAGTTAGTAAGTGTGGCTCAGGCTCGTGGTTCGTTTTGGAGCGGTGGATATCGGAATCACCATTTCAATGGGCCGCCGGCAGCGGACAAAGTGATCTGGACGTTGCCAAGGGTCTACACGCGAAACAGGTTCTGGAACAACATTGGGATTCTTGGATCACCTCTAGCGACTTCGAATGGCTCGCGGCAAGGGGAATCAACACTGTGCGGATCCCAGTGCGCTCTTTCTTGTAATAGTACAACAGTATCTTTCATGCCGCCTTGAACAGATTGGATACTATCATATCTGTGCACTGGACCCAAGTATCCTTACTCGAACTGACTTTGATGGTCTTCAACATGTGTTTGAAGGAGCGTGGAGTAGGCTTGTCGCTGCGGTGATGACTGCCCAGAGCTTTGGAATTGGGGTGCTATTTGGTACGTTGTTTGTTGAGTAGATTGTTTTTTTCTCATTCGCACATTTTAGACCTTCACGCAGCTCCTGGCAAACAGAATCAAGATTCACATTCCGGGACGTCATCTCCGGTAATGTCTTTTTTCAATAGCAAATTTAACATGCAGCTGGCTGTTCGCGCCCTCAGCATACTAGTCACACAACTCATCGCTTTGCGGGAACATGAACCCCCAATTCACAATATAGTCGGTATACAGCTTCTCAACGAACCCCACCCTTCCTCGCACGAAACACTCTGCAAGTGGTATAGGGAGGCAATCCAAGAGATAAGACATATCGACTCTAGTTTCCCAATCTACATATCAGACTGTTGGATGACTGATCAATATGCCGATTTCGTCGCACACTTACCCCCTTCCTTGGCGCTGACTGGCGTCGACCATCATCTGTACCGGTGTTTTACAAAAAGCGACATTTCAACATCAGCAGCGCAGCATACTGCATCCCTTGCTGATCGGAATGCCCCCTTTCCGCAAATGTTCTCCCGCGTGTCAGAGAAGCTCGAAGCTGTAGGAAGTGGACTCATAGTTGGCGAGTGGTCTGGAGCCTTGAATCCAGGCTCTTTGGAAGGCACAGCGGATGAACATCAGGCAAGAGCATCTTACATTCGGGCTCAGCTTGACCTGTTCGAGCTGTACTGCGCTGGATCATTTTTTTGGACGTACAAAAAAGAGTTGCCTGGAGACCAAGGATGGTCTTTCCGAGACGCGGTTGAAAGTGGCATCTTTCCCGATGTTGTGGGTATGATCCCAGTAAAGGATTTTGTTGGACTCAGTAGCGACATAAGTGCTAGAAAAGTGACCGCTAGAAATGTAGCCTTAGGTGAGTTCAGCGACTCCGCGGGCGCCGCTTCGTCCCTACTTTTTTTTTTTCATTTTTTTTTTCAAGGCCAACATGTATCCTACTGGGCCAGTTTCCCTGGTTATTACGAGCATTGGCGGTTTGAAGCCGGCTTCGATCAGGGCTGGGTCGAGGCCTATGACTTCTTCGCCTTCGATCGCGCGGACCAGACTGCCGTCTCAGAACTGGGATTCAAGGGATGCATTGCTAAGAGGAAGGCGCAAGACCATAGTCGTGAAAACGGGAGCAGCAACAACCTTTGGGAGTTCGGTGAGTGCACTGTTCAAGGAGGTTTCCTCTTCTGGGTTTGTGCCGCCTCTCGGCCGGCAGCACGACATACCCGCTATCTCGATAAGTCCATCTGCGATATCGCAGATTTAGGCGGCCCTATTCTTAACGTATTTCAGAGCATGGATTTAGGCAAGGGGTAGATGCTGCGAAGCAAGATTTTCAGCATCACTACTGTTGATTTTCACGTGTCAGGCGTCAGATCTTCATGGTATGTTTTTTCGCCTAATAGGGACTTTAGCTTTTAACGACTTGCTTCCAGAACAGACAATCCGTATCTTTGCATGCCCATGTCCTCGTGTATGATAATGTTGATATGCGCGGTTGCTGTCCATCATGAGAGCATAAAGCTCTTCTGAAGTGGACACAGCCTATTGGCTTGGCTTGGATGAGCTCTTACCCCTTTGTATTGGCCTGCCATGCAGCTAATAAAGAAAATGCTGGAAGAACTTAGAAGATGTGTCACATTACAGACCGCAGCTCCATTCTGTTTCTCCAGTTCTGCATCTGGTCTGTCATGCCCCCTCAACGAGGACAAGCGCGGTAATTACAAGCTTCCTGTGAGTGTTCTTGACAGGTCTCCGCAAGAATCCGAATATTTTCTCCTATGAATGAGAAAATGCTCGGATTCCTAAGTACCTGACGTTATAACATGACCTATGAAATGACTGTTGTGATCTCCGAGGAGATATTTCTCCCACTTAGATGGTTCATGATTTATCTTTTTGAATGGTGGAGATGGGAGGACATCATAATCAGTGCTGCAGTCTGCAGATTGCTGAAATCGAGGATGGATATCTAATGTGCGTCAGTAGCTTTGACAAGCATGGCATTCTTGTGAGGGCCTCGTGGACCATGGTGGACCCTGACAGTTACCGCTCAGGTAAGCGTATCGATCATTGGTCGATAGCGGTGTGATGACCCTGATATCATACCTAGATGAATAGCCCCGATATGAAATCGTGTTGTCTCCTCTAGTAGCACACGGATATGCATGTAACAGGGAGGTTTCGTAGCACCAACCTTGAACGTTAACAGGGACCTCTTCTCGCGGTCACTTCCCTAGTGTTTCATTTTCTCAGCGTTATTTTAGGTTTACTTGGCAGAAACGGGGACAGGGGGAGAATCTGCGGCCACGAGACGAGCCTATTAGTTGCACGCAGCGTTGTGCCTGTGTCAGAAATATCACGTATCCAGTTTGGTCTGACATACGGCCCAATAATATAATATAATGGTGCCCCGCGTGCGCTTGTTGTTGTCTACATCAGACACAAGACTTTCAAAGGTTCACAATGATATCGATAATTCTCGCATGTCTCTATCTTCCCTTACAATCGCAAACCCGACCCAAATTGTGTCACACCTCAGTAAAAGTACATACATATCTCGATCGTAAGCCGGCAAACATAGATGTAGTACATTGTTTTTAGAAAGGCTAAGCCTAGGGGTGGGGTATTTGTGGTATAGTTACAACATAAACCACAGTGGGAAACTAAGACAATATAGAACCAAGGACGCTGATGTGACAGTTCGAGTACAAAGGGAGTGGGTTACAGGTGAGTGGGAGTACAAGGACAGGCAACATTCACGTCAACAACTTCCAATGGCAGAAACCATCTTCATCCGCAGCTCTGACAAGTCCCCTGAAGACGTGTCTTTCCATCAGATAATCAATCCGTTTGACACCTTGACTTGCTTCGAGCTGAGCGGACGAAGGGATGCTTCTGTATCTGCGGGTATACGCCCGAGCAATTGCGGTTTCCTCACTCTGACTTAGCTGGGCCCAGTCAGAGTGCGAGATTTGGCGGTGGAGGTAAGAGTGGATCATCCACAAAACATCGCCAACTGTTATGGGCAGAGCGCCCGAGACATCGTATTCGCCATGAACGAATTCCAAGTCGATAGGCCATTGAGGAATGGCATCATGCGTGATACGCATGCGGGTGATAGTTGGGTACATAGCAGGTTCCCGTAGCTCTTCAACAGAAACCATAGACGTGTGGTTTGGACCAACTCTGCGCAAAGGCGTGAAAGCTGGATTAGCAATGTCGAAGTAGAACTCCGATACATAAGCTTCTCCGTTGAGAAGCGGGTGAATCTGGAAGTGTTGCGACGACGTCTGGTATGGCCAAGAAGGGCGATTGCCATGGCCGAATGAATGCCGCCGGTTATGAATCGGCGGCAATGGAATCCCCAGGAAGGAGGGACTGGGAGGCGCTGCGGCAATCCCTCCATGCCAAGATGGAGGGCGACGACGACGACGTTCATCAGGATAGTAAGAGGGGTATTGGGTTCCGGGAAGGTCGACGTAAGGTGAAGAGGGGGAAGGTGGGAACAAATTGAGGGGAGGAATGAAAGGTGATCGCTGGGGTGTGTACGGGTGGGTATAATATGGAGGAGGCTCGTAGGTCGCTGGTGTGTAGATGTATGGCCCAGACATTGTTGCAATATTGAGGTTGAGAGGAAAAGATATGGGGAACCTCTGCTATTTATTGGATGACAATGGTCAGCTGGGGCCCGGTACCATAAGCACAGCCTGCTTACCTATGTTATGGCTCTGTATGTGACTTGTCGAGCGACAGACCACTGCTTCGGGATGCAGACTATGGACGTCGTACGAGAGCACGACACAGCTTCGCAGCGCTTGCCAGAAGACTGCGGGAGCTGCGAGATTTTTGTTTGGTCAGGGCCTAGTGCTGCCCAGTGCCAGTGGTACGTTTGAAGGCTGTCCAGAAATAATGACTCTGTAGGACTCTGTCACCAATTACCATTAGACGGAAGTACAGGAAGCTGCTCACTGGTTTCCCGTCCTGGCCGGGCTGCTGGTGGGATGATGAACGTTCTGAGCAAGATGGGATTTGAATCGTACCGACAAAAATCATATCTGCGCGCTCTTTGTCAGCGTCAGCGCTTAGCCAGAATACAATATCGAGCCAAGAGAATAATTTATTTCCCATCATCAGCGGTCGGCGCTCGATTACGGTTATCAATCAAGTCGGTCGCGGATCATGGAATCGATCATCATGGAATCATCCCAGAGTTTCGCAGATGCTATGTCACGGCTTGAATCTTGATGTAGGCCGCCTACGTTGATCATGATGGATTCATGAAACCGTGCCTTGTGACTCTGTTCGAACCAGTGCGTCACATCTGCGTTGAGCTGTGACTGATTTCATACGGTAACGTAAGTATGTACGCTAGCTGCATCCGACTTGCAACATCTGACTATGTCATCAATTTGAGATGGTGAGATTTTTTTGTTGGCTACACCACTCGAGGATCCGTGGTGGTAGTAACCCCAGGCTGGTCACGAGCCTACCATCCAACCTGACCTACCCATCTGCCAAGGTCCTACCAGAGTGTGATCACTGATGCATTGGCATTGGCAGGCTACCGTGACCACTGGTTAAACTTCTGCAATGGCCCGCGATGCGTGATAAGGTATGACTTATAAATAAGTATATGATCTTTCTACTTAAGTCTTAGCAGTAATGGTACGTACGGTGACCTGCTCAAGCTCAACGTAGGTCCCGCATCAATGCCAAGCGGCACTCAGGCTGATAGTTAACTGCCATTGAGGGTGAAAGCTCTCCACATGGGCACGTCATTGGTGGGTGTCAATCTATCATTCCACTAGTCTCAAAATATCGACTGAATTTTTCACTTCACCACTAGAACAATAGCAATGGAGAATGGAGAGCACAAGCCAATCAATTTAGCTCCTGGCATCGTGCTGACACTCGCCTGTTTGGGTCATCATCAATAACAACCTATCCCTTGGAATAACCCTGCATGGACTATCCTCTCCGAAAGAGCCGGAAGTGCGACTTACCGTGCCCGGGTCACTATTGAGTATCTTCACACGTAACGTGTTTTGACGAATTGGTTTTAGCAGCTAGCTCCCAGAAATAATTTCTTCACCCTTTAACACGATAGACATCCCACTGCCCAACAAGTGTGAAATATGGCTGCAGCGCTGCTTGGCTGGGTCTCTCTCTCTCTCCTTTCTACTGCGTGGTTTGTGTCTAGCAGCTCAGATGGGCTTGGCAGTAGATCTTTAACTGAGACATGCAAAGAAATTGCAGCATCTGTATCCTCAGCGTCGATGGTGTATGACAAGGGTGAGTATTCCTCGTTCGAATGTTGTCTACTATCTGCACAGATTGACACTTTGTAGTTTCTGTTCATTACATCAAAGACATCAGTCACTGGGCATCGTCAAGCTCGCAGATTGCTGAATGTTCATTTGAGCCAGGGACATCTTTGGATGTCGGCATAGCGGTAAGTAATGAGCTTGCATTTCCTGCTACTCTGTTTTGACATGCGCATTTGCAAGCTCCAAATTCTGGGCAAGACTCAGACTCCTTTTGCGGTAATGCTGGCACCTACTGCAGCTTTTCAATCCTTTTCATTCCATTTTTCCACAGGTAAAAGGTGGTGGACATGCGTCAAACCCTGGTTTTTCATCGACGATGGGCGTGCAAATTGCTATGGCTCGTTTTTCTGATGTTAAATACGACGCACCATCACAAACTGCCACAATCGGTGCGGGTTTAGTCTGGGACGCGGTGTACGCCGCCTTGGAGCCGCATGGGGTTAACGTCGTCGGTGGTCGAGCATCGGGCGTTGGTGTGGCTGGTTTCACTCTCGGCGGAGGTAAGGCTGACCACTTTTTCTATGCAATGTGTACTCAAGATCTCTAGGATATTCGTGGCTCACCAATCAGTACGGTTTGACAATTGACACCGTGCAGTCCTTTGAGTTAGTGATACCAAACGGTACAGTTTTGAATGTTTCCGCAGCTTCCGACCCGGATCTATTCTTTGGTTTGAAGGTAGTCTAAATCGTGATAAATAACTGCATGAGTTACTGACTCGTACATTTAGGGTGGTCTCAATAATTTTGTATGGGAACCCACCAGAACTGTGTTGTTCTATGCTCACTGCCATCAGGGCATAGTCACTAGATTCACGCTAAAGACCTTCCCTCAATCGAAAGTTTGGGTAAGAGAATTTCACGTTGTCTTCAAATCAACTTCTGACCGTCTGGTTGCGTCAGGGTGGGCTTATCATGTATACTGCAAGCGTGATGAACCTTGTCAATCAAGCAACAGCAAATTTCGCTGCGAACATCACAGATCCTAAGGCACAAATCATCACAACTTATAATCATATTTTTGGCGTAGTACGTCGACGTGTTCGCTGTTTCTTTTACCGCGCGTCATCTAAGCAATTGTCCATATAGCCTGGAGTCTTCGAACTTGTTTTCTATGACGGACCCTCACCGCCCGAGGGCATATTTGACGAATTCTTGGCAATCCCTTATCTGTTCAAGGACGTTTCCACTCGGTCTTTTCTCTCTTTAGTGCAGGCTTCGCATTCTAATGCCTCTTCAGGCTCACGGTGAGGCCCTAGCCATCTTTAATTATTTCGTTTGCTGAGATGGATAAGGGCCATCTTCAACACCATATCTGTCCTCGACTACTCCGTTTCATTTCTTGAATCCATTGTGAACGAGTCGATGGTAAGTCATGCGCTCAAACACCAACGGTGTAATCCTCATCATTGCTACTCTTGTACATAGTTCTGGGGACAGTCGCTCGCTCACTCTGGTGCATGGCTCATCTCCTATGACGTTGAACCATTCATTCCATCAATATTCGGCCACAGCACCACTCCATCAGCACACCCGCCTTCTCGCGATCGAGGACTCCTTCCATTGAACATCTATTTTGCATGGGCATTTCCCACTTCGGACGGAATCATGCAACAAGCTGTTCGAGATAGCGCAGCTCATCTTCGCCAGTTGGCAATTGCTGAGGGCCAGGATGTCGCTGATGCAGCTGTGTATAGCAACTATGCCATCTTCGACACGCCATTGAGCAGCATTTATGGGGACAACTTGCCGCGGCTGCATGCCATCAAAGCTGCTGTAGACCCGACCAATGTCATGGGCTTGGCAGGGGGGTTTAAGTTCTAAGCCTTCAGCTGGAATGCCCCCATAGCTACCCTATGTGCATCACTGGCAACACCTGGCTAGTACCCGAGAGCGCTGGCTGCTTAAAGACCAAAGCCGTTACCAAGCGTTACTAGAACATGCATGCTATGTACAGACGCGCATTCGCAATGTTGAGTACACTCCCATTGGGACGACTGTATATACGACGGAGCAACATACTTATGTCATGTTGGCGCGCGCCCACTAGCAATTCAGGGTAGGGAAGATTTTGAGCTTTACACAGACTCCGATTCGGACTTCGCTAACATTCTGATTTCTCGATCTTTCCAAGGCGGTATTCGAATTCGAACGGCTAATTGAAACAACCGTCTTCATTCCATTTGGTCTGCCTACGACAGACTATTCGTGACCAGATTTCATTTCCTTACTCCAGCCTTCCTACCTCTTCCCTACACACACCTCTCATTAATCGAAGTTGGAACGTTCCACGTCTGGAATTCGAAATCTGAAACGGAATAATTTTGCCGTATTCTTGCCGTACTTACATATGTCGGCGCAGAACGGTCAGATCACCGCTAATACTGTCACCTACAGATTCAACGTGACTGACATGAAAAAACTACTAGTGCCAAGCGACTATTAGTAAATACTAGTGTGCGGTGCGTTAAAGTTTTGGCACCAGCCTGAGGCTAGCGCGCGATCATATTGACCTGTTTTTTGACGGGGCTGCCTTGGTAGTGAAAAGACAGCTCAAGTGTCGCAATTGGTGTGTAACTCAACAGACCTCTCGAAATTTGGCTGATGCATAAAAATAACCCCATCCCACTCGGTGTCTCCACATGTCCCAATCGAAATAGAATTAAAAGTGGATATACGGAGGCGATAGTATGTATACACAGGCGTGTCTGTCCTCCAGATGGGTAATTGAAGCCAAAGTACAAGGCAATTCCGCGCACAATTGGACAAGAAAATTGGTATCTTCACCTTATCTGGCTCGCTCGTTTCGTACATCTCAAAGACCAGTTTGCGACTGCCCGTTGCCGAGCATACAAAAACGCATGGACTCTGCGACCAAGTCGATGGGAGCTGTGCTATGTTAGTAAGTTCCGCGGTGCAAAAATCTAAACACGCACAGGCTCCGTGGTTTTAGAACAATCCTCATTGAGAATGCATCTTCACCGTCACCATCTGATTGAGTGGTCGGCGATAGTAACTGGAAGACTCAAGTTAACAACTTACAGTATCCCACCTCTTTCCTGTGAATTTCGAAGCCAAGTTTCTGGCTATACAGATTGAAGGCAGCTCGATTGGACTTGCGTACATGGAGCTGAATGTACTCTATGTTGTACGAATCGGTCATAGCTTTTCCTGGAGGTGGCTCAGATTAATGTTTTGAACCAAATCAGATGACGCAAGTGAACCAACTCGAAAGCATCATTAATCGTTTCGCGAGACCCAGCCTACGGTATGTTCGAAGTACGGATAGAGAGTTGACATGACCAACTTGCAACCAAGGGAATTCTTCGTCTGGCTCTCTGTAGGAAATTATTGAGTCAGTCGTAAACATTTGTGCGCAACCTTCACCCACATCGACGAAAGCACATAACCCACTACGCGCCCACTGCTATCCTCTGCGAGATACGAAACTTCTGGCCATGTTATGAAGGAATATGCCCCTGCAAGTCTGACGATGGGAATGGCGATTTTATGAACCAAAGGACTCACAATATCTCATGTGGTAGTTTTCAGGGAGATTGTGCAAGTTACATTGCTGTATTTTGGTGAGATCCTTGGGCTAAGCGCCACACGTTCGAGTCATAGAAACAATGTTGAACACGACGCTCAGTATGCGTGGAACCAAGGCGGGCAACCAAACGCACCTCTGCTCTTCGGATATTCATCTAGATTCTGGAAAGTAAGAAGTATGTTGCAAGACACGAATGTAGTAGGAGCCCTGTGTGGGCGGTGGAGCACGTGTTGATGCGGCAGGCTGTGAACAAGGCGTTTACACAGCTAAGCGCGTGTACTCGTAACCCCAGCAGGCGCCTACATCGTCGGCGTTCATTTCCATTGCGGAAGTTAAGGTTTGTGTATGGACTTCAGATTACCTAATATGTAAGTACTTGCCATTTGACTCTCATCATCATGTTGGAGTCCAGTTGGACAACAGGATCCAAAACCATCGTAGTACGGTCCTCAGTGTTCTTGAGGAGATGCGGTCGAGGACATATTAAGCTGACCTGCAGGTAATTGACACCGACAACGGCGAATTGGACGAATCGAAAGAAGATATCTTAGGACATGGCACCTCTTTCTCTAAGTTGAATCCAAACCATGTCAGTCCTAGTACGTCCGTTCTTAAGAAACAACAGCGGCTGAGTTCATCTTGAGATTGAGCACACTTGTATAGACTGCTCGTTTGAGATCGTTGCCGGTTTTATACAGCATCTCAGCAGAGGTAGGCATAAATGGTAGGTAAGAAAAAGATTCTTTCTAGTCCAAAAAATATCACCCCAACTATAACAACTGTAAGTGGGAGGATCGTGCGTATGTCCCCGTGCTGTCGGGTGCACTCTCCAGCCACTGGCCAGGAATGGGTTGAAAACTTCAAGGCATCAGTACGCCTACACCTTCACATTCCCGCACTGCGCTGGAGGCCCCCACTGTAGTCTAACACGCAAATATTGCGCCACCCAGGTCAACGCAAGAAGCACGGGAACCTCTACTAACGGTCCAATGGTCGCCGCCAATGCCTGATCTGACCCCACTCCATACACGGCGATTGCTACTGCAATTGCAAGCTCCTATGCAATCCACTTGTTCAGGACAACATTCAATAAAGCGACCTGGAGATACGCACGAAATTGTTGCTTCCTGCGGTAAAAGCCTGCACCACTGCCAGCTCATACGGGAAATCCCCATTTTCCGTCTTTCCTTTGCGAAATTCTCGGCGAGCAAGAAAGAACACAAGCGCAAAGGCTGAAGTCCACATGATGACGAAGTATAGGATCATTGGTACGAATACCCGGAAAACGGGGCCAATGTTCTGCACGATATGATGTCCTTGATATGCAAACATAACGATGATGGTGTACAGGAGACCGATAAGGGAGAGGGGGGAAAATCGTGGTGCAAAAGTCTTGTCAAAGAATTCCTTCGACTTCAGTCTAATGACTGTGAAGCGCGTGATGATACCAGCAAAGAGAGGAATTCCGAGGTACTGTTGAATCGTTAACGCAAAAATCATTCTGATACTCGGGCAACTCACGATGAGAACCGAAATTGCCACCGCACCATAGGATAGATGAACACCTTGATCGGTGTGTCCAATGACGTTCACGAACAAGACCGCGTAGGGTGAGTAGAGTATGATTTGGAGCACCGAGTTAACAACGACGAGAATTGCGCAGTATTCACCATCCCCCCCAGCCAACTGATTCCACACCATGACCATGGCAATGCAACGAGCGAGCCCGACGAGGATTACGCCTGTCCTATACGTCGGGAGGTCGGGAAGTGTGGCCCATGCGAGACCGAGCATAATAAGGGGTCCGATGATCCAGTTCAGAATCATACTAATTCCCATGTGCACCCATAAACGTCTGGACAATAATATTCGTGAAAGGGCTTCATATTTGACCTTGGTGAGAATAGGCCACATCATGACAATGAGCCCAATTGCAATCGCTTTAATTCTGTGAGTATGATTCATAATGTGCTGAATAAAAGCGCTTACGGACGGAGACATTGTAGAACCTGACAGTGTCGAATGCCTGCTGCACGCCAGGTACAAACTCGCCTATAACTACCCCGACGATCATGCATACCAATATGGCCGGCGTGAGCAAGCGGTCTAGTATACTGAGCTTCTGAAATAGAGCTATACTGTTGTCAAAAGAAGGGCAAGGTGATATCTCAGTAAAATTACTGTACCTTGGGGTGCCGCTGGATCATGCTGGGATGCTTCCGACGGGGGGTGAGGAGACGAGGAGCGGTCCATCAGGGAATCGGATGGCCTCAAGGGTTGCTCGTTTGATTTCTTGACAGCATTTTCTTCCTTTTCCATGTTGGCGTAAGTAAGAATGATCGAGGATGCATGAGAGAGACTTAGCTGACTTTTGAGCGTTCTCGATTTTGAATATCGTTTGAATATCGACTAACATTCTTGGACTATGGTGATATTTTTTGGACTTGATTTTGACTTGATTTTGACTTGATTTATCCTTCTTTAAGATTCACAGGGCATTAATACTGGTGACTTCCGTGTTCGGCTCAAAGCCGAGCCCTGCCAGGCCCTGCCGGGCTTCCGCCAATTCGAGTTTCACACAAATTGGTCGATCGATATGTTTAAGTTCCTTTTGCCTGACATGTTACTGCCTTCACACTACTTTCCGCGGACATTCCTGTGAGGGATTTTGATTTTGATTTTGATTTTGACTTTGACTAGGCACTGGATTAGTCAAGTAGGCTATATTAACTTACAAATCACCCGGCAGAATCCCAGACAACGATGCTTGCTGGAACAGTGCCAACCACTGACGAAGGGGTCGTCGATGCAGTATGTGATGCTTATAGCTCCATTGCGAGAGACGGCACACACACGGAATGTAAGCGCTTGATCACCATGTGGTAAATGCATGTTCTCAATGTGAAATTAGATGCTGAAGCAGTCGCAAAGGCATTCGGATACACCGTGGAACAACTGAAGTCCATCCCAGCGGACTCGCACATGGGACTCAGTTGTGGGAATCCTGTGGCCGTGGCGTCCATAAAAGAGGTACTTTGCTCGAGGACAAGTACATTCACATTGATGTAATTATGGTTATAGGGAGAAACCGTTCTTGACTTGGGCTCTGGTGCTGGCATAGATGTCCTCCTTGCAGCCCAGAAAGTTGGTCCCAAGGGGCAGGCCATTGGTCTGGATATGTCAATAGTGGGTGTCGTTCCCTCCGAATCTCCACACAATAACAATGAGAACAGGATATGATTAATCTAGCGCGCAAGAATGCCACTCAGCAAGGGTATAGACCACCTCAGGTAGTCTTTATCCAGACGAAGCTGACGAAGCCCCTACCTGTGGCAACTGCATCAGTGGACTGCATCTTGTCCAACTGTGTTATCAATTTGCTTCCTGATACAGGAAAGGCAGCCCTTATGAAAGAGATTTATAGGGTCCTCAAACCTGGTAGCCGTCTTGTGGTTGACGATGTGAGCTTCTTGCGCGGCGCGGTCGGTCCCCGTGATCCTGAATTTTGATGTTAGATCATCGCAAGGAAACCATTTCCGGATACCGTCCGGTCCGATCTTTCCGCCTACATCGGATGCATATCCGGGGCGCTTCAATTGGAGCAGTACAGAGCTCTTATGAAGGATGCTGGGTTTACGGGTGAGCTCTAGTGTGTGCAGCAGACGCTTGTCATTGATAGGCTATCGTACAGATGCATTCTTTGTCGAGACAGGGGGCGATCTTGAAGTGTATAAAGCCGCTGGACCCACTGGTGGTGATGCGCCAACATCTGACCCCTCAACCAAATGCTGTGTGGCCACTGCCAGTCCTCTCCCTCAGACTACCATCGGGAACCTCAACGAATGGGCTGGTAGGGAGTTAAATGTACAAACACGAAGATAGTAAAACCTGATTCATAAAAGCTTCATACCAGATATACGCAAAGAAAGTCTCCTCGGATAATGAACCCGCGGACAAATCTCCTCCAGCACTTAATCGATGGTGGGATGCATATCCGAAAGATAGTCTGGCTTCCGATGAAGTTGCAAGTCTGCTTCGCGACCCGGAACGTTCAGACTATGCGATTATCGACGTTCGGGAGAATGATCGTGTTGTAAGTTGAAGGCAGTGTGTTGAACAATGCGACTAAACGTTGGTTGGCCACAGGGTGGTCACGTTCTGGGAAGCGTTCAGTGGCGAGCGGACGAATTCGCTGGCTCACTAGACAAGTTTTATGACGAGTACGGCAAGACTGAGCAGGTGATCTTTTACTGTGGGAGCTCCAAAGGCAGGGGATCTCGATGTGCTGCTTGGTGAGTAGTACTAGTCTGCGGCGTTTCTTTGCTAAAAGCAATCCAGGTATCAAGATTATCTCAATGGCAAAGGTCATACGGAGTCGAAAGCTTGTGTTCTAGAAGGCGGATACCACGGATGGAGATACCCTGACCTAGTGGATGGAGCAAGCAGTCTGTGAAAGGCTAGATACATGTACGGAATATAGGGTTTCAATGCTGATGGTGACAGTAAAACTTATTCTCTGCTGCTAGCATCTCAGTCTAAGTGTGTATGAGGACTACGATCGCGAGTGATTTATGCGACATGTAAATGCGAGTTAAATCGTATTCGGTTCTGCACAACGAATGCCAGTCAATGACGCAACCACGTATCGTAGCGGCAAAGTTGGCCCGGCACTGACCAAGATAAGGGATCAACTCAAGACCATGTTATCTCCGAGTATCTCGGAGGCGCAGTACCTCCGACCGTAAGCACAGCGCTTTGAAATGTCTGCTGGCAAACTAGAATTTGGAATTGGAACATAAAGGAACTTCCGTTTCGAGATAATGTAGTCGACTTCGAGGGAAGTATTTCTGACGCGATGACGACTCCGGCGAGAGCTGAGTTCATTAAGTCAGGGCTTGACTATCATTACCGCGATGTCAACTGACCTTGTTTAAAAATACCTATTTGAAGGCGTTCCTCGTGCTGTGACTTCTTACAGCTGAGGACTGTGCCAAACGTTCACCCGAACAATCCTTCATCAGAGCTACATATTGTGTACAAGAGATGCGCCGCGATGGAGGAGGATAGTCAATTCGGATAGCACGACTGCTGATTATCGATCGCCTGATATGATCGCCTCCCATACGGCATGCAGGCGCTAAATAAATTAATCGAACGAAGGAACGAAGATTACTGAACAATCAGGCCATCTACAATTAATCTCCTTTTGAGCGCGAGAGAAGATGCAGGAGGGTTAGGGTACATCATGTGGCGCGTCGACGAATGGAATGGTGGAAACGTACAACGGCGATTACAATATCTGTATTGTGTGCTAGGACCAACCGCGAGATGATGATATGCCATGGGCGAAACCGACCAGGTGTTTCGACGATCATTTTGGACACGTCGGAGCAGCTCGAATATCATCCCTACCCACAATGATCGTCGAAACACGTTTCTCGTTGAAGAGCTCGGTTTGCCCGATATAGGACCAAATCAGATCTTCATAACACGTTTTACGTCCGCGAAGGCGCACTCGATACGGTAAGTGGAGACGTGCTAGCAAAACTCTCGTGAGCAACACGTCAAATGATGCAGTCACCAGACTGTATGTGATGATTAAAACAACGGAAACGACAGTTTTCCGGAGCGCTAAGTTTTAGCGCAAGGGCGCTCTCTGTGCTTCAATAGTTCTCAAAACAAGACAAGGTGAAGTCGGCGCACTTTTTCCATATTTTTCTGCGGATTTCCCATGCCAACGTGCCAAGTGGAAGAAAACTGGTCGAAGAACCCAAGAGAGAGGAGCTTTAGGAGAGTTCACCGGCATGTATGTTGGTTGCAAGAAGTTTGCAAGTTGCGATGACCGGGATGGGACGAAGAGCAGGCGGGTCCTGGAGCAGTAGTACTTGCGAATGGAATAGTTGACAGCTGCAGGCAAGGTTAAATATTCTTGACACCGCAATGCATGTATGCAATGAGGCGAGCCGCGTCTCTGGGTTCTTTCCACTGTTTTGGCAGTGGCCATGAGGCAGTCTTGAGAGAGCTGCGGCTGGAGCAAGTGACATGGGCTGACAGAATTCCGGCTAACGATGAGCCATGTGTCTGATGGTGCCCTCATTCAATTGATGGATAGAGTTCTCTCCTCCTCGAGACGGAAAGTTTGGACCCAATTAACGTCCTTGGTCTAAATCTTGTTTGCATCTTGACTGATAAATCTGGGCTTCTCGTTAGTACTTATGTCTTATTGCGTGGTTTGTGGATGACAGCTGTGCCCTGTCCAGCGGTTATTGCATAAGAAGGGCCTCGGCGTGTGCGGGCGAGAACGAGTTGACGGTTAGTCGTTGGGTTAGCGAACGGGTTATCAGGACGCTGGTCACACAACAGGTGGGAACAAGAATCAATAAACCACCCATCTTCGCATCTCCTGCCAATCCCGGAATAAAGCACTCTGACAGCGTGCTTGTCAGCACTACATAGACGCTCTAGGTCCGTCTCTTAGTTCCCACTGACAATTCATCAGGGAGCTTTACTCTTTGTCGTCTTGTACTTTTTCAGAACCGTCATTAAGCTCTACTAGCGACATGCCTGCAATCCGTGAACATGATATCTACCTTAACGATATCGAAGAAGATGGTGAGTTTTTTCCTTTGCAAACATGTTCAACGTCCCTGTGCTCATAAAATGCAGATGGGATGCCTCCGCTCGTCGACAATCCAAATACATCGATGACATTTACTTTTTTCACTGATATGACACCCATTACTGCTTTCAGTGTTGATCCGACCGCTCCCTGCGAGAATGCATGGGATACCCCAGCGTCTGCATCCCCCGTAGAGTTTGCAGACTCGCTTGACTGTCCCACAACTCAGACTACCGATCGCGTATCTCATGGCAAGAAACGGGACGCTTCGTACATCCCACGCCCGCCAAACGCTTTCATCCTCTTCAGATCGTCCTTCATCCGGAGCCAACAAGTTCCGGAGAAGGTGGAGGGGAATCATAGCACTCTGTCCAAGATTATTGGTCTGTCCGTGGTCAACGGATCTGCTCGTTGCTAATGCGTTTACATACAGGCAAATACTGGAAAACTCTTCCCCGTGAGGAAAGAGAAATCTGGGAGGCCAAGGCGCTCGTCGCTCAGGCGGAGCATAGAAAGCGCTACCCAGACTGGCGTTTCAGACCTGGGGCTAACGCGCTTGCGAAGCTCAAGGTCAAGGATGGTCCCGGAATAGCAAATAGAAGACGAAGCACCCAGAGTACCAAGAAAGGCCGCGGAAATGCCGATTCGAAGAAGAAGAATAAGAGTAAAGATGAAAGGTGTTCGATGATTGCGGATCTTCTGGTGGAAGGAAAGACGGGCGCTGAACTGGAAAGTGCGCTTAGAAATTGGGAGAACGGAATTAGTAGGGAAGTCGAGGGCGCTGTTGGCCGAGAAGGTGAACACGATCATGAAGGAGGTGATGAAGGCAATTGGGGCGAAGCTTTCCCGCCCACCAATCACTTTCAGATGGAGTCGGCCCAATGTTCGCAAGGCTTCTACCATCCCGGTCACACGACACAGGTAAACACCGATGGCCGCGATCATCCTGCCACGAGTCAACCTCGCTGCAAGACTCCACATGACGATCGTTTTCAAGTGCCTCTTACTGCGATGTTCAAGCGTTCTCTGTCCGCACCTGCGAGGCGCTTCGCCACTCCTTCTGATGTCTCAGGCCACAGTCGCAACAACTCTCTAACCAGTAACTTCACTGATGTCTTATCCGACACTGCAAGCTCTCCTCCCAGCGTTTGCAGCCCTTCCGCTTTTCCATTGGAACAATATGAAGACCCATCAGTCGCCGTGTACGGTGATTCTATGGGTCACCTATCGCCCCTTGTCCTGCCGTCAGGACTAGGAGATAGTTCTCCTGCGCGTTGGAATGACGTGAGTTCTGTTGCACTTCTCTTCTTCATTGTTTGTGCTAATTTTGTATCTTTGGCAGCCATACAATCTCCTCGGAGCTCAATCCCCCATAGGATCATTTTCAGACTGCCCTAGTTTGTCATATGGACACAGTCCTTCCGTGTCGCCAGTCGACATGAGCTTTGGGAACTATACATACCCTTCGCCGACGCTGGCGGCACTTACCGCAACAAAGCCCGATAATATCTCTGCTGGCCTCGACTACCCCATCTCATATGATACCCAGTGTTACTCCTCTTACTCTGCGCTCAAGGGGTGGGCTGATGGTCAATATGCATCTTTTGATGCCTTTCCAGAAGGTCCCGTGCCTCAGGTCTTTGTTAACCAATACGCCAGCACGCCAGCAATCTATGAATGGTCCCCTCTTGACGATACCATACGTGCTGGTCAGGCTCCTCAGCTCCATAACACATTCGAAAGTAGCTCTTTCAATTTCGGATTCTGAACTTCAGTCCTTCCCTGAACTTATGTATATCCCTCTGTGCGCCACCTCTCTCCTTCATAGACATTTGATGATAACGAGAAACTGAAATTGGAATGTACTGCCAGTGCTTCGACTTGGCATGAATTTACCCTATGCATCTGTTTTACCCCATCCATAGATGAGCTTTTCCATCTCTTGACTGCTATTGTTATGCGTTCTTCATCCTGATGTTTTGGGCTATGCGATCCCCTCTGTCTCATTTATGCATGTTATTTGTTTTGAAGCGATGTTTTTACGATACTAGTAGTGTACTGTTGTCATGTTGTGTATGGACCCTTGGACGAATTGATGTTAAAGCTACCCTTGGCACCTGCCTGGGGGAGCATGTAAAACCAATCAGAAGGACTTCCCTTGAGGCGCGAGATCTACTGTAAACTTAGCACTTGACGACTGCAACTTAGTGATGGTGATCTTAGTTGCTCGAAACCACAACCACCACTGAATAGTCGTCTTCATCGGGCTGGGGGTTCACACACAGTGTGGGGATGATACGGCTGGATCTTCTGTGTTATTTTTAGCAAAGGATTCGAAAGTAAACTATAAAACCACATGTATCACATGCCATCATGGCCACAACGTATAGATCCGGCTTTTAATTTTGGAGGCGTCCTTGACAATGATGGTTCGAGACTTCGAGTCGCCACAGGTCGCCACTCCCTGACTACCATATAGGAATTCTAATCCAAGGTCAGATAACGGGTCTTTATCACACTGTGAGCGGGTGGCGTACGTACGCCATGGAAACCATCCTCCTCGAACTCGTCCAAACTTTTATAGGTCTTCAGATCGACTGTTGCCTTGGTACGAAGAGAACAAATGCAAAGCCACTATTAGCTTGGGCTGGGCACTGTTGGATCGAGCCGCCAGGTGGGCGGTAAAGAACAGGAACTTTGATCCGGTGTCACACAAAACGATCAGGATGGCGTGATGTAAAGTAACATGTGAGAATGTGGCGGTGGATGGAAGGGAAATGAGGGAATGTGTAGGTGTGTGTGGGTGTGAGTCCGTTGACACTGTAGACGGTTCGACCGTATCAAAGAGAAACGTTAGGTCGACGCGTTCCTCCGGCAGGCTCCGAACCGGCGCCGTGCTCATGGAACACGGAAAACGCCACATACTAGTGGCGGCCGAATTGCTCTACTTCCTTATCGAACTTGATACAGAGATCCAGACTGGACTCATCAAGAACCAGCCTGGCAGTGGTCTGATTAAAAGACGAACAGTATGGGGTCACACACATCTTTGAGTTCACCATCGTATGCAAACAACCGCCTTTCGTGTGCGTAAAGGTGAATCATGGCAAAAGTAGCGATTCATGAACGTTTGAACCCTAAGTGATCCTTGAACCCTGGACTGCCTTCTTGAGAGGTGTGTTTGCGATAGCGATAATTGAAGGCTGAATGACGGATGCGAGTTTACCCGATCCTCACGAAACCTTCGAGGTTTCATGTTTCACCCTCATCTGTCGTAACAGCGTCCTAGGAATGCGAGAATGAAGCGTTGGCGCAGGGGAATCTAGGTACTCAGGCCATGGCCTGCATGCAATGTCAGGAAAGAATCCACACGACGGAAGGGAGGCTTACGGATTTCTGCCATTCAATATCGAGTGAGCCATTCAGCGAAGTGTTGACATCGGAATGCTACATGTTGGTGGCTAATAAGAAAGCGAAGGTTGAAGTCTCCCGTGCTGACTAGAAGTTTCATGGTCTTGTCATAAAAGTGGACTTTCTGTGTCAATATCTGCAGGTACTCAGCACGTTGTAAACACTCTCTCATATGGTCAAATTATGGTGTCTACTGCATCAACTTGAATGTACATACATACCGCAAGTACTTGCCACATTGCTACCGAAAGAGAGATCTCTGAAATAAGTTGAGCCACGGAATCTAGACAAGAACTGAGTGTAACCCACCATTGCGATAAGCACGTCTCAGGATGACCGACAGTTTCCGACTTCGACTTCTTGTTTTGACCACTTCCACAGTTTTCGTGCATAGTGCACTCGCTGGCGCTTCTTATTATAGGGCGCGCTTATGTATTAATTTACACGCCAAATTAGCCTAAAATTGTGTTCAGTTGATGAGAAAAACTTACACATGACTCCAAACGAGTAAGATATCTGGCCTGGGTGCAGGTCTGCGCAGATCCGGAGTCTGCGTCTGCGACAAAGTCTGGGTGCGCACTCGGCACAATTTGCGGAGTTTGAAGTCGCCAGCGGCTGAATACCGCCGTATCACTGCCACAACTACCTGCTGCCCGCCGCTTCCCGCCCCTGCCCACACGCTGAGCACGGACCATGGTCATCGGGTCCATCTTTGCAGCCATGCAGCGGCTAAAAACGTCATCCTACAGCCTCAGCCTCACACCATATCTGTTGTGGTTGCCTGAAGTCCTGCCCCTCTCCATAAACACACCCCAAAATCAGCATTCCTTTCGACGTCGCGGGGGGCGGGGAGCGGGCAACAATGAGGTGGTGGGGAGTGATGAGCGCATAGGAGCTTCATTATTACTCCTAGAGTCTGCGCAGACCTGCACCCAGACCGGCCGTAACTTACACATTCACGAGTGGGCTGACTCGAGAGCAGTTAATCCTGACCATTATTATCAACGACGACGCACCCCAGCTTCGTCTAGTGTACTCTGGCAGATATTGTGAGGTCAGTCAATATATATTATCACACAATGTGTCGAATATCCTACTAGTAATCAAGGTATGCACTGCGGCCTGAGATAAACTTCTTTTTATCCGACGTCCATGTTGATCGTGTTTGAGTGTGAATCTACGCGTATGCACACTCGTCCGTCTCGACCAATTGTACCTAGAGTTGTTTCCCTGCTCACACTCTCACTATTCCGTCGTAGTGTGTGCTCACGACTCGCTTGCCATCTGCACTTTAACACAATGTCCACATATGCTCAGTTCCGGTAATTATAAACAGTGCTCAGTTCAATAAAACGTACTAATCAAACGGTCCAGGCTCTAGTCTCATCTCTTGATATTCACGGCAGGGCAGGATCAAGGTGCTTACATTTATACGTGATGCGAGGTGACGCTACCTAGCCACCAGACGAGACGACTGCTCTGGTGATTGTAAGCACTAGAGAACACATAAGAATATCAGTAGTTCTTTGATACTATATTGCTTACCCCAATCGTATATCACCCCGGCAGAGGCATGCTGCAACTATCAAATCGCAGCCATGGTGAGATCAAGACATCACAAGCATCAAAAGACTGGCTCACGAACATGAAAAATAGCTAGCAATGAGAGCCGAATTGATCAACGGCCACCAACTGGGATCATCTGAGACTAGGGTCATGTCATGATTGTAAGCGGCAAACTTGGTGAACGTATGACAACGCTTTATACCACCATTTAGGGATTTTCAACAGCCGGAACGAGCATCATGGTGATAGTGATTATTCCCGCTTTGATTGTCTAAAGCAGGCATTGTCGCATGAAGCCCAGTATAAACGAGATCTTTATCCAGGGGTCCTCGATTGAACAAAAATATATGTTGGTTCTCAATCTGCAAATAAGTGAGTGAGTCACGCACGGAACGTTTCAGCACCGCAAAAGATCGAAGAAATATGAACATTGCTAAAGAGCGAGCATTCGTTTCCACCTATGTTCACCCCTGAAAACCACCGGCAATATCCCGCAGAGAAATGGTGGAATACCTGCAAGTATTTGGTCCACAAGAGTATTCGGACATGAAGAGACATCTCGAGAAAACCATGTCAATAGCGAAATGAAAGCTTGACTGTGACACTCACAGCCCAGAAACGGGGATACCCTCCAGCAAGTACTAGTAAAATTACACTTGACTAGTACAAGGTCGCCAAAATCAAAGCAAGATGAAGAAGGGAGCGAATGCGAAGCGGTAAAAATATACTAGACTACATACTAGTCGAAAGCAAGAAAAACCAAGAAGGGCGCAAACGCGAACGAAAACGAAAAGACATGCCCGTTATATCACCATTAGATCTAGGATGCATTAGCACCCTCTTTGTAGGCTATCCCCAGCACTGTCCAGAGCTGTCAAGAATACATGTGAGACTGTCCAGCTCCGGGGTCTGGACAGTGCTTCCTAGACAAACCCAGAGTTTGCTGATGTAGATGTACTGCACTTCACATACTGGATACACTTCTTTGACACGCAATCCTTTGGATCCACGTCTGGCTCCTTCTCCGGCTTCTACTCTCCTTACACTTACTCGCGGGTCGACTTCTTGCGGCGCTTGGAAGTCCCCAAATTTTGCATCGCTTTTACCAAATCGTCCTCTTCGTTACTTCCGCCATAGTGCGCCTGGTTCCTCTTCTTGCCCGCCAACTTTTTCAACGCACGCTTTGTCTCACTGTCTGGCCAATTATTCAAATCAAAGTACAAGGGTGCGTACTCGAGAAGCCTATCAGAGTGTCAATGCGTCAGTATGTAAATTTACAGTGCTAAGACGTACGTACCACTCTGGTTGGACTTTCGTGACGGTCCATATGTACGGACTCGTCGTGAGCACAAACTCGTTATAAATCACCCACTCCGGCTGCGTATCGAGTCCGCACGATGGATGCAGCGCCACGGCCTACCACAAAAATAGCATCAGCAAGCAAACCCTACCCAAATAACAAACAAATGTACCTGATTATCCTTCACGGTCATATATGTCCCTTGCTCTCCCGCCTTATGCGCAACTTGCATGAAAAAGCCACAACACAACGCTTGTCTAATCCCCACATACACCTTATTCTGGTCTTGCATGCTCACAAGCTCCACCTCAAACCGCTCCATTATTCGTTTCAGCTGCTCGCGCACGTTGTCTGCTTCCATCAGCACATGAGCGGAAAGGTACTTGTTCCAAGTCCAGTTTTTGTCGTATTTGTCTGGGGGTAGTTGTAAGTCAGTATGTGTGTACAATAAGAGGACGAGGGGAAGCTACTTTGAGCATAGTTGTTATACACGTTCAGAAGCGTTAAGTGATCGCCATCGGGGACGGTAAGCAACGCCTTTACAGCATCCGCCACTTTCTGCTCGTTGCTCGGCCGTAGTAGCCATACATTTGGTACTACACGAGCATCAGATGGGAAAAGCCCTCAAGACTGAGTGCGCACCTGACAACATCGCAGTGATCGTCAAGATCTCATTGCTACATTTAAACTCTGGACTGACGATCAGCATTTTTGAGAGCTGACATGCGTCAGAACTGTCAGGACCAAACCCGCCACCAGAACAATCACATACCTGCGGATCAAGAGGAAATTCAGCCATCAAACTCCCAAGCGCTGTGAGGTTGCCATCATCATCCAATACCGCGAGGTAATTTAATAGCTCCAGTGCCCTCATCAACGACTCTGGCGCTGGCGCATCCACCCAATCAAACTTGACAAGATCCTACACAGCTTGAAGTGTCAGCCCAACTCGAAAACATCAACCTCCACATAGCGCTCACCTTAACCCCCACCTTAACAAGCTCCAGCACCGTGTTCGCTAAATTACTTTTCAAAATTTCTGGGTATGTCTGCTCCTCGAGCTCCGACATAAAGTCCTTCTCAGTATACAACCTAAAGCATTTACCTGGCCTTGTTCGTCCGGCCCGGCCCGCACGCTGCTGTGCCGACGCCTTGGAGATTGGACTAGCGAGTAAGCTCTCCACACGGATGCGTGGGTTGTACACTTTCTGCTCGGAAAACCCTGGGTCGACAACGTACACGATCCCATCGATCGTCAGCGATGTCTCTGCGATGTTTGTGCTAATTACAACCTTGCGTCCTGGGGGACCATCCGGAATGCCTGCTTTCGGCGGCGGGTCGAAGATGCGTTGCTGCTGTTGCGGCGGTAGTGACGAGTACAGAGGGATGCACACGATGGGGCCTACAGACTCGGGGTAATAGTTGACAAGGTCATCCGCCTCGAGCTTGATCCTGCGGCATACTTCCTCTATCTCCTCCTCGCCCGTCAGGAACAATAGGATATCCCCTGGCTCCTCGGCGCGATGAATCATGAGCACAGTGCGGATGGCAGCCTCGACATAGTCCGGCTCCGGCTCCAGGGTGTAGAACACCTCGACGGGATGGGTACGACCGGGGACCTGGAGGAGCGGGGCAAGGGCGTCACCTGAACCAGCGAAGTATTTCTGGAACTTGAGGGCGTCAAGAGTGGCGGACATGATGATGAGCTTGAGGTCTGGGCGACGGCGAACGAGGGTTTTCAGAACACCCATGAGGATGTCAGTGGCGAGTGTGCGTTCGTGGGCATCATCGATGATGATAGTGGAGTAGCGGCTGAGATCGGGGTCGTTCATGGCTTCGCGGAAGAGTATTCCATCGGTCATGTATTTGAGGAAGGTTGTGCCGGGCTCGACCATGTCTTCGAAACGTATTGAGTAACCGACTTGTCGACCGAGTTGGACTAGGAGATGAAGTGAGCTCAGAATGTGATCAGAACGAGGAGCAAACAAATCGAACCGTCCATCTCATCCGCGACGCGTTTAGCGACGGACATGGTGGCAACTCTGCGGGTCTGGGTGCATGCCACAATTTTGTTCTTGGTATGCGGAAGATCAGAGTAAGCGACGAATTGAGGTATTCTATCAGGGACAAAAAGCAACTTTGAGCGACTGTTCGAAATAGACAAGTGAGAATATTCGTCAGGGAGTGCCAACTTACTGCGTGGTCTTGCCTGAGCCAGTCTCACCGACCAAGATGATGATTTGGTGTTTGTTGAACTGTGAATGTCAGTCGAGGTGAATGAAGTGAGGTAGGTGGGCTCACTATCTCGTAGAACTCGGTCATCTGTGCAAATATGGGGAGCTTTTTGCGTGCTTCAAGGATCTCTTTGTATTGTGCAGTATGGGGTTGCTCTGTGAACGGGTTTAGATCATGTTCCTAAGCGAATTCCCGAGTCAGTCAGCCTCGACGTTATTGAGATGGCATACTAGAGCCAGGTGGACTCGATCTGCGGTGACATTTCGGGGAAGAAAACCAAAGAGAGGCTGCCTCGAGGAGGCATTGGCACCATTGAAATTGCTTGTGCCTGAAGTAGCCCGCCCAGTGGGATGTCGATGGGCAAGGTATGGGTTCTTTTTTGGCATTTTGCTACAAGTGCAACGACGTCCTTTCAAAAGGACATCTCAGGGTTACAATCAAATCCATTGATTCCTTGATTCCTTTACCGTTTTTTGTTGTACCACACTACTTGTATCTATCAGGATAAGATTCGGTCTGCAGCCTGAGGTTAATGATGATTGCCAGCCTTTGCCAACTTTCCACTTGCCAACTTGGAGCCAGTTCGGTAACCGTTGTGTTTGATCAGTTCAAAATACAGAATTTTGTTTATGGCGAAAGTATGGTGGACGATAGGTTACGGTTCGATTTGCCGATTTGCCGGGACGTATTTGGAAGTCCGATCAATGCTTGCTCATGTGTATACTAGTCAGGAAATCCGTCGCGCAACTTCAATCTGAGTACCGCTTGTCTTTTTCGTCTTCAGGTGCGGTAGGGTGGCCTAGTATGAACTCTTCCGACATTCAATTCCAGGGTATCTTTGATGTTTTTTTGGCCGATTGCCAAAACTAATTCGTACCTGCTGCATTGCTTTGACGTGCGGGTGATCGAACAGTGCATGAACGGAACGATTATGACCGCGGATAATCGATAATCTCTGGGACACAACGCGTTCTATGGAGAACCACATGATGACCTTTGCAATGGTTTGAAACGGGGCGTTGATTATGATAAACGAATAACGAGTTGTGCCATTTCGTCCATCAAACCTTGCTCCTTCAATGTTGTCCCGCGCGTTCCGACTGTCTTTAATTTTTATTAAAAGTTTCATTTCTAGGTTTCATAGTAGCAACTCGTACGACCCGCAAATAATCACAGCCTCTCCAGCTTCGACCCTGAGCACTGGTACCCTGGCCCACGTATTCAGTCGTATCTTGTCAGACTCGAGTAATTTCTCGGTTGACACGCCTATGTGGTATGATTTGTCACACCGTTCCGGTTACAAGTTCCCTACTCAAAACGATAATCGACAATCTATTTGCTATCATCATGATCAAGGTAATACCCTCCCTTCCATCTTGCTGTGACTACATGAAGCTGATGTTGATGCTCCCCTGTCCTTACAGTTGCCGGACTCGTCAGATGATAAGAAAGTTGTGATGTGCAGCCGCTCCTGCCACCTGTGCACTGCTCACTTCCGCTGTTTGCGTAGGCTCACCGATTCCAGCGAGAACGTTCTGGTTCCTAATGTACATTACGTACGCACCACTAATTTACATTGCACACGGCGAACAAGGTCTAGCTACTATAGGGACTGGGTTACATTCGCGCGCCAGAACCACTTTGATTAAATTGACGGCCCTAACCATAATCATAGCTCGCTGATGGCCTTGCACCGCTCAAATCCGATCCCTTGCTCGCCTAGGTTCATCAAATCTGGAACGTTCTGGTGCCAAATCCACGCTGTGTACCGGGTTACAAGCGCGCGCCAAAACAAATCAAATAGACTTCAAAGTTCAAACATAATCAAAATCAAAATCACTAATGCAGTCCGTATCCATCTTGAGCAGTTTGATATCAGTATTTGTTGACAATGTTTAAGAATTGTGTAGCCACGACGGGACTTTGGAAGTGCCTGTAATCGAACCTCCATGTGTATCGTCATCAAAGGCATTATTTGAGGAATCGGGCAAGGCTATAAGACCTTTCTGGCTATTGACGTATCTGCGTTAAAGGGACCACGAGCTATCTTTGATGTGATATTTATCATCATCAATGAATTCTAGTCGATGTCGTGGATTCTGCGCTAGCGGCATGCAGTTTGGGACAAATTATAGGCAGTCGGCAGAGTCGGTCGCCGAGGGGGTATTCATATCAGCCGCAAAAATGTGATGCCGGCACCAGAGGGAGTCTTGTGATTTGGGGACGTAGATGGAGAGCGTCCATCCCTGTCTGCTTTAGCGTCGGCCTGAGAATTTACTTAGGAAGCGCACTATCAGAGATAAAATTCTGTGGTGCAGAACGTAGAGAATGGTTTGAAGGCCAAGCACCGCGGGACTCAAGCGAGTGAAGAAGCAACAATGAGTCAACGGTAAGAACTTTACTAACACTCATAGTCTCCTCTTGGTAGACCGAATAAAACAAAAATAGTCGTTCGGAACCAGGAGCATATAGTCCTCCAGAGTGTATAAACAACACATTTCAATTATCCGAGCAATACAACGAGAAAAGATTCAATTCAAAGCTTTAGTATCAAGGTAATCTACAACAGATACACCAACGGGATGAAAGAGAATTTGTAGCACTGTATCAGACAGTCTGGAATGTTCGAAAGCAATACGACATAGAACTACACACCGATATGAATGAAAACGATCCTCTGCTCGAGCGGCACTTTCTTCTTCACAGCAGCCGTAGCACAGTTGAGTGCTGATACAGCCTTCGTACAGTTCATGAGGCCCCCCTTCAAATCCTTAGATATATTATCGTAGAAAGCTTCCACTACGTGTTTTGCGAAAGCATCGTCGACCACCCACCAATGACACTCTTGAACCCGAAAAATTGCAGACCAGCTGCGAGGTGGATGACCTCGTCGAGCGTGTCCTCATCACCGACGGCGGTATGACACGCCGATAAGAATGCGAACTCAGCTTGCGGAGCATCGTTCTTCATGATATGTCAAGCAGTGATGGGTTTGTCTCTCATGGCGAAACGTGAATTGTAAGGCTCATCACGGTCCTGTTTGCCGTGACAAGCGAGGTGTACCCAGGTGTTGCACCGCAAAGCTTCGAGTGCACCTGCCTATGTGGCTTCGTCGCCAGAAAGATCAGTGAATTTGACGTCGGGCGGAACAAGTTAATGAACAAGCTCAAGCTCGCTGTCGACAGTGGTAAGCACCGTGCCTTGCCCTGCACCTGGTTGACTTTGTCCTATCGCTGCGAAGGATCGAGTGACAGATGTCTTCATTGTCTCTGGAGACCTGATCAGGGCCGAAAGTGTTGGCGTGTGAGAGCATATGTATATATCTCCAAGACATGCCCCCAGTCCAAAACAGTCTGCCTTCATCCGAAAGGGGTTAGCTGCGTGGAGAGGTATGGTCGTAAAGGTTGCTGTCGGACATAACCAAATTCGAGATCGATGTCGCAATTTCAGGTCATGTTGGAGGATGTTAACAATCGGTATGATCTCGTCCCATACGGTCCGCAGGAGCATCCGCAATTCCTTCCTCGGCTCCTCTGGGCGCATGCAAGCCGCATGGCGTATCGCCTGAGCGAAGTCTTCCTTGAGTTTTATCAGATCTGCGAGAATGAGACCCGGGAAGACACGTGGCGGGGCTCCCCTGATGTCGGGACAATAATGGCACTGCACGAGTATTTACACGCAATGAGGATGATTACTAGGCCCTGGCATGTTGCCGCTGCCTTGTATGAGGGTGGGAGCAGGAATCGCTCGAAACCGTCATATCAGCTACGTCAGCTGCGGCTCCGTCTTCACTGACTGTAGAACCTTGAGCGCTGGACACGCGCTTGCTGAGCTCTGAGAACCTGTGGGCTACGTCGGGATTCGTGGAACGGAGGTCAAGCGGAGTCCTGAATCGAGAGGCCAAAGACCACAGTTGGGTACGGCCCTGTTCCACGAGTTCCGCCGCATGTAGTAGATTTTTACGGCATATAGCGAAGTTGGGCGGCTTCGCCGATGCTGGCACCAGCATTTTGGCACCAAATCAGCGCTTCAGTAAGATGATATAGAGATAAGGGACGATCAAGATGGCCCTGCGGACGCAATGCAAGGGCGTCGCGGAATAGAGATGTAATAGAGTCAATGTTTTGAAGATCCTTGTGAATGTAACCCTGAAGGCGGGCCCACGCAAGGTTAGTGAGAGCGGCACTGTGGTCCTGATGGCCGACCGGACACTGGATCAGAACGACCTGGAGTTGCCACGCCAGAGTGTCGCTGACCCTGATGGATGCTGTGGAGCATGTATTTGGCAAGTCGTGTGTGGCCTGCGTATGTGCGTCGAGCGAATGGACTACAGATTACTTTTTTTTTCGTTAGTAGAAACCGAAGGCCTGGGAGCTAGTCTCGCTTACATCAAACAGTGCACCATCCTGATTTCCACGAGTCTGCACAACAGCGACCTTCAGCGTCAGAGAAGGTTGGACACTGCGAATGGGCGAAAAGAAAAGATCTACGACTCCAAGTTAATAGACAGGCACGAATGTGAAGCAGACTACTCACCGAAAGGTTCGTCTCCACGACCAAGCAGCTCATGTCAACATTTCAAGTTTACCGACGTCTTCTCCACGTCCCAGCATTCGGTCAAGCTCGAAGGATGTCATGATCTCCAAGTATAATTTGGGTGACTCATCTAGTGATCTGCAAATGGACAGTGAGTACTGAAAAGACGTCCGCAAGTCTCTATGGAAGTCTTTTCAAGGTCACGGTATCGCCCCATGCCGCTACAGAATTATCGCATCGTATGATAGGACTCGGACAGCTGACTTCCAGCATCTGTTCGAGTCGACGTAAATGGACACGTAAATGCCTGCGGGTATGCGGCAGGAGGGAACTTGGAGATTGTTTCCGCTCATAACTGTAGGTAGAGCAAGAGGATCATGAAATGAATACCAAGGTCGTATGGAGTTGCCTGCCTTCAAGCTTGATATCTTGGCTACAGTCCATTATGGTGTGTTGAAGAAAATGTCAAAAAAATTGAGGATGGGTCAAGTGGCGCGGAATGAGTGGTATATAACAAGATGGGAATAGGGATAGACTCGGAGTTCATTTGAAGGGGGACCCTGTCTAAAGAAATGGGCCATGCCACGGTTAGTTACAACGGCACACTGAGGTTACTACAGGTGACATGTCACATGCGAGTGTTAGAGCGTCCCTTTTGGCCAATGGGCTACTCTTATCAAGCAAACAAGTTGTGAGCCGGCAAGTTGTGTCATTCATACCACTGAAAACGACGCCAAATGCCCAGAAAAGTATGTTCATTCTATACGAGTCCGATTGAGCTGATGCCAACTGAGAGTGTCGCGAGAACATAGGTGGCGCACCGTCACGGTGTGCAAGACTCCGAGTCATATGGGAGGTCGAATACAAGATAAGTCAGTCAAATGCAGCAGACGTGACGAACGACTTCAACAATTCGGAAGGAAAAGAGCAAGCCTGAGAGTCAGACAGGGCAAAGGGGTGGGAAAATTATCAAAGATGCCTGCCGCAACAAGCCGCTGCCAGAGCATCTTTTCCCTGAACTAAGGAGCTTTGACTGTACCATGTATCTGAACGTTGTTGCCGTTTTCAGATTCGTCAACTCTGCCAGTATCGAGACGTGCGCTTGGAGCGCGTAGTACGGAAACAGGTTGTGGCAGTTTGAAGGTGTCGGACATTGGGGATTTCGGTCGTGCAAGTGCTGAGTGAGTAGGGGAGTGCTGACAAAATTCGAGCAGGAATGATTCAAATCGCTTCTGGGCGATCCACACGTATGGACCCTTCGTTGGGCGTGCCGACTGTGCACGGCTCGCCACCATTTAGGAGGTTTGACTGAGATCTGAATAATCCGAAAGTTGCAAAGCTTGGCCTGTTCTAACGAATTCTCCTTCCATGGGCCTCGACTAGTCACTAATAGTCGAAGCATAACTTGCTCAGTATTCATCCATACGGTACGTTCAAATCCGATCATACATCTGCGTGTTATTCAATCATGCTCTATGACATTCATTTTACCAGAATGTCCTTCCCCGGGTCATCAGGACCAAATGCATGGTCCCTCTTAATCCTCGCTCATAGCCTCGATTATTTCCATTGTCAGCTCACTACAAGGACCTTAGTCAAGTTTACGCGTCCTTCTCGTCTGCAGCGCAAGTCGATGCTGAGACATCAGCGTCCTCTTCTCAAATGTGGCCCACGCCCCGCCGATCCATCATCAGCATTCTTTGTACCTTGGTCTTGGTCCATATCCATATAAGCGAAAGTGACTGGTCACAGATTCCTGTGTGAGCATTTCTGCTACCATGCACTTGAATTCAAAGGAGGGGTGAAAACAGGTGAAAACAACTTGTTACGAATTTCTTAGTCTGCATACCTACGGGAAAGATGCATATGCGTTCTCCATCTGGTGTCTCGTACCCCCCGTACAGGGTAACTTCAATCCGAGTACACCTATTCGTCTTCAGGTACGTCAATAGAACAATAAGAACTCTTCTGACAAGTTCTGACATCGCAGTCTAGGGTAGTTCCGATCTAATGTTTTCGGGCCGACCTGATCGGTGACTTATTGATCTGCCGCATTGCTTTGACCTGCTTCAACGCATAAGCATGAACCAAAAGAAATACGGGGGTCATGACCGTGAACGGAATCCGCGAACGTGGTATAGGGTCATATGTGAGTAGATTTTTGCAAAAGCTTGAAACGGGTCGTTAATTATGATAGACGAGGAACGAGTTGTGCAATTTTCTTCGAACCCGCTCCATTTGGAAAACAAATTGTCCGGGGGGTGTCGCTTGAGTGAGCTACCGTTCCGACTGTGCCTGCAGGCTTCATTTCTAGGGTTCATAGGATCGCGTATGACTCGACAACAACAGTCGCGGCCTCCCTAGTTTCGACCCTGAGCGCAGATACCTCGGCCCAGACATCTGAACCAGATCTGAACCTACATGCTGGTGCACGTCACGGAGTCGCTTGTGCCTTGTCGGACTGAAGGAATTTCCCGGCTGACACAACTTTCTGGTACGAGCCGTCACTTCTGTTCCAGTCATGCATTCATGATCACGCAAGCAACTATCTTTCTACTATGATGATTGATCACGGTAATACCTTCCCTACGATCTCACTGTGTCCATGTGGAGCTGATGCTGATGCTCCGAGTCCCCATGTTCTTGCAGATGTCAGACACATCAGATGATGAGACACATCAGATGATGAGACGTTGTAATGCGCAGCCACCCTTCCACGCATACACCACTACTCATCTCCACTTCTGCTATCAAACCACATGGGCCGGTTAATTCCAGGAGGAACGTTCTTGTTCCTAATGTGCACTATGTACTGTTAATGTCCGTCGCATATGGCGAACACGGGACTAGTTCAACCGCGCGCCCAAACCACTATCAAATTGACAATCCCAGGCGCAATCAAAGCTAGCTGATACTGATACGGCCACTCGTGCATCTCTCACGTCCGATTCTGCTGTTTCGCTGTGGCTTATCAAAATTTCTGGGAACGTTCTGGTTCATTCTGCGCACCATGTACCGCTAATATACATCAAATAGGGCGTAGCGAAGGACTGGATTACAGGCGCACGCGCCGAAAAAAACTTTATCAAGGAGACTTTCCAAATATAATCAAAGCTAACTGATGGTCTTCTACACAACGACAAAAATCATCTTGATCACCCCACGATCTGATATCAGGTTTTGTGGATAGGGTTCGAGACTTGCTGTAGAAAAAAAACCACGATGGGACTTGGGCAGTGCCTGTCATGGAGCATCCATGTGGATCGTCATCAATAGATGATCCCAGACGTGAACCGTTTCATCGAGTTCCACTGATATCAGGCGCAGCAACCTTTGGGTGAGTGGATTTCCTTGATGATTTTTCGGTGTCTCTTACGGTATTACCCAAGGTTTGGTTATTTTTGTTTGTCAAAGTTTCGGCTTCTGCTCACTCGCGGACCGCAGTAGGGCTTTCTTTTTCCTCATTATATTCTTTTTTTTGGCTTCGTCTGTCACGTTTATATTTGTCTCCGTCTTCGGGTATCACATATATCTCCTAGTCAATGTCAGATTTTTGATATCAAGCCAAGAATGATACAATGAGTACTGCGGCTCAGCAACAACCCCATCAATCAAGTCGGAGCGACACCTGTAGACAATGTGCCAACATCAGCGCCCACCCCCGAGCAAGCAAACAATGACGTGCTCAGCGCAAGCAAAACGAAGATCTCTAATCGCGATCACCCACGAGGACAAAAATGTTAATGTAAATCATCCTCGATCTGCCAAAACTCGATGTGATGAGCCACTTCAAGCGCGTTCACCACGAGGCGAACATTCAAAGTTCAAGACGCTTTTAAGTGTCATTTGGGATGTAATCTCCGGACTCCGCACCGATCGTCCGCAGCAGGGCTCGCCGCTCATGGTTATGATTTGTATATTATTGAGTTTGAACTCTGAGAGCGTAGGAGAGGGTTGGATTGGAGTTTGGGGGTCGGATATGAAGGTTTCCGTGATCGTGTGTGTAACCCTCTGCCAAGGTGAACAGGAACGTTCATCAGCGTTCATGAAACCTGGGAATCAAGGGCACTGCGATGTTTTGTCGTGTTGGTGATCCATCGACATCCATCCGTCCGCAAACTCCGTCGAGGCACAGGAGGTGATTGTCATCGAGGCGGTACCTGGCGATATATAAAAAAAACGTATCCAAATAGTATACCCTAGTATACCTGACACGAAAACAATGAGTTTATTTCGTAACCGGTACTCCAAATAAGTGACCGACTTAGCGCTTGATGGAGGCTGGATATTGACATTGATTTGGTTTGATATTCGTCGGAGACAAATTGTAGAGCGCTAGAAGAAGCTTGCACCGGGTTTCGAAAACACGGTTGGAGCGGAGGGACTGATGGAAAGCAGTTTGGAATTGAAATCACACAGTGGGGCATCATAGCCCGAGGACGAGACCGTGGCTCTCCAAGGTCGACTGTCCTTGCTGATGAATCATGAAATGTTTTGGGCTTAGAAATAAATCAGAAGATGATAAATATTAATGCTGCAAGGCCAAGGTATTTGGGCGCCGCGGCGGGATAGCGCTCACTAGTGCCACAAACCATTAAACATAGATACTAAAAATCACATGCAAAAGTTTCGAAACAAATTCAGCTGCGGGGCGAGCCGTGACCCGCCGTGAACCAAGGAATCACTTTCATGATAACGAACCTAGGAAGGCGGCGACATGATAAATTAGTAAAAGTGGGTGGAATAGGGGAACATGCAGAATACAACGAAATATCCCCAGATATGGAGATGCGAGCTGCCATAACCCACAGCCCTAGCGTAGTGCGAACCAGTTCGGTACGGTTTCCCAGAATGTCAACGATGCGACGACCTATAGTGGGAGAAAGACAAACACAGGAAGTGCCCCCTGTGGAGAATAAATTGTTCCGTACAGACATCCCCACGCCGAGGCTACCGAAGCGCCGTCCGGGATCTTTAGGCGCAGCATACCTGTGCCCGACTCATAGAGACGCGAAGCTCGCTATATCTGCGGAATGTTTCCATTCGAAGGTGGGCGGTGTGATAACAATAAGGGGAGTTACTTCTTGACCGACAGAACTCATCCATAGTGCCACGCAATCTGTGTCGTGGAGCTCGGAGACAAGGCTATATGGAGCCGGCGCCTACAAAGCAAGAAAAATTACGCGAGCAGGACAAGCGCGTTGTTCAAGTGGCAAGTACAATACAGATAGAAGCTCAACTGAGCCGACGGAGCATGACAGCTCACAAAAGGGGGGATGGGCCCCATGCTCCGATGAGAACAGGTGTTATCCTCGGGCAAGGCATTATGGTGGATGACGTCGCGCATATTTAGGACTCCATTGCATTACAATGATACGCGGACGGCATCCCGCCGGCACTATGTCCTTATCAGTGATTTACGACCAAAATGTTTACCTTGTGATCCAATCACTTACGACATTTCCTAGGCCTAGGAGCGCTTATGTTGAGCGTTGGTACTGCGGAATATCATATGATGAAGAGGCGGGGTATACGTAGTGCCACGTCAGCTCACTGCGCTCTATTCGAAGGCTGTGGAACAAAAATATACCTGACACCAAGTTTCTATCGGTGATTGGATCACCCCAAGCGCCTTGGACTGCCTCATCGCGGGGGATTGCCTGGGATCCAATCATCGTAACGCTGGCGAAAGCTATGCAATCATGACAGGCATCGTCAGCGTCGTCTTGACTCGTCTTGAGCGTATACTCAGGGCACTCACCGCAATGGCCAAGAGAAAGTCTCAGTTCGGTTGCGCAAGAGGCAGTGACTCAGGCTATGACGAAAGAGGAAACTCAGTAGGAACAGTCAAGTCACACGAGTGAGAGACCAAGTTGCAACTTTCGTCGAATGGGGCTCACTGATTAAAACATTACTTGCTGTAGATCCAATCACTCACTGACCGATGCATTCGGGATGCGAAGCTATGGAGGGGGAAAGCTATGCTGCAAATAGATCACAGGTCGGCTGCCGTACTAGGTAGGCCGTAAGAGGGAAACGAGCACATGACCCGCTTTGACTGGCTGTGTTATTGAACCAGTTCCATTTTCCCAACTGTCGTTGTCCCGTCAAAAGTGCCTGCCTGGTTCGTCGTCTTGTCTCTTTCGACTCAATTGAAGCTTAACTCAATTCTGTCCCCTGTCGGCAGCGGGCTATGTGTTGACCTTTTACGAACTGCGCCCAGGAACATATATATAAAGTCGACATGAATCCCTTCGCTCTCCCCATCCTCTCTACACCAGACTTTCACACAAGTCACACAGTTCTCTTTACGGACGACTACAGTCCGCGTCCAGCTATAATAGAGCGCACTAGCAGAACCCCATCACCTACCCCTACTACCACAGAGACTATTACCATCATGCCAGGTAGACACGTCCACTTCAACGAGGAGAACATCTTCTACTCCCCGCCTCCATCGGAATCTACCCCCTCACCGACTTTCTCAGAGTCGTCGTTACCATCCTCAAGTGGTCCAACTACGCCCCCTCACCTGGGGGGGTTTTTAATGCCCTTGGTCCCCGTTGCCATCCACCCTATCCTTGCCTACCACCCCTACATTTTCCCAGTCAACTACAACGTCTCATACCCGCCCAATACCGCCTCCGCTAACATCCGTGCATCACCCATCAATCTTGACTCCTACTGCCTCGCAGAACCAGCAACCAACCCACCCATCCGTGTCCTCTCTCTCCAAAACGATCTTCTCCCATGGCGCTGTGAAATTCGCGCCTCAACACATCCCTATGTCACCGTCGAGGACGTCCTTACCCAGCTCTACCGCTTCCTCCGCACACCAGGGACGCGCGAGGAGTTCAAAGCTGCTCCCAGCCAGCACGTACGGGACAGCGTTGCAGAAACGTACCACCATCGGTGTTTACGCGCCTCATCGGCTGAGGAGTACGCCGAAGAGCAGCGTAAGGGGTTGAAGCGGGTAGATTTCTTAATGGGGCGCACCACGTTCATGGGGCTGTCCAGCACGAAATTAGGTCCAGACTCATGGGTGCTAAACCTACAATGAGTGGACACTGCTACACTAGCGGAGGCAGGCAGTTACGGAGGAGGTGACGGCGACGGAGCGCCGGGGGCCCTATGCATCATTATCCTTATCCATATCCATATCCATATCCATATCCCATCATCCACCACGCACGACAACGGACGCATTTTTCAAAAAAAAACAGATATCGACGACGACTGGAACTCATAATGGACGTTGTGTGTAATTTTATCATATATAACAAAATCCACCTATCACCGGTTTCCTTATTGTTACACTTATATCCTATATACCATACGCCCACACTCTCTTCGGCTTCATAGTTTTCGGCTGGCTATTTGTTGTTGTAGACTTAGTGTACTCCCAGCCTCAGTTTGTTTTTTCTTGGTCGTCGCTCGTCGATATCACACTTTTCGTTGTACTGTAGAGCATCAGATTCTGTAGACCTATACATGTCATGATATTGACCAATGACGATCGTTTCCAAGTTTTTCCCAAGATGCCCTTGGGTACTTTCTTGTTTTACTTCCGGCGCGTTTCAATGGTCTTGGATAATCATGATTACGGCAATTTCTAGGGCCGGTTGGACTGACAACGTCCTCGGCGGCACCGACGTCGATGATCACCATCATATCATCATCATCATCACTCGGCTGGAATGTTCCGCCCGTCCCCACACGCACGTCGCAGCACATCGCAGCATGATGGTAAGCCAGATCAAACGCTGCGGCACATCAGTTTGGACGCAAATTTATTCACACCTATGTCGTATCCACGCAGCGATCTCCAAGGAAGATAGTCTCCATGTCTCTATGAATATACATACCTTGTAGATAGCCATCAGCGTACATCCTTCTCGAGCTTGGCCCCGATGTCCAGGAGACGATGCGAAACGCGACCTGAATAACTTTCCCATCACCAACCTATGATCGGCACGTGCTCGATCATAGATTAGTGTCCCATATCGGGATTAATCTTGACGCCATTGAAATTCGATTTTTTATGTCCGATGATCTTGCGTCCGCGACATAGCGCAGGTGACCGCATATTTGCGTCATAGATTTTGGGAGACTTGGGGGATGCGAGTGAGGGGCTTTGGATGATTATTATCCTTTTGCTCTAACTATGACTACGAAAACGAACACAAACACGAATGGAGGCGGGGGTGGCGGTGGTGGGGGGTTTGGGGATAAGATCAAGTACGTTCCCTATCAGTATTCCATTATTCGAGTCGAGTCGAGCCGCATCTGAATCAACCCACAGGGGCGCCGCCCAAATCATCCATGGTGAGCAGACAGTTCATCCGTTCCAAGTCCATCGTGTTCCAATATAAACCGATTTGATTTATTTATTTAGGGCTAGGCGAAAATATTCGAGGCACAGCACTTGGTACGGCTGATCGTGCTACGAGTTCGGAGGCTGGTATACAGAAGGATGATGAGGTGGCTGCGAAGGGCCGTGCTGAGGTCGCGGAGGGCATGGCAAGGATGAGAGGTCATCCTGCTGGAACGGTGCCTTCTGACAAGGGAACGAGTGCGGGGACTGGCACCGGTACCGGCGCTGCCACGGCTGTTGGTGCTGGTGCTGGTGCTGGGGTGACAGGTCAGGGCCAACAGCAGGGAACGGGACATGAGAAACCAACCGCAGTTCGGGAGAAGAGCGGGCCTGAGACAACAGGTAAGTGGTTTCTAAATGTTAACCCCCGGATCGACGAATCATTTTTCAATCAAGGTTCGGGCGCTGCCCTGACTAGTCGTGGGGCTACTTCAGGCGTAGGGGAGCAAACGAGTGCTGGGTCCGGAACTGGAACTGTTACCGGTACCGGCGCCACTGCTGCCCCGGCTGCTGGTGCTGGAGCCATTGGCCAGGACACGCAAGGAACGGGATATGAGAAAACGGGCGCGGCTGGGCGCAAGAGCGGACCTGCGATGACAGGTTAGTTTGAAACTTACCCCCGGAGATCAACGACTCACTCTTTCAATCAAGGTTCGAGTGCTGCCCAGGCTGGTCATGAGGCTGCAGGTACAGGCGAGCAGAAGCAGCAAGACCCGAGCGCTGGAAGTCAACAAGAAGGGAAACGCGATGATCGGGATGTACAAGAGCGTTCACAGAGTTGTGATACCGGCCAGAGTCGTGCACAAACAGAGAATCGCCCTCAACAAACAGGTGAACGATCATCCCAGCAAAGGGTAGGTGAACAATACAAAGCAGGACAGATGGGTGTTCAGCGTGAAAATGGGCAACAGGACGAATGCGTAGCTCCCAGGGGAAAACCGTGCATTCGTTTCCAGGGTATTTCGATGGATGGAGGAGGTGAGCCTTCGGAACAACAAACGGCAGAAAAAGCGCATGAAGCAGGACAAATCCACCACGAAGGTGCCCAGCAGGAAGGTGGACAAGGACAGATCCGCTTCCAGGATTTCCAGGGCGCCGGTATCTGATCTTCGTAGGATTGATCAAAATCAATGCAAGGCAAATTAGCTTGGTTATGACTGGTTCTGACGATGATTATTAGGAGAGAATCGGGGAGGGTGTGGTCTAGGTACACACATCTGGAATGTAAAATAATTCTTATCAATAGGTTGTTCGTCAAATTTCGAGGAGCAACGGAACACTCATAATATAGGTTGTTCCGATTTTAAGCCTGGCCTTGGAGATGTAAATCAGATTCAATATTATGGTGTCTTGGCCATGGAGATCATAATCCATTTGGCTTTTGTAATAGAATGGTTTGCCTTTTGTAGCTCAGCTCGCCACGTAGCGTGGTGTTGACAACATTTGGGCAACTTCTAACGCCATTATCAAGCGCCCTTTATCTTCGGAGTCGAAGCGCTGCTGGCATGTGTTCATATCTCCCACTCCATCCACAGGAATGTCTTCTACCTGGTGGTCGCGGTTGAGCAAGCAGCAGGAAGAGGACCAGGATGACCGTGCTTCCGACTCACAGCTCAGCGAAAAGGATCACAAGATCCAGAAACAACCCAACGATGATGCTGACCTGAATCCCGGAGAACTGACCTTTGAAGAAGGTGCGACTGCTCGCCATTTTTCAACTTACTCGTCTGACTTTTTCCAGATACCGCTGGAGGCATGGGCCGTTACCTTGGTGTAACTTCTTGCACTCTCCTTATCGTTGGACGGATCATCGGCACTGGTATATTCTCCACACCGTCCTCCATCCTGTCCGGCGTGGGCTCAGTCGGCGCCTCCCTCATGCTCTGGGTCCTCGGTTTCTTGCTTAGCTTCTGCGGCCTCTTCATATGGCTCGAGTTCGGCACCATGTTCCCTCGCAGTGGTGGAGAGAAGGTATACCTTGAGGCCGTCTACAGAAAGCCCAAGTATCTCGCCACCGTAGTATTTGCTGCCAACGCTATATTCCTTGGTTTCACTGCTAGCGGTTGTATCGTGAGTCATGTCTCCTTTTGGTGATCATTCAGTGTCAACTGGTGTTTTCGTCTAGGTTTTTGCTAGCAAGTACGGTATCTCGGATCTTGATATAACGACTCAGCTGATATGATGTAGTATCTTGATTGCTGCTGGTCAACCCGTAGGTCGCTGGACGGAGCGTGGAATTGCACTTGGAGGTACGATCTCACATCTGGCTGGAATGTTGCGGTCGTTTCATGAAATTTAGTCATCTCCTTCGTAACTCTTCTACATGGACTGGCTCCCAAGACCGGCGTGCTAGTCATGAACGTATGCAAATATAAATTTTCCTCTGTTATCTTATTCAACATCTTCCTTTCAGTCGCTCTCGATCTTCAAGATCGTTATTCTGTTGTTCGTCGTGGTCTCAGGCTGGGTGGTTCTCTCGGGCAAAACACGCGTCGCGGATCCGCACTATAACTTCAGAAATGCGTTTGCAGGGAGTTCTCAGAGTAGCAATGACGTGCGTTCTGTGGGATTTACGGGTGTGCTACAGCTGATCATGATAATGGGTCTTGACAGTACGCTACTGCCACCTTCAAAGTCCTGAATGCATATGCGGGATGGTCCAACGTGAACTACGTCATGAACAACGTCCGTAACCCCGTGCGGACGCTCAAGATTGCAGGCCCGCTCGGTCTTGGTATTTGCGCGGTTCTGTACTTGCTTGCAAACGTCGCCTATTTCTCAGCTGCGACCAAGGTGAAATCTTCTTTTATATGCGCAACTAAGGAAATTAAATGGTGTTGAAAGACGGAGATCGAAAAATCTGGTGTCACTGTCGCTGCATTGTTTTTCGGGAATGTCTTTGGTTCTGTCGCGGAGCGTGCGCTTTCGGTTTTCATTGCTCTCAGGTGAGTTCGACGCACTGGGTTTGAGGGTTTCCTGACTAATTTTCTTCATGACAGTGCTCTTGGAGTAAGTCCTGTGTGTTTTATATCATGATCTTTGTTTGATAATGTCCCGTAGAATGTTATTACTGTGGTAAGTTGAGGGATGCTATCGAAACGTGTCGCTCAAGAACTTTTCATCTAGACTTTTGCTGCGTCGCGAGTAAACCAGGGTTCGTTATTCCAAGCATGATAATCTCCTCTGAACTCATGCTCCCACTGCAGAGCTCGCAAAGGAAGGAATACCCCTACCATTCGGAAACAAATTCTGGGCTTCAAACTGGCCCACAGGGAAGTCACCGCTCCCTGGGTTGATCATCCACTTGATACCCTCTGTAAGTGCCGATATAGAACCATGATATCAGTCTGAGATTGGTTAAAGGTCATTGTCATCATCGCGCCTCCCCCAAACATTGTTTACCCTTTCATTTTGGACGTCGAAGGATACCCACAGCAGATTATTAATTTCTTTATTGTCATCGTGGGTCTTTCAACTCTTTTTCTTGGATATCCTATTATCTCTTGATGCGTCCAGGGTTTGTTCTATCTCAGATGGAAAAAGCCAGATATTGTTCGGCCGTTCAAAGGTAAGCGTGCATGTTGCCTTTTCTCCATGGTACACTAATATGTATTATGATGCAGTATGGTGGCCTCTCGCCGTATTCTTCTTGGCTGCTGCCTCCTTCCGTAAGTTCCCAATTCTACAGCTCAAACACTCCCCTCCTAACCAAACCTCCACATAGTCCTCATCGCTCCCTTCCTGAAACCAGCCAACGGCGTCGGCGACACTCCACCACTACCATATTACCTGTACGCTTCTTCCACCATACGAATAACGCGTGTTGCTCATTCGTCGTTTGTTTTGTAGATACTGTCTCGTCGGGATCGGCGTCATGTTCGCAGGCGTGTTCTACTGGGCTGCATGGCGGATCATGCTCCCCAAGGTATTTGGGTATGAGCTTGTGCCGAGGAAGGAGAGGTTGGATGATGGGACTGTCGTCACTGTGGTGAGTGTCTGTTTTTCGTGTCGGCTGGTTTTCTGTGTCTGCCGTTGTTCTGTGTTTGCGGGTTTTCTGTGTTGACTGGTCTTCTGTGTCTGCTGGTCTCCGGGTTGCTGACGGATCTTATTTCCCAGTTTTCAAACAAGAAGATCCAGTGATTCGAGTGTTGATTGAAGTGCTAATAAGCTGGTCTTTGAAATATAAACTTAATGGCATGTTGTTGTAGTGGTCTTGTAATGCGTATCCATTAGTATTGACTTTAGAACGGGTCCTCGGTCATTCCGCCGTGTACTGTTCTTGTGACGTTCGTTCTGACCAGTCCCTTTGATGAATTTTGCCTCTCATGGCAACTTGAGTCGATGAACGCAATCTGCACCCCATCTACACAAGTTACGTCCCTAACTATCTCGAATCTATGTATCCGTCGTCTGGAATAAAGGGAGTCATTCCCTCGATGCGGTTTTGAATTCTGCACGCGCAACAACCACGGGATGCGATAAGGGCCTCGACAATGGCAGTCACAAGTCATGTGCATTAGTACTACTATTAGATCAGAGGAGACGTCCGTTCAAGAGAGGGGAGCCGAATGTGTGAGGATGAATGGATGAAGTACCAGGAGATGATGTCGCGAAAATATTCGAATGTACACGTTGAGCAATGAATTATTTTTCTGAAGACTCTAGATTAAACAAAACACTGCGAAAGCGAAACCAAGACAACAGTAGAGCACAAGAGCATGAACGTACAGACATAACAACAATAGCACGAGAGGATACGAGAACGAGATAACAGGAGCGTAAAAGTATGGCGGTTGTGACTATAAATGACAGGATGAAAAAGAGAATGCAATATAAAGCCCAGTGAAACCGTACCAGTCGAAAGCAATACAGCAGGAACTACACACCGATGTGAACGAAAACGATTCTCTGCTCGAGCGGCACCCTCGTCTTCAAAAAGTCTCTAGCACAGTTGACTGCATGCGCCGCCTTCGTGCAGTCCATGACACCATCCTCCATATCCTCGAACATGTTCTTGTAGAAAGCTTCCACAAAGTGTTTTGCGAGAGCGTCATTGACCCCCCACAGCGTGCCTACAACGCTCTTGAAACCGGAAAACTGGAGTCCAGCTGCGAGATGAATGGCTTCATCAGGCGTCTCCTCATCGCCGACGGCGGTATGACACGCCGACAAGAACGCAAATTCGGCTTGCGGAGAATTGTTCTCCATGATGTCGAGTAGCGTAAGGGGTGTGTCTCTCATGGCGAAACTTGAATTATAAGGCTGCTCAAGGTCTTGCTTCCCGTGACAAGCGAGGTGCACCCAGGTGTTATGTCGCAAAGCATCGAGTGCACCTGCTTGAGTAGCTTCATCTTTTGAAATATTGGTGAATCTGACGTTGGGAGGAATGAGTTCATGAACGAGCTCAAGCTCGATGTTGACAGCGGGGAGCACCTCGCCTTGCCCTGCGCCAGGTTCACCTTGTCCGATCGCTGCGAAGGTCTGAGTGACGCAAGTTTCCATCTTCTGTCGAGACCTGATCAAAGCCGAAAGCGTTGGCGTGTAAGAACAGATGAATAAATCCTCCAGGCATGCTTCTGGCCCTGAGCGGTCTGCCTTGGACCGAAAGGGGTTAGCTGCATGAAGAGGAATGGACGTGAAGGCTGCCGTCGGACAAAGCCATATTCGAGACCGACGCTGCAATTTCAGGTCATCCTGGAGGACATTTACGATGGGTAGCATGATCTCGTCCCATACTACTCGCAAGCGTCTTTGTAACTTCTCCCTCGGCTTCCTTGGGTGCATACGAGCCGTGTGCCGGATTGCTGTAGAAAAATCGTCCTTGAGCTGCTCCAGATCTGCGAGAGTGATGCGTGGGAAGGAAACGTGGCGGGGTTCCCCTGACGTCGGGACAATGATGGCACTGCATAAGTATTTGCTCGCGATGAGGATGATGACTGGGCCATGGCACGCTGCCACTTGCAACTCTGCATACGATGGCGGGAGCAGGAATCGCGAGAAAGCTTGAATACCACGGATTTGAGTTACCACAGCGTCCCACTGATTCGTCAGTTTCCTGTACTGGATTGCTGCGCGATCCGCTGCAGCTCGGTCTGTGCTGCCTGCGGAACCTTGAGCGTCGGAAAGACGCTGGCTGAGCTCTGAGAACTCGTGAGCTAGGTTGGGATTCGTGGACTCGATGTCTTCGAGTGGACTCCTCAGACGAGAGGCCAGCGACCATTGCTGGCCGCGGCCCTGCTCTACGAGTTCAACTGCTCGTTGCAGATCATTGGAACGAGCAGCACATGATGCCGCATCTACTGGCAGTGACTGTACACCGTAAAAAGCGGTCCCAGCCTCCCGCCGTGAGATAATCGACGATCGCGTCATCACATGGTTGTCGAAAAGCTCCAAGCATATTTGGTACGCTTCGAGGGCAGAGTCGTGTTGATGACTCTCAGCTTTATCAACCCAGTTCAAGGCAGTTATAATGCGTTCTGGAAATCCTTGAGTAGGATGTCCTGATGCCAGTCTGAAGTTCTCCACTGCGAGTGACAAATCGGCAGGGTTGTTGTGCACTCGGTAACGAGACAAATAGGCCTCCTGCAGCCACATATAGCTGAAGTATCTTCTTGGGTGCAATGAAGGCAATGCCAACAATGATTCTTCACAGAGATCAATCGCCTCCTTGACATCTTCATTCTTCCGAGTTCGCGTGAAACGAAAGCAGAGCGCCGAGCTCAAATTTTGAAGAGTTGCATGGCGCTCGGGATGATCATGCCCCTTTAGCCGAAGGGATTCACGATACAGATCAATGGCCTCGTTGAGATCCTCGACAGATTCCTCGCTGACAGGTGAATTTTCAAATCTGGTTTGAAGCGCGAGGGCAAGGTTGCTGAGCGTAGTGTAACGACTTGAATTCCCAGATGGGCGCAACGTCAATGCCTCGCGATAGAGGCTGATAGCTCGGGTGATGTCATCAATGTCATGTCGTTCGTTGAAACGGGTGAGGAGGGCGCCCCCGAGGTTGTCCAATGACAAATCACGAGATTGGTGTCCAACAGGGCACAGGCGCAGCGCTTCTTCGTACAAAGTGATGGCCTCATCTAGGTCATGAAATTTGCCCTGGTGATCAAAGCGGGACTTGAGTGAGAATGCCAAGTTATTCAGGTAGGCATCACGGCTGGAATGTTCCTCGGGGCACAGAGAAAAAGCTTCACGACCAAGTTGTATGCTCTCTTCTAGATCATTAATACTGCCATGCTGGTCAAAGCGTGCCTCAAGTGCCCGTGCAAGCTCGTCAAGGGCGCGGAGACGGTATCGATGGCCCGGAGGACAGAGTTCGAGCACGTTTCGTCGAAGGCGGATGCCTTCATTGGATGCATCAGTTGGAAGTTTGTTGCATTGCGGGATCATATAATCGGCTGCGCTGTCAAGGCCGATGCTACGAAGGTAGCTGCCCTCTGGACACATGGGCAGTAGCTTGCAGCACAGCTGTGCGGATTCGTGAATGTAGACGGCGATGCGCTCCCTGCTGTAGCATGAGTTTAATGCTCGAATGAGACTATGAAGAGATAATGCGCAATCGGGGTGGCCCTGCGGACGCAATGCAAGGGCTTCGCGGAAGAGGGAAGTGATGTTGGCGATGTCTTGGGGGTCCTGTCGAATATAACCTTGAAGGCGGGCCCATGCAAGGTTGGTGAGAGCCGCTGCGTGGTCAGGATGGCCGACCGGACACTGGTCCAGAGCCGACTGAAACTGCTTCACAGCATTGTTCAGGTGAGAGACCCTCTTGCGTGTCATGTATTGGGCGAATCGTACATGGCCTGCATCTGTGTCTCGCGCAATCTTACAGTCTACGAGGGACTACAGTCGGTGTTCTGTAAGCAAAAGCTAACAGGATAGAGTCAGCATCACTCACATCAAACGGTGTACCGTGCTGATTGTCGAAAGCATGTACAACAACGGCCTTTAGCGTGAGGGAAGGGCGGACACCACGAACAGGTGGGAAGGACAGTTCTGCGATGTATTAGTAGATGTGCATGAATAAGAAGCGAATCACTCACCAAAAGGCTCTTCTCCATGACCGAGCAGCTCATGCCATGATGTTTTAAGTTTTCCAATAAGTTCACCATTGCCTAGCATTCGATCAAGCTCATAGGACGCTCTGATCTCCATTGATAATGCAGGTGATGCCTGTGATGAACTATAACCGTGTATCAGTCTCGAATCGTGCCAGAAAGTCTTCGTGGACTTTACACAATCATAGTATCGCCCCACGTTACAGATTCGTCTGATGACGAAACTTCAATGGCTGATTTCCAGCGCCGAGTCGAGTCGACATTGATGAACACGTAAATACCAGCGGGAATGCGCTCGGAAGGGACTTTAAGATTTTTTCCGCTGATGACTGTCAACAAGGGCGAGGGTCATGCAACGACTAGCAGCATGATGTTGAATGACCTACTTTCAAGTTTGATACATTGGCTTGAATGGCCAGTAGGCGTGATGGTGCGATGAAACAAATGACGAACAATACGGCGCATTGGAGATTGAGTGGGGTATATAATGAGTGGTAGGACAAGACAGAGGGTAGGGATATGAGGACTGTGAATGGAGTTCAGCTGAAAGGGAGAGGAGAATAGGTTGAGCGCTCAGATTGCAGGTGTATTTCCACGGTGTCGAGGGCTCTTCGGCACAATAGACGCTGGGATGATCAGGCTAGAGTTAGCGGGAGAACCTACATCAGCAAAAGTGGCACGGCAAGGTTATGTGAGACTCGGAGTATCCTGTGAAGCTTCTGGCAGCTACTCATGCTGCTGCACTGAGTCGTACCACTCATTTAGCACGCTAGGAAAACAAGTAGAATGGAGTGTATTTGGTAATTATAATGACAAAGAGTTCGCTGAAAAGAACGCGCACCAATTGAATATCATAAAGTACTTCCGATTGAACTGACAGTGCCGAGGAGACGGTTCGCGAGAGCATGACAGGTATGAGATAGCTAAACTTTGCAGTGGACGATACAACAAATGAAAGAGTGACAGCGACCAGCTCGAACAAAAGTCAGAATATATGAGCAACTTGAGAGCTAGGAAGTCTTTACGATACATGGCTGCCATTGAACGAGGACGCAAACATGAATTCCCAAGTCAAAGCTGTTATCTATGCTTTTTGACCTTCGAGACTTAGTCAGACAGGGCAGTCCAATATAAATATTTTATGATTGACCACGACCAAAAAACATCAACACGCTAACGCAAAACTAGTAAAGTACACGATTGGGCAGAAAAGCTTAACGAGGCTTTTATAGACTGAAACGGGCCTTTTTTGATCTAAGGGAAAGTGTGAGCAGTGATGGGCGGGTGGGCCTGAGCTGCTCACGATGATCACCAAGGGCATGCGTCAATCATCAACGAAATCAAAGAAATCGCAAAACGCTAGTCAAAACTGCCAAAGTTGAGACGGGCATTAGAGTTCCTCGCAACGCGAGGTTTTTCAAAAACACATACGCTAAACGGTGTCACTCTCGGTCCAGGATAAGGTGTCTCCACGGTGTATCCTTGACAACCGCCTTGAACTGGTGGCGGATTTGGGGTACCCGCTGAGAGTAAAACTCTTAGGGTAAGGTAGGAGATGTCCCCATAACCATTGAAGGAGGGACAGACGAGAAATAGACCAGGGCAGCTGGATGGTTAGAGGGTGGGTGGGGAAGATGCAGTCGAGGTCGACTCCAAACTCAATGGTGGAGGACCCCCAACCGGCAATATGCGAAAGCTTCCCAGAAAAGGCAGGAGTGGCAGCAGTTGATTCACTGGCTAAAGAGTTAGGGTGACTGTCCCTGTGTACAACGATGGAGTCCCCCACTCCAAGAAAAGTGGGGTTCTCAACTCCCAAAAAGGAATCAAAAATCCAGGTATCAGGTGACGAGGGAGTAGTCGAGGAGGTGACGATAAGGGAACCAGCCAAATGTGTTACAGGGGAAGAAGGTGCTGGAAAGGAAGGAGGGGACTCAAGATCAACAGAAAAATGAGAGACAGACGGTGGGTCAACAGATAGTACGTGCATAATTGAAAGTAGGGGGATTGTAAGACGGCTACACAGTTTCATCGTTAAAAGAGATAATCGCCTCCCTAAGATACCCGAAACCACCACCAAGAAACCAGGGTAGATGCCTAAGTTTCCCGACTCCAGGCCCTAATACCCATCCCAACAACGTACATGCAAATCAAATTTGGTCTACGCTGATCGACTAGTCAACGCCTAGACCAGTGACAGGCAACATGTGGCACCCGAAGGGGATTCTGGGCGCAAAGAAAAACCCATTAGTAGGATAAGACGAAGAGTAAACCGGCAAGGGTGGAGGCCAAGCGAGTTCGTACTGTACCTCAAATTGACGACGACGTAGTTTGCCCGCTGGTGTCCAAGATGTGGGATAGGCATTAAGACGGCCACGTGAGCAGAGAAAGAGGGAGAGGAGGGTGGGTTAGTTGTTTTGGAGAATAAAGTGTGCAAGTTATGATCACTTGAACAATTGTCGAGTTACAGGCGCTTGCGCCAAGTTGGTGGTAGCGAAAAGAATGAAGGTGTCAAGTCTTACTCGGTTCTTGCATGGACCTCATTCTACGCACGTGCTCGTGCCTCGTACTTTACGTAGAAAATAATCTATGCTTTTTGACCTTCGAGACTTAGTCAGACAGGGCAGTCCAATATAAATATTTTATGATTGACCACGACCAAAAAACATCAACACGCTAACGCAAAACTAGTAAAGTACACGATTGGGCAGAAAAGCTTAACGAGGCTTTTATAGACTGAAACGGGCCTTTTTTGATCTAAGGGAAAGTGTGAGCAGTGATTCCCTAGAGTTAGGAGCTTAACGACGCAGCTAGCGCACGCTTGACCCCAACGGTAAGGAGAAAGGTACGAAACTCACAACTCAAGTCCGAGGAATCGCATAGCGCATAAACGGATCCAACACGGGTGAGTCTTGAAGGTATGGGGCCATTATCACAGCATGCTTTCGTAAGTATAGCGTGAAGGCGTCGCTGTTCCAACGACCTATTGCCTTTACGGTGTCGAAAGGTACGCCCCGTAGTAGGTATTCCATCGTTCCTCCGATACGGATACCGTGACCCTTAAATGGCCCGTTGTCTAACCCTGCCGTTGCTAACTCGAGACGATGTAGGAATACGGACCGCGTTAGCGGTCGAAGACCTGACGGATGTTGCCAACTGAAAAGCGCTGATGAGGAGGGTGGGTGGTTCACCCTGAGGTGAGTCATGAGGGCATCCAGCGGGTCGACGAGCCCAGATTGAGCAGCGCAATAAAGGTCTTCACCTGCTGGGGACGTCTTTGTCCACGGCAGGCGAAACACGGTGACCTGAAACCCATGACGATCTTGATCAAATTTGATATCAGCGACTTTGACGTGGACTGAGGCATCGAAGGCCTTCAGGGACCGAACGGTGAATTCGCCCAAGCGTGCGAGGGTGAAGAAAGCCGTCGTGAGACAGGCGAAGAAGGCGACATCAAGTGGCAAGGTGAGGTCGAGGGCAGAGCGAATTCTCAGCAGGATATCGATGGTGAATGGGCAACGTTTTGGTCGCTTAGATGTTGGAGGTGCGAGACGCACAGCGCCATCTAACGCAGACGACACCTGGGCTTGATCAATCACCCAAGGCATACCATGGAGAAGATGCCATGCGCGCACCCCGTAGACATAATTCTCGAGCGTTTTTCCAGAGTAAAGACCAGCGCAGGTTGCAATGAACGCGAGGAGAAGGACAGAGGAAATGGGGGCACGTTGTGCGTCGGCGATCCCACGATCGTCGCAGAAGACATGGAAAACTAACAGCCCGGAACCATATGTCTCACGAGTAGCCGTTGCATGCGCATGCGATATGACGACTAAAATGCGGTCAAGGTCTGCGTCGGAGACAGAAACCTCGAAACCGTTGTCGTCCAGACGGGAACGCGGAGTGGACGGGGTCCAGAGTCGTAAACGATCTCTGGCCAGACAGTGCGGACGCAAGGAGGAGGGAAGAGGGGCGAGACCCTGGCGGTATGGGCGCGGGTGTGAAGCTTGGGAAATAGGAGGGAAATCTGCGTGTGGTACTGCAAATCTAGACGGGTTAGTTACACCAACTGTCCCGGAAGTGGAGCAGTCGATCCTCGAAGTTCCAAGTCTCTGACCCGTCATCCACAGGGTCAGGACTGTCAGCCCTTCTGTCTGTGGGTTCGAGGTGGAAGAGTTGGCCATGATTGGGGTTGGCGACGTTGTCAACGAGGAAACGATGGAGGTCACCGGGGAGATCGATGGGGGGAAGGAGGAGACGATTGGGAGGGAAGAACCCGCGGGATGGACCGTCTGCAGGATTGCCCTGGCTTGAGACATAGGAGATGTGGAAGGTGGTTGGAAGGGGCTGGGCGTCGAGCAGAGCGTGGACCCGGCGAAAGACCATGTTGGTTGCCCAGTTACGGCTCCTGCCGTTCTTCCAACCCTCGACGATCCCGAGGTTGTCGCAATGGACTCTAAAGTGATAATAGGGCGAGTCGTGCTTGAGACGTAGGAGGTAGATAACGAGGAACTCGAAGCCGACGGCCTCGGCCCAACCAATGTCCTTGGCCCCGTCGAGGGTCTTCCATCCAGGCAGGAGAGTCCATGCCCGCCAATGCCCATCGATGACAACTGCGATTCCGACACCGGAGCTCGCATCGGAGAATGCGTGGGCGTCGATGATGGAGAAACGTTTGGGGATGAGACGAAGCAAGGGCTGGGAGAGACGCGCAGACCACCAAGCCAAGTCGTCGTGAAGATGTCTGACCGAATGGTGGGGCACGAAAGGACGACTACTACAGACGCCAAGCATGGCTTCAAGGGAGGTGAGGTGAGCGCGTCCCATTGGAAGGATGAGGCAAGTGTGGAGTAACTTGCCATAAAGCTTCTGGACCTCCGCGAGAACATGCGTTTCGGTCGACGACCACGCGACGATGGCAGCCAGGTACTTCTCGCGCTTTCCTTCCCCCAGTTCGACGGTGAGAGTGTCAATGTGCCAGAGCAACCCAATGTAAAGTACGGTGGGTGCAAATGAAGAGTCTTTGGAGAGTTCCCAGGGAATCCCGAGGACAACGGACGCGTCGTCAATGTCGCGAAAGTCGTAGGCAAAGCAGTCGTCCTCACGTGTGCGTGAGGACGCGAGGTGAAAGTCGTGGAGGGGAAAGCGACAATCCTCAGCGAAGACTTCGCAGGATCCATCAGGGAAGATGTCACCCTCCCACCATAAACGCCCGCCTGTCTGACGCTTGCCCGTGGCAGATAGTTGTTGGAAGAGTGAGAGACGATAAGCATTGTACTCGTCGATGTACTTACGCTCGACGCGGAAGAAGAGGTGGTCGTCAACCCATTTGACGATGGGACCCAGCCCCGCAGCACGAAGAAGATCTGCTCCTGCGTCAGCGACGTGACCGTAAGCACCTGCGGAAGGACCCATCCCAAACGAAGTACACGTGTCCGTGTAAAGGAGGTCATTGTCCAACCGAACGACAGTGGCAGGCCACTGAGATGGATGAAGGGGGATGGTACGATAAGCCTCGGCGACGTCGCGCGTGGCTGCTTGCGAGCCTGGGGGCAGGTGGCGAAGGATGGCACAGACAGTATCAAAGGTGCCCCAGGTGCATGGGAAGTCATCGGAGTCCACCAACGAGTTGACGGAGGGTTGAGGGTGACGGGGAGAGGGTAGGTGAGGGAACGAAAAGTTTTGGATAACGCGAAACTTCCCTGGTCGTCCGGATTTCGGGATGACGGACAGAGGAGAGGATTGAAAATGACCAAGGAGAGAGAGTAGATCTGTTTGGTGGAAAGGTCCAATATAGCGGCCGAGGTCCAGTTCGTGACGTAGGATGGAGTCGAATGCGTGATGGTAAGTACGAAGAGAATGGTGATTGGGGGGTGATTGGGAAGCAGACAGTACTGGTAAATGTAGATCGAAACCGAAACGAAATCCTGCCGGAATGTTGGAATATTGGTTGAGCAGCCCATACTTGCGAAGCTGGAATTCCCACACGTCGCTATTATAAGGGCAGACTGGGTGAGACCGCCTGTGTGCGAGGGCAATACTGAGCGCCGTGGGTGACAGAGAGGCATCCAGCGCACAGGTGTCGTTCGTCGTGGGAACGTGTAGAACACCCACGTCCTCGTTGCCAATCGAGGCAGAGTGGCTTGTCGTTGCTGCGGAGGAGCAGTTGACGATTGGTGCGTTTCGCGACGGTCTTGTGGGAATTGTCCCAGATGCGATCGACAGAACAGTCGACGAATGGGTGATTGTGACGCCCGAGGCAAACGGCGCACACAGCGGATGAGCGTTGACTGTGTGCGCCGTCGGAAAAACCCGACGAGGTTGCGGAGGACTTAGCTCCCAGAGAGGACCCTTTGCCACGTGACATGGGGGAGGCTGAACGCTTCCTGGTGAAGCCAGAGGGTTTTCTGTCAGAAGGGAATGAAGCGGAAGAACGGTTGTTGTGCCTGGAGCGGGTGAGGGAAGTATCGTCGAAAGCACCACGGGTGGATGTGTTGAGGGTGTGCTAAAGACCCACAATACGCATGACGCAAACGAGATGCGCGAACGCAAAGGCGAAGAGGCCCCACAAAACGTGGAAGGGAGGACGCAAGATGGGAACGCAAAACACGGGACACATGACGCAGTACGCAGTACGCAAGACGCAAGACGCAAAACGCAAAACGCAAAACGCAGAACGTAATGAGGAAAAGGTGAGCAAAGAAATTCGTAAGCGTTGGTATTACAGGAAGATTGCCAATGACGAACCTTGTTGTCATGAGCGGAATCGCGACGATCACGATCCTCATGGTAACTACGATCGAAATTCCGTGCGAGTTGCTTTTCGTCAAGAATGGAGATGTTCCAGGCACCGTCTGGGAGGGGGATGGCTTGATGCCAGGCCCTACGTTGTTCTTCTTGGTAAGTTAAGATGGCTCTCTGCTCGAAGACGTCGTCTGATGACCAATAGGGGTGTACCATCAAGGCACCAAAGAAGTTGGCCAACATCACTACACGTGAGTTGATCCAACCCCTTTCTTGGAGTGAAGCTATGAAACGTGGCACGGCTCTGGAAAAATCGAGTGGGGAAAGGAGATGATCAGCGATGACGCCCGCAGCCGGCCTAGAAGCGCTTGCGGAAGTCCAAGTGGTCGAACCATCCGCACCTGCGGTGGGTACCAGACTGTCATCGTCCAGGGTGCGATAGTCTAGGCGTGCGGCCGCTAACCCGCGATTCGTCCAGTAGTACAGTTCGACGAACTGGGCCTTGTCGAGCTTGCGAAGGGCAAAATCGGAAACGAGAACAGACTCAGCGGCATTGCGTTGAGGGCGAGGCCGGTCTGGAATGGGAATGTGATGGATGCGGTTCTTTTTCTTCTCTTCGGCAGCAACCGCTGCGTCTTCGATTTGCTGTGCAAGTAAACGTTGTGCGTCTTCCTCGAGGAGTAAACGCCGACGCTCCGCTGCAATGAGTTCGTCAGCTGCAAGTTGTTGATGCCATTGAAGCTTAAGGGCAGCATTGGTGGCTACCCAGAACGTTTGTAGAAGAGCTGCAGCCTGTGTGTTGTCAATAGCGGGACTCAAGAGGGGGGCTCGAACCGCGAGAAATTCCACAGAGGCAAAGTCTGGACATTGGTCCAAGTGAGGATCGGCATGTAGTCTATTCATGACGTAGACAACGGAGAAAAGATTTAGTTGTTTTGGAGAATAAAGTGTGCAAGTTATGATCACTTGAACAATTGTCGAGTTACAGGCGCTTGCGCCAAGTTGGTGGTAGCGAAAAGAATGAAGGTGTCAAGTCTTACTCGGTTCTTGCATGGACCTCATTCTACGCACGTGCTCGTGCCTCGTACTTTACGTAGAAAATAACATATATATGATAGTACCAGCCGGGTGAAGCAGTGATTAGTACGAGAGTCGCACGCCCAGACATCTCCATTGCGTAGCCGCTGAAGTCGCCCACAGCAACGTGCCAACAATCCAATGAAGGAAACTAATCAGTCCACCACTTCCGAGTCCTCTTCATGTGCCCGGCTTATACCAGACAACGCAACATCCTCAGAATGGAACTTGGAATGAAATTGCGCCATGTGAAGCACATCCTCAACGAGATCGAACGTCTAAAGCCACTGTTCAAGTTCATCGCTAGCACAAGAAGATTTGGCTGTACGAGAGTCATGGTTATTCTTGCACACCTTCCTTTTTGAATCCCATACCTTCTCCATCGTGATTCATCGATATTCATCACCCATAGGGCCACAACGACGAATGCTACTGATAAGCTCCGAGTCGGGAACTCTACTTGATCAAGTTGACATAGACCCAGGATACTGATTGCAGCGGCACTATAGGCTAAGTTTTTTTTTACACCTTACGCGGTCTGATCTCAAGTTAGCTTTGCTTGTTTTCTACTTGAACGATGGCATCTGTTCCACACTCTGAGCGCTTTCCGTAAGCAAATAGGTTTAGCCTTTGAATCGATACCTGAACGTTGAGCTCCAGTAACGTGTCGCATTATTTTACTTTCGAAACTGAATACCGGTTCGAGAAACATCCTACACCCGATTTCGCGTTGCATCTCTATCCCGGACGCCGCTACCACTCGATTTGCCCTTTTCCCAGAAGAACCTCCATTTGCACGTTCGACGCCGTTGGTCAGGACTTCTCCACGGCAACTGGAGCCCTCGCTTCAGCTACCACACACAATGTAGATGTGCACACGTTCCAGTGTGTGGTGGTCACATCGATTAGATCAACACCAAGGCCCACGGAGCCGCTGCAAACCAACTAATTTAGATCCTGCAGGGTTCACCCAATGTTCGTCAGTTGTCGTCCTCGCATTCAATTGCTTCATTTCGACACACCATCCTACATAGATCCTGCTAGGTCGCTTTCTCATCATGTTGTCCAGTTCAACTTGAAGTGGCTTGCAAGCTGGTCATTTCCATCATCGGATTGACATCGATCGTTGAACGAGTCTGCAGCGTTACAGGCGGTCTCAAAAACATCCGCTGGCAGTCGATGCACGAATCAACCTGCATATGCCGAGGTGGGAGAAGGCCGTACTTCAAGATGTGTTAAGTACTGGTGTCTCGCAGGTCAGTATTTCTTCCTATTCTATCAGGCTCTGTTATGAGCCCATTCAGTAGCTGATGCATGAATCGGGTTGGAAGTATACCTTGTCGAAGCTAGATCGATCTGCTACGCACATTCCTGCTTACTATCCCTACATCCATATGGTTTGCGCTACAAAGTCAGGTCCAACATCTGCACTACACCTGGACGTCACTGATTTATTTCCAGAATCAAGAGACCTGCATGTGGCGCGTATCACACAATCGAAGCTCCATCCGAAGTTGCCCATAAGATATGCCCTCTCGCTGGTACTATCAACAATGTAATAGACTTCCAAACACTCTGGGACGTTCTTCTAATTTGGTATGTACGCCGACTTAGGCACAACCGGATCAATTAGTAACTTCCCGTAGGATCTGAAATTCCAGGGTACCGACCTCCCCTTCTATTTGGTACAACAGCTCGTATAGAGATCGTCAACTTGCGGTAAATATCACTGACATCTTTTTCTTGGGATCTGGTGGAGCATCAACTAAACAATGTGTGCTGTTCACTGTGATCAGCGCATAACAATTCATCGGTGAGAGTTCTCGCAAATGGACAGCAGACCCCCACTCTCACTCCGTCAGCTTTTCAGCAGATAGACCCTCAGACAGCCCCGAATTCGGACTTGAGACTATGCATAGACTATGTACATCATGAATCGGACTTGCACTCAACGTCATGCTTCGTGTATGTATCTTACATTTCCACAATCAAATTTCTGAAATTCAGAATGAGATCGTGCTGCGGAAGGGGGTAAGTAATCTCGTCAGTGGCTCGGAACAGGAAGAGAAACATATATCACTGCATCTTGGTAAAACTGACGTCGAGCTGGGATCATGAGGATGGGTTATAAAGAGCATCATTAAAGCTGGATGAGAAGCGAATCAAATAAAATTTCTACGCGTTACTTGAGATCCTGGTGCTGTCGTCTGAGGGATGCGTGGTGCGACTTCTATCCTGGGGGGCGGATGAAACAATTCAAACGATATTTCTTGGTCCACTTCTGCAATGACAAGGACAGTTCCAAACCAGTCACGATGTGAGTTGCCATATGGCAAGAACGAGGATGAGTTATCCCAATCAGTCTGAGGCTACGCGGGCGAGATGGATAGAGTACATGAGAGGTTTGATGGAGATACTATAGGACAATGACACAAGATGATACGAGAACGAGACAACAGGATCGCAGAACTATCATGATCGTGACTATAAATGACAAGATGAACGAGAATGCAATACAAAAAAACCGTGAAACCGTACAATATGAAGCCAATACAGCAGAACCTACACACCGATATGAATGAAAACAATTCTCTGCTCGAGCGGCACTGTCTTCATCACGGCGCGCTTAGCATAATTGAGTGCCCGCGCCGCCTTCGTACAGTCCATAACACCCCCATCCTTCAAACCCTCAAACAAAGTGTTGTAGAAAGCTTCAACAACGTGTTTTGCGACAGCATCGTCGACCTCCCATAGCGTGCCAACGACGCTCTTGAACCCTGAAAATTGGATACCAGCTGCGAGATGGATGACTTCGTCAGGCGTCTCCTTATCGCCGGCAGCAGTATGACACGCTGACAAGAACGCGAACTCGGCGTGCGGAATGTCTTTCTCCATGATGTCAAGCAACGTGAGAGGTTTGTCTCTCATGACGAAATGAGAATTGTAAGGCTGGTCCTGGTCTTGCTTGCCATGACATGCAAGGTGCACCCACGAGTTCTGTTCCAAAGCTTTGAGTGCACCTGCTCGTGTGGCTGCTTCACCGGAAATAGTGGTACGGTTGACCGTCGCAGGGACGAGCTTCCGGACGAGCTCGAGCTCGCTGTCAACAGCCAGAAGTTCCTTGCCTTTCCCTGAACCAGGTTGACCCTGTCCGATCGCCACGAAGGACGGAGTCGCATGTGTCCTCATCATCTGTCTAGATCTGATCAGAGCCGAAAGTGTCGGCGTGTACGAACAAATGTAGAGATCTTCCAGGCATGGCTCCCTCCCAGAGCGATCTGCCTTCATTTTAAAGGGGTGAGCTGCGTGGAGAGGAATAGATGTGAAAGCTGCAGTTGGACATAGCCAGATACGAGACCGGCGCTTTAATTCGAGAACGTCCTCAAGTGCGTTGACAATAGGTAGCATGATATCGTCCCATACTGCCCGCAAGAGCACTATTAGGTCCGTCCTCGATTCTGTCATGCCCATCCGAGATGTTTGGGGTATCGCCCTGGCAAAGCGATCCTTGAGATCCTCTACATCTGCAAGAGTGATAGACGGCAAGGGAACGTGATGGGGCTCCCCTGACGTTGGGACAATGATGGCGCTGCATGAGTATTGACTTGCAATGAGGATGATGACTGGTCCATGACGTGCTGCCACTTGCAACTCTGCATATGATGGCGGGAGCAGGAATCGCGAGAAAGCTTGAATTTTACGGATTTGAGTGACCACAGCGTCCCACTGATTCTTCAGTTTCCTGTACTTTATTGCTGCACGATCAGCTACAGCTCGGTCTGTGCTGACTGCGAAACCCTGAGCGTCGGAAAGATTCTTGCTCAGCTCCGAGAACTTGTGAGCTAAGTGGGGATTTGTGGACTCGAGGTCTTCGAGTGGGCTCCTCAGGCGAGAGGCAAGCGACCATTGCTGGCCTCGGCCCTGCTCTACGAGTTCAACCGCTCGTCGCAGATCATTAGAACGAACGGCACATGATGCTGCATCTACTGGCAGTGACTGCGCATCGTCAAAAGCGGTCGCAGCTTCCCGCCTTGAGATAATCGACGATCGCGTCATCACGTGGTTGTCGAACAACTCCAAGCATATTTGGTATGCTTCGAGAGCAGAGTCGTGTTGATGACTCTCAGCTGCATCAACCCAGTTCAAGGCAGTTTGAATGCGATTTGGGAAGCCATGAGTAGGGTGTCCTGACGCCAGTCTGAAGTTCTCCACTGCAAGTGACAAATCGACAGGGTTATTGTGCACTCGGTAACGAGACAAATAGGCCTCCTTCAGCCGCATATAGCTGAAGTATCTAGCCGGGTGCAATGAAGGCAATGCCAACAATGATTCTTCACAGAGATCAATCGCCTCCTTGACATCTTCATTCTTCCGAGTTCGCATGAAACGAGAGCAGAGCGCCGAGCTCAAATTGTGAAGAGTTGCATGGCGCTCGGGATGATCATGCCCCGTTAGCCGAAGGGATTCACGATACAGATCAATGGCCTCGTTAAGATCCTCGGCAGATTTCTCGCTGGCATGTGATTTTTCAAATCTGGTGTTAAGCGCGAGGGCAAGGTTGTTGAGCGTGGTGTCACGATGTGGATTCCCAGATGGGCACAACGTCAATGCCTCGCGAAGGAGGCTGATAGCTCGGGTGATGTCATCAATGTCATCTCGTTTGTTGAAACGGGTGAGGAGGGCAAGCCCTAAGTTGTTCAATGAGAAATCACGATATTCGTGCCCAACAGGGCGAAGACGCAGTGCTTCTTCATACAAAGTGATGGCCTCATCAAGGTCACGAAATTTGCCTTGGTGATCAAAGCGGGAGTTGAGTGAGAATGCCA